TCTGTTTTCACTACACATTGAATAGAGGAAAAGTGTTTTATTATATTTCTACTATTTTTAAGAACATAAACCCAAAAGTTTTAGTAAAAGCACGAAAAAAGTAGCGATTTTCGACCAAAATTTTGGATTTCTTAATTGCTACCTTTTGAGATTAGTTTTCCAATTGACATACAGCTACATTGTACTAAAAAGGCTATTCAAATCCTGTTTTATTACATTACGAGGCATTTCTGGAGTCATACTAAGAATTCGAGGTTCTGACAATCCCGAAATCTATCCAAAAACATACCGCCGCAACTCCATAATCGTAACCAGCCGGTTGAATGTCTGCCGCCGATTTCTCGGGCTTTTTCTCCTGACAATGCCCGCATCCGCCCGGCATCCCCGAATCACCCTGAAAACGTATCAAATACTAAGTCATTATCAAGCTCACCTTCGGACCCTGCGGCCCCATAAGCCCAGTGCTTCCATCGTCACCGCGGCTCCCGACAGCCCCTCTGATTCCCTAAAAATCTTTAATTTTACGAGTGTTTCCGGAACCTCTCACCTGAACACCACCCATCCCGGGCTTCCCATCGTGCCCCCTACCCCCTGGTGCCCCTCGAGGTCCCAACCTCCCCGAGGGCCCCGCGGCTCCCGGTGGCGCGCCGTTCAACACCTTGCCGCGATCACCCAATGAACCCTTGGGCCCCGGTGGCCCTGGTTCCCCGCGAAGCCCTGGGGGCCCAGGTGGGCCCGATCTGCTTCCTTCGCCGGGGCGGCCTGATTTCCCGCGATGGCCTGCTGGTCCGCGAGCGCCTTTTGCTCCGGGATTTCCGGGTGGGCCGGGCGGGCCGGGCGGACACTAAACGATGATTTTTTCTAGTGTTTGCTATAATTTGGCATTTCTGATGAAATTTCGCTACATTTCAAGTGGGACACAGTTTAGAAAACCGATAAAACAGTTATTAAATCTAAAATTTCGTCCAAATTTGGTCGCAAAATCTATAGTGTTGTATTTTTATAAAAATTTGTGATTTTTTACGTTTAGGACTACTAAAAAACGGTGTAAAACAGATATTCTTTCAAACAGATCCTCGATTGCTATTTGCAAAACCGCTCGAGCTCTGATGCAACCAACCTTTTGACAGGCAGTAGAGCCGGATGGAGGAGCTGGCAGATAGGTCCCAGTGCTCCCATCATTTCCCGGATCTCCAGCTTTTCCATCAATACCTAATCCAGCGCCTGTTTTTCGTGTGTTCTGCAATACCTGGCTGCCCATCCTGGCCCGGGTCTCCTCGTGGTCCTGGTTGTCCTTGGCTGCACGAGCAGCAAGTAATTGCGGGTCTTTTCCTGGACCCGACCCCTAAAAAAATTATATTTTTGATCCAGAATCCTTCGCTACCATTAGTTCCTTCAGCATATTGTCGTTTTTCACGCCTTCCGGGAATCACAGTGACTTGTTTCCATATGTCCCGCGATTCAAGCTAAAAGCGTGATCGAGAGGTTCTTCCAGTTTCCAGCACCCTACCTTGCACAAATCAACCCCCGCAAGCAAAAGACTCGTCGTCTTCTGGACCCGGGTATGCAAGATGGGGAGTACAATAATAATAGCGAAAAGGGCAAACGTAGAAATAACCGTTGAGCAGACAGTCAAAACTCTCGCATCCGGCTTCCACATTTTGCAGCTGGTATGACTGAAGCGGACTCCTTCCCCAAAACCCCGCAGTTTTTACCACAGCAACCGGCTGATATCGGTCAGCCGCTTTCCCCTGGGGGGCGGACCGCATAAAAACAAGTAATTGAGGTCAACCAGATCCGGAAAATCTCTTTATGTTCCGAGAGGCAAAAGGTATTCGTTAATTCGAGCACATAAAATCGAAATTGAAAAGAGCGTTGGACCATGCGGAACGAAATAGAAACACGTTAATGTATAGAGATCACAATTGGGTGGAAACCGGTGATTTTGGAATTTTAGCGACTAATTATCAGGTTGTAAAATGTACAATCAAACCAAAGACTGTAGAACAAAGTGGCAGGGAAGATCGGGCGGCTTCAGATTCGGTTGGCAACATCGCGCTGCGGCAGCTTTCGCTTGGGGGCTAAAGCAGAATTCGCCAAAAAAATGTTGTGCTTACTCAGATCGTTGCCTAACGCAGCCGGATCCAGCGCCGAGGATCGTTCGTGGGCTAGAAAATTGGTAAAAGAGAGGGAAATCAAGTTACCAGACACCAATGGAGACTTGAACGATGTATTCGAGAATCTGGCCCTTTTCGAAGAAGTAGTCGGGTCTGGGCTTTGCAATTTACTCGCCAGCCTGAATTGGTTGTCTTTTCAAAAACCAATTCATACTTACGGAGGTTGGAAATCGCCACCCGCCTTAGCACCCTTGAAATATGGAGTAGAGGCAGGACGCAACCTAAAATGCAAAGTTTTATCTAGACAGATTCGCCTTAATTTTCAAAGTCTCCTGTTGCCTTGCTGAGATCAGGATTCTGCATTATCTTCGCCGCCTGCTCAAGCCGAGCCGTATCAATTACAACTAAATAACTATAAAATTCTCCACATAAAATTACTGTCATCGCCCGATGCCGACTTGAATCCCTCAAAAGCTTGTTGCTGCGAAGACCTCGCCGAATTATCAGGAAGATCGTCAAAAGAGTCGTGAGCAGCTAAATTTCACCATTATTCCGGTTAAATTCCCGTACCTTCATTCTCTTTTTGGTCCAATTTGCCGTCGTCATCGTCAAAAGAATCATAGGCAACTAAAAATCATGTTACAACCGGAGAATTGTCATACCTGGATCCTCTTTTCGGTTTGATGGGCCGTCGTCGTCATCAAACGAATCATAGTCGGCCGGCCGGACGCTCACTGTGGGCCTTAATGATATTATTATTACGTTAATCTTCATTAAACAAAATATGGAGCTCAAAAATAAAACCCAGACAGCTTCACCTTACTTTTCAACATCTCCGGTTGCCTTGATGACATGAGGACTCGGGACTATCCTTACCGGTTGCTCCATACGAGCCGAGCCAACTGCAACTAAAAAAAGGCATAAGTTTGCGCTTACAAAATGAACCGTCATGGCCAGACGCCGGCTTGAAGGGGCCCTCAGTAGTTTGTTGCTGAGAAGACACCGCCAAATTATCAACGGGAGGATCGTCGAAAGAGTCATTTGCAGCTAGATTCCACTACATGAACGTTGAATTTCTATACCTGCGTTTTCTTTTTGATCTCGTTGGCCATCGTCTTCATCAAACGAATCATAATCCGCCGGTTGGACGCTCATCGGAGACCTGAATGGTAATTCATTGTTTAGAATTTCAGTTAAATGAAACGTAGAACTAAAAGAAGAAAGCAACGGTAAGCAGAACGGATGAAATTTTGGAATTCGGACAGTTCCCGGCACTCAGGAAAAGGCTGTCAAGGTCAGACAAGGCGGAGAGGGCGAAAAGATAGGTTACGCAAGCGAAAACAGGCCGCAATCTAGTCAATAGGATTGCCTATACAAAATTTGCTCGATTCTAAAATTCAAAACTTTTTTATTCTTGTAAATTATGAAATTTCATAAAAAAGCCTTTGCGAGAATCGAAATTTCATAAAAAAAGTCGAGAATTTGCGACTGCTTTGCCGTTTCCGCGACAATCCTATGACCAAAATCGTGCCGTTCAGTTGTGCTCGGAACGCCGAAAATCGGATTTTTTTTTTCTTTTTGTTAATTTTCAAACTCTTTTGTTGTTCAAAATTTTATAAAGATGATAAAATTTTCTACAAAGGGGCCGAAATACTGTATATTTTCATTTTGTGCCGTAAACGAATAGCGGGCAAATCTTTATAAAACGGGCCGAGTCATGTGCGATAAATACGATTAAAAAATGTATGTACAGATGTGAGCGAGCGAGGCAGTTGTCAGATGGTGAGAGGGAGCGTCGGAAATGGGACCACCGGGCCGAGTGGTCCCCGAGATCCGATGCTTGTTAGTAGCCGGGCGGTGTGCGCGGCTCGGGGCAATGATCGCATGAGCCCTCCTCGCCTGAAAAAAATCGTTTTTCTTTTCCTAAATTAATCTTCCCAAGAAATTCCTCAAATTCTCTGATTGAAAGTTTTCAAGGTGTTCGGCAAAGAGAGTTTTTAGACCTTTTCGCCACCTGGGTGCCGCAGTTTTAGGAAAATGAGGAGAATTCTTTCCTTCACATAATTTTCTTCGCTTACCGGTTGGTCCGGGCGGTCCAGGAGGTCCAATGGGCCCTTGCTGGCCAGCAGGCCCGGGCCCTCCGGCGTCACCAACAGGTCCCATATCTCCGACCTCAGTACGGCCATCAATACCGGGTTGTCCACGAGGTCCTGTGGGTCCCTTAGGTCCACGGGGTCCGGTTGGACCGGCGGGGCCGTTTACCTAAATTTTATCGGTATTATGCTGTTAGCGGGGGATCAACTCCGGATCTATGAAGAACGAGGGAATTAATTACCTGAATAACACGACCAGGCTGTCCGGGGGGTCCTGGAGGTCCGGGCTCGCCGATGGTTCCGGGCGGACCAGGCGGCCCAGTCATACCATTGTCGCCCTTCTTTCCATCCTCAGCCCGCTCAGCAGACTTACCCTTGGGCCCAGGCGGTCCCTTGGGTCCCTGCTGACCGGTGGGCCCGGGTGGGCCAGTCGGGCAGATGATGCACGGTTCAGCGAGTGGGATGGCCGAGCTCAAGATCTGGCCATCTTTGCCGGGGGCGCCTTGCTGACCATGGGCCCCATCATTTCCGTGTGGGCCATCGTCTCCGGGGGGCCCGGGAGGTCCAGCGACTCCTTGTTGGCAGGCGCAGCAGGTCGGGCCGGGTTCGGCGTTGACCACGGGGCCATAGCCGCCTGAGCCGCCGCCCTAGGAATTGAGGTTTTGCTAGCTTTTTTTAGGCTTACTCCTCCATTACCGCCTCCTCCACCGCCACCTCCTTCATTGTAGCCGCCGCCCTGTCCGCCTTGTGGGACGAACTGTCCGAAGAGCCAGCTACCGGTCTCACGGCGTTGACGGCTGACTCCGGTGGTCACCTCCATCTCGGACCACATATCGCGGGCGCGAGACTGGAAACGGGAAGCATTTTGTTTGTGGTAAGTCGCAGCAAGATTTTTGGGTTCTGGTTCGTTAGCGGAGGGGGGGGCCGCCTTTTTATTCCGCCTAACCTAAATAATAATAAAACATAAACTATTTTTCTCGTGTTTTGCGTAGTTTTCTACTACTCAAAGATAAGAAAAGATTCATAAATAGATTTTTGGCCATTGTTCATAGTTTTTCTAGGTTTTATAGACGTTTTGGATCTAAAAAAGGCAGAAAAGGCTATGAAAATGGTTTCTCCTTCACCGTTGGGCGCTGGGCACTGGCGGAATCAGGAAAATCCTGGTCCCCCCATCGCTAATAAACCAGCACCCTTACGGCCTTTGCGCTAACCTTGCAGAAGTCGGTTTCGAGGACGAGATTCGACTGGAAGGATTGGACATAAGAATATAGCATTGGCAGCGTCACAATGGCTGCGACAATGGCCGCCGTCGATGTTGCGACAGCCAGGAACGCCGCCCTGCAAGTTTTATATTATTAAAAGAAACGTTTTTCGAGCTATTGTTTTATTTGATCGTTTTAGAGATTATAAAACTCGAGGAATAGAAGAAATCTTACCGCCGCAAGGCCCTCTGATCGTCCGTATCGGGTGGAGAGCCCTTAGCAGACTCCATCCCTCTTGTAGATGCTCCCGCTGCTAACTTGTCTCGCGCTCCACCCTCTTTTATAGATCAGCGCCTGGTTGGGGGGTAACCAGTAGCGGATGAGGAGCTCTAATTAGGGCTGGTTCTGATGGCGGCCAGTCATTCGTGGAGCATTGATAACATTTTCTGCTTTTCTCTATCGCTCCCTGTCTCTCCCTCTCTCTCTCTCTCTCTCTCTCTCTCTCTCTCTCTCTCTCGTGTTTTCCAAAAACTTCGGGGTAACTGCGCGACTTCTTCACAATCCTGGAAACCTTGGTGGTGCTGGTCCATTAGCGGGGGCGGGGGCTGTTCCTATTTTACCTATGTGACGCTTTAGATAACCTTTAGAAATATTGTTTGGGATGGGTTTTCATGCACTTTTGTATCAAACGTAATCTAAGATGTTGTTTTGCTCTAGTTAGGCTGGGTTAAGGAAATTCAGTCCCCCCCCGCTAATGAACCAGAACCGCTTTAGTATACCCGTTAATATTTTGTTCGTATTTTTATAGCTGGTTGTGAAATCGATGGTTTATTGCAGCTAAAACACGCAAATAGTGCACTAGTATCCGGAAGGAAGTCGTGGCGGAGGGCAGTGGTCGCATCCGCCAGCCGGGCCCACCGATCCGACAGGTCCCTGCGCTCCCGACTCTCCGCGACGACCAGATCGACCCTGACGGCCCATCTAAAAATGCCGTCAACATGAAGCCGTACACGCGAGACTCACATCTCCCTGCTCTCCCTTCGCCCCAGGGATGACGATGCCGGGTCTTCCCTTCGTTCCGCGCTCTCCTTGCCGACCCTGTGGTCCGCGGGCTCCAGTAGGTCCAGGGGGTCCGGGAAGAGTAATGACGCGTCCGTCGTCTCCCTTCTTTCCGGCCTTTCCGGGCTGGCCGGGTTCTCCTTGCAGACCGGCCGCTCCAGCCATACCTAACGGAGATTGACGGTATGGATTGCCATGTTTTTGGTGTTACCTGGTTCTCCTCGTCGTCCGTCTTGGCCGGGGGCGCCGCCGTGTCCGCGAGGTCCTTGGGGTCCCTTGTGGCCGGCGGGTCCTGAAGGGAAAAAGTTTAAACGTAGCAAATAGAGCAAAAATGGAGTTACTACAGATAAAACATCGGTACTGGGCTGTTATCGGGGGTACTCTATCTAGTCTTGATCTTTTTTGTGTTGTATAAGGTTTTTGTGGGTTTTTTGGTAGCTTTTCGTGACGAAAAAGTATAAAAACACGCTTAGAAGATTAATAAATTTTGAATTTTTGATGAAAAATAAAAATTGACGACATTTAAATATTTTTATTACCTTTTTATACCTAAAAACGGCATAAAAATCTATGTAAATGTAATGGATTTCATATTTCGCATCCTGCGGGTTCCCCCCCCCCCCCGCTAACAATCAAGTACCAAAAAAACTTCTTTTATAAAAATTTCCATTAACGTACCAGGAACTCCAATCGGGCCAGGCGGGCAGATCATGCACGGCTCGGCGTAAGTCTGCTCCGGCGATTCAACGGTGCCATCCCGTCCCTTGTTGCCGTCGTTTCCGGCGTCTCCGTCCTAATATAAATCAATACGTTATAAATTGATTTTAAAACATTCATATAAATTGATGAATAATAATAATATAAAAGCTATCCCCCACCTTTCCGTCAGCTCCATCGTCACCAACGGGTCCGGGGGGGTCCGGGTCGTCCCTGCTGGCACGTGCAGCATTTGGGCTCGGGCTCGGCGTTGACCACCGGAGCACCGTAGCCACCGCCCTGGGGAGCCTGAGCGCCGTAGCCCTGGAAAATATGAATTTTATTTCTGTTAAGATAGGTCAAAATTTCAGAATTTCGAAATTTTAGAATGTCGCAAATGAAAATTTCGAAATTTCATAATGTCGAAATTTCGTAACCCCAAAATTTTATAATGACCAAATTCATAATATCGATATTTCAGATGTCGAATTTCAGAACATCGAAATCTACATCAGCAATTTCCCGGAAAACCCCCAAATCCTTTGCAAAAAAAAATTCAAAATAGGAAATTTTAGATATTTTTGAAAGTTATGAATTTCGACATACTGAATTTTCGAGATTGTGACATTTCGATATTTTCAATTTCGACATTCTGAATTTTGCCATTATGATTCTCGAAATTCTTATGCAAAACCACAAACCCCGTATCCTCCAGCAGCACCACCACCGGCTCCTCCATCGGGGACCCATTGGCCGAAAAGCCAGCCTCGCTTGGCTCGTCCGGTCGTCTCAACCGTGCCCATCGTATGCCAAAGATCTCGCGTTCTTGTCTAGAAGAAATACCTATCAAATCGTACCTTAAAACCCAAACAGTATCCTGGTGATTCTACAGCCTTAGGTTTGGGTCTGGCTTCAGGTTTATCCCTCCGCCCACCTGACAAAATTCCGTCTCAGCCGAGATGTGACTCTGCAGCGTCGCAATATACGAATAAAGCAGCGGCATCGCCACAATCGACGCGATAACAGCCGTCGTCGAGATGGCGATCGCGGCCACCGCCAAACGGCGCAATCCTCTAGACGAAAAGTCAGATCAGAATCTCGGTACTGGGCCGTTAGCAGGGGGGGGGGATAAATTTTGGCTATCGCCCCTAGGGTCCCAGTAAGAACTATACACCATCGAAGCAGCTTTTTCCGGCGTTTTTAAAAGTGTAGAAAATCCATCGAAAGTTTTTAAAATTTCGATTTTTGCTCAAAACTTTGTGAAAAAAAACAAAACAAAAATTTTTTTGAACATATCAGCATGTTCAAAAAATATCAAATTTTTAAAGTATTTTTATGGCTCAGTCGTATATAAAATCTACTCAGAACGCCAAAAATTCACTTTTGAAACGCTGAATATTTGATTAGCGGCTAAACACCCCCCCCGCTAACAGATAAGCACCGAAACCCGTAGGGCTCAAACGAACCTCTGCTCGCCGTAATCCTCCTTGGAATTCATGATTGCCTAGAGCAGCACCGACTCCCCATCCATGATCCATTTATATACCCACCCACAACGGGTCGGGCTGGACACTGGAATTTGAATATTCTTTCCAGCACCCTCTCCCTCATGCTCCATCACAGGGTGTGCCAAGCCGGAGGGGCAGCTTTCTCTAAATAGCCCGTCTTTCGATTGATAAGCCGAATTTTCAGGCCTAGCCCCCCTCGATGATGATGAGGCGCCGCTGTGAAGACGGGTTCTGGCGTGTGCTGTGACGTTGCGAGGGGAATAGGCAAAAACGGGGAATTGGGACGTTTTTAAACGTGGTGATGTGAGATGTGATGTGAAAAATGAGGGGAAGGTGATATGGATTTTCAGAGACTAGAAAGGGAAAAGCTAAACTAGCACTATAAATTTACTATTAAAATACCGACAATCTTAAAGTCGATATTTATAAGGTCGAAATTTCGTAATATCGATTTTCAGAATGCCGAAATTTCATAATATAAAATTTTTAGCGCGGGAAATCCCTAATTCATAATATAAAATTTTTAGCGCGGGAAATCCCGGTAAAGTAAAGTAAATAAAAGCGATAGACTTTTCGAAATTCCGCAATTTCGATATTTTTCTTTCGGCATTCTGGAATGTCGACATTTTGAATCTGGATATTTGACACTTTACCCATTTTATTTCCTACAAGGCTTTAGGAGAGGAGACGCCAAGCCTTACGGTCTATCCGACCTCCGAGTCCCTTTAAACCGGTTCAAAACCCGGAAAAATCCTATAAAAGCGCCTCTTTTTAAAGATATAAGCGCATCAATATATGCGCTTATACCTTTAAATTGTTTGATGTATAAGGTTTAATCGCAGCGGATTTCAGCTTTTGCCGATCTACCACACTTTCTTGCAGATTCTTACATTCTTAGATCGGCGAAAATTGTTGTTTTTAGCCAAACCCAAACCTTTCCTATACTTCAATCGCAGTTCCGCCAAATTCCACGCTTTTTTTGCAAGAAACCACGCCTCTTCGGGCCATTTGCAAAGCGCTCATATGGTCCGAACGTTGTTGGGCGCCCAGTGTAGTCGATCGGCGGCCAGCCCCTAACGCGACGTGACCGCGACGCAGTCACCCGTCCCAGTCGGCGGAGCCGTTTCTAGCCGTCAGTGCCCTCCAATTATTGCCCGCTCCCCGGATGCGGGGAGAAATAGCGCGTGGTAGAGGAGAGAGCAGACGTTTTTGTAGGCGCGAAACCCCGCCGCTGTCCGCTCCACCCACCTTATAATTTTGCCGCGGGGTTACGCTTTTCAACTTCTTTAGTTTATAAACTTTTAAATGAGCAGTTTAGCTTATCAAAACCGCTTTATCACCCCGCTGATTTCTAAATGAAATTGTAGCATGATTTTAACTACAAGCTACAAAATACAGAAATTTCGACCATCAGCATAAGCTTTTTTGGAATGGGTGAAATGGGTTTAAATTCTCTATTTGCTATTTGTAGTTGTAAGAGCATAGACTAAAAATTTAAAATTTGTAGTTTTCTTGCAAAACTTATGTTTTTTGTAGTTTGGGGTAAATAAAAACTTTAGTAACTTTGTAAGATTGTTAAGGTGTCCTTTGATAGCCTGCCTCTTTGTGATCTAAAGTTTATAAACTACAAAGTTTGAAAATGTTGTTTTCCTGCATAACTTTTTTTGTAGTTTGGCGACAATAAAAACGTGAAATATATAAATTTTAACGCTTAGAATGTAAGAATCACTTTGAAAAGTTAGCATTTTTCCAGTTTATTTTCCTGTACTACAAACGTTGAAAATTGTTGTATGCTTGTAAAACATAATTTCTATGTATTTTTTTGGGAAATAAAAAATCAGTAGCGCGCTGATAGTATTTTAAACCCTATTGCGATTTAGTGTTCATAGACTACAAAGTTCTAGGTTGCTTTTTTGCTTTTCAAACGTAATTTGTATCTAACCGGAATTTTTCGCTTCAGAAACCAAGACACAGCCCTCTCAAACGCTGGAGATTTGCCATGGACGATGAGCTGGTAAAAAGTTGATCAATAGCTAACCTTCTTCTTCAGCCGCCGATGCCAAATTTGGCCGATCTGCTGGGACTCTCGGCCTCCGCGCCGGTCGTGATCAACGTCGGACGAGGCAGAAGCCCCCAAGTGAACGTAGGCTGCCGGTGGAAGTTTGGATTTCTGTGTTTAGGTGTCTAACGGAAAAGCTAAAGCGCGGCCGCATTTCGTCGATATTGCCGTTGGCCGTCCAAAGAAGCGCTTGCGCGACAGTTCATCGGAACCGGATGAGGATAATACGGTAGAGTTTACACTATTTAGTTTTAGCGCTCTCCGTTTTTGTAGCTTTCTCGCTATTTTTGTAAAAACTGCTTATTTTGCGTCCACTCCAATTTGCTTTTCTTACAGCTGGGTCAAAAATACTTTATTTTTTTGATACTTCGCTCCGCTTTAGGCACGGCTTGATGACGGCGATGATCCTGACTGGGACGATGACGATGAGTCGCCGAAACCGCGCGTTGCAAGAAAGGTAAAGAATCCTTGAAACCATTTTATTTTTCATTTTAGGTCATCAAACGGGTGCCCGGCCCATACCGCTTGAAGCAACCGACTCGCTTCGATCTGGAGGCTTCAACCACAACGCGCACGCTCGCCAAGTCTCTCAAGTCGCGCGAGCTGACATTGAGGGAAATAGTGAAGCTCCTTCAAGTTCCGGCGGTTTGTGGCGCTTCTCGCGAGCAATTTTTACTTTGTTTTTAGGAAAACGAATTTTTGACGACCGCCAAGGAGCTGCGAGTCCGTATTCCTTGGCCTGACGATCGGCCTCTTCCACATCCGTCGAGCCGTGCAGTTTTGCAAGGGGTTTGTTATATTTTCTTATAATGTTATATATGTTTAACAATCCCTTCTTTTAATAAATACTATATAAAACTTTTCCTATTATTGACAGAGCCGGTCGTTCTGCGATGTCACTTTGTCAATTTTTTCCAGCCTTGTTAGAGCTTTCCAGAGTATTTTTCCATTTTTCCATTAATTCTTTTCAGATCGAAAAACTCGACGCTTACCAGAAAACGTCCGGCGGCTTCCAGCGCTATTTCCGGGCGTTGAGCCAATCTACTTTGAGTTACATGATGTGGGTAGCCTTCCCGGTTCCTCTAAATGTCCTGCTTCCAGAACTTATATTCAACGCTACTGGACGCTCGACAGCTCCGGCTGGGAGTCAAAGGCTTCACTTACTGCACGGCTTTGCGTATGTTTACCGGCTTTTGAGTGTATATTCTTTTTAGTGGAATTTGCTCTCGAACGACGTGCGGTTGCAGTGGGAACGTTTGGAAAGACGTGAAGCCATCGAAGCCAAGCGCGCTAAAATCTTAGTATCATACAAAAATGACGGTATAAAAATCTTGTCCAATTATACATATTTTTTGTAGATGGTACGATGGAGCATTCTGGACGTCGAGAACCGGTGATAATGCCACTTTCGGAAAGGCCCTTTATCAAAGGCGGAATTTCCAAGTACGAACGCATTTTCTTCGAAGTTTCTTTGTTTTTAGCCTCCTGCCGGACCAGGTCGCGTTCAAGTGCGGCACTTGTAGCCATGACCCCGAGCCCATGTTTACATTTACAAATGTCGTGGTAAGACTTCCAGCGCCGTCCGTATCTTTCTTTAGCTTCACTATATGACATATCACTCGACGGCTCAAGTCTGTGCATGCCACTTCTGCGGCCACGTCTTCCAGTCGCGCACCCACCTGAGCTCTCATGATTGTGCGCAATTCCAGAATTTTGTCCTCAGCAATTTTATGGAAGGCATCTCCACGGTCAGTTTTCTGAATTCTTTTTTATAGCTTATTTTAGTTGCTGATGAAGTTTTGCATGGTTTTCCTGGCGTGCGCCGATTGTGGCCTGTGTCTGCCATTGCGCGTCGATTTCGATACGTCGGGCATTATCTCGGATTACGAGCCTCAGTGGCGGCACTTTATTAATGTCATGGTAAGTTTATGGTGTTATCTTGTTATAATAAAGAGACGTATATAGAAAAAGTAAAAATATGAAAGCTATCTCCACGGTGCGAATAGTGGAAGCTAAAAAATGTAAAAAGATGTAAAAATATCCATGGTTTTCTTTCAGTCCAAGCATAACTGCGGAGCCATGGTGCCGCTTGTCATTCACTTCCCAGGAAAACCCGATGATTCGCTTACCGAGGTAAAGCTATTTTAATTATGTTATTTCTCTCTTTTTCATGATTTATTTCATTGCATTTAATCTCTCTCTCTCTCGCTCTCTCTCTCTCTCTCTCTCTCTCTCTCTCTTTATGTTTGTAATTTCATTTTTAGCTGACATTGTCCGTGGTTCCAAGGATGCTGCTGGATGAAGTGATGGTTGGCTGTGATTCTTGTGGCATCGACGTCTTTTCTGACCCGGCAGCCAGTGAAGACCATTTCAGGTAATCGATCCTTAAGTTTTCTAAGACATTTTTTAGACGCTTCCATCCCGAAAACCAATACACCTGCGGAGTTTGTGAAACTACGTTCGGAACAAAGGCTTTTTACAAGTAAGAAAAAGGCAAGCGTTTAAAAATACCGTCTGCAGGGAACATTGCCTCAGCCATTACCCTAAAAGCATCATCCTTGCCGACTACTTGGCGCACCAATGTCGTCTCCTTCCGCCAACTTACAGTTCACAGCCCGTCCCTACCCTCGGAGCCAATGCATGTTTTTTCCACTGTTTCTATTTATTTCTCAGGCGGGAGAGAAAGAAATTCCGTATGGCGGCTTCCCTAAGGTGATTGGCGGTGCGAAGATGCCCCTGGCGGGTCCTTTCGAAAGTACCACCCATCGGAAGCTCTTGCTCGAAGAATCGCTGAGACGAGGCGGCGCTAAATTGAATGAAGATGAGGTTAGAATTTCATCCTTCGCTAGACAATCCGTGAATTTAGGTCGACAGCGACCCTGTGTACTCTCCCGACAGCACGAGCAGCTCCGAGAGCGCCTCCGACTCTGACGGAGAGGGCTTCAACAGGGCACCCCGGAAAAAAGCGAAAACCCAGAAGGCCAAGAAATTTTCTACAACCGAGTGCTATTCGCATATCCAGCGCAAGCCGATCCGCGAAGTGTTGAAATCGCAGGAAAGATGGGTTGGGCAACTGAAGGTACGTTTTTATATCGCTTCAACAGTCCATACCTTTCCCAGGATGCTGAAATTAAAGCCGCGCTGAAGGAACCCGGCGCCTTCCTCGCTGGGGCCTCTATCGTCACCGAACAATGCAGCCAAGGCACCCTCCAATTCTCCAAGGTGATTGGGAAATTCATTCCTTTAAAATAGTTTTTAAGCCCGGCCCGTTTGAAGTACACGGCTATGCGTCATCGTACTTGAACCATTTCAAACGCGTCTTCACCCTACCCATCACTGGCAATTTCTCCGAAAGCGATACATCAATGTTATTCGAGGGCATCGTCCATGAAGAAAAGTGTGTTATTTTGAGAAACTAAATCCCAGCTTGTGCAGGAACTAGTCTCATAGTAGAATTTTTTTTGCGAGTTGGGGCAAAATTTAGCTAGATTGCGGATCTAGAATTCGATAGCAAGATTATTGACCTGCTTTTAAAGTTTGAAACTTTGCTGTAAATTGCTCATTTTTGTCGAAAACTCGAGCATTTTCGGATTTTTTAATCGAAATTTATAGATAAGGAATATAGCTTTTACTTATTTACGCCCTGTATTAAAGTTGGCAGAATTGGGGCCCTGCCGCCTGCTCGAAATGCTGCACAACTTAATTCTTTTTCTAGGCTCTTCTCTTGCCAATGCGGAATGATTTGCCTCGAATCCGAGACGAAACAGCATGTATTCCACTACCACAAGAGTCGACCCGACGAGAAATTCGACGCCGCTATGTGTGACAAGGTTTTTTTGGGATTTCGAAGCAAAAAACTCTTCCTAGATGGCCTGCATCCATGCCCCATATTTCCCAATGGATTCGAAATACCATTGTGTCCAGGTATATTGTCGCAATCTGTTTGATAATTCTCCGGTGTTTAGGCCGATTGTGTCGAGTCGTTTTGCGGAATCACTGGTTTACGCAAGCATCTCCTGGAGAAGCACTTGCTCTGCCAGCCTTTCACTCAAACCGGTGGAATTTCAGGTACAGAAATTTAATAGATTTTTGGCTAATCGTTTGGTTTAGTTCGCAACAAACGTGCCTTCTCGCTGCCCTACAAGACGGCCGTCGAAAAGCGCATCGATCAGGCTTTCGGCATGGACGCGGCTGGGCTGATTCCGAGGCGAATTGGTATAGGCTTATTTTGAAGTGTAGTTCGTCTCGCCGGACTTTATTCCCCTCATTTTTCGCCGAATTTTCATCATGCCGGATGCTGCTTTTGAGTGCTGAGTGATTCGCCAAGTTTTTACCACCTTTTACCTAGCGAATGTTCCAAAAAGGTAAAATACTATTTTTCACCGGAGATTTTTTTAAAAAGATTTTTCATATGAAACCAGTCATATAGGCGAAGCAGTTTTGCTTAGCACTGGCATAAAACTGTTCTAATTAGCCTCCAAAAAGCGTTTCGTCAGTCGAAAATTTGACGAAGTGAAACTCGACGAGATAAAAATTCGGTGAAATGAACATTCGTCCGTTTTTATAGCGGTAGAAAAAAATTTTTCTAGCAGGCGCTGTGCCGATGACCCCGACATCACACCCAGTATATTCCCCGCGACAGACGGTCCTTCCTTCCCGCACCACCCCAGCCCTGCATAGCCTCCGCCAAGGCAACACAGCACCCGTAATCCGACAGCCGTACGACGGCCACGGGTCAGTTTTTCAGCTGGAAATAAATTTGATTGTTTTCAATTTCCAGTGAACTGACTCCATTCCAAATGATCGGCTCCGACGGTAAGAACAACGTATTCATCTGCAACATCTGTCAAGTCAACTGCTCCACAGGGCCCGTCAGCCATTTTCAACAGGTACGAGTTGCTAACCGAAGAATTTAAGCTTTTTTCTGCTCAGTTCCACTCTCATCTTTGCGGCTGTGCCGAAGTGTATCAGAACGAGCAGGCGTTGACCCAGCATCGCATCACTTGTAGCAGTGTTCAAGGTATCAATATTCTGCCTGCCACCTTGCGAACTGAGTTTTTTAGCACTGGGCAAATTCACACGTGCCAAGTGCCCGTTGTGCAGCTACATCGATGGGATCAAAATGATACTGCGACACGTTCTGATGGCCCACTTCAACAGTGTCACGTTCAATCGGCATACGGGACGGGTAAGCGGCGGAAAAGCGCAATCTCGCTTATAATTTAGTGGTTTGGAATTCACGACGTATTTTAAAATTAAAATTTTTGGAGTTTTTTAAACGATTTTTCAGGCCTGTTAAGCCAAATTCACAATTTTAAAGAATTCTGTGCGTTTTGACGCTTTGACTTTATCTAAAAAGTATATATTTTCTCGTTTTGCTTCTGGGGAACATACGTCAGGAAAAAAGGCCACTTCCCCGCTAAAGAACCATCACCTGAAAGCATCGAAATGAGGCATCGGCCCAGGCTTGCATTTAATTCGTATTTCCAGATGAGCCCGCGGATCCACCACGTATTCCAAGCCATCGCCCCAAAATTACCCGAAGCAAACAACCACAAAGCTTCGCCCCAATCACTTCCCGTTAAAGTCATCGAAATCGATGGCGAGGAACCTCTCGTGGTCGAGCGACCAACTTTTATACCACAGGGTAATGGTAAGTTGGTGTCAAACCGGCATTTTCCAATTTTGTCTCAGCCCCCCATGACCTTGCATGTTTCCTTTGCGAGCGCTTGTTTGACAACATCGAACAGCTGGAGTGGCATTATCAGGTGAGCCTTTTCATTTTTCTTTACACTGCTTCAGAATCACCCGGAAACATGGAGCAACTGCCCGATGTGCTTTGTGACGGGCGAAATTGTGACGATTGGCTCGCTTCTGGACATGAAGCAGCATATCGAAGAGCGACACGTCAAGCGCAGCTTTGATGGCCGACCGGTAAAAAAATTTTCAAATAAGACTATCTATTTTTTTTTTGTTTAGACCTGCGCGCATTGCCAAAAGACGCTCGGAAGCCGCCTCTATTCTCATGTGATCTACGAATGCACGAAGGCTCCCGCCTGCATGTTCTGCTCTCTGGGTACGAGGATGAGAATTTATTTATTTGGTTCTGTAAAGTAGTAACTATTTTCATAGCCCTTTTAGTGAAATTTCGCTGTATTTCAAACAGAAAAACTTGCGAAAAATCGGGAAAAATTTCAGTTTGAATTCGAAAAATATCTATTTAGTAATTTTTTAATCAACATTTGTAAAGTTTCGACGATCACGAATAGTCTAAAAACAATTTAGAAACCTGTGTTTATTTTGAAAAATATGAATCTAAGGAAAAATTATCTTTTCCCTTCTCCTTTCCCACCCGATCAGCCCCCCCCGATAATGCTAAAGAACCATTTAGTTATTTTTCGTAACCCGCACAGCGTCGATTTTTAGAAGCCAGCGAACTGCCGCATGGAATACAAAAACATCGCAATGTCCAGCACGGCAAGGACGGCGACATGTAATTTTTGATCAGCTTCCCGAGACCACGTTTGTTTAGGCTAATGTCGAAGTACGAGTGCGACCACTGCCACATGCAATCCTACTCCTACACCTATCTAATGGAGCACAAATGTCTCCCCTACTACCTGCCGCATCGTTGCTCGTGTATGACTGAAGAGGTCTTCCTCGGACGCACCGAATTCGACGCGCATTTCGTGCATCACTACACGAACCTCGCGGAGGGATACCACTGCAATTTATGCCAGCAAGTCATTCCGAGGGATAAGTATATGAGTCATCGGTGAGCCTGAATTTTTTTTGGTTATTTTATGTCTTTTAGTGGTACGCACTCGCTCGTCAACACTTTCACGAAGGGCAGGAAGATTATCATCAAAGACCCTAAACTTCTCTCGGCCGAGGAGAATCCTCCGGTGCTGAAGGAGAAACCAGATGAGGGTACGTTTTTAAAAGTCAGGAAAGGGGCGCCTTTCCTTTATTCAGCTGAACTTCCGGATAACATTCATGAAAATGTCTTTGAAAAATGCAAAAATTCACTTTTTTGGCCATTTTCCTGCACGTTTGGGCGAAAAACCCATTTTGCGTAATTTTTTGTAGCTTTTGTGACATTGGTCATAGCTAAAGACGGCTTAACATGCTATTAAAAGCTATTAAAAGATGTTTGTCGGTATTCGGTGCCTACGGGAACATGGAAAAATTTAGCCCCCCCATAATGAACCAGAACAGAGCTATAATTTACTCTGGTTTTCAGTGGTGATCCGCGAAACGCTGGATGCCCTGGTGAAGCAAGTGACCGCTTCTGACGACAATGAAGATACGGTCGACCTTGTTGATAGTGACGATGATGACTGTGTTATGATCGGTAACATATATAATCTTATTTTATCGGGATCTAGATTCGACAAATCAACGAGCGACGCCCGAAACGGAGGAGGAAAATCCGAATGCTGCTGCGCTGCGGGTGCCGCGTGTTGAAGCCGCTGAGTAGGGCTTCCGCCAGTGTCCTTACGTTTTTTAGCAACTATGGTGGTGGAGGGCAGTCGAGCGGAATATTCGACGATGACGACGATGATGATGCAATTATGGACTGCTCACAGGTGAGGTTTTGTGCTTCTCTTTGCGGGCTTCAGTTGCGGGGGAGCAGGGAAAATTTTCAGGTTAGGCGATGCCCTTCTAGTAGTAGTATATTGTATTTTCTAGTGTTTTTTTTATTAGTTTCCGAGGATTGCAAAAAAAAAATCGAATCTCTTACGGGCTTTTTACGTTTGTCATCAGTTGTTGACGGAAAAATGAGGACTGTTTGAAATTATCGTACTTTTCTCAAAGGTGTTTTTAGACCAATTTAGTCGAATTAATTTATACGCTTGATAAATTTATAATTTATTTTAATTCTAGGAAAACGGCCCGACGGTCCAACCGGTCATTGATGATGACGGAGACGACGAGTTGTCTGTCGTCGCAGAAGTCACACAGTAAGCAAACACTTTATCGGCCAGTGAATTTCTTCTTTAGTCCTTCTGGCACTTTACCATCCGTCATTGCCGCCGGAACGTCGAGGAGCAAAAAGAAGTGCCCGCGATGCTCGGAAATGTTCATCACCAACGTCGCGTTGAAGAAGCATCTGGAGACGTCGCATCGTCTGGATGCCGGCGGTGTTATTGAAGAGGTTAGTCTTTTTATATTTTTGCGTAAATATGACAAATTTAGGACTTTGGCATCCCAGTCGAGAAGCTTCTCAACCTCTGCCGGATCTGTTGTCACGCCTTCGAGACCCAGGAACAATACCAGCGCCACCAGGCCGCGCACGGGCCCCAAAAGCACAAGTAGGGCTGCGGTTTTTGTCTGGAAATTTTATTCAGTTGCGTCGACTGTTCGGCGGTGGCCTATAACGCCCAACTGCTCACTCTGCACCGACGTGCCCACGATGATCGCCACCTGACGTTCGCGTGCGCCGAATGCCATATTGCGTACAGAACGGTAAGTGCTTTTTCATGATTTTTAACGACTTTTTAGCTATATTCCTATAATGTAAATCTCAACGACTTTTCTGTTTTTAGGATTCTCAACTCTATGGTCACCTGGAAGAGCGTCACAAAGTCCGTCTCGTCTATTTCTGCAAAAACTGCGAGCTCGGTTCGACAAATGGCCCCGCGATTAGCGAGCACATCCGGAAGCGCATCTGCTCCTCCACTCGCGCCGCCCACATCAATGTATGCTTTTTAGGTCATTGGGTTATTTTGTGTTTAGGAAACGCCTGAAAGCCAACTTGGCGTTGCGCCGGCTGCCATTCTCAACTACATCCCACAGAACGTTGCTCAGCACAAGCGAGCTCTCGCCGCCAATCCGGCCATGGTAAATTTTTGGTTCTGGTTTGTTAACGGGAGTTGGGGGGAAAGGGCGGTAACTATTATTATTCAGCCTAACCGCCCACGTAACGTCAAATCTTTAAAAGAATCTTTGTAAAGATTTTAAAATTTTTGGTTAATCTTGATACTTTTTGGCCAAAAAACACAATTTTTCTGAATTTTAGGGTTATACATTTTATATACAAAAACGGCGTAAACTGCGCGGAAGAAATGAAGCTTCTATGTCATCATAAGCGGCCTTCGGTGACATGGAAAAATCAAATTATGCTTGTAGGCCGTCGTTCCCTCGCCTTGCAGCCATCGCTCCTTCATCGCGGCCACGAACGCGGCAGTCGCCTGCCGTAGTTGTCACTGTTTGACCAACATCTATTCGTACGTCGCTTCCGAGGAGGCTGCTGGTCGTAGCGCGGTAGGGCTTTCCACCAATTTTATCGCCTGTTTCTCTTGTAGCGGACTGACTATCTTATCCAAAGCCACGCGGCGCCCACGCCACAAAGGGACATCCTCAACCTGTTGCGCCAACCGCCGATTCGCATGAATGCTGCCCGTTTCCTCAACAGCCGAAATCAGGTGAGAATTTCTGGCGTTTTTCTGATTGTTTATTTTCGCTTTTAAGTTTAACACGTGGGCATGATAAAACTTGCGATTTTTTCACGGAACTGACTGTTTCTTTCCAGGCCTACCCGATCGTCAGTGCCAATACCATTACGACCAAAGTTGGCCGACCGATGTCCTACGTACGCCCGATGCCGACAACGCAACCATTGCCCGGCTACGTGCCTCCGCCGCCGCAACCGAAGCGGCTAAGCCAAGCGAACAACGGGCAATCAGCTACTGTGCAAATCGTGGTATGCGTTTTCTTAGTTTTCTTGCAGCTGCTTTGTACAATTTTGTAAGCAAGTTTTAATTAAAAAATCTAGCTTTCTGCATTTTCACATTATTCGACGTTTTTGCAAGTTTTTCTGCTTCAAATACAGTTGAATTTTCCTAGAAACGATACAAAACACTTTGTTTCTAATACCTTAAAATGCAATAGAATACATCAAATTATAATTATGTAGGAACGCCCGCTGAATCTAACCGCCCTGGCCGGAGCTATGGGTGTCGATGTTGCCTCTGCTGTCCCCACTGGACGACACCGAGTCAATCTCCCCAAAAGTGGCCCGTCAGTCGTCGAGGGCTTGATTGCGTGAGTTTTTTTTTTGACACGTTCTGATTTTGTGATTCAGTGCGGAACCTCCGGCGGCTCCGGCTCAACCAACGCCCAGCAGCAGCGCCGGCAAGTATTCCGCCAAGATCCTCAAGGACCGCGTGGGCGGCGAATGCGGATTCTGCGGAAAGCACTTGCGCAACGAGGGAATTCTCCGGCTACATGCTCTCCACACCAATGGCCATAATGCCTTCTGTCTGCTGTGTCATCGCAGTTTCCCGGATGAGGTGGGTGATATTTTTTTGCGAAAAAATGTGACGTTTTTACGGTCAAACGGATTTTTTTCGTTTCGGAAACGGATTAAAGGGCTGCTGACGGCATGTGTCGATCCCCCCTCATCAACAAATTGGCAAGTAGCCGCCAACAGGGCAGAGAGCGCGCCCTGGGGAGAGGCGCAGAGACATTTTCTTTCCAGCGCGTAACCGATTGATTATGCCGTCGGCATCCCTTTAAATAGGGTCACTTTGGGAAGCGTTATTTTTTTGTCAGAAACAGACGACAACTCCGAAAAAATTGGGAGGGTAAGGAAATTATTTTATGGATTTTGGAAAAACCACCCCGATAGTTTTGTTCCTATAATTGTTTTTTAGCAAACGGCTGTCGTGCACATCTTCAAACACCATGATAAGCAACTTGGAATTGAGGGTAAGGATCGGTTTTGGAAACGGGTCTAAGCCTAAATTTTAGGAAAAGAAAAGCCTGTCGAATTCTCGTTGAGATGCCCATTCCACGGCTGTGATTTCCACAGCACATCCATGTCAGCGCTCAATGAACTGCGCCGCCATCTCAACAAGCACACGCTCACCCACACCACCGAGTCAGCTTTGTCACAATTTTTGCAATGTTTTGATTCAGTTATTGCAACCAGAAGTTCGCCACCGCCGAAAGCCGCAAGCGCCACGACCTCGAGCACACCAAGATGGAAGAGTTGGGATTCATTTATAATCTAAGACTTTTTTCCAGACTCGGCCTCGAGACGAATTGCTGTCTGCTTTGTGGCACGACAAATATGTGGACGTCCCGCCTCGCCGGCTTCACCACCCCAATTTCCCACACGATGGTCCATGGCTTTTACCGGTAGGAAGTCGAAATCCTTCTCTCTAATCCAAATTTTAGCTATGTGATGTGCCGTGACTGCAACGTGTGCTTCAAGCGGGATGCTGACGTGAGTTTCCCTTTATTAGGCTTTACCAAAAAAATTTTAGAACTCCCGCTTCACCCGTCATTTCCAAGACAAGCATGTGACCGAAATGGAAGGGAAACCGAGATGTGCCCTCTGCCATACCTCGTTCGCGACGATGGCCGAGGCGCTGGAGCATGGTCGCCAAAAGCACTTTGTGGGTTTTTAGTGTAAATTTGGTGATGTTATATTTTACTAGATATTATTATTATTCGTTACATTACACGTAGAAGCTTAAAAAAAGCTATGGCTTGATTCAAGTTTACGGTACTCTCCCAAAATGCGGTTTTTTGTGTTCAAATCGCTAAATAAAGGTCAGAAACGGACTCATCGACAAAAATTAGGTGGCGGAAGGCACTTTTTAGGGGAGAAAACCTCATTTTAGTTTTGAGATCGGGTACCGTAAAGTAGTATACGGGGGTGACTACTTTACGGTACTCGCCCAAAATGTTCCTTTTTCTGCACGAATAGAAGCAGCAAGGTCTGAAACGTATTAATCAGCAAAAATAAGTGGGCGGAAAGGCCTATAAAGGGACGATTCGGACACAGATTCCATCTCTCAATCACACCCAGTTTAAGCCTAAAAATAAGGCCGTGCCACCGGGGGGCCTAGTCGCTTCGGATGGGTGCGAGCTCGTACAGTGTTTCGAAATCGGGGCGCCCGAGGAGCGCGAAGCGCCCAGGCGCCCTGATTTCGAAAGAGTGGAGCGGCAGCCCATCCGAAGCGACGGCCCACCTTGCGCGACATGTCATAAGCCTCAAACTTCGAAGTCTCAAATCACTCATTTTTAGGCCTTTCCGCCAAATTATTTTTGCTGCTTCATTCGTTTCAGCCCTTACTGCTTCTTTTCGTGCAGAAAAACTAAAATTTTGGGCGAGTACCGTAAAGTAGTCACCCCCGTATACTACTTTACGGTACCCGATCTCAAAACTAAAATGAGGTTTTCTCCCCTAAAAAGTGCCTTCCGCCACCTAATTTTTGTCGATGAGTCCGTTTCTGACCTTTATTTAGCGATTTGAACACAAAAAACCGCATTTTGGGAGAGTACCGTAAACTTGAATTTTCCCAAAGCTATCAAAATATAGAAAAATATTTTTACCAAAATATCATATTTTAAGCCGTTTTCCAGGTTCTCACATATAAATTTTTCTCGCTCAGAAATAAAACTAAAAAGGCGTTTAAACTTTCTTATTTCCTCTTCCAGGTGATCGGCATCAAGTCTCGTGAGGGTGCAGGCGCTGATGGCTCCGGAATAACCGTCACTTCCGGTCCCCAGATGCGCGCCAGCCTCGGCATCGAGCCCATGTACTCCGAAAGTGACCCCAAGGATTTCGACTGATTTCCTGTTTTCCACTTTTTTTCCACAACGGGTGTATTTGGTTGAATGTTGCTTGTCGTATTGTCCTCCAATTTGTCATAATCTCTTTCGATGCGGGTTTCTTTCTCGGGTCCATTTCCACTTACAGTTTGTTCGTAATTTATAGAGAGAATTACACTCCTTGAAAATTTCGCCAATAAATGTTTGATTTCAAGCGTGTTCTGCGTTTTGCGGTGTCATTGCCAATCAACTTCCAAAACACACGTTTACAGTACTGTAATTTTGTTGTAGGACGTACAATGTGCAGAAAAACTGGGATGTATTTTACAAAATAGTATTGGCTAATTATTTTATCTATTAACTGGAGTTCGTAGTATCCTATCCTATAAGCGAGAAAAGTATGTGTGTTTTCTGTACAGCCGATTTCTCGGCGGTCTGGCCGAATTTCCGGCTGATTTTTGGCATGGACTTGGAGAAACACATTTGTCGGTGATGCATTTTTTTGTTTTGCGAAATTTCTTCATTTAACGATTTTACAACAAAAATAGTGAAAAATCCTTAACATTTTGCCCAAAAAAAGGTATGTCCGGAGGTTTTCTCGGCCGCCAACAGGAGTTGGGCTCTGATTTTTGGCGGGTGAGTAGTAAAAGCAATTCTCCCGATACTAATTTTTGGATTTTGCCAAATTCCTTAAAATAAAATTTTTATGAGCATTTTACTAGAAGGTCCTTAATAAAATGGCCACAGTCCCGTGGTGTCCGGGCCATAACTCGAATCCCAGATGGAATTTTGGTCTGTAATTTGGTCCACTTATGTATTCGATAGTGGGGATCACGCGCATCTTATTATTTTTACAAATTTTCGGCGCATTTAGATTCAAAAAGAGAATTTTGTAAAGTTGCCGGAAGTCCCCCCTCACGGGATGCCCTGGCCCCCAAGACAGAAGAGGCCTTTCCCGCCGCCCATCGCCATCTCCCCCGTAGTGTAGTGGATAGGCACAGGGCCTACCAATCGCGTGGTCCGGGTTCGAATCCACGCCGAATTGAACTTTTTGCTTTTTGGTAGTTCAACAACAAAACATATTTCTATGGTCTCGGTGTGCGAGTTTTAGGCTTGGCCCTCGCTCTAGCGCCGCAGGCCAAAGAAAAGAAATTTGACCCAGGCTCTGGCGCCGCAGGCCAATCCTGGAAAAAAACCCAGTAACTAGCGCCGCAGGCTCAAACATTATAGCGGAATCCTGGCTCTGGCGCCGCAGGCCAAAGAAAAGCTCCCTGACTTACGCTTTCGCGCCGCAGGCTAAATCCGGGCGAAAAATCAGTAGCTAGCGCCGCAGGCAACAGTTTCTAGCGCGAAGCTGGCTCTGGCGGCGCAGGCCAACGAATGTTTCCTTGAGTCAGGCTCTTGCACCGTCCGGCTACAATAAAAGGAAAGGGAATTCATGATTCCTAGACGTGGTCCAGTGGAAAAGGGCCGCGAAGCGGTCATTTTCCACTGGTATCTTTATAGGCGTGATCTACTGTTAGGACAAAAATCGCGAATTCTAGCTTTCGAACCCCCATTTTCAAAGGTTATTTTCGTGGCGATATAACTAGTTTATAATACATCATTTTTGAGCTAATGGATGAAAGAAAACCATTGCCAAACCAACGAACGCCTATCTTCTGTCGAAAGTTGCGAATGAGAAGCCGCCGGCTTGCTGGGCAGCCTTTTTCTACCGAGTCGCTGCCAGCCACCATGTCCTCGGGGGAAGATAGCGAGCGTTGTTCGACTTCCTTCACTCTGTTCTCTCTTCGGCTAGCCGCTCTCTCAACTGGCAGTCACACGCTCCCCCGACCCTTGTCTCGCCTGCTTCCCGCCAGCAAACCGCGTTTTTTCATCACCTAAACAATAATCGGCCGCATTTCCGCTGTTGATTTTGCGGGCGGCAAGTTGCTCATCAAATCCTTGCACGCCAAATCAAAGCTTTGACCAGCGATAATGTGTGCCGTCAACGGCGGCACACGTGATACCATCGGGAGTTTGTTGTTTTCCTTCATCTGCCTGGGCCCCGGCTGGAAATAAACGGCACGGAAATGCAGCCCGCACGCACTCTCAACTTGGATTTGCGGACCTGCAAAGGGTTTATCGTTGAAAATAGACATTTTAGGCGAAGTTTTAATAGGTTATTTTTGAAAAAACGCCTGGTTTATCAATTCCCCGCGCAAAACGCTTTAGATTTTGAAAATTCTCGATTTCTTCGTTATCCCTGCTAGATCACTTTCCACTACCTCGTCTTCCCGATTTCTGATCCGATTTTTAGGCTTCAGACTCAGAGATTTCTTTAGATGGATCGGGAGGCGCTGATACATTTTGTTGGCGGAGCGGTTGGCGGGACCGCAGGCACCGCATTGACCTGCCCCTTGGAGGTTGGCCTTTATTTTTGTCTTTATAACAGTTTTAGGTGGTGAAAACGCGCTTGCAAAGCAGCAGAGCCCTGTCCGACTTCTCTGGCGGGCCTTCCACGTCAGGTTGGGGTTTATGCTCAGAAATTGATTGCTTAGAAGAAGTCTTTTTACGTAATCATGGACCTTTGCGAGTTGATGTCCTTTGATCGAGCTGTAAATTGCGAATAAGCCGGAACTTTCGAAAATTTTGGGAGGGAACGGTCCTGGAGAAACTTTATTCAGAAAGAGCCGATTTTTGATCCTTATTCGCAAAATTTAAACGTAGACTAACTCTTTCTCGAAACCATGATGATACGACGATTTTTGAAATTGCGGCTTTTTCGGAATTTCAAGCTTTACCAAATGAGTTTTATCAAATAGCAAAACACCTTTCTTACCTAATGTCGATTGCGTGTAGCGATTTGCTTTTGCTGACTTGTTATGTATTATACTTTAGTCTTACATCTCATTTACAGGGAGCTCACAGCCAACTGGCGGCGGTGCGACGGGTCCACCAACATCGGCCCCGCCGGGCAAGCCTGGGAATGGCGGAAATGCCTTCAAGCACATCTTGGGGCATTTTCTGCGCCGCCCTGCGAACCTCCCGTCACTTTACAACTTGAATCTGCAAGCAGGTACGTTTTTGGGTCGTAAATTACCCCATAGCTCGCTCTCAGGATGCTACCTCCCGAATATGGTGCTGGTGCGCAATGTACATACCCAGGAAAGTCGGCGAGTCGCACGGATGTCGTTATTTCGTTATTTTAAGTGGGTTTCCTGCCTTTCTAGGCATATTTTTGGTTTAGGCATGTAATAGCGACGGAGGGCGTTGGCGCGCTATACAAGGGCCTTGTTCCGAATTTGATAGGCGTCGCTCCATCCAAGTTTGTTTTTGCGTCATTGCTTCTAGAATGGTTTTAGAGCCGTTTACTTCTATACTTACTCATCGTCGAAGCGTTTTTGGAATGAAACTGATGTTTTTGTGCCCAATTCAGCGATTGTACATATGTTGTCGGCTGGAACAGGAGGTAAACGCTTGATTTTATGGCAAATGCTTGATTTTTCAAGGGTGAGAAAAAGAAGGGAAGATAAGAATGAAACGTAGAAAAATTTAAATAAGAATAGAAAAAAAACTAAATTTAACGTTCTTCTTTGTTTCCTTTTAGTTGAATAAGCGCTAAATATTTATTTAGGGATGGTTGCTGCGACTGTCGTGAATCCGATCTGGTTGGTGAAGACACGGCTACAGCTGTACCAGGGCAAGATGAGCATTATGGGCATGATTCGTCGTGTCCGCGAGCGGGAAGGGATGCGTGGCTTTTATCGAGTGCGTTTTAGCCCCTTTTTCTAATCTCTTTGTCTAGGGTGTGACGGCTTCGTACGCCGGTGTCTCGGAGACGATGATTCAATTCGTCCTCTACGAGCATCTGCGTCAGATGTTGCTCGAGTAGACTTTTCTCCGAATCAATACATTTTAACTTTTAGATGGCATGGGCAACAAGAAGATAGTGATCGCCGCAAACTCGATTTCCTCAACTTTATGGTGGCTGGAGGAACGGCCAAATTTGTGGCTTGTGTGATCGCGTATCCACATGGTAAGCATGGCAGTTTGCAAGGTTTTTTTATTCGTGACTTCCCGTTTATCTGTATAAAAAATGGCAAAAAAGCATCGAAAAATGGGCAAAAATAATGCTGGCTTTGATCGTAAATCTATGAAAAAAGGCCCCCTGAGCAAAATCATTACGCTCGAAAATCTCTAGATATTTTTTTGTTAACCATAAACTGCTAGATACACTACCTTTGTCCCCCCATTAAAAGAGAAGCACTGATTTTTTATTTTTTTTTAGAAGTCGTCCGAACGCGTCTTCGTGAAGAGAGCAGCAATCGCCGCGGCTTCTTCGGCACCCTCCATCAGCTGTATCTGGAGGGATGGCGTGCAATGTATCGAGGGCTCTCTGTTCAGGTATATCTGCCTATTTCCACCTTGATCTCCATTATTTTCAGTTGTTGCGCACCGTGCCGTCGACCGCCATCACGATGAGCACCTATGAAATGGTTGTCTACCTCCTCCATCAATTGTGATTCCCCATTTTGTGTCTCAGGTAGCTCTCTCTTTCTCGTAGCGGTCCCCAGGGTATAGCCCTGATGTCCCTGTTTGGTTTTGCTTAAAATAGTCTAGGTGTAGAATCAATCATTTAACAGAGCTCTCTGCTTTGATGAAACCTCGGTTCTTTCAAAATTCGACATGCCCAGACCGCGCACTTTATCCACCCTCACCCTCCGCTCCGCGATATATGTCATAGCCTTTTTTTATTATTCGGGTGTCTCTTCTTCGATTCGTACCTGTGCCACAAAATACACCATCGTCTTGTTTTTGCATGTATACGATGGCGTTCAATTTATCGCTTCACCGTCGTCAGCCTTGTAGCCCTCCTATCCGCCTAAAAGTTGCTCAACTATACTCGTTTCAGCCGCATGCCTTCCAGTTTTGACGCGTATCACCTCTCTGTCTGTCTCTCTGAATGGAAAAAGGGTCCCAAAATGTAATAGTCAACCGTGTTTCAAACTTGCAATTCTAATCAACCTCTCTCACTCGGTAAGCCGTCTTCTCCGTTAGTCTAGATAGAGTCTCCCACAGTACCCCCCGGTTGTTTATATACATTAGCGCCTAACACGCTTAAATCTGTTTAAGTCGGCGGAATAAATATATACAGACGTGAAGCGTGCAATAGATACATGTGGATTCGGGTCAGCGAAAAGGTTTCTTTGGTTTTTTAAGACGTAGACTATTTGATTAATAGCTGATGGAAGCGATCAGTGAAGTTGGCCCATCGGATGAGGTGTTGGTCGCCGTCGGAGGCTCGACGTTTTCAAGCCGTGTGTCCGACTTGGCCGAAGTCCCGTCGTTCAAGGACCACTTCAACAGGGATCCGGAGTAAATTTTTCTGTATTCAGTCGGTTTTTTTAGGATTTAAAATGACCGCGATTATTTTCTGCAGGGCGTTACAGATTTTAATAGTCTTTTCAATCAAATTTAACTATATTGTGAGTGAAAAAACGCTTGGAATACTTTAAAAAACATTTAAAACTTTCAATTTTTGTCGAAGGGTCGATTTTTTCGTAATTTTGACGTTCAAGGAAAACGCATCAAGGAAAAAAAATGGGTTCCAAAGAGACCTTTATTGTTTAGCGCGCCACGCGCCCGGCTGACCCTAAAAGGGCATTACTTCTCATCAGATGGCGTGCCGACGATCCGATGGCCGGGAGTGGACCTCACTGCTGCACCCTACATGCTCAGATTTTTGAAAGTAGGTGCCAACCTTAATCGCAAAGAATTTTCTTTCTTCAGCAATTCTACGTGCGGGACGGCCCGGAGGCCTACGACATCGTCAAGGAGTTTGAGGCCGAGAACGCACCCCTGCTCCTCATAAGGGTATAAAATTTCCGGAAAAAACTACAGGAAACATAGAACGAAGCCCGATCCAACGGAATTCTGCAGCTCGAGGTGGCCTGCGATAAAGTGATGAGCGAGCGAACCGGCGGGTCAGTTCCTAGCTCATTTTGGTTCCCGTTCGTTAGCGATAAAAAACACTGCGTAGACGATTATTAAAACGTTCCGAAGAATTGTAGCTTTTTGGTCAAAATGGTATTAAAAACCCGCGCAATTTTAAATTTGTAAGAAAAATAGTGAAAATGCTAGGAAGTCTATTTTGTATCTTTTTGAGAGACTGAATAAAGGAAATTCACTCCTCCACCCCGCCGCTAACGACCCAGAACCCTCATTTATCAACTTCTTTAGCGATCCACAACCAACCCAGCCCTCCTTCTTCGAGAAAGCCGCCATCGTCGGAACGGTCGGAGCGGCCGCTGCCTTAGCAATGAAGACATTTTTTAAGTAAAAACTGATCAATTGTGCCTTCTCTTTTCTTCCGCCTATAAATGAATTACGAAATAGGTGAAAAACGGCAATGACTAGAAGGTTTTTCTAAGCGTTCGACGATATTTCGACGAAAATCGGCACTTTCTGATCGAATAGTGTTTTATTGGTATTTTTTAAAAGCAAAATTCCTAAATTTTCTACGTTGGAAAAGACAAAGGAGTGGGAAAGTTACAAAAAGGGTCAGGAAAATGTCCTTTTTCCCTTCCCTCGGAACTATGAAAAAACTTCTAAAAATTATGTGCTCAGACAGTACGAATAACTTTAACCATGGGGTTGGTCTTTGTAGGTAAGGATATTTCATCGCACGGCAGCAGCGGCGGGGGTTCGAACCCGCGCCTTGTGGGCCCCGCGTCACCAGGCTAGCCAATAGACCACGGTACAAGCCGGCCGGGGAGGACAGTTGCGCCCTAAAAGAAGACGGGCGGATCTTGTTGCCTCGAATTTGCATCTAATTTTTGCATTTATGAAAGGCCGATCATCTACAATCAGGAAAATCTCGACAACCGCGTCATTTTCTACAAATTATTTTCTCAAGGTCTGTCGTATGTTGTGAGTTTGCCGCCCCGCTTTCCCTGACCAATCTTTAGAGATTGCAAATGATCTTCTTTCTCGTCGTGTTCTTATGTCACTCAACACTTATTTTACTGCTGCCCGCCATGAGTTGTGGGCGTTCAAAGGTGCCGATCACTGCCGGATCGTCGAAACAGTCGATGACCGACGCCGAGGTCAAAAATACGTCCAAGGAGAAGATCTCGTCGAAGCATCGGAGTGCTGAAAAGGTGGGTTTTCCCTTTTTTTGCGATCATAATCTCCGGACGTAGAATAAAGAGGTTTTTCGACATCCCATTTTGTTCCATTTTTCGAAACTGATATCTTGAAAATTAGAATGTCGAAAATAACGTCGTTTTTCGCTTCGGTGAAACTATTTTGTGTCGAAATTCTTTCAGTATTTCAAAAATTCATTTTTTTTAACTGAACCAACGAAATTTTGGAATTTCTATAAAATAAACTTTCGAAAGTTTGATTTAGACATTATCATTTTCGAAGAGATGAGAATAAGCCCTTTTCCGACCGCTAGAAAATTCAAATCTAGGTGAAGAGCAAAAGTGAAGACCGGGGCATACAGTCGAAGTCGAAGGAGACGGACAAGTCACGGAAAACACCGGCAAATACCAATGATTCCAGCCGGCAAAAGGTATTTCGTGGAATTATATTATTTCTGGCGTTGTTAGTATACTGTAGTAGTAGAGCTAATATTTGTACATTCTAATTCACCTTTCCAGAAAGTAGCAACCACACCCCCGACGACAAAAAGCCTACAGGCCGAGCTGGTCGTCGTGAAAACGGCTAGAGAACGGGACAGGACAGCGAAAGTGAAGCGAGATAAGGAGAGGGAACGAGAGAAAGAGCGCGAGAAAGAACGCGAAAAGGAGAAGGAGAAGGAGAAAGAGAGGGAGAAGGAGAAAGAAAAGGAGAAGGAGAAGCTGAAGGAGCCGGAGAAAGAGCGGAAGGAGACTGACTGGGGAGCCGAGGCAAGTGCTTTTAATTAATTCCGGTAACTTTTGGCTTTTTTAGGATGATGACACGGTCAACGATCAAATCCCGTCATTGCCGATCAATCCGGATGCACCGTCGCTCGACTGTTCCTACAGTTATAAGGCACGATAGAACGAGTTTTTTCGTAGTTGTTTGAATCCTAAAGGTAAAAAAATCAAAACGTTAAATTTCGGGCGATTTTCATACATTTTGACGAAAAACCAGATTTTTTCAAGGTTTTAATTTTTAGCGACTTTCTTTACTAATAGATCGCGTAAAAGCTATCCCAGAAGTTAAGAAACCAGTACCCGAGTACCCGAGAAAAATCCAGTACCCGTCTTTTACAGTCACCTCAAAAGTCGAAGCGAGGAGCAAGGAAGGAGACGTCGAATCACGCCCTCAACACCGATCCAACGATGGCCTCAATGCCCAAGTCGGGATCGGCCCCACCACAACCCATCAATCTCTACGAGGGATGAGCGACGATCCACCCCACCGGAAGAGCCGTGTACTCGATTGCCATCATTGAGAATAAATTGTGCATTAATGGATTTGAGTTCACGGTCAAATCTGCAGCCGATTGATTACCCACGGAATCACGAATTTTCGGACCTCCAAATCTCGTTCTTTAGGATTTTCGGGGAAAATTTCCAATGGCCCCCATTTTTGCGCGTACATCTAGGCTTTTTGTTTAAATAGCGCTAGGTTTTTATATCGTTTTAACTGTTCCTCAAAGCCACAAACTATCAACAATGGATTAACAGTTTAATTTTAGGCCGAAAATGACCAAAAGCCGCATTTTCGGGAAAACCACTTTCTGTTTTAATAATTTCTTATTTATTTGATACCTAAAAGCTATGTAAAATGCTATAGAAATGGTTTAGATTTTGTTATTGGACCGTAGAGGAGCTCGAAAAATTTTGTTTTAAACTAAAAGTTTGCTAAAACCGCCCCCCCGCTACCAGTCCAGTACCGAGATTGTGGAATATAATTTTCGATATTCTGACAGTCCTGCAGCTCTCGTTTGTTCGTGATTTCCCAAAATCACAAACCAAATTTCGCCGTATTCCCTGGCAACACACTCACGAAAAGCACTAACTACTCGGCCATGCCAAACGAGGGATAAAGAATTGCTGCCGGGGGGTCCCCGTGGGAATCTTCTCAACGTCCCCCGCTTGACCCCTTCAAAGAATTCCACCCCAATCCACCCGCAAAAAGAAATTAGGCCCCAGTTGCCTAAAAATACCCATACGCATTGCCCCCTTGGTCGTTGTAGACATTTCTGTTGTGTCGCTTCTCTCACTGATGCAGCCGCCGAATCGAATTCCTAATTGCCCGTTGTCGGTAGATTGGAAAAATGGGCCACCTGCGGAAACGGGGGCCCTCCCCCTCCCATCTCTTTGGCCACAAAGGGGCGGGGCCAGTGTTAGCGTCCCCGAGACTACGAGAGCCACTATTCCGGCCATTTTTGGAGTCTCCACGCCGGCTCAATCGCGCCCCCTCTACCGTACCAAGGAACCAAGAAACCATGGCCGACGTTGAGCAACCATCAGGACAGCCGCACGAGGCGCAGAATGATCAGGTTGGTCAGGTAGATAAGTTGGCTGGGAGTCAACTTTTTCTTTGTCGTCCAATTTTCCTAATATAAATCGAAGACGTGTTTCTGACTTGTTTTTGCTATTCCGAAACGTAGACCCTTTACTAACCCTGAGTAAATATACAAAAAATAAAGATGTTTTTTGACCAAAAATGACTAACAAAACAAAAATTCGAAATTTTTCTAGCCTTTTTTACCGTTTTCCGCTTGAAATATAGCTAAATTTTACTAAAAACATGATTAAGACACTTATTATTACGTTACTAGTCATTTATTGATATAAAAAATTAGCTTCCCCACCCTTGAGGGGAAAGAACCGGCTTTTGAAACCGGCAAAAACGGCTGGAAACTTGAAAGTTGACCCAGATTAATGATTATCAAAAGAACACCGATTAGCAGACCACCGATTGGAGCCTTTGTGGCCCCTGCCTAGCAAAATGTGAATTTGAAGAGGCTTTTTCTCGAAGACGATACGCGCGCAGCCATTTTCAAATGCTGGAACTTGTTTAGAATTTGGAGCTCTATCAAGTCAGCTATTTCACATAACAAAATCCATTACTACCAAAAATATACGCGTATTAGAAAGCCTGCTTTTCCTCCTCGTGCGCCTGGTCCAACGAAGCCAATAATAAGCCTGCGAACATTGCACTTGTCACGCACAGCACCCATTCATCGAAGTTGCCATCCACTCGCTGCCGAGCTAAACCTCATTTTCGGCTCCTTGGCATTACGGGGGGGGTGAATTTTCCTAAGATTGCAAATTTACCTAGAACCGATAATTGCAAGTATTGTAATAGTTTTTCCAAAAATTTAGCTGTATTTGGGTAGAAAAGAACTAGCAACCCTCGTGTGCGACTCGTTCGTTTCCATAACATACGAGGGTCTAGGCCCGCCCGCGAGCTCGAGCTCCTTTTCCGCTGAAATTAGAGCCCCCCGCACGGCACCTGCGATCAAGCAGCCCCTCGGGGGAAGGGCGCTTGAAGCCCCCGGCAAACGCTCCCACTCCCCACCCCTAGAAAATCTCTCGTAAATCGAATTTTTTAGGGAAAAACCCCCCTTGAAAAGTCGTTACCCACGCGCAGCCCGCGAAGTCGTTGAGGAATTTGAAAAACGCCGAAAATGACATTCCGTAAAAGTGGCCCTTTGAGAGGGCGCGAGGGCATGTAAAAATAGATTTTTTTGAGCCCACACAAACATGCCTGGTCATTATGATTGTTTTTTTCCGAAAAATGGTTATTTTGGGTTCTTTGGCATTATCGGGGGGAATCGATTCCCAAAAGCGCAGGTTTGTCTAGCAAAGTAATAGCAGGATAATTTTTGAGTAAAAATTGGTTCTATTTTAGTCCAAAAACTAGGTAAAAAAGTTAGATAAAAGTTCTCCAATTACGTTATTTTTTGTATTATAACAATTTTTCAAGGTTTTTTTGCGTTTAGTATATAAAAATAATTGAATGCTAATAAAAAGTTGCCCCCCCCCCGCGATAATGCCAAAGTCCCTCATTTTTAATTAAAAACTACTCACCGCCAGTCCGAGGCAGTACCAATTACAAAATGTCGTTTCTGGCATCGCGCGCGACCCAAGGATTAAGCCAGCTTCTAGTAAATGAAAAACTGCACACCCATCCATCGCGCGTCTTATTTGCCCTTTACGTAAATATCCTTTGGCTGGCCATCCACCCTCCCTGGACGCTCCGCCGGGAATTCCTCAGCACCGCCAGGGGATATCTGTTTTTCATCCGGCCGAGTAGACGGCTTCACCCCTGCTCAACCCCTTTTTTTGGCCGAGAGGCGGTGGGTTCGAGAGTCGGGGGGGGGAACCACGGGGGGAAATTGGCCCCGCTCGCGCCCTCCGCACTGAATAGATTGGCCCGCAAGCGCCAAAATCGGCGCCCTCGAAGGAATTGCCACATTAACAAAGGTGTGAAAAAGGGGTGTCCTGATCTTGCCAAATGTTCACCGGTTCTGATCTCTTAACGGGGGGGGGGTTTTCGGGGGTGATGTCTGAAGCGGGCAAGCACCAAAATACCGAAAGGCCAAAAATTGGTCTCTTCCCTAATAAGCTTATTACATTCCAACGAGGCGATATGCCAAAATTAGCCTTTCCCTGGCTAACAGTCGAGAATCCGTTTATGGACCAGTGGGCTTCGGGGGCCAGGTGGAACCGGGAACGGAAATTCTCGCCTCATAACCGGAAGGGATTAAACGGGTGGACACGTGTCGCCCAACAATACTCATAATCTCTGAACATATGCCGGAAATTCCCGAGAATAGAAAGGCTTATAATCTCTCGGAAATGCATAGTGGCATCAAGGGGCGCCTAGGGGGCATCACGAAGAGGGGGAGACGACTTGACAAATCGACGGCGGCGGGAAGTAATTTTCAGGGGTAAACACAAGCATTTGGGGGGCCTTTTTGATACTCAAGGGGGATCTGCCAATTCCCACCGGGCCACAATTTGTTACAGAATTCGCTGCGAACTTGGTTGCTTTCGATGGGGAATCGGACCCCCTAGCGCAATGGCAAAAACAGAATTTCTACTTTTTCTGCCGTTAATTTTCAAAATTTAATTATATTTCCAATGGAAAAACATGCGAAAAACATATTCCTAAACGCAAAACCTTTCCAATTTGTTTTAAATCTACAAACAAGGTTGATGACCAAAATGGCCAATTAGGTTAAATGTTACTAAAAAACCGATTAAGCCCGTTATTATTACGTTCCTGAATATTTATGGGCCTACAGGAAATCCCCCCCCCCGATAATGCGAAAGAACCCATGACCGAGTTTCGATAGGCCTACAAATTCCCATTCTCGATATTCTAATATGAACACCCGCCTGAAAGTTTGTATCAAAAGAAAACGAGCTCCCCAAGGTGTGGCAGAGAACAGAATGCCACCTCCTAATTATTCAACGCCTGCCCCCGAAAAATGCGGTCACTTCAACAGCAGTTCTTTGCACACACACGTCTCGCCCGCCACCACCGCCGGCCGTTTTTATGAATGGCTGAGGGGCAGCGGAAGTGCTCGGGGCGGCGTGGGGTGGCGTGCCGGGGATAAATGCGGTCTAGAACATATGCATTCCAAAAATATAAATTCCCGCCCTTCCAGGAAATCGACATCGACATTACCGACCCGCAGGTTGCTGATGCGGCCAAGAAGATCCAACTGGCGTACAGGTGGGTGCTGAACTCTTCGCGGGGGGGCTGGGTTAGCGGGTAGCGGGGCCATCTAACGTTGTCTTTATCTAGCTTTTCCGCCGTTTTGACGTTTAGAGTCCATAAAAAATTTGATTTTCATGAAAAGTGTCGATTTTTGAAGCGCTAAAATTTAAGATCTAGCTTTTCACATCGTTTTTAAGTATTGAAAGTTCATAAAAAATTACTAAAACGTTCGAAAACTTCATTTTTGGAAAAAATGCATTAAATTGGTCAAAAATCTGCATTTTCAAAAACTTTTAGCCATCAAAAAACTACTAAGTCCCTATAAAATCAAAAAGGCTGATTGCCCCCCCCCCCGCTAACAGACCAGACCCAATCCACAACCCTCGTAACATTTCGCTTCAGATTCAAAAAGAACTCCCTCTCGGGCGCCAGCGCGAAGAAGGACGACAAAAATGAGGAGAAGAGCAAAGTCTAGCCCAGTATTGTTGTAAGCGGCGTGGTCCACAATCTCAACGTGTTTATTGCAAAAAAAAACAAGAATAAATTCAACTAATGACAATTGGCGTAGTCGTTGATCAGGCTGCACAGCGAGTCGAGCACCTCATCCACGCCAGAGCCGAGCAGTGCATCACAGTGGTGGATCTAAACATACAAGGCGCGTTGTCGAAAAAGATGAGGTACCTTTAGGAGATGCGGAACTCCTGATAGATCTCTCGACAGCTTATCCAGTTCTCTTGCACCGACAGGCTCGACACGACGCTCGTTGATAACGACAAGAATCGGGCATTGGATGCTTGGGTTGGAGACCTGAATTAGGACATTTTGACGCTTTCCCATTAACGGGGGGAGGAAAATATTTACCTATCAGCACAGGAATGCCCCAGTAACCAAGTGTTTCAACACTTATTTTTTAGCAAATTTAATCACATTTCGAGCGGGACACTATTTACAACTTTAGGAAATTTGCTTGAAAATAGGGCACTGGGTCGAAAAATCGAAATTTTGTATTTTTATCAACAATTGATAAACTGTTTACCTTTAGGCATCGTCAAAGCCAATTTAGAAACACTTCTTCTATTATGGTAAGAAAAATGGATCCTAAGCAACAAAGACAGCACTTACGATTTTATGCAATTCCTTGACAGATTCATCGTAGCGCTCCATAGCCGACCCGTCGATCAAATAAATTAATGCTAAAAATATAAAGTTTCGGTCGATGAAACATACCCTGTTTGCCCGAGTAATAATGCTTCCAAAAGGGACGCAGCTTCGGCAGACCGCCGACATCCCAAAAGTTTAGCCGGAAGTTTTTGTGATGAACCTGAACCTTGAATTTACCAAAAAAAAAACACCCCTACCGTCTCGATGTTGAAGCCAAGGGTTGGTGGGGGTGGAAGGGGCTCACAGCGCTTCCAGCGGGCTAAAAAATTTCGGTTCTTTTGCAATATCGGGGGGGGGGGAAGTCCAGATATGACTAACAACCCAATAAATATAAACTTTTCAACGGTATTTTTAGTAAGTTTAGCTAGATTTGAACTGAAAGATCATCTAAAAAAGTCAAAAATTTTTTTTCAAAATCCGAAAATTGACCATTTTTCGTATTTTCTTCAAACAAATTGTCAATTTTTGTTGTCCCCCCCCGATAATGCAGAAGCACCAAGGTTTCATCGGAATATGTAACCAACATGTTATCGTAGTCTTCCCAGCCCCATCAAGCCCAAGTAGCACCACACACGCATCGATGAAGTGGCCGAGGTGGAGCCGGTTATCTTTTGAGATGGTGTATGGGATCAGCGTCGACAGGAGCCCATCATCTAAACAACAAATTCAAATAAATTTTTGCAAGGACTAATTTACCTGGGGCCTGAACACGCTCAGCCTTTGCGCTTTCGGTCAAAGCCAGCAAATCCTCGCGCTTGGTGACCAATTCTGAGCTTGCGCTGATTATCGACTACAAATAAGCATGTAAATTTATGGCCCTGGTACCATCAATTTACCCTTTGCAATTCCAAACAAGCGCCCCCGAGCTTATTTGACAGCTGTCGATATGTGTTCAATTGGTGTTTCAATGCGTCACGCCGATCCTGAAAGTCCATTTTAACCGGACTGCATGAATTCACCTGTAAATAGTTGTCCAGCGTCTTGATGGCCTCAACTTCCGCTTTATCGACCTCTTCTCGTATGCGCTCGAAGTGACGGGCAATCTAAGGTAAAAATGTGAAACTGTCTCAGCTACAAACCACAAACGATAACCCTAAATCTTGAAACTACAAACCGCAGTTCTCGTCTGTTCCGTGGTGTCGCCGTCGTAAAGGGCGGTGATTGAGCTAGGGCAGTAAGAGTCATAGAAATACCAGGTATTCAAACCTATTTACGGAAACAATCCAACTGCTTAGCTCGTCTCGCTGTTTTGTCAACTCGGCAATTATTTTTTGCAGCTTCTGTCTGAAACAGTGATTTTCAAGAAGTAAGCAAGTTGTGACTTCATCAAATCAGCCTCGCGCTGTAACAATTCGTGCGCATGACCTTCGTGGATACCATAGTCACGACACAGTAAACACATCAGCCGTTCTGTTCCTTCACATTCTTCTTCCTGAAAGATGAAGTAATTTAGAAATTAAACCAGCTCTTTGGCATTAGCGGGGGGGTGTTTTTACGGGAAACCCCAACCATTTTTTGCAGCTACATTTTTCTAATACAAATAGAGGAGTGTTTCTAAACTGCTTTTTAGTGTTCCGCCAAAAACTTTACAAGTTGTATTATAAAATAGAAACAAAAAGATATTTCAAACAAAATTTCAAATCTGAAAAAAAATTTGAACATTTTTTAAAGATAGTTTTCCACTTGAGATATAGTCACACTTTTGAAAAAAAAAACACAATTAAAAATTTACTCTTATGCTACTGGGTATTTCTGGACCAATACAAAAAAAATTCCGCTCCCGTCTACCCCCCCCACCCCCGGAAGATGCGAAAGTACCTAAAACCTCAGCCCACCTTGCAAACAAATTCAACAGTATGTGAGGTGTGATGTCGACAGTGCTGTGGAGGAGGAGGTTTTTCCGAAAGTGGAACTCTTCGGTGTTTAGAAAGGGTAACCGTCGAATGGGTCGCTTGCGAGCACCTAAACAGAAAAAAATAAATAACCCAAAAGCCACCCACTTTTCGCACAAGTTGCTTTCACACACAACACAATAGACATCGGCCGGGTGCGAGGAATCCTCGTCACAATCCAAGCCACTTTTCTTGGCACGCATGTGACGCTCCTATGGCACATTTTGAGAAGACAAAACGAAACTCTCACAAGCCCATCGGATCCGTGATCCGCGTAAGTCACACGCTCCATCAGCTCGATCAGCGCAAAATTTTTCTTTAACGTCATGATTGTGCCATCGGGGAGCGTCGTGGGAATCTGTATTAAAAAAAGGCGTGAGAGAAATGGGAAAGGGTACCCGATCAAAGGGACATGTGATGGAGGGACTTCCGGCCTGCGCAATCGCCTGCGCACAGCCCTGGCAGATCGTATGACCGCAGCCTACAATTGGGTTGGATTGGGAAAAGCGGTTCTGGTTCGTTAACGGGGGGGGGGGATAGCTAACACTTTGCCCATGCCGCCGTAAGCGTCCCACCATAGCATTAAACCACTTAATAGCATTTTAGGCCAACTTTTATCAAAAATTATTTACAATTGTGAGTTTTTGCTTGATCAATTTGACCAAATATGCTAAAAAATTTCAAACCGTATAATTTTTATTTTTCAGTAATAAACACTAAAGCAATATGTCACTATGGAGCGCGGTTCCTCCACCGCAAAAGAACGAGAACCCAAAAAAGGAACAAACCCGTCAAAACGCGCGGTATCCGCTTCTCATCTTCAGCGTCGTATCTCTCGTTACAGACGCGACACCCGTAGTCGTCCATGCTAAAATGCAATCCATCCAATGAGCGACACGCCGATTTCAGGAATCCACTGGCTCAACGAACCATAAAGAACATACACAGTTTGCGGAAACTATCTTTATTAAGCGAGTGAATCATTTGCTAGTACCCAACAAATCCTCGAAATCGTATCTGAAACTCTCGCGAAATTGCAGGTCAAATTCCTTCTCTTTCTGGTGCTTCTTCGCAATATCTCGCCGTGTCATCTAAAAAGAAAATAACAGAAGTAGAGCCAAAAATTTACCACTTTTTCGACTTTTCGTTCTTTGACGTTGGCCACCGCGCGCGTATCATGCGGCCGAAAATGTGTAACGCGTGGTTTGTCTTTGCCTGTGCCGAGCCCGCTACGATCTCTAAAAGGGATCTAGGGCTAAGATAAGCTGTCTAACCGTTTCAGGATCGTGCGAATCGGGAAGCGTTTGCCCTCCTCTTCGCGTCCCAGCCCCCGAAATTCGTCCCAGCCGTTGCGCTTCATCAGTTTGTATCCGACGTTAGTCTCCGGGATACCATATCTAAAATAGGGTTAAAATAGTTTATCATCGAAATATGACATTTTATTCCAATGTGCTTTTTCATTATCGGGGGGGCAACCAACTTTTTCATTAGGATCCAATTTGAGCGGCGTCTTACTTTCATATACGTAAAAATTTTGAAATTTTGGTCAATAGAAGAACCCCCCCGATAATGCAAAATCACCGATTTATAACAAACCCCAAAATCTCACCCAGGGTGTCGATCCCCTGTTTCTCCGACATTCAGCAGGTGCGAAGTCTTCGTTAGGTGATCGACCTCCGATCCCTGATATTCCGATTTGCACACTTGGCAATAGCCAACCGTCTTCTTTTGCTGCTTCTCCCTAATACAATTTCTTAGTTTAAAGCGGCCAAAAATACCGTGCAACATTTTCTTCGATGCCTATCAGCAACTTCAAAATGTCGCGTCTCTTCTTAGAAGCTGCCAGATCAAATGCACTTTGATGTTGCGAGTTCCGGGCAGAAAGATCAGCACCATAATTGAATAACAACTTGGCCGTCTAGAAGTTATTACGAATGTATTTCATAGCGAGACTGTCAATACCTCTATATGGCCGGCGAAAGAAGCGCACATCAGAGCCGTCCACCCATATCCATCCGTGCAGTCAATGGGTGCTCCTAAAAAGACCTGGTTAGAGCTTTTGCCAACGACTAACCCGATTCTAGAAAGCGTTTCACTTCCTCCGTATTCCCTTCTTCAGCGGTCCGTAGAAATAGGTGGATATCTCTCTCCGTGAAATTCCTCTCCGGATTTCGGACAGTCTGTACGCTGCTACCCGCTAAAATCAATATAATATAATAGCCCTCACATCATCGATTTGCAAAGTTATTGAAGTTGCGCTGAAACACAAAATAATTTCTTTTCTAGATGCTAAACAGTTCTTTTCCCCGGCCCAGTTTGGATTCAGAGCCTCTCATTCTACCACCGCGCAGCTCATCAAAATGTTCCATGACTTTGCCAACATGTTAGATTCCGGTGAAAAACCAATAAGCATATATTTCGATCTAGCAAAAGCTTTTGATAAAGTCCCCCATCACATTCTCCTAGATAAAGTCGCCCAAACGGGCCTGCCTGTTCCCATATACTCGTGGTTGAAAGCCTATCTCACCGGTCGGACTTTTCATGTACAGAACGGAGACTCAGTTTCAAGCCACGTCCTCAAACCTCGGGGGTCCCGCAGGGTGGTGTCTTAGGGCCCATACTTTTTGATCTTCATAAATGATCTCCCACCCCTTCTAGTAAACAAAAATCTCTTATTCGCTGACGATCTCAAAATCTATGCAGGTATTGGGCCGCGCTCAGGTCCCAGTCCCCACACCTCTATCCACTCCGACATCTCTATCATAGAAAAATGGGCCTCGGAAAATGGGATGTCCCTCGCCGTTAATAAGACCTTTTGCTTAACTTCCCTAAGTCCCGCACCTCCCTTACTTCTCGCAAATAGCCCAATCGAAACGGTCGATATCATCAAGGATCTCGGTGTTAGATACACAAATAAGCTCTCTTTCAAGCCGCATATCACTGAAATCTGCGCAAGAGCGGCGCGAATTTCGTACTAATCATCAAAAGATTCAGGTACCCAATAAAACTACTTATATCCGCGCTTTTGCACACTATGTAGACCGATTCTGGAATATGCGAGTGAAGTTTGGTCTCCATCCCGCAAATATCTGATTCAGAAGATCGAAAATGTCCAGAAAAGATTTACCTTCATGCCTACTCTAAACTTTGCCCAGGGTTTCCCGTAATTCCGTATGAAGAGAGGCTAGCATTTTTGAAATCCCCACCCTCGAAACACGCCGAAACCAAAATGACCTCGTCCTGTGCTATCGAATAATTTTCCAGCAGAGCTATCCAGTCAAATTTCTTAAACTTGCGACGCGACCTTCTAGGAGTTCCCACAGGTTCCAGCTCACTAGATTTAACAGCGTGGAGATACCCCTAGGTCTATCTTTTCACGACGCATCATAAAACTATGGAATTCACTTCCGCCACCTCTCCTCTTGAACCCTCCGACCAGCGCGAAACGCTTTAGGAAAAGTCTTGAAACCCTTCCCCTAGCCCATAATCCCTCCTAAGCAAAAAACCTATTATCCCCGTCCCTCGTCTTTCACCCATGTTTTTTTTTCACTTTACGTGTTTATCATTTTTTTGCCTACGTTATATTACCCGGTTGAATAAACCATTCATATATACACCACTTTCTTAAATTTACCGATTCGTTTTGGGCGTCGATTTGGAACTGCTGGTATTTTGAAGGCGCTAGTCGACGGCTTAATGTCTTCAGTTTCCTCCAGGAGAGACTCGTAAAAACCACGCGCCTCCGCCCTAAAGCAAAAACTTGAAATGGCGGGGGCGACAAACCCTGTAAGCTTCTCGGCTACTTCTTTCGTTTGACGCTCTTCTGCAATAGTTGATGCCGAGCTCTTGTTTACAGGAAGGACGAAGGTGATCCTTTTCGAATCGGGGATCAAAGCCAGCCCACGGAGGCGGGGTTTATGTACTTCTTCGCTCATACCTGAAAATATTGGCTTAATATTAACTTTAGATTAAAGGAAACAAGAAGTTTGAAACAGTTTTAACAAATTAGATACGAGCCCCGGCATTTACGGTTGTGAGGGTTTGCGGTTACGCTATATTGGGCAAGTGTCCAATGGAGTTCTATGTTGTCTTGGTTCCATTTCCCGCATTTCAACACTGAAAATCCAGCTAAACTAACCTCTAAAACCCGAAAACAAGTTTTATAGGCTTGTTTTGTGCGTGGATTTTTATTTAACATTTTTAGCCTGGAAAAATGGAATCTAACCTACAAAACCCTAGCGTAAAATGTCCCGGAAACGTTTTTGCCGGGTTTTGGCGACTTTTTACCTTTAGTTTGGCAGAGTTATGTGCATTTTTTCAGAATAACAACTGAAATCCGGATTCTTTCGCATTATCGGGGGGTGGGGATAATTTTTTGGATGGCGCCAACAGCGCATAATGACCTAAATAGTCAGTTTTTCAGTGTTTTACTAAAATTTTACGCTTTGCAAGCGAAAATGCTATCTAAAAACTTTTAAGATGCTAAATTATGGTCGAAAAATCATGTTTATATCTTTTATATGAAAATTTTTAAATTTTACACTTTTATGAGTAGTAAAAAAACAGCATAGATAATCCTGCGCTCTATTTATATAAGGAAAAATTCGATCCTAAGGAAACCCCCCGGTAATGCGAAAGAACCGAACTCCGATAACAAGCCCGGAAGACTGTTGGAACGGCCTAATTGTAAGTCTTAGTTTAATTCTTATGGTCACTCAAGTACGCTCCCAACTGGGCTCGGCGTTTACCAACATCTAACAAATTATTTCCTCTTTAGATTTGCGGTGCTGCTCGAAAGGGGATTTGATCGAATGGCAACAGCAATGATCTCGGGTCATCCCACCCAGGCCACTGTTCACTCCTCTTTTACGGCCTCTTGTTGATAGCAGCCTCTCTTCCCATTTGTCGCCCTAACCCACGAATTGTTTCCCCACCTTTCTTTTCTTGCCTTGATTCTCGGGTTTTCAAGGCCTTTTGAAAGTGTTATGATTTCCTTTTTCATTTAATTCTGTCATGGAAGTAATAATAAATCTTTTTGGAAAATTTTCGAATACTTTACAGCGTTATCAGAGTCAAAACCCACCAACTATTCCGATGAATTTAGTCAGATTTTATGGCGGATTTATTAGCTTATGATACTTTGCTCTACGACGCACCGGATCCTGGCCCAGCTGGCGCAATATCAGGGGAAGGTACGCAGTTCGGAAACAATAAGTGCAAATGGACGAAATAGGGCATATGTGTACGGGCAACAAGTGGTATAACGCGAAGTAAAAAGGGAGCTTCCGTTGCGAATGCGGTTGGTTTTAGAATAGTTTTTTGAAGTTTAAAATGGGAATTTTTTCCTTTTAGAATTCTCAGCCACCAACAACTTCCTCAGAAAATACACTGCCTGGTCCGTTCGAGCTACCCGATAAACCGGCATTTTTGATAGACGAATATTTGCGCTCGATTACCGGCGAATCCAAGCCGAAAAGGTTAGTCTTGACGAAATGTTAGTGAATTTTTGTATTTAGCTTGCAAAAGGACGATAGTCAAGCTGCCCTCGAAGCTACGAAGAAGCTTGGGCTTTCGAGCTATCGAGCAATCGTTTACACGGAAGACGAGTTGAAAAAGTAACCAATTTTTGTCCATTACCACATCGCTTTAGATGCGACTTGTCAAAACCTCCCTCACCGGAAAACCCGCATCCTTTCAACCCAGCGCACATTCCACCGACGTACTCGCGAAGCATCGCTCCCTACGTGAATACGTCGAATTGTCTACAAGCACTCGTCGAGTTGGGCGTAGACCTTTTTGAGGTGATTTCGGAAACAATGATTTTAAAAGTTTTCAGGTCGACACATCAAATCCCACCTTGACAAAACGTCTGGTGCGACTTGACTTAGAAAAAGACGTGAAGCCTCGGTTGCAATGGCTAGTCAATGAAGTCGGTTTTGAGCCAAGTCAGCTTGGAGAATATCTGACTCGAAACCCGTTTTTCCTGTTGCAGGTACGATTTTTATCACAAATCGCTCATAAAAATCCTGTAAGGAATTGGACGACATGCGAGCTCGTGTTGGCTATTTGGATTCGAAGGGATTTTCGAAAGAGGAAATAGTCAAGGTTAGTTATTTGAGCTGGAGTGTTAAAACGTGTTTCTTTTGCATTATCTGGGGTGCCTGATTTTTCGTATAGCCTTAACCCTGAGAAAAAAAAATTGGTCATGGGGCTCGAGAAGCTATATTTTTTTGTATTTTTAATATCCTTTTAAGGTTTTTACGTTAGGGAACAGTAAAAACTGTTTAGAAACACGCCCGTTGTCATAAATTTGTATTAGAAAAATTGAATCCTAGGCAAAAACGTTGCTCCCCCGATACTGCAAACCACCTGAATCGGTCTTTTCTGGGTTTTACTTCTTCATTATCGTTCTTACTTTATTGAAAACCCTTATTCGTTACTACAGATCGTCGACGGATGCCGTTTCTGGGTGAATTTTGACGTGGAAACGATCGACCATCGATTGGGATGGTTGCACCGCGAACTCAAGCTTACGGCGCCGCAGGTAAAAAACTTCCAGGATCCTCAGATTAGTGTCTTTTTAGATCCGGGCGTTAATTTCGCTAGAGCCACGCCTGATCCAGTTTGGCGTTGGGCAATTAGAGAGGATATCGAAGCTGCTGGGCAAAGAGCTGAACTTCCGCGCCGAGCAAGTGAAGCGGATGCTCATCAAGGTGCAAATAACACATTTTGCGGTGTAATTTTCAATTTAGGACCCTCGCGTGTTTTTGATGAATGCAAAGACGTTGACTGAGACGTTCATCTATGTAAATCGGATTATGCGGCTCTCGAAGGATCTGATCAGCAAAAATCCGTTGATTTTGAGGTCGGCCTTTATTTTTAGTAAGCTGGTTCTGGACTGTTAGCGGGGGGGGGGGGGCAGATATCTAGCCAATACTATAACTATCTACCAAAAATTTGGTTTTTTTTAATAGTTTTTTATACTAAAAAAAGTCGCTAAGATTTGTAAAAATTCTTAGAAAGTTTTACTTTTTGGAAAGATCAGCGATTTTGGAGAATTTTGATAATGTTTTATCGAATTTCTATACTTAAAACGATTCAAGAAGTTACATGTTTTTTTTGAGGCTTGAATCCTATGGACAGATACACCGGTTAGGCTTCCCCTTCCCCCTCCCCCCCCCCCCGCTAGTAGTCCAATACCATCAATATTTTCAAGATGTCACCTTTCCGCCATTCGGAATCGACACGAGTTCTTGAAGAAGCTTGGCCGAGCCAGCTATGAAGATATTGAGGCATTGGTACCGAGGCCCCATGAGCCGAGTAGCCAGCTAGAAGCCAGTCGAGGTGAGGTCTTTTAGGGGGTTGCCCTCTCTTTTCTCCATTGTGCTATTCCGACTTTCAGAATCTCCTGCTGAGAAGTCTAACGAATTGATCCCTGTGGTCGAAATGGCGCTCTTTCTACACCCTTCCGATGAGATTTTTGCAAGAAAAGCGGCTCGCACGTATCTCGAAGTCTACAACGATTTTTTGCGCACACATTGAAATCTATTTGTTTTTTTTTTGTTGAATAAATATTCAGTTTCTTACCCGTTTTCAACTGGAATTCGCGTTCCAAGCCATAATTTTACCTCTTTCCTTGCGTGCTTTTTTATAATCTTTTATTATTCGCTTTAGAACGAGCGGTAAGCACCATGGCGTTGAGAGGGAATTCTATAAAACACCTGGTCAACGGTTAGTTTTTGGAGCTTGGGAAAATCGGTACTGCACTTTTGGAGGGGGGGGGGGATTTTTTCTAGTAATAGAATTTTCTAGTAAAATTTTCGAAATTTTTACTGTGGTTTGCAAAATCTATGAAAAATGACTAAAACATTCATTTTTTAGAATATTTTATAGCTTTTTATCCATCAAAATTTTAGGGCCGGAAACTGACCCCCCCCCCGTTAACGGTCCAGTACCCTTGTAAAAAATGACTAATTACAGGTGCAACTTTTCGCAACGCCTCGTCCTTCGCTTCTCTTCTGCCGAAAGGAGGGCTCTCCTACCTCGACGGTAAATTTTTGCACTGAGCTGGACCCGGCCGTTCGCTTAGCACATGTTTATTTGCACTCTGCGCGCAAAACAAGGCCTCATACTACGGCTCTTCTTCGAGGGCACTTTTACGAAAGCCGCGCAATTTCCGGTCAAGATTGTTTACTCATTGTTTGCAATCACTACATCCTCCTTTTGGGTCTATTTCGGGTCTCAAGGTCATCCATCACCACGACACGTCTTTTCTATTGCATCTTACCCGGCAATTATTACTTCTCGCTCGATCTCATTCCCACAAATTGTTCAGGGCTAAAGGATGTCGAATTTTTCGAGCGTGCTACCTCAAGGAGCTTTGAATTATATTAATGGTACAGTTTTTAATGTTTATTTAAGGGTTTAAATTAGGTACTTTGTTAGGGATATGGTATTGCCCCATTTTCCGCCATCTACCACTTTATTTTCAGGAAAATGGGTTTCGGCAAAATCCGGGGCCACTTTCGAAGTGCGCAACCCTTATTCCAAGGATTTGATCTACAACTCCCCCGATTGCAATATTGACGACGCGAAAGACGTACGTTTTTATTTCCTTTTGATCGTGTTTTTGTTGTAGGCCCTGAAAGCAGCGCGCGGCGCGTTCGAAAAGTGGTCACAAGAGACCACGCCGAAGCAGCGAGGGGCGATTCTTCAGAAATGGTTCTCGATTTTGCAGCAGAAGGAAGAAGAGCTGGCCCGATTGTTGACCACCGAGCAGGTACCGTTGCATTAATTTGAACCTAGTCGGGGGTTCTGTCGCATTATCGGGGGGGGGGGGGGGGGGGCTAATCTTTTTCCTAGAGGTCCTGAAATGCCTAGTGCCGAAAAGCGCGTTTTTTAATACGTTTTTTTGATAAAAATTTTGGTCGAAACATCGATTTTTTACAATTTTGTTATAAAAAATTGTAAAGTTTTGTGCGTTTAGCAATAGTAATAAAGTTTCGCTACACTCCTCCTTTTTATATTAGAAAAATTTAATCTTAAAACATTGTTCTGATCCCCCTCCCCCGATAATGCAAAAGCACCGTTATCGTAAATTTTGTAAATTCAGGGAAAACCGCTGGCTGAAGCGAAGGGGGAGATCCAGTACTCGGCCTCATTCTTCGATTGGTACGCCGGGGAGGCGAGACGGATCTATGGACAGGTAAGTCATGAAAGGAACTTCTAATATCCTCATCACCAGGTCGTCCAATCCGCCGTCCCGAACCGTGAGCATCTCCACATCAGAGAGCCGATTGGCGTCGTTGTCCTGATTACCCCGGTAATATTATATGTCTTATTATAAGGTTTTTTAGTGGAATTTCCCGACTGCCATGATTGCGCGAAAGGCGGGTGCTGCATTGGCCGCTGGATGTACACTGATCGTCAAGCCTGCTCATGAGACTCCCTTGAGTGCCTTGGCTTTGGCCCAGGTCTGAGTTGTGTTTACTATTCCCACCTTAAAATGTACAAATTTGGTTTACTGGATTCAAAAATACTAAAGATTTGGGAGGTTTTGTCCACAAATCGCCAATTTGAGAGTTTTAACGATTTTTATCTTTTCTAAACAGTTTCCCACTTTAAATCTTGCTAAATTTTACCAAAGCCATTCTTAAAATACCTCCTAGACGTTCTGGAACTGCAGGAAAAATCTTGGTCCCCGGAAATTCTAAAACTTTATCACACCTATCAAATAAATTTTGTGTAAGATCCCGTTTAGACGGGAGAAGAAGCTGGACTTCCGGCCGGCGTCTTCAACGTCCTCACCACCGGTCATGAAAATCTACAGGTAAATTTGAGCTAGCCAAGCTTTTACTTAATTTAGGGAATGTCCAAATTCCTCTGCGAATCTCCGGACGTCGACGCGATTTCGTTCACGGGCAGCACTGGAGTGGGAAAGGTATGGAGCACAAGCTAAGTGAATCAAAATCTGTTTCTAGCTCCTGCTAACCCAATCGGCTTCCACGGTCAAGAGAGTCTGCCTCGAGTTGGGTGGAAATGCTCCTTTCATCATTTTCGAGAGCGCTTGCCTGGAAAAGGCGATAAAGGTAATAGCCATTTTTCTTAGCGTAACCAAGTCCTAGGGCACGATTTCGGCGAAATCCAGAGGATCCGGCCAAACATGTGTGTCGGCAAATCGGCTGTTTGTTCACGAAAACGTAAGCTTTAAGGTGTAATTTTCAGACTTCTTTTTAACAAAATACATAATTTTTAAATGTTTTAATGAAAAAGATGGAACTAGCATTAAAAAATTGCTTTTAGGTTTTGGATAAATACGTGGAGAAGCTGAAGAATGCTGTCGGGCAGCTTGTAACCGGTGATGGACTCGACCCAAAGACAACCCAGGGACCCCTGATTAACGAGAAGGCCGTCGAAAAGGTACTTTCACCACTAAAATCATAAAAATCTCTTTTTTTTTAGGTCCAAAGCCTCATCAATGACGCCGTAGACAAGGGCGCAAAGATCGTTTGCGGCGGAAAGAAGGGAAAAGCTACGTGCTATCAGCCCACAATTCTTACTGGTAAATAATATCTGCTAGGCTTGCAAAAGTGCCGAGTTTTAGGAGTTACCAAGGACATGGAAATTGCGCATCAGGAAATCTTTGGTCCAGTGATTGCAATTCAGACGTGCGTTGCTTGACTTCAAATATGGTAGAAAAAATTTCAGGTTCAAAGACGAAGCGGAAGTGCTGGCGAGAGCCAACGACACCCGTTTTGGACTGGCTGGTAATCGATCTACCGGGTGTTTTACATTTTCTCCATTTATTTAGGCTACATTTTCTCGTCGGACGCCTCGCAAATCTATCGCGTGACCCGTCGACTTCAAGTCGGTATGATCGGCGTGAACGAAGGTGAGCAACAATTGGCCCGTCTTTGGAACTGGCGTTTCAGGGCTGATCTCGTGCGCCGAGGGCGCTTTTGGTGGAGTCAAGGAGAGCGGTCTTGGACGAGAGGTAACACAAAATGCCACATTCGAAATGCATTAATTTGCAGGGTGGCGCACAGGGAATCGACGAATTCACCCAATGGAAATACATTTGCACTCAACATTGAGTGCGCCTAATTCTTGCCCACGTTCTTCGTTTTGTATAGAGATAAACTGTAAAGTAGAAATTGGGCCTGGACAGGTTGTTCGACAGAAAAAAGCACATATTTTTTGGGTGCGGGGGGGGGTTGGCTATCTAGCACTTGTTTTAGCGTCTGTCGTTAACTGTTTTTAGATGGCAGTTTTTGGTTCGTAAAATCGTAAAATTTTTCGATAATCTTAATATTTTTGATAGGCGTGAGTTCTTTGGCATTATCGGGGGGAAGGCAAATGTAGGCGAATTCTTGAATTCATACTATAATTCAAGCGGAAAAACTATCTAAAAAATTCAGAAAATCGTGAAATTTTTATAAAAATCGATATATTTGGGTTTTTTGATAAATTGCCAAGAAAAAGACAGTCCCCCCGGATAATGCGCAAGAACCGGGCTAGCTAACAGCCCAAACATTTTTTGGCTTCCGCTTCATGTGAAATTCTATGAAATTAGGCCGAGCTTCGTTTTTTGTGGCTGTTTGGCCATAAGCCCGGACTAGCCCAGGCGACAACCGGTGCTTCCACAGCCTGTGCGGGGCTGATTACAGCAGGAAGAGCCGGAGCCCATTCAAAATTGAGTAGTGATCGCTCAGCCGCACTCACTCGACAGCCGTTCCTTCTTGGCATCGCCGACGCCCCGGCACACACACTTGGTCCTCACTATTATAATCAGCTTTTTTCGGATTTTTATTCAGGATAATTTGAAAATTAATGAAATCCACTTTTAGAATGTCAAAAAGGGTCGATTTTGGTCTAAACCGTATGAAATTGACTGGAATTTTGAATTGTTGAATTTTCAAACGTTTTTTATGCATTTTTAGTCATCAAAAATGGCTAAAAACACTACTAAAGCGCGCTATCCAACGCTGGAATTTTTGCTTGGTGATTATAGGCTTGACAGACGCACCCCCGCGATCAGTTCAGTACAAAAATATTTTGAGCAGATTTACGAAAAGTTTTTCCAGTAGACGATCTAATTTTAGCATGGATTATTTTCGAACATTCTCGTTCTAGCTATGGGTTTTGCACATTTGATAACTGATGTTTAGGCAGAAACAGGCCTCTCCTCCCCCTGGCAGCAGTGCATTCCGGTGGTGGGTAAATTGCGTTTCGCATCCTTTGCCCCCCACCCTAACTCCCAGGGCTGCCAATAAGCCTCCATAACCCGGACACGAGTCGACGAATTCGCACGTCTCCACCAATCGAGGTGACGAGGAGAGGGAGGCAAAGAACGAGGAGGAGGAGCACCAGAACGAGCAGCAGGAGAGGGAGGGCCGCATGGCTCGCGGTGCCTTCCAAGAACTTTGCACTCGGCCGATCCATTCAATGTGTGTTTTTGGGGGTGTTGACAACCGGAAATTGGCGTTAAAGGGTTACAGAATTACAATTAATCTTAGCCTGCTAGTCCCCTTACAACGGAAAAATCACATTTTTTTGTGTAACTGATTAGCGCTAAAGCGTTGTTTTTAATTGGTTCTTTTCCATTATCGGGGGACCGCTTTTCGTACAAGCCCAGAACGGCAGAATATCGTCAAAGTGGGTTTTTTAATAGCGTTCTGAGTAAAATTTTATTATATTTCAGGCGAAAAATGGAAATTTTGTCGAAAATCTGTATTTTTTTGTTTTCTTAATAGGATTTTTAAAAATTGTTACGTTTCAGAATAAATCCAGAAACGCAAAGTAACTACTCAGTACGTCTTTTAATATTTTAGGTAGGTTTGAACTATATTCTCTGGTCGAAAAACTAGCTAAAAACGTTTCAAACATTTTTAAAAGTCGACTTTTTGGTCGAAAGCTTGCTTTTTTTGTATTTTGCAATAAATTTTGCATTCTTCTTCGTTTGGGAGTAGCTAAAAAAAGTTCATTTCGAAACACGTTCTGCATTTAGATTAGAAAAATTGGATCGGGAGGGCTCCCCCGTTACCACCCCCCGCCCCCGATAATGCCAAAGAACCTATAACTTTTCAGCATTGTCACCCCCATTAGTTCTCAATGGCCATGGGGGACCCAATTAGTGACAACAGATCGGCCATTTCTCCCAAAAGCCCCTCGGGCTGGGGTTTGTTTTTGGCGGGTGGAGACCCAGTGGAAAGTTTGATGGACGACCGAGGAACTCGGAACCTTGGTCCCAGGGCCCCTCTATCACCCCTGATAAATCATGCTTAGCGGGCTGCTGATTCTGTTCCGGATAATACTGTAGGCGATACGTTATTTGGCGAAAGTTGTCGGGGATTTTTCGTTCAGACGGTGCTTTTGCATTATCGGGGGAGGGACAACTTTTTCAGTAGTAAAATTCTCTGAAATAGTTAGAGCAATTGTTTCTAATTTTTTCACTGTTCTTAAACCCAAAAAATGTACAACATTTTTTAAAAATACAAAAAGTCGATTTTTTAAGGTTTTTGGATAGTTTTCCACTTTGAATATAGCTAAATTTAATCAAGAACTTTATAAAAAACCATACTATTTATTACGTTGCTAGGCATTTCGCGCTTATCAAAGGCTCCCCCCCCCCGATAATGCAAAAGCTCTCGAAAACTAACCAAAGGGACGGACGGACGATTATCAGAAATCTCGTTACGAGGTCGTTTCATGATTTTCTTGCTTTTTATCGTGAATCTTTTTAGCCAAAAATGTTTTTGATTAGCCTGGCCCCCAGCCCAAAAGGCATTGATTCCATCAAAGGCCATTCATTTCATAGCCGGCCTCAAAACCGGATTAACCGGTTAATTCGGCTCTCCCTAATCCCCCCTCCTAGTTTTCTCGCGCCCATTCCTCAAAGATGCGTGCGAATGTTTTTGGGGCTCACTTCGGTTCTTTCACAATAACGGGGGGGGGGGGCAGTTTTTTCGTTCTTAAAAGTCCACAAATGTCTAGTAGGTGTTTTAAACCATTTTTTGTTAATATTTAACTATGTTTCAAGCCGAATAGCAATAAAAAAACTTGAAAAAATTCGAAACGTTCGTCAAAAATCGGCCGTTTTTGATCGACAAATCGATATTTTTCATTTTTAATAGAAATTTGTACGGTCTGGGAGTTTAGGAATAGTAAAAACGGTTTAGAAGAATATTAGAACTACTATTTATATTAGAACAATTGGACCTTAAAGGAAGACCCGCCCCCCGATAATGCGAAAGCACCCTGCTTCTTTCCTAATTTAAGTTTTTGTTGAAAACAGAGATCAGAAATTCCAAGCTCAATGTCGAAAGCTAAAACGGGCCTCACCCCCCACGCGTCGTAAATAATTTCAACATTTTTAACGCAGCATAATAGCTTATGCCGCCTTTCCCCAAAAACGGCGATAGGGGCCAAGAAACACAAAGAATTCGCTAAAGGTCTCCTCTTTCCAGCGGGATGCAAACCGGCGAGCTGGTGACGCTGCTTCTTTTCTGCTTCACGGCCGCCTTCACGCTGGCGGTGGTCATCTACTATCGATATTGTACGGCTGGTAGGTTTTTTTCACCATTCCTAAACGAAAAAACTAACCTATTTTCATCAAAAATACAACAAAAATTATTTTCGATTAAACTTTCGAAAACTACTAAGTTTTCAGCTGGTTTTCCCCTTGAAATATAGCTAAAATTTACTAAAAATACGGTTGTAATACTTACTATTACGTGAATAGGAATTTATGGGCTTATGTATAGTAAAAATCCTCCCCCCCCGGTACTGAAAAAGAACCTGCCTTCGAGAATTATTTTAACAGACGATACAATATAATTTTCAGGCAATCAAAAACCCTCACAACGTTCCTCACCATTGTTGAGTGTCTAACGCCGCCCCCATTCCTCATTCGTCCGATACCACGATCTCAACTCAACGTAAGTATTTTTATGTTTTCGATTTTCCAATAATTTAAAGCATTTTAAAGAGTTTTGCTGTTTAAAAAGTAATTAAATTGATAACCCGATTTTCCAGCATTTTGCGGGTCCACCATGTCGACATCAAAACTCTGGAAAATACCTATCGTTGATTGTGCAGTGCAATAAATGTTTATTCGTTTCCCCCAAGACACATTTATCGGCGGCTGGCTCGGCTTTTGGCTTATTGTTTCTTGGCGAACAGGGCTTCGGCCTGAAAGAGAAGAATTTTAGGTACTTTCGCACTATCGGGGGGGGGGACAAATTTTTTTCATAGGTATCATTTTTCAAATAAACATACAGAAGGGATTCTATATTGTTTTTTTAATTATTCCTACATTTAAAAACCTTTAAATCTTCTATTAAAAACACAAAAATATCGATTTTCGACCAAACATGGCCGTTTTGCGACTAAAATTTCACACGTTTTAAGTTTTTAGTGAGTTTTCCACTTGGAATATCGATAAATTTGACTAAAAAAATTGTCAAAACAATTGCTACTACCTTAGCAGGTATACGGCCCCCCCCCGCTAATGCCAAAGCACCTTGGTGTCAGCCATTTTTTTTACGATGATAGGCTTCTTACCCAATCGTTGAAGCGATCCCATTGTTCCTTTTCGTCATCCGATAGTTTTCCGAGAATCTCGGCAATTTGTGCTTGTTTTTCCTAAATAGGTTAATATTTTCGGTACTTTTGCATTAGCGGGGAGGGGGCAGAATTTTTGTATAAGCCCAGAAATTCCTAATACCGAGGTTGAAAGTATTTTAAAAGCATTTTTAGCAAAATTTAACGATACTGAAAGTGGAAAAGATATCTGAAAACTTAAAGTTTCTAAAAAATCAAAATTGTGGTCGAAAACAGGCATTTTTGGACGAAAAATCGATATTTTTGAATTTTTCAATGAAATTTTGTGTGGTTTTTCGTTTCCGAATAGCAAAAAAATAGCTCAGAAACACTTTTTCTATTTATATTAGCAAACATTCGATATTAAGGAAAATCCCCCCCCGATAATGCAAAAGCACCGATAAATCCATTTGTCTATGTAAATCATATTTAAACCTTTGTTGCCAAATCATGACGATGCTGCACTTGCTTCACTTCCCGCACAGCCGCTTGCACTTGTTGGGGCAGAGCTTTCAGCTGAAAAACAACGGCCGCTTGGTGGAGTTGACGAGCCCCTACCGCTTCCTGGTACTCATCCTGGCGGCGAATTTGATTGTTCCGGAACTCGCGGAATTTCAGGAATTCGGCCTGTGACGGAAATTGGGGGTTGGATAGAGATGATTGTTGTCACCTTTGTCTCCTGGGATTGTTTATCCAGCCATGTTGCCACTTTGGCGTCACGTTCTTCCCGGCTCAACTGCTGGTCGGAGATGATGTCCCGGAATTCCTGTAACAAACTAATTCCTAGATTTAACTTTAGGGTCGTACGGTTCTTGTTTGTTAGCGGGGGGGGGGGGAGCGGACTTCCTTGACGAAAATTCAAGGTTCTTTTGCATGATCGGGGGCTATTTTTCCTATTAGTCCAGAAATGCCGAGTAGCGTAATAGTAACTGTTTTAATAGTGCTTTTATTAAGATTTAACCATTTTTCAAGTGGAAAAACTATCTAGAAAAGCTAGAAGACCATGTATCTTGCTCGAAAAATCGCTATATTTTGCATTTTTTATGTAATTTGGAAAGTTTGAAGGTTTAGGCAGAATAAAAATTGCCTAGAGACGCTTCCTCTATTTTAAATTTCAGAACTTAATTTTGAATTTCCTTATTTTAAAGTATCGTGCCTTTCTTCCCGCTTCAGAAACATCATCCAGAAATGGCGCCACGAAGCGATGAGCATTGCTAAGGGCCAAGAGCCCCGCCAGGATGTAGATGAACATTGTAGGGTTTCAGAAAATGCGTAGACCGCGGTCACTTAAACCTTATTTACCTTAACCTAATTTATATTCAGGGTTTGCGCAGCTTGCACGCATAATCGGGTTTTTTTTTGGGGGCAAATAAGTCAACTCGCGACCCAAAATTCAGCGAAATCCGCAAACTGTGGTACTGTTCTGTTAGCGGGGGGTCAGCGGAGGCAGCTGATTTTTAGCGCCTCAAATATTTTAAACAGCTCGAAAAGTTCAAATTTGACTTTTTTGGTTCATTTTCATTCATTTTTGCCGTAAATCGCAGCCATTTTCGCAACTTTTCGGGTTTTTTCTATTTAAAAATAGTGTAAATGCTATAAAAATATTAAAACGGCGTTAAAAAGCCAGATAAATCGTGTGTATGCATTATTATCCGTATTATGCCGTACTTTTCCAAAATTTAGAGAATAAATAATTTATCATCGGCAAACAATAATAATTTCATTCCTCACCGCCCGAACGCGGCCAACTTGGTGTCGAACTCCTTGCGCACGTCATCGGGCAACTCCTTATACAGGGCTTCGATTCTTCGTAACCTCTCCCGGTCCGCCAACCCGGGTTGTGTCATCATGGCCGACACCTTGAAGCAGTTCAGCGTTTATACTTATTCTCCATTGTTAAATGCATTAAAAATCCAGCTATCATATTAAATAAATGCAATAATTGACCCAGTGGATGATTTTAAACAAATTAACACAGCCTGGGTGTAAACTAAAAAAATTCACCTTCTGAAACTGTATCCTGGCCGCCTCGCTCATCCCGTCGACGGCGGTGTGGACCTGAAAGTCGGAGAAGGTGAAAGTGGGTTCTTTGGCATTATCGGGGGGTGGGGTTAAAACCCATTTTTATATTGCCTATTTATCCATTTGTTTTTCCTATTTTTAACTGTGAAAACCCTACAAATTTTCCTGAAAAAATACCAAAACCAGCAAGTTTTCGAAAAATGCCGATTTTAGACCAAAATTTTAAGCTTTTTAAATAGTTTTTACACTGGTAACATACTTAAATTTCCCCTCCCCCGTTAGTGCCAAAGAACCTGAAAATGACATACCTCTTTTTGCTTCTCCTTCATCTCTCGCTCCACTTTTTCCTGATAGCTGTCAAAGGATTTCTGAAGTAATTTTGGATTTAATTTAATTTGTTTTTATTTTATTGATTGGACTATTATTAGTATTATTAACAAAAATATGCCTTATGCTCCGGGTCCCCCTCGGCCATCAATTCCTCAATTTTTCGCGCTTTTTCATCCCCATTCAGAATTGGGTCCTGGACGATGGCATAGAAGCGGTCCTCGATTTCCTTGCCAAGGCCCTTCAGAAATGGCGGGATGATTCGTGTTGGGCCTACTGTTAATTTGCAGTATAAAGTAATTTAATGTAAAAATAATTCAAGCGGATTTTGAGTACTTTAAATCGTTACCTTGTTGTTGCGTGGCCTGGCCGTCTCGCTGAGTCGGCATACTCTGAAATAACATCAGAAAATGAATCAAGTTGGTGCTTTAGAGTCGAATTTTTCCAATCTAAATAAAGGAATTGTTTCGTACATATTTTTCATTATCCCTAAACGTCAAAACTTTAGAAATTCAGATGCAAATATAAAAAAAAACAATCGAGAATTTCACCCAAAAATGACCAATTTCCGATCAAAATTCGAATTTCCCAACACTTTCCAAAGCTTTATAAATAGGTTTCTACTCTTAATATCGTTTAATTTTACTAAAAACTAGCAAAATATGTCCGACTAAATCACTAGTTATATCTCGAGTTTTAGAAAAATTTGGATTCCACAGAACTCCAAAAATTACGTTGCGATCCCGGCTAAAAAGCGGCGGCCTTTCGTCGTTGGAGTATACGGTACCCTCGGAAAACATCGTAGAGGCTAAATTCAGGATTAAAAGGTTAAATTTGTAAGGTTTAAACCCGAGACGGGCCGGGTATTGCTCGGAAAGTATGGGTTTGTCGGCATTCTTCGTGGCTGGCTATTCGCGTAATTCGCATTCGCAAAGTTCGAGTTAGCGTAGTTCGAATTCTCGTAGTTCGGATTGGCGTAAGTCGAGTCGAGGCCCTGGCTGGGGCGAAATTGTTGCATCGGCTGATTTGGATACCCTAGAAAGTTTTTACTGATCAAAATTATTTAAATTTAAACCGCTAAAATCATTTTACCATTAGACCATCAAAAAAATGTATAAATCCAAAGAAAAACCAACCCAGCGGGAAAGTGTTGTAGAATTGTGGTGGTTGCATGGCGCCTCCAAACGATCCAATATTATTCGCTTCTAAACGCCCTATATTAATTTCCAACAATAAAAATACCGTTCTTTAGTATTTCCAGTATACGAAATACAAAAAAAAAGATTTTTCGACCAAAAATTCATTTTTTTTGTGATTTCTAGGTTTTTGTAATATTTTTTCGACTTGAAATAGAGTTCAATGTTTGCGATAAACACTATAGACATAAAAATTGGATTCTTCCACCCCCCCCCCCGATAATGCGAAAGTACCTAGAAAATTTCACTAATTTCAAGTGGCTAAAAAAACATTTTAGAAAACCCTGAAAATTGCGAAATTGTGGTAAAAAATAAATTCCTTTAGAGTTTTCAACAGTAGTATTTTTTGACGTTTATGAGTAGTAAAAAAACAGCCTGGAAACACTTCCCAGATCTGATTAGCAAAATTCGATCGAAAAAGTCTGCCCCTTGGAAATGTAAAAAAGCAAAACAACAAACCGTAGCGCTGTTGCTGTGTATTTCCAGAATATTGTGAATACGATTCGCCCCATTGACAGTAAACTGCCGTTACCAGGATCGACGCGCAAAAATAGAACATTTTGGGGGGGATTGAGGACTGGCCTCGGCGAGCCTTATATATTGGCACTTTCGCTGTCCCCTCCAGGACCGGCCTTTTGCCGGCTTTCACCCTGCCACCGGTCACTTCGCTTCTGCCGTTCCTGGCCAAATTATCCCCCGGGGGCAGTTGTGAGGACCGGTCGGCCGTTTTCACCAGAATCCGCGCTGAAGGACTGGTCACATGTTGTTGCGACGATTATCTCCTAGTTGGGCCACGCGATGGCATGGCTTTTCAAAAATGAAAAGTAACAGCATTACCGTGATAACAGGCTTTGGAGCAGGGAACGCGAGCTCGGTGCTAATGTACAACCGATCCGATATGCTCCAACTCTAAGCTTCTAAGCTAACCCATAGCCTAAACGTAGACTAAGCCTGAGACTAGCTTCATTAACAACCAAGTCTAAGCCAGGCTTAAGCTAAATTAATATAGCAATCTGCAAAATTTTATTTTAAAAAATCTCAAAGAGTATAGATTTTTCGACAAAATGGCCGATTTTTTACTAAAATTTCCACTTTTTTAAACTTTCAGGTAGTAAATGCATTCGGCTACATGGGGTCGACCGGCTAACTCCTCTAACCCATCCAAAAGTTAGTTACGAAAATCTTCCTTATGGACCGAGGGGTGTCCTTTCAAGGAGAGCAAGGTTTCGATTCCCCAGGTTTTCGGGGTGTTTCTCTGGTAATTCATTCGTGAAAATCATCGCTTTTATGCGTGTTAACTTTCATACGCTTACAAAACTAGCAAATTTTGGTGTTTTTATACCATTTGGCGGAGCTGAGCTGTTTTGCTGCGTCCTAAAGGCTCTCCGGAAGATGACCCCCGGTAATTTCCGCGATCCCATGATCCAAAAGCTGTTTCACAATTTAATTTTGATGAGTTTCGTGAACTTGTTGCTTTTCGTGTGCATCTTCATTGGATCCGGCGGATAGGGTCGACTGTTCTCTCTATCGCACCTGTCCCCAGCATCCAGAGGAGTCCTTTGGAATGCTTTTTTCGAAAGTGGCGCCCCTGTGAAAATCTGTTCACTTCACTAGTTGCGCTTTTCGTTTATCTTCCTGTGAACTTCGAACATCTTTTTTCAAAATAGGGATTGGCATTTTTTGCGTATCTAGCACCCCTTCGCGCCCTCTTCTACTAAACATTCCAAAAATCTATATATCAAGAGAAATGGGGGCTATTTAGGCTATTTTGAAGCATTTTTTGACAAGAGGGCGTCGTTTCCAACCGGTGAAAGTGTGTTAAATATGTGTTGCGATTCCTTAATAATTTTCCTAGATCCATATTCCCAAAAAATTGAGTGCTTTAGATGTTTGGGAGCAAACCATTCGGCACAAGTACGACGTCAAGCACATTCGGTGCGCCCGGTATTCAGTTCACATTTTGACCAACCCTAACCTTCGTTTTTAGCCTCTTCCTCGCTTTTTGGCCAAAAGCCCGCCGGCTCCTCCCTATTTGGGACGACAACTTCGACGCCAGCCACCAACTCTTTGTGGGGACAGCAGAAGCCCGCTTCCGGCGGCGGACTGTTCGGATCTAGCGGCGCCACGCAGCAGTCTTCGCTCTTTGGTCAGTTAACCGGTTGAAATTTACCGTTCGCTTGTAGGAAACACCTCGACGAGCACAGCAAGCACATCATTGTTCGGCGGAAGCACGCAGAATAAATCACTCTTTGGAGGCGCCCCGCAAAACACATCCACTTTTGGCTCCCCATCCGCCTCGACTGGCTTGTTTGGTGGCTCGACGTCGACTTCTGGGGGCGGTCTTTTTGGTAATTAGATCATCGCTTGCTACTCAATAATAATTTAGGCGGATCTACGGCTGGTACGAATGGGACGACGATCAAGTTCGAGCCGACCGTCGGCAGTGATACCATGATTCGACAGGGCACACAGACCAATATCAGCACCAAGAACATTTGCATCACCGCCATGAAGCAGTACGAGAACAAAAGCATGGAGGTTCGAAGGGTTTTGATTCGCAACCCTTTTTAGGAGCTGCGTATGGAGGATTACTTGGCGAATCGCAAGACCCCCGCCGCGGGCAGCACCACCGGTGGATCGCTGTTTGGGTCGAGCTCGGCAACTAATAATGCCGGCACGGCACTTTTCGGAAGCCCGGCCTCTCAGAAGAACATCTTTGGCAGCTCTCCAAGTATGCGTTTTTTTGTTTCACCCATTTGAGAATTTAGATTCGACATTTGGCGCCAAGCCAGCGACCGCCTCCACCGGCATATTCGGTTCTCCACAGCAGCAAAACAGCGGCTCTTTATTTGGCGCCTCAAAGGTAACATTAGTTCCTTTGGAAAATTTTCTGTTTATAGCCTTCTGGCGGACTCTTTGGAAACACTTCCGGCAGCACATTTGGAGCTACCCCAGCCGCTAGCACCAGTCTTTTCGGTGGAACGCAACAGCAACAGCAGGTATAAATTGGATATTTTTGTTATATGGAAGATAGCTCTTGTAAAATCCGCTCCACGCACTTAGTAATTTTACCTGCGAAATTTTGGTATTCCAGAGGGGAACAAGTTCCAATTTTTTTGTTATACCAAGAGAAAGTTTTCTGTTGTTGCTGTCCCTGAACTTTACAAATTTTCAATGAAGAATTTCACCAAATCGATTTTATTTTGCTCAAATCAGCTTTTAATGTGGGTTTTTAGGTTCTAATTTTTTTCATCTAGATATAGTTAGATTTTACTGTAAAGTATTCAAGTAATCATTACTAGGCATATCGGGATAGGGAAAAGTCCACCCCGCCCCGAGTTTTTACTTTGATGAATACACTTCCAATTCCAGTCAACCTTCGGACAGCCAGCCAACACGGGTGGTCTCTTTGGCTCAACTGCAGCTGCTCCAGCTTTTGGTGCCGCGACCGCACAACCGTCTACTGGATTCACCTTTGGTGGTGGTGCAGTAGGTATCTTTAGTTTTCTCCCGAACTTTCTTTAGGGCACCACGTCGACGTTCGGCCAGGCTAACACTAGCGGAGGCTTGTTCGGCAGTTCAACTGCGCCCACGGCAGCCGCAACCGGTGGTGGCCTCTTTGGCTCGAAACCGGCGGCTGGCGGAACGTTCTTTGGCGGTGGCACCACCACGAACACATTCGGTATTATTATTTGGTCTACTAAATAACTGATTTTAGGAGGTGCTAGCAACACGGGTGGCGGGCTATTTGGGTCCACCACGGCCAACAAGCCGCTTTTCGGATCGCCGAGCAATACCGGTGGCACATTGTTTGGAGGTGGCGCACAGGCGGGCGGCGGTTAGTTTATGGTTTTTATTGTAGGATTTTGGCAAAGGCGTTAGTGCATTTAGTTGGTTCTTGTTCGTTAAGGCTAGCTCTATCAGCCTATTAATCTCCAAAGTAATAACTTTGCTATTTGATAGAATTTTGGTTGGTTTCCGATTACTAAAAAGTTACTGAATTTTTAAAAAATCCGAAATCGTCATAACTTTTGAGAATCAGTTTTGAAAAAAAGTTTGATTACCTACCTAAAAAAACATTTTTAGTACGTATGGAAAGTAGTAGACAGTAAGGAACAAAAACATCCCTCGCTAATGAACCAGCGCCATTAATTGACTTTTTAGGCCTTTTCGGTGGTCAGCAGGCTCAGCAAGTAGGCGGAACACTATTCGGCGGCGGCCAACAGCAGACCGTTGTTGCAGGTTTGTTAGAATTTGGCCACATTCATAATCCTTTCTAGCTCCAATGCCAGCCCAAGTCAGCATGGCGGCCGCGGCTCCGATTGTGCTCGGATCAGACGTCAACCAGCGCCAAGTCGAACGGGCTCTCTTCGAGGCTCAACTGGCCGCTGCCCCGTACGGCGACGGGCCGCTACTGAAATGGATGAATCAAACAAAGGAAGACACTGAAGCCGTTGCATATGAGAAGTAAGACAATTTATGTAGCTGGTATCCACTTTTAGCACGGATCGACAGCTGAAGTTCCTCCAATCGCTCTCGGGCTCTCCACTTCTCAGCGCTCAAGGCACCCTGTTGCCGCCGTCTCTTCCCAGGCCGGGCACTGGCGCAGCGTCCGACTCGGCTGAACGCAGTCCATTAGTCGTTAAGGTATTTTTAGAGGGAACTTAGGAACTGTAGCCCGGTTCGCACGGTACCATTCGCTGCAATAATACACCCTGAATAGCCATTTCTCAGAGCAGACTTTGTATGTAGAAAAAAACTATGTAAAGTCTAATAATACTCATGGATTAATACATCCCAAAAAGTGCGCGAGCCGAGCAACATTTGAAAATTATCTTTTTAGAGCAACGTCAATATATCCTTTTAGGATCTCTCATATACTTCTCTGTCACGTGCACCCACCCTGGCTAATGGCATCCGCAACGTGCCCGCCATGAACAATTCTCCACTATCCTCCGTTCGCCGCAATCGTAATAACCACTCCAGTCGCTTTGAGTAAGCCATTTTTTTCCTGCTTTTAATAGTCTTTTAGCACCACGGCCACTGCTGTTGATACCGTCTTGTCGGGTGGCATCAATCAGTTGACGTCGGCGAAGAGGGTTACCAACGTCAAGCACTTGGACATCTCCACTTTCCGCGATAAATTCCGCTCACCGTCCAATAATTCGACGGCTGATCCCGATGAGCTGCCCAGGGTCTGTGGATTCTCCGCGATTTTTTATGTGAATTTTAGGTGACTGTACAACAACAAAAGGAGAACATCTACAATGTTCAAGATGATGGCCCGCGCCCTCAGCGCCGCACGGACGCTGCCCCGCCGAAGCTTCTCCTTGATTCGTCGATTGCTGATGATTCTGCCATGCAGGTAATGAAGATATCGGGTTTATTTTTGGGATATGGAAATTCACACTGAAAGGGTTTAAATTGTTGGAATTCTCATAAATTGTACCTGAATTTTACATTCTGGTAGCAAATCATTTTCAACGATTTTTTTAGTCGCCGGCGATCCATAACAAGACTCCGACCAGCCCGGATGGTGGCCGTGGCGCTCATGGCCGAGCCACTTCGCCTCTACGGGCTCGTGATGCCCTCAGATCGCCCGTGTCGCTGGAAAATGCAGAGTACAGATGCGTGCCCACAATCGAAGAGATACAAGCGATGGTAAATTTGAACTTTTTGACATTTTTTTGGGTTGTTAGCAACCCAAAAGACAGCTTTTGAACGAGCGTCATTTTCGACGAAATATCACCTTTTTAGACAAAAGATGGCGTTGTGGAGTTGCCGGATGGGCTTTCGATTAGCCGTCAAGGATACGGAAGTGTGTTCTGGCGTGGCCCTCTCATCTTGAAACGCGAGCTGAAACTCGAAGAGGTCGGTTGTCCCTAAAATGATTTCGAACTTTTTATTTTTAGATTGTCGTCTTCCGTAACAAAGAAGTCACCGTGTACCCGGACGATTCGACGAAGCCCGAGGTCGGCCAGGAGCTCAACCGCCCCGCTGAAGTGACCCTCGAGCGTGTGTGGCCGGTCAACAAAGAGACGAAAGAGCCGATTAAGGTTTGTTTGTTTCTTGATTTTTGATAGCCAACATCATTTAGGACGTACAGCGCCTCGCCGAGCTTCGTTGGCGTGAACGGCTGGAGACAGTGGCTGCCCGTATGGGAGCCACCTTCAAGGACTACCGCCCCAATGATGGATCATGGGTCTTCTGCGTCGATCACTTTTAAAGCAGCTTTCCACTTCCATTATTATGACTCCGTCTATTAACTTGCCCCGTTGATTTGCTACATTTTCGCCCATTAGCCTTTCACATTGTCTTTTTGTGTTATGACAAGTTCTGATTTTATAAATTATTTGACGCCTGTTATTTGTATTTGAAATTATGCCAAATAACTTCAAGACAACGTAACTTTCTTAAGCCGGATCTCCTCGTCGAAATTTGCACGCAAATGGTGATGTTTTGAAGCTTTTCCGGGCATTGCTTAGAAACGGCAGGACGTAGTCAGCGCATGAGATAAGAGCGCGTGGTGCTGTTCAGCAACATGCCAATTTACCTGCTATCAGCGGGCAGGGCCAAGATAAGGACAATCTGTCTCGCCTGGCACACGCCAACCCGCTGCGTACTCCTTATATATTTCAATGTTCTCTATCGGTGGCCATGTCGAAGAGGCCAGACGTGTCAATAATTGCCGGTTGACCCCGGCACAGCTTATGGATATTCAGCGACAGAGGCTCAGAACATCGCTAGTACCCCGCATCCGACGCCACACACAATAAACGCCTGAATTGGTGCGCTGCTATGGATGGATGACCTGATGAATGAACCGATCTCGCGATACAGATAAATGACGAATAAGCCCTCTACCTCGCACCTGAATGCAGCCTTTCGAAAGCGCTACCATCTCTCCAAGAGATTTCCATAATTTTCATAGCAATTCTTAGAAAATGACACTAGTCATGAAAACCAATTATGCCATTTTTCCAAGTTTCCATTTGTTTGCCTTTGTTTTCTACCCTTCTGCAACCTGACAATGTAAACCTTCCCAAAAAAGGGACAACCGATTTATGCGAAACGGGGATTAAAAATGAGATCAACGTGCAACTTAAAAATACAAAAATTAATCAGAATCATCAGAATCAACTACTCGCTTCTTTTTCTTTGGCATGATCTCCTCCTCATCGCTGTCCTCATCGAAATATTTTCTGGCAGCAGCGGCCGCAGTGCGCCCACCGGTCTTCTGGAAAAAAAGGAGTTCTCTAACCAAAACGTAAAATCGCTACCTGTCTGGGCGCAACGGGTGAGTCGTCGATGATGATCGAATCATCCTCATCGTCATCCGATCCCTTGCCCTTCTTCTTCGAGAAGAAGTCGGTCATCTTCATAGCACCATTCGAAGCACCGTTCGTCTTTTTGGGGGCAGCTTTAGGCTTCGGCTCGGCCTTGGCAGCGGGCTTCTTCTTGGCCGGCTTTTCGTCTTCGTCGTCACTCACGACAGGCTTCTATGATATTATAGTGGTAATGGCAAAAAATGTGTCACAAACCTTTTTAGGTGCAGCTTTCTTGACGGGGGCCACTTCAACAACATCATTGCTTTCATCATTTTCTTTAGACTGATCGGAGAGGCGCTTCTGTTGGCGAGCCGTTTTCTTGGTTGGGACGAACACGTCATCATCATCGTCGTCAATGAAAGCCGACTGCAAATAAATACATGTAGGCAGACTTTGATCTTACATTGTCAGCATCATCGACAAATGAAAGCTCGCTGCCGTCACTGTCGTCGCTGTTCCAAGTCTCCTTTTTCGGCTTCTTTGCAGCTTTCTCCCCAGGCTAAAACGAACCTGTAAAAACCAAAACAGCTTGATACCTCTTTCTTAACCCTCGGTTCTTTCGGCTCCTTTGGCTCCTTGGGCTCACGAGGTTTGCGCTCTTTCTTCGGCTCGTTCATCTTCTCGTACTTCTCCTTCAGTGCCTTGTCGATCGACGGCTCCACGCGCAATCCGTCCTTCGCCGGGAAGACGTCCTACAAACTGGTTGAAAAGCGGAAGCAATACGAAATACCGGAACGACTGCCGCATTCTTTTTCTTGCCCTTTGGCTCTTCCTTGAGGTACTTCTTGGAGGTGTTCTTGACCGCAGATTCCATATCGGCGCGTTCTTTCGCTTCCTAAGATTGAAATAACAGCAGTTCCAGGAACCAAACCTGTTTATCCAGCTCCACCAAGAAGGTGTCCAAGTCATGAGTCCAAAGATCCGACCAGGACTTCGAACGTAGTTCCTCAAGCTCATCGAGCTTGGCTTGAGACTCCTGCAATGAATGAACTTCAAAATAAGGAAAAGACACACCTTCAGCAGTTTGTCCTTTTCTTCTTCGGAGAGCTTGATCAAAGCCATTCCGACCAGATAGTCGTAGTCGGATAGCTTCTGATCGACCTTCTTCGCCTCGGTCGGAGCGGCCTGTAGCGGGATTGAAACCGAACAAAAAAAGAGACTCACGCCATCGTCCTCCTGCTCCTTTTCGTCATCCTCGTCTTGTGATACCTCGCCGCACATCTCAAGCTCCTTCTTCTTCTGCACATCCTTCCATTTCTTAACCGGATCGGGATCGAAACCCTTCTTGATGAGCTGCTCGACAATGTTTGCCTTCTTCTTGTTCTCCATCAAGATGTCCCCCTTGATCTTCGCTAAGATGAAGCGCGCCTACAACAATCATAAAATAAAATTTTTTTTGGTTACTTGATTAGACAGCCTGTCGCTTTGTGCCTTCAGCATGCCTTCCATGAAAGCCTTTCTCTCAATATACTTCTCCTTGCGGGTGTCGAAGAACTCGCGGCAGATGTCTTCAGCCGTATTGAAACTGAACAACATTGCTCCCATTCAAAATGCAATCACTGACCGCCTCAAGCAACCGGCAGCATCGAAGAGCACCATTGAGCTCGTGTTGATGACCGTTTGCAACTTCATGACTTTGTGAAGCCCGTCTCGCTCCATAGCTCGAAGTCGGTCGGCACCCACCTAAGGCCAACAATTTCAAAATCCACGTGCTAGTACAAACCTTGACCACAAAGCGGACCGTCTGATCCGTGTGATATTCCTTGAAGTCGTTAATCAGGGCAGGGGTCTTGTCAGATTCTGTCATTCCTTCCAACACGTTTTCCTTGTACGTTTGTGTCCAGGTGCGGACAGGCAGTTCGGTGATTTCGAATTGCTCATCGTTGAGTACAGCAACTTCACCCGACACGACGAAACGCGTTGGATCGAGTTCTTCAATGGTTCCCCGGAAGTTTTTGAACCAAGGTTTCTAAAAGGGCAAAATAATAACTAGCTGAATAAATACCAGCTGCTTCAAGTTATCGCCCCGAATAAGTCTCTTGATGGCGTCGACAATGTCTCGAGGATTGTAGTTGGGAATATTGCTCGCCCAACCAGTTCCAATACCTGAACCACTACGGTATTAAAGTGATAGGATAAATCTATACCGCTTGCCCCGTTCACGAGCACCATGGGGATGATCGGGCAATACCATTCAGGTTCAATCTTCTGGTTGTCTTCAAACAGGAAGCGGAGCACATGGTCGTCATTTGTCGGGAAGAGGTGACGCGAAACCGGGCTATAAAACAAGAAAATAAAGGGTAAAACAGCAGGAAAGCTTTTATTAAACGGAACTCACTTCAGCATTGTGAAAATATAACGAGGACTGGCACTGTCCTTTCCACCTTGCAACCGTGTACCAAACTGACCGATGGGCAGCAACAAGTTGATGTTGTTAGAGCCAACATAATCCTAAAAGAAGTTAAAAGCAACGGAAATGCGCAAACCTGAGCCAGATTGACAATCGTGCTCATCAATGAGGCTTCACCGTGATGGTAGGCGGTCAGCTCACCAACGGCTCCAGCCAGCTGAGCCACTTTCACTTCGCGTTTATCGGCACGTTTGAAGCAGGCGAAAATCACCTTAATCAAGTTGTACACATAGCAAGAACGGTGCGCACCTTTCGCTGTCCAGGCTTGAACCCATCAACGAGGCAGGGAATCGAACGCTCATTGTCAGTGTTGGAGAACAGCACCAGCTCTTTGTTGATGAAGTCGGCGAAGGTCACCGACCGCGTGTCCTAAAAGAAAAGGTTGAATCGAATTCGATCGTCACCATCGAAAAACAAACGATTCGCTTCATTTTGAACTCCTCACCTTTCCGTAGAGGTAATCCTCTTCCAAACCCCGAGCACGACGCTCCTTCTTCTCTTCCATCCATTTGGTCAGCCAATCCTTACGCTCTTCGATCTTCTTCTTACTAAGCAAGGAATAGTTGTCAAAGCCCAGATACCACGGATTACCTGAACGCCATCTCTACAGCGACATCGTCGTCAACACCACCATACTTGAAACGGATGCGATGGCGAATCATGTCAGAGAAGTATTCCTTCGCTTCCTTGGAAGTCGAAGTACCCAATCCCTTGTAGTACTTGATCCGCCAGGTTTTCCAGTTATCCGTATTGTTGCGCCACTCGCTATACTCCGGCATTGAGAAGAACGAAATCTCCTCCTTGCCTTTTGTTGCCTAAAAGCAAATTAGCTAGTCGCCGCTAAAAATAACACAAACCTTAACAATCGGCGTGATGAATTCTTCAACAAAATTGCGTCGAATCAGCGATGGCCAGTTGGTGTGGATGAAGTTGATGACCAGCCCTTTGATGTGCGACCCGTCTTGATCCTGATCAGCCATCACCATCACTTTGCCGTAACGCAGCGACTTCATGTCATCATCGGTGTCGTACTTTTTCTTGTATTGAAGACCCAGGATTTTGATCAAGTTGTTGATCTCCACATTTTCGGCGACCTAATATCAGCACATTTAGTAAGTGGAGAAACCATACCTGTTTGTTATTGCCTTCACGAACGTTCAGCAATTTTCCGCGCAGCGGGAAGACTCCATATCGGTCACGACCAACCACACCAAGGCCGGAAACAGCCAACGTCTTGGCTGAATCTCCCTCGGTGAGAATCAGCGTACAGTGCATCGAATTCTTGGTGCCGGCATCGTTGGCGTCTTCGAGCTTGGGAATGCCCTTGATCTTGTTAGTCTTCTTGCCAGAGCACTTCTTATCCAGATTCTCCATCTGCTTGAAGCGCACCCAAGATAGAACGGCGTCCACAATCCCACAGTTCATAGCCTAAGTTGGAAATACGAAGACCAAGAAAAAGTCGATACCTGCTTCACAAACTTTTCGCTCATTTCGCACTTGCTGCCGAAGCTTTTGCTTTGAAGAGTCATAGTTTCTTTGGTTTGCGAGTCGAACGTCGGATTCTCGATGAGCGAGTTGACGAACACCCACATGTGGTTCTTGACTTGGAAAGGCTTCACGTTGACGGAACTTTTGCCGGCTTTTTTGCGAATCGTTTCGATCAGCTTGGCGACGATTTGATCAGCCACATAGTCGACGTGGCGTCCACCCTTGGTTGTGGCGATAGAATTAGTGAAGGAGACTTGTTGGAAGCCTTTCTCACTGACGCAAAGTGCAATCTACACAACAATTATTGGGAATAAGTGAGGCTACATACCTCCCAGCGAGGATTCACTTCTTCGTAACAGACTTTGATCGGATCGCCGTTGGATTCGGTTAAATCCTTGGTGTACTGCTCGACGTACTGTTTGAAGCCCGATACCTATACAAGCGATTAACGAAAATACACTCAGACAAACCGGGATAAGCTTTCCATTCAGGTACACCTTGACACCACGACTTGAGCCAGCGATGTCAAAAGCACGTCTCGACATGAGTCCGATAATGTCGTCGTCAAGCTCCTTCATCTTGAACTTTTTGAGGTCGGGTTTGAAGGTGACCTAAGAAAAAAAATAGTTGTTAAGGGATAGCTGTATACCTTGGTGTAATCATCGCCCTTCTTGGCAACAATCTCTGGCTCCTTGTCCTTGGTCATGTTGTTGATCCAGGTCTGACGGAAAGCCTTCCCGAACTCCTTGCTGCTTGTCTCCAAGGTGAACTCGGTGGAAAAGATGTTGCAGAGCTTGGCACCATAACCATTACGGCCACCAGTGACCTGAAACAATTTGACATTAGGATATAGGCCAGCAGAAAACCTTTTTCTCTGAATCATCATAGTTCGATGAGGTTAGAAGAGTTCCGAAGATGAGTTCGGGTACGTAGATCTTTTCTTCGCGATGGAAAGCGACGGGAATTCCCTTTCCGTTGTTGTAGACAGAGATCTTGTTATTTGCCCTAAATAGATTTTTTTGCACAGAAGAGGACGCTGACTTGTCAATATCGATCCTAATCAAGTTCATTTTTGCGTCGCGTTGTTTGTTATCTGCAGCATTCACCAGGATTTCGTCAAAGATCTAAAAATTTAGCGTATCCCGTTATCCACCTAATGTCACCTTGTAGAGCCCGGGCACGTAGCTGATCTCCCTCTGCACCAATTTCTCAGACTCGGAATCGTAGACCCACATTGCCTAAATTTAAATATTTAGGTATCGTAAAATCGCTAACCGTTTTGTCGGTATATTCGACGGAACCAATGTAGGTGTCCGGACGAAGAAGAATGTGCTCGAGTTGAGATTTCTTCTGGTAGATCTTCTCAATGGTGAGCTCGCCTAGAAAATCAGGAAAGTAAGTAATTCATAACTTTTGTTTAACCTTTCTTGGCCGTATCCATGTTGGTGAACACAGCACGGTCTTCAGCGGTCATCACCGAGGAATTGAGATCAGCTAAAATCAACGTACCAAATGCGCATAAGCTACTACCTTTAGCCTTTTTTGGGGAAGCTTTCGGCTTTGCATCTTTCTTCGGGGCAGCCTTCTTCGGCTTGAAATCCTCGTCATCAGAGATCTCGAATTCAGAGTCGCTCATCGCGAACTGAAAACGATCTTTTTGAGGGGAATAACTATAAAAGGAGGATGGATGAAGTCGAGAATGGCCGTACTGGCTAGTGCGAGGGACGCGCAGCTCTTTTCCTCTTTTCGAACGGAAAAAGGCGGGAACGCGTCTGTGGGCCGGGGCCGTAGGGCACACCCGACCCCCAAGTCGGAACATAGTGCGAGAATGGAACCCGAAAAAACCATCAGAATGCATTTTCTCATAAATAAAGAGCCCTATGAAAACAGTAACTTTAGTGGGCCTGATTCGGGGCAAGCCGATCGACGACAGTTCCCGCTGCTAGTTTAGATGCTGGTTGCAGAAGCAAAGCGCCTTCAAAATGTATTTTCGGCCATGAAAGCCGTTGTGGAGAGGCTCAGCTGTAAGAAAACAGTCCAATGAAGACAAATGAAGCACAGCATGGCGTATAAAGCGCCGTTCCAAACACCATCTCTTCCGCAGTACAGTTCAAAAAAATTTATTAAAATACACGTGCGAAAAATAGAGGAAAGCCAACAAAGACTAGCAGAGAACAATATAATCACAACTGTCAATTTAGGAAGGACAGTATTAAACAAAAAAAACGAAACAACATGGGGGACAAGCGAGTGTCGGTGAGTCTCGCTATTTTATTATTTGGTTGAGGGCCGCCTTCTACGATAGGTCCATGCCAAAGTCGTCGTTGGGCCGATCACGAGCACGCGTCGGGACAGCAGAGTTGACGGCCGGAGGATGGTTTGTCTTCTGCCGACGTTGCCCGGTACTCAAGCTGAACACACTAATAAAGGATAATAACGCAGTGTTCGAAACCACAAAGCTCGGTACCGCCTGGTAAAGTAAAAAAACCCAACCTTTGATAGGGCTTCTGGAGACCGAGCATGGCTGGCGTCGTCAGCAGGCCCTTCGCGCTGATGATGGGCGATGGCGCCGTCCCGGAGTTTGTCTTGAAGGCTTCAGCCAAGTGGTTCCGTGTGCTGATCACGATATCCTGAAAAACAACGTCAAATAAGAAACGAAATCGAAGTGTAGTGCAAAAAGGATCAAATTATTACCCGTCCATTGGGTGTGCTGGTGACCGCATCGAAGACGAGTGACCCGGAGAATGACTGGCTGTCGCCGAGGCCTGAATCTAAAGTTAAATCAAACATCCAACCCGATTTCATACCTGGTGCGCCGCCGAGATAGTCGGGTTGATTGGGGAGGCCCTTAGCGAGTGCTTCGTACTTGTTGCGCAGCTCCTCAAAATCCTGCTTGAGCTGGTCGTAGTCGGCGGTGATCTTTTCGTTGTGCTTCTTTATGGTGCCGCATTGTTTCAGCAGGCCCCTCAAGAAGAAATATTATAAGAACTTGACCAAAACGTACTGCTCTCTTGACTTCATCTTCTCGATCTCACCACGCGCCGACTTCGCGTAACCGACGGCTTTTTCCGTCTTCAAGGTGACGTGCTTCATCAGGCCGTTCTTGTGCCGTGCCTGGAACTCGAGTACTCGTTGCAGCTCGGCCATCATTTCTTGCGCCAAGTCTTTTGCCGGTCGGAACAAGTTCTAAATGGATGACTCGATGGCAAAAATAATCACTCACTCGGAACTTTGCAACGATGTTACGGTTGATTTCCATGTATTGTACTTGCTCCTTCTTGCAAAGAAAGCATTGTCGGTTTTTCGCGAACGACGCACCTAAAAACATTTGGAGGTCAACTAAAACCCTTACCTTTTGCGCAGCATGCCTTGCAGAAGATGTGGCCACATGTGACGAAGTAGTAGTGGATGGCCGGCACACCTCCGGGCAGAGTGAAACACGCGTTGCAGTGTAGCCAACGTTCGGCGCTTGTCGGAGTGGATGAATTTGGGGGAGGCGCATGGCTCTCCGCGGTCGATGCATCCATTCGACCCTGGAAAGTTGAAATTGTTAACGCAAAAAAGGAAAACGAAAGTGAAAGGGTCAAAAGGAAGGCCAAAAGCTCGTAGCACCGGTACGAGGCTCGTAAAAATTGGTTTTAAGTCATTCTACGAGCAAATGTCAAACAAAAAAAGAGAAGTTCGTGAATAAACCAAAATCAAAATATGGCAAAAGAAGAAAGTGGTGTATTTACACGAAAAGGAATTGTTAGAAAATGCGAAAATCAGCAGTCCATGGTCAGTTTTTGGGTCCCGCCACGAATATAGTAAATAGACCGTTCGTTGGAGCCATTCGGAACTTTTCTTCAGAAATTAAAAAATTTGGTGGTTTTATATTGTTTTCAAAGGTTTATTTTTTCTAACATAACATTACCTAGGTAGCAGAACAGAGAAAAATGGCTAATTTCGTGTTTTTCGACATTATATAACGTTATCCAGGCCCATTTGGAAGTTTAAGAGAATAGAATAAGCCTCTAAAGGGTTGATTTTTGCTCGGGAGCGCTGAAACAGCTAGATTTTCCTTGTTTTATAAAATCTCCGTCGTCTGAAAATCAGAAAATGGTGTAGGCCCTTGCTATTTTTTAGCTGTTTTATATGTTTTTAGATGTTTACAGCCGTGTCCTTGCTGGCCATCTCTGCCTACATCAGCGTTACCGGGCAAACACAAAGCTACGTCAACGGCGCGGCAATCCGTAGGTGTCGGCGGACGTAGATTTTTTAGTATTGATTCCTGTCGGGAGCGCTCGTTTACACAATTTTCGACGTCAATAAAACATATCTGCTAATCGAAGATTTTCTGTTTACCCTTTTAAATAGGACCGTATAATTTTAGCTCAGCACCACAACAAGCTTTTCTGAAAGTAATCTTGACGATTCCTCCCAACATTGTCAGCATATCTGTTGGGAATGGCGGCCGCCGTGGGTGTATCCGCCTTAATAATTGTATACGATAGGGCTTCGCTCCGTCTCCTCCTAATCCCCAAAACCGCCTCGAATCTCGACAAGGGCTTCAGGTGGTGGCGCCTAGCCGAGTTCTGTCATTTTTCCATTTCGCCCGGCACTCATGATCGGCGGCAATCGAAGGTCTGACTATGGAAACCCGGATAGCCCGTCGCACAGCCTTTCACAAGTCAAGGTCGGTTTTTTTGGTTAAAAAACATAATTCAAAGTTTCTCGGGGGAGGGGGAGCGACAGTTTTTAGTATATGTGTAGAAATGCCTAATAAGTTAATAAAGAAGATGTTTTAATCGTGTTTTTAGTCATATATAACTATTTTCGACTAGAAAAACTATCTAAAAACTTGAAAAGGTCGAAATTTTGGTGAGAAATCGACCATTTTTGCGCGGAAAATCGATTTTTATGTTTTTTAATAAAAATTTGTGAAGTTGTCACGTCGTCTCGTCAGTTGTCTCGTGTGGCGGGCAGGGCTAAATCCATAGAAAATCTATAGCTAATAAAATTCGCTTGTATGCCTTGCCCGTCCCTTTAATTCACGTTTCAATCAGGTCGACATTTTCCCGATGCCGCGAGGAAACAGCGAAGATGCTGCTCCGGTTCGCAAGGAATCTCCCGTCGTCCTCAACCATCCGCCCGAAAACCATCCATTCCAAATGCCAACCGTGCGCCGCGGATTGTAAGTTCTCTATGATTTTTAGGCCCCGATTTTTTTTTGTTTTTAAAAGGGCAGTCATTTAGTACATTTATGCCCTTTATCCGGTAATCATTTAACCGGTAACGGCCAATACGTCCTCAGAAAATGCACGCCCTTTGGGACTAATTTGGCCATGCGCGCCCTTATTGAAAGGGATGTTCTGAGGACTATTGTGAAACGCCGAAATAATAAATTGGCAGCTATCGGTTTATTAAAATATGTGTATTGTTAGTTTTTTGTTGTTGAATTTGGAGCTTTTGCATTATCGGAGGGGGGCTTTTACGTAGGATCCCCTTTTTGTAATATATAAAATATAGAGGACGTGTTGTAAGCTGTTTGGATTTCATTTATTATTTTTATTTCTATTGAAAAAATGCAAAATCGATTTTTGGACCAAAATTTCAATTTTTTGGTTTTAGATAGTTTTTCTTGGAAAAACTAGTTAAATTTCGTTAAAAACACTATTAAAACATTTACTATTACGCCAGCATTTCTGAACCGATAGGAAAAAATATCCCCCCACCGCTAATGCGAAAGAACCTTGAATTTTGGTAAAATCAAAAAAATTTCAAATTTTCGAAGAGTGTTTTGATGGCTTTCGAGTAATCAAAATCTGCTAAGATACGATATAAAACGTTAAAATTTTTGTCGTTCGGTTATGGGCCAGATATTCCCCCGCTAAAACCCCAGTACCGAATTCTTTGGCATTGATGCCCCCAATCTTCTTTCGCTTGATATTTCCGCCCCGTCCAAATTGCAGGCTTTCTCAATGGGCCAAAATCGATGAGCGGTGAGTTAATTGGGGCCTATTCGAGTCGACCCGATACAATACACGGATTAGACATCGCCCATTTACCCTCCGGTGGCGCTCCCGTCCCGTTTCTTTACCACCTAACATTTGTATAACAGTATTTATATCCACTTTCCACAGTTTTGTAGTTATTAACGTTAATTTACTTAAATACTTATGTTAGAAAAATTTCGACGACTTCACCACCAGTTTCCGGTCATCTGGGTTGTTTAGGTGGTCATGTTTACTTCTTCAAAAGGCACAACCGCGGCAAGTAGTAGAATAAATAAACAAGTGATTAGTTGATTAGCGCCCCCCGGGGACGCGCCGCCTTTTCCGTGAATTAATTGAAAAAGAGGGGGTGTGCTTTAGTGTGGGGGACCCCAGTAAAGGCCCTTTTGTTTAATTAGGCTGTGGGGCTAATTTTTTAAGAGGTTTATGAGTAAATTGGTTTGCTCGGTTAGTTTACATTTATTAATACGAGTGGCTTGGTACTTTTGTATTAACGGGGGGGGGGTTAACGGGACCAGCGTTTTCCCTTTATTTAGGATCCGATTTTTCTGAGGCATTGTCTTAAACTATTTTTACGATTCTTAAACGTAAAGCTTACATTTTTTTTGTTAAACAATACAAAAATATCGATTTTTCGTCCGGAAATGGCCGATTATCGACAAAAATCTGTTTTTTGTTAAGTTTTTTAGATAGTTTTTCCACTTCAATATCGTTAAATTGTACTAAAAACACCATTAAAAAAGTACTCACGATTATATTCCCAGATATTTCTGGACTTATAAAAATATCCCCCCCCCCCGATAATGCAAAAGAACCCCCAGTTAAATCTTAATAAAAACCATTGAATAAATTTTTTTATTAGATTTTTAGGCATAGCTGCAATTTTTGGGGCAAACAAAAATTTTTTGTTGGAGTTTTCGAGTTAACCCCCCCCGGAAATGCAAAAGTACCCAGAAAGGCTTCGAAAAGTCGCCTAACATCATTTCCTCGGCTCTGGCCATCGAAAATCGGGTGCCATTTCACAACAAAATGACTGGGGGTGGGGGAAGATGGATCTCACAAATCCGACAAAAGGGTCGATTAAGGGCGGGTTAATCCGGATCCGGTCGGAAAAGTCCCGAGAAAGCTGGGCCCCACTCGGCTGATTGGCCCCAAGACCCAGGGAGGGGTGGGGGAGCATCCCTGGAATCCGGAAATCGCCTTATCTGAGTGGGACCCGCAGATCCCCGCACTATAATCCGCCCCGGTTAGACGAGTCGGACAAAACAGTCATTAGGGGGAGAGGTGAGGGTGGGGCCTACGGTAGATACTGCCTAGGGGGGCACATCTCAAAAACAGCTAAACGCCGCACATACCCCCATTTCCGGGATTTTCAAAGACTGGCCTCTCGCCCCATCCCTTTCTTCCAGGATGTGAGTTTTTCTTGGTTTTTAGAGGATTTTTGGGTGGAGATATGGTTACACTATTTATTTAGTCCAGTTCTTAGGTTTTAAATACTCGATTGGTTTCATTAATTCGAAAACTCATTAAATTGCCCAATAGTAAGGTTAATTAATGATCTAGGTTTTTTAATAATTATATATTAATCAGTGGTAATTTTGCATTATCGGCGGGGGGGAGCTAGTTTTTCATATTCCAGAAATTCCTAAAGACGTTGTAATAACTTTTTTCATATTGTTTTTAGTAAAATTACCGATATTTGAAGTCGTAAAATTACATAAAAGCTTGGAAAATTTTTAGGTTTTGGTCGAAAATCTTTTTTTTAACGAAAATTTTAGTGCTTTACGTTTCTTTATTGATGTAAACAACATATGTAAACAATTTCTCTATTGATTTTAGACCTAAAAAAATCGATCCTTCGAAAGAAAAAAATTTTCCCCCTGAAAATATTAAAGACCCTTCGTTTTTGTTTGTTTTATCCTGAAAAACACATTTCGTGACGTCTATTAAATGATTAAGCTTTTCCCCACCCTATGCAAATATTTCTGATACCTTACCAATTAGTATAAAAGTCTAATCCCGGCTTTAGAGGGGGTTTAACCAGGCGAAAAAGCTTGGTGCTGGATGGCGATCCCCCGTTCCAGGATGATGGTCGCCCGTCTGAAGGCCGACGAGCGCGAGGTGAGAAGCGAGCCGGCCACCTTCGACAACGACAGGTGAGTGGGAGAGGGGGGAACCCTCATTTCCGCCAAAAATTGCCCCATTTCCTATCAAAATAGACGGTCATGATTGCGGGTATTGGCGGGGCCATTGAACGCTCGGCTAGCCTATCTTATCCCAGGAAAAGCCTTCAAATGTTTTTATAAGGTGAAGGCCATTTCGTATAACTATATGGTGGAAATACCATTCGGGATCAGGCGTATCCTTAGCCCTATTTTCCGCTGATTCCGAATAGGTTTTCAGAATCTTTATGACGAGTTTTTTAGAAGTGCAAAGATTTTTTGATTCTAAAAACTATTAAAATGGCTTTTTTTACTTATAAAGGTTCCCTATGATATTTAGGTGAACCAAGTTGCTGCTCTTGCTCAAAAATTATCTTGCAGAGCTTGCTCAGCTCAAAAATACGAATGAGCAGCGGCTTTCGAGCATTAGTTTTCCGCAAAAATCTCTTTGAGAGGAGGTGCAACGCCATAACGTACCTGAAAAATTTTTGAAATCGGCTTGGGATAGCTCATTCGAAGGCGCATATTTTTTCGAGCATGAGGTGCTGATTGATTTTACTTTGCTATCTTTTCAGGCATTTTTACTGGCATTGAAACTGGTCAGTTTGGACTTTTTCGCGCTATAAAGGGCTTGTAGCGGCTTCAAAATGGTAATTTAGCAGCTGCCGGAAGTAGATTCAGAATCAGCGCAAAATTTCGGTACAAGATAGGTTTCGTATGGCCTCGTTAATTGTTCCTAAATTGATTTAGCTCGCAATCTTTTGTCATTTTTCTCGACGTTAAATTTTTTCGCCCACCCTCACACAATGGCTTTTAGGGTTTTGCAGGTCAGCTGGCTACGGTAGGATTTCCAGACTAGCCTGATTTTGAGAAAAATAATTTGGAAAAATACAGGATCGCCTGGTGCTCACTCAAAACCTATTCAGGCTAATAAAACCGTCTCCATGTATTGGCGGCGATTGGGCCCAAAGCTAGCTTATCCCGGGCGGATCAGCCGGCAAAATGGAGCTTTTATGCGTGTCAGGCCTTCTGAAAGCTTTTATTTAGCGACGCGAGCGATTCATCATCAGTAGACGCCGAATTGCCCAGCCGATTCCACCCAAATCACCATCCACACGCATCACAATCTGTTGCCCGGGTGGTGGCTGAGGACGCGCTATCACGCACCATTTCCGCCCAATCTCTGCCCGTCGGAAATTCGCAACCCTATAACGGTATTTATAGAATTTAAACTTGAAAGGTCTATTCTAGATGGAGCTTCGATGACGCAATATGATCGAACGATCCAGATGCTGGCTGAAGACCCGATTTATCAGAAAGAAGTGGCGCTAGGTAATGGAAACGGGCTGTTTCGCGTTATTGGGGGAGGCTATGTATCCCTAACTGTAAAGTGTTTTTACTCAACTTGGAGTTTCGATTCGGGACCAAGTGCATCTTGTGCAGAATTTTTCGCTGATGCCGAATATGTTTTCCAAATTTGCTACGGACTTTTATTTAGAAAATCATTTTTGGTAAAAATTAGGCCGAAAAATGCCAAAAATTCAGACGCTGGCCCACTATTCCTTGTTTGGGGCGATGGTTCCCAGGCGCCCTGAAGTTCCCTCTTACAGCTCCCTACCCAGTTGGTACCATGGTGAATTGGCAAAGTACTCGCTTGCCAAGCGCAGGGCGGCGGTTCGAACCCCCGCCCTGCATCATTTCTTTTGCTTTTTGCATAACAAATCCCATTTTTTATCTAAAATGCTTGTTTTGATCTGTAGGATGCTTGTTGAGCCAACGTCTAGTCGATTTTGACGTTGAAATTAATGCAGAAAATCGAAAACTATAACGATACCTTGATTTTAGTGAAACTAGGGTCATAATTGCCGTATAACTTTCAGAAGGACGGTCCGTAGCAAATTTGGAAAACATATTCGGAATCAGCGAAAAATTCTGTACAAGATGCACTTGGTCCCGAATCGAAACCCCAAGTTGAGTAAAAACACTTTACAGTAAGCTTCAGATTTATCTATTAACAAGTATTTTAATTGTGTTTTGCGCAAAATTTGAAGCGGAAAAATATCTTAAACCTTAAAAAGCTTAAAATAATTTTTGCCGGAAATCGATATTCCTGAATTTTTAGGAAAAGTTGTGTATCGTTTTACGTCAACGAAAGTAGAAAAAACAGCCCAGAGACGTTTCTTCTATTTTTTATTTGAAAAATTCGATGGCAAGGAAAAATAGTAATATGACAATGGGCAAAAACTATCTGAAAACTTTGAATTTTGATCGAAAATCGGCGATTTTATCCGAAAGATCGAGATTTTTGTATTATTAAGAAAAAATTTAAAAGTTTTTACGTTTGGGAATAGTAAAAAGAGTCTAGAACGAGTTACCCTATTTACATTAGAAAAATCGCGTTCAAGGAATAGTTCGGAGTCGTTTTCGTCCATCCAAAAATTGTTTTAGGTAAACGAATCGGCTTCTACCGGCTCGGGAAAGAGCTGGGCGCCGGGAATTTCTCGAAGGTCAAGATGGGGATACATGTATTGACCAAAGGTGAGATTTAGCTGGCAACAAAATCTTTTTTTTTATTCAGAAAAAGTGGCGGTGAAAGTGATGGAGAAGACAAAAATGGACCAGAAGCAGCAGCGATTGTTGGCAAGGGAAATTTTGACGATGGAGAAAATGAACCATCCACACATCGTACGGTTGTTCGAGGTTTGTTAGTGTCGGTTTCTGATAGAAAACGAATATAAATAAATAGTTATTTTCGTATATAAGTCATTTTTTTTCTAGTGTGTCGAGACGCTCACCCGAATGCACTTGGTGATGGAGTACGCGGGCGGTGGCGAGCTGTACGCATATGTGCACGATAAAGGCAAATTGTCCGAACAGGACGCGAAGCCGCTTTTTGCGCAGATTGTATCGGCTGTGCACCATATGGTATTCTATACTTTAGTTAATTACTAGGTGCTTTTCCGCTATCGGGGGAGGCAAAGCAACTTTTTCTTGGGATCCAACTTTACTTATATAAACAGCCAAAGCCTTTTAAGATGTTTTTTAATATTCCTAATCGTAAAAACTACGCAAGTTTTTATTAGAAAAATACAAAGAATACCTATTTTTTTGACCAGAATCAAAAAGTTTCTAAGTTTTTTAGATATTTTATAGTTATATATAGTTAAATTTGCTAAAAACACTATTAAAATACTTCATATTTCGTTGCTAGGCCTTTCCAGAATTATAGGAAAAAATGACCCCCCGATAATGCAAAAGTCCCGATTACTTTTTTTATAGCATTCACGAGAAATCGTCCATCGCGATATAAAGGCCGAAAACGTCATGTTCAGCGCGCCAGGGCATGTAAGTTCCGCAAAAAAAATAGAAAAAACCATTTTCGTGCAACATAAAAAAACCCGGTTTTCAGGTGAAACTCGTGGATTTCGGCTTCTCATGTCACACGCCAGGTACCGTAGAGCTGGCCACATTTTGCGGATCTCCACCCTATGCTGCACCCGAATTATACAGGCATGAAGAACTGGTAGTAGAAGATTAAAGCGAGATTTTAGAGACAAATCTTACAATGGGCTAATGGTCGACATTTGGGCCCTCGGCGTTTTGCTGTATTTTATGTTGGTCGGGATTACACCATTCAAGGGGGAGACGGTGGCCGAGTTGAAAGAGGTTGGTTTTAATGAATATTTTTTTATATAAAAATAAGCATAAAATATGTATAAAACGCGTTACCGAATTATTAAAGGTAATCATCGTGGGCCAATACGCGATGCCCGAATATCTGTCGACATTTGCGCAACATATGATCGCCCGGATGCTGGATATGGATCCGGGAAAACGGATGAGCATCCATGAAGTCAAGGTGGGTAAATGGAAGCTGAAAAGCATAAACAAAGAATTTGTTTAATTAGTTATTGAATTAAATTATAAAATGCTAGAAAAATCTAAAAGAACCATGGTTTTTAGAAAGCCTATTGGTTACGTGAGATCAAATTTCCGCGATCTTACCTCTCCCTTACGACGTTACCTACAAAAGATGATCTCGATTGTAATGAAACGCAAGCCAAGGTGAGTTTTTATGTTGTTTTATGGTTTTATTAGGTCAAATAGCTGGTTTTTAGCGTTTTATATGCTAGACTGAGCTTGTATTGCCGAGATTGAATTAATTTAGCTACATTAAAGATAAATTCTAGGTGTGGGAAATCATGACACGTTTCGGGATCACCGAGGAGATGCTCGCCGAGACGTCAGAAAAAGGGCCACGTAACGCCATCGTCGGCACATATCGTATCGTGCTGTATCAGGTGCAGGCCGAGAAGAAGGAGGCCATTCGAAAAATGAAGGTAAGCAATTTTTACAATTTTCCTAGTGCTTTGAGTAAAATTTAACAGTAGTTCAAGTGGAAAAAAACAATAAAGAAAACTTCGTTGAATTTTGGTAGAAAATCGGACGAAAAATCGTTATTTTGGTACTCTTTATCGAGATTCCGTAAACTTTTTGCGTTCAGAAATAGTTCTATTTTAGGCAGCCGAGGAGCAAGAGCTTCAGGAGAGCCTCAAAATGGCCACCGGCAAGAAACGCCGCCCAATGACCGGGGCGCCGCCGATGCTAAAGGATCGCAGTAAAACTTGTGCTATCTTATGATTTTTTGGATTGATTTTTATGTAATTTTTGCCATGTAGTCCTTGACATTGCCCTCCAGCTACCCCCTGATACGGGTCCACCCCCTCAACCCGATGCATTTTTGGAAAATTCTATGCTTGACCTCCATATTCTGTGTCTCTCTCACTCTCTCATCTCTCTCTCTCTCTCTCTCTCTCTCTCTCACTCTAGATCTCTCGGAATCCAGTTCTCTCCCCGTCGCGCGCTCGTTCTCACATTCCCCTCTCTCACTCTCTCTAGCTCTCTCGCTCTCTCTAGCTCTCTCGCTCTCTCTTTCTCTCTCTCTCTCTCTCTCTCTCTCTCTCTCTCTCTCTGTCTCTCTCTCTCTATCTCGCTCTCTCCAACTATAGCTCTCTCGTACCCCCAATAAATTGTTCGGCTCGTGTTCAATGGCCGGTCAGCACTTCATACATCGGCTTATCACGCCCGGTAGCCGCCTCGTAAATTTGTGGCATTCGAGCGGGGGGCTACTCTCTCGGAAGGTTGGCTACAACCTCAGAATTTTTATGATGCGCCGATGGCTATTAGGGTTTCTATGGCTTTCGGTGGTCCATGGTGTCATGGAGGATGATCTGGTTAGTGCTAAAGTGACGCTCAAAAAAAAATTCCGGTTTTTTCGGTACTGATCTGTTAACGGGGGTCTAGCCTATGGCAGGACAAAATTTTTGAAAGTTTTATAGTGTTTTTAGGAATTACTGAACACGCAAACGCGCTAAGAATATTTTTCGAAAAGTAAAGGAGTATTTTTATATTTTTTTGCAAAAATGCAAAATTTCTCTAAAGTTTTGATTAATTAAATGCATATTCAAGGCCTTAAAACGGCTCAAAAACCACATAAATTGTGTGTATTTTAAAACATTGCACGACGACTTAAATATATAGGTAAAATCGCTGCCCGGCCTCATCTTCAACACGACATTCAACACGTATTCCGGCTATTTACGCGCGAACAACCAGGGAAACTGGAAAATGCATTATTGGTTGGTGCTCAGTATGGGGGGATACCGCATGATTCTAGGCTTGTCGAGTCGCAATCGAATTCGAAGACTGATCCGTTATTAGTGTGGTTTAATGGCGGTAAGACTCGGAGTCATAGAACAAAGAAAGCTTATGCATTATCGGGGGGGGGGGGGGGGGACAAACCAAACTTTTCTCTTAGGAACCAATTTTTTGCATATAGGTAATGGAAGTGTTTCGACAACGTTTTTTGCTCAAGCGTAAAAATTTTACAAAGCTGTATTAAAAAAATCAAAAAATAATGGTTTTTTTTACCAAAATGGCCGCTTTTCGCCCAAATTTTCAAATTTTTTAAAGTTTTTCGATAGTTTCCCCACGTGAAATATAGTTAAATTGTGCTAAAAACACGATTAAAATACTTACCATTACGTCACTACGCATTGCTAGATCGATACAGGGCGGGTCAGAAAATTGTTCCGGAGTTTGTCCCCGAATATCTCGAGAAGGAAAGATATTTCACCATGCGTTACCATGCCAGAATGCTTAAATATGTCAGGAATAGAGATTAAGACCAACTTGATTTTTTCGATTTTTGAGTACGCAACTGTACTATTGACGCTGGTTACGACCGAAAATTGTGCGTTCTGGAACGGGTGGTGGGAAAATTCTGGTCTTTGGCCTAAAAATAGTTGACATGTGTAGAAAGATAATATCAAAGTCTTAGAATTTTTGAAGGTCTAGGTATTTTTTTGGAATCTAAACAAATTTCCGTATTTTGATTATTTTTACTTTTTAATTCGCAACTCGCTTCAAATACGCTGCCCATGGCTGATTTTTTGCAGATGGTATCTCCGAATCCTAATCTTTAGCACAACACCAAATTTTACCTGATTCTATGGTATTTTAATATTGCTTGCTAAAACGTGCCCCAGAGGGATACTGTAGTTTTCGTTTTTCGCGTTTTTCTTTTTATTGTAAGCTGCGATTTTGCTTAAAATTTTATCATCGGTAAACAATGGTAAGGGGCAGCCATGGGCAAAATATCAGGTTGGTAGGTAAGTCCTGTCACAAATTTTTCAATTCTCTCTATAGCGCCGCAGGCACAGCCGATTTTAACTTTTGACAGCTGATTTGATAGGTCTTTGGTTGCACTATAATGGGAGCTGCCGCACAAGGTCGAAAAGTTACAGGACGCCGAGTTACAGCGCCGGGAAGTTTTTCATAAAATCTTGAGAAAGCGATTTAGCGTGCTATCTCTGCATAGAGCAATTTGAATACGATACCGTTAACGACAATCGATAGCTCTCGAGGAGTAGATATCGATAGATGTTGAGATCATCAAAATTGGACATCGGATGGCCGAGATACGGGCCCTTCAAATTTGGTCCATTTCTTAGAACCTTTTCCGAATTCCCATACATTTAGACAAAACCTTCTTCGCGTGCTCAAAAAACAACTGGCAAGTTTTGTCCGAGATGCGTGAAATGTATGGGAATTCGGAAAAAGTTCTAAGAAGTGGACCAAATTTGAAGGGCCCGTATCTCGGCCATCCGATGTCCAATTTTGATGATCTCAACATCTATCGATATCTACTCCTCGAGAGCTATCGATTGTCGTTAACGGTATCGTATTCAAATTGCTCTATGCAGAGATAGCACGCTAAATAGCTTTCTCAAGATTTTATGAAAAACTTCTCGGATCTGTAACTCGACGGCGAGCCACCTTGGGGTCCAAAGCGGGTTATGCCGAAGTAGCACGTCCCAAGATCTATCAAATCATGTATCGACAGGGAAAATCCGACGGTTCTGCGGCTTTCTAGCGCGCGTTCAAAAAATTGTGACAGGACTTATCTACCAACCTGATATCACGAAGTTCTGACCATATGCCTTCCCAAAATATGCAAAAAACTTATTTTCGAATTTAGCCACGGAAATTTCTAAATACTTCGATGCATCTGACTAAAAGCTGCTATTATTTGTTTTCCTGAAAGATCGAAACGTTTCTATGGTGAAAAGAACGAGAAAACGGCGATTTTCGGTTTTCTACCGTAACCCGCCTGGAGCGCGTTTTAGCATGCCAAGACAAAATGCCATAAAATGCCAACTTTTCTATTCTATACTGTTCACTGGGTAATTGTAAGAGCACCTACAAAAAATTCGTTGATTCCTGTGGTAAATGACAAAGTTATGAGGGAAAGTGGAAAACCCTCCTCGGGGCCCGATTTTGGACCCGAGGCACCGGGCCGAAAATCGAATTTTTGAAAATGAAAAAGTCATGGGATTTTCGTGGATATAATTAAAGCACGCATCGAACTGTGTATAAGAGCAGAATACAGGAATGATCTGGCTGAAGTTAATGGTTAATTTTTATTTAAAACCCGAAAATAACGTTTTTGAAAAGCTGACTTTGGGCTGCTCTTCTAAATTCGTTTGCCATGAAAAGGTTTTATATTCGCATGGGTTCTAGTTGACTACTTAAGCTGAGTTTATGCCAAAAAAGCCGAGGCTACTAAAGCCTCGAGAATTTTTTTACGTCGCCTCGAATTCGGGTATATTTCGACTTTTCATGAATTTCTTTTGAAAGATCGGATGGCCCAATAAATTTGTAGATATAATCTTAGAATGCACCCATTAAGTAGTATTAAATAAAATTATGACAGTAATTCTAGCCGCCCAAATGAATTTTATAGACTGGCACCAAGGTCTGCGAAATAGCAAGAACCAACCGTTTTGGAGGCGCTAAAAAGCAACCTTCCAAAGGGGTACGGTAGCTAGAAATTGTGTACATGATAGATGGGTGCCAGTCCTACACAACGAAGCAAAGCAAACGCCGAAATTCTATCTGCAATTTTAGAAATATTTTTCCAAAGTTCGGTTTCGTGGCCTCGAAAAAATCCATGACCAGAGGGTCGTCGAAAAACTCAAAAATCCGCGGATCTGAAAATTTTTTTTGATATTTTTCCGGGATTGTATCAAGCCTATAGACATGTTAAAACAGCTTATTTTGAGGTTTCCACCATAGGTTTTTGTAATATTCGAAATTTACGAAATTTCTCCATATTAAATTTGACCACGCTATAACTTGCCAACCTGACCTTCAAAAATTCCAAAATTCCGGATGTGCGTAGGGGCAGTCCTTAGGTACCTACACTGTAAAAATTGGAATTGTTCGACCACCAGCAATCCAAAAAAATGCAATCGAAGTTTTGCCGGAACGCACAGTTTTCGGGTGTCATTTGTATGGGTACGTCGCCAAAAATCGAAAAAATCAAGTTGGTCTTAATCTCTATTCCTGACATATTTAAGCATTCTGGCATGGTAACGCATGGTGAAATATCTTTCCTTCTCGAGATATTCGGCGACAAACTCCGGAACAATTTTCTGACCCACCCTGTAGAAAAAATCACGCCACCGAACCCTCCCCGATAATGCCAAAGCACCAAAAAATTGACTAAAATTAATTGGCTTTTTCCCTCTAACATGATTTTTAGGTCCCGGCTGCTCGTCATTCGCTGGAGCGCTAGAAGAACTCGGTCCCTTCTATGTGAATGCCGACGGCGAAACGCTATATGAAAATGTGTTCGCCTGGAATCGGGTAGTTCTTCTCTTGGTAAACCCAATTTCCGGTTTCTCTAGTTTGCCAACGTGCTCTTCCTCGAGTCACCAATTGGCGTCGGATTCTCCTATGACACCACGGTTCGTCTTTGGGATTTAACCCTGAAAAAAAACAACACTTTTTTTGGAGAATCCCAACCTCACCCATCATACCGACGATATCACCGCCGATCAAAATCACTTTGCTCTCGCCGATTTCTTTGTAAGGTAAGTCTTACAAGCCTTACATGCAAAACGATTCGGTACTTTCCTATTATCGGGGGGAGGGGGAGGCATTCAAGCTCAGAAATGCATAGTAACGCAAAATGAACTTTTAATAGTGTTTTTAATAAAATTTCTAGATTGCAGGTGGAAAAATCACTCAAAACATTTAAAAACTATGCGGTTTTGGTCGTAAATAAGTCAACTTTGTCGAAAAATCGCGATTTTTGGCTTTAGGAATAGTAAGTTTGGCCTCCCCGCTTGGTACCCCCTCCGATAATAGAAAAGAACCCGGTTTTCCTTCAGGGTACAACCACAATACGGGACTCGTCCATTCTTCCTGACCGGCGAGAGTTATGCCGGTCACTACATCCCCCAGCTGACCGTTCGAATCCTCAACGATCCAGGATTTCCAAATAAAAAATTCATGGTAACCACGTTTCGTCTGTCTTTCCTTTTTGGGTTCTGGTGCCTTATCGTGGGGGGGGGATTAAAGGGCTGGTTCAACTTTTAGAGCTTGGGCTGGTACCTTGGGACACTATGGACGTAGGCACAATGCGCCCGAACAGTCCCCCATTACGGCAGCTATTAGAGATTGGGGAAAAGGGAGAGGCGCAGACACAAAAACGCAGAGAGGGTTCGACTCCTGACCGCGGAAATTCTTTTGTTTTATTGGCTGAACTAGCCCTTTAATAGAAAGGTATTAAGAGAATCTTTGTTGCAGTTAAAATTTTTGAGATAACTTTGGCGCTTTTTCGTAGACTTTGATAATTTCGACGAATATCTAAAAATGAAGTTGAAAATAGTATGTTTATAGTTTACAGAGTGAAAAATAGTTCATAGTGATTATTCGTCCCTCTTGGAATAGAAAAATTAGCCCCCCCCCCCCCCCCGATAACAAACCAGTACCCTCTTTTCCAGGGAATTGCCATCGGAAACGGAGAATTCAGCTCGCAGCGCCAGTCCAACTCGATCATTCTGTGGAGCTTCTACCATGGCAGAATCTCGTTGACGTCGGTATTTTCTGAAATCTGCTTTTTTTTTGGTATAAAAAACCAAATTTTTAATCCAGTCGCTTGATTTTAGCGACTGGGACCACGCGAAGAAACACTGCAACGGCGGGAACGGCACGGTCGACGACATCGACCAGTACAACTTCTTTGCGGTGAGATCCACCCAGGAATCGATTGATTATACCTAAGCTTTAGTACTTTAAAACCAATAATAACATGGACTACTTCTCAGATGGGAGCACGTGTGGAAATTTGCTGGAGGAATATTTGATTCTGCCTTCTGAGTATAAAAATTCGCAAAATTTAGCCGACCAATTTTTCAGCATGGATGAATACAACTTTTATCAGGATTGCTATAGCGTATTCCACACGGCTAGTAATAGCCATCGTAGGTTTGTTTAAGTTTTTTAAGTTAAAAACCTACTCGGGTCTTTTGTATTATCGGGGGGGGCAAATTGTGTTCTTCACGCCCAGAAATACCTAGTAACGTAATATTCAGTGTTTTTAACGTTTTAAATCGTTATCGTTTTAAATTTAAAGTCGAAAATTATTGAAATAATGATCGAAAATCGAAATTTTTGGTGGAAAAATCTGTATTTTTCTAGCATTTTGTTAACAGATTTGTAAAGTTTTTACATTTATGAATAGTAAAAAGCCATTTAGTAAAACTGAGTACTAGTGAAGTCCCCCCCGATAATGGAAAAACACCAGCTATTCCGTTTAGGCATAAGCCGCGCTCAAAGGCGAAGAGTCGACGTGTACGTCGAAGTGCCCTCGATCCGAATACAGCTGTATCTCTTTGATAAAATATTATCGATTTTATTTTTTATAGCTAACTTTAAATCACGACTCCACAGATTCGCAGTGGGGATATCCGTGCTGGGATGAGGATGTGGTGACAAAGTGGGCAAACCGGAGGGATGTGCAGGAGGTAAAAGATCAGATTTTTGCAAGTAAAAGTCTCCTTTTTAATGATAAAAACAGTATTTTATTTATCAGAATGGGAAACCTATTTGTAAATGCAAAAAAATACAAATTTTTGATTAAAGTACGTTTTCAGGCCTTACACATAGATTCGGCTTGGCAAAATCAAAAGACAAGCGGCGGTGATGCGTATCCATGGATGGATTGCAAGTAATTTTTCTTCCTGAGAATAGATCTAAATGTATTTATTGTTATTTAGCTAAGGTTTTTATTCAGTGTTTTAATAGTGGTTTTAGGGAAATTTGACTTATTTTCGAAAAAAGGGAAAATTTCTTAAAACTTGAAAATACACCCAATTTTGGTCGAAAATTGGTCATTTTTCTCGAAAAACCAACACTTTTGTTGTATTTTCACAGTATACGAAATTGTTGCAGTGACAACGCAATCTACAACAATTATTTCAACGACTACGCCGACACTACCCAATTTTTCGATCAGATCATCGCCAAGGCTGAAGCTGTCGGGGTTTGCTGGAAAAATTGGTCGAGCTATTTCCCCAGTTGCCGAATTTCCGGATGTTGATCTACAACGGCGACGTGGACACGGTTTGCAATTATTTGGGAGATGCGTGGCATATGAAGGCGATCGCCGACAAAAATGGCTTCAAGGTGAGATCGGGCTTTTTTCAAACGGGAGCGCGATATAGGAGGCAGCCCGTCAGCGGTGGTACTACCGGAAGCAGACGGCCGGATTTGTGCAGCGATACAGCCGGAATGGGCTGTCGATCGATGTGATGACGGTTAAGGTAGGGTTGTCGGAGTTTTATATACTTTTTGGTGCTTTTGCATTATCGGGGGGGGACTAAATTTTTTATCTAAATTTACAAACAACTGCTTATTAATGTAAGAGCAACTATTTTCATAGTGTTGTTCAGACAATTTAGCAATTTAAGCCGGAAAATCTATTGATAAAACCCTTAAAACTATTTTAAATTTTGAAATTTTGGGCAAAAACCCATATTTTTGTATTTTTCATAAAAAGTTTTGACGTTCAGGGATAGTAAAAGCACGATAGAAAATGTACATCTTTTTATGAGAAATATTGGCTCAAGGAGAAAAGCCCCCCCCCCCCCCCGATAATGCCAAAGACCATTTTTCCAGGGTTCCGGGCATTTCGTGCCGAACGATCGACCGGGCGGCGCCCTGCAAATGATCACCAACTTTGTCTCGCTGGCTGCGAATTCGTCTAGCGATATTGATTATAACAAGGCTGTATTAGACTCGGTCCCCCAGCCGCGCCCATTGTTACAAAAGAAATTTTCCAAATCCCCAGCTTTTTCTCCTTTGGCTTTGGTTTTTGTCATTTTGCTGGAGCTTTTGAGATAATTGTACGATGTCGATTATGCGATAAAAATATCCCTTCCAAAATGCCGGCACATTAAATGTTTGCTGGCGGGACTTGTTTTTGAGCTTTTAGGAGAGATTTTTCTGTCAGAAACTTAGAAAAAAAACTTGAAAAATATGCGATTTCCGGGCTTTTTGGGTGTTTCTAGTACAATTTCACTCTATTTAAAGGAGAAAACTGTCAAGCAACTTCAGAATTCGAAATTTCGGTCGAAAATGGGCATTTTCTTATCGAAAATTTATGTGTTTTTTGTAATTTTTACTAAAAATTTGTAAGGGTTTTGATGCTTAGGAATAGGCAAAATGGTGTATAAACACTTCCCCTATTTATATTAGAAACATTGGACCATAAGCAAAATGATTTTTTCAAATTTCGCCAAAATCTGCCATTTTTGGTCGAAAAGTCGATTTCTTTTGGATTCTTACTAAAAATTTGTAAGGTTTTATATTTAGAAACAGTAAAAATCAATTCAGGAAAACTTATTCCATTTATTGAAGAAAAATTGGATGCTGAGGAATAGGCTCCCCCCCACCGATAATGCGCAAGAACCAAATCCAGATCAAAAGGCAGAAAGCTTCCCAGGCAGAAGTCTATGGCACCATTCCCAAATTAGGAGCCACGCGGCCATTTGAGGACGGATTATGGTGTGGATATGGCTGTGTTTCTGTCTGTCTGTCGGTTTGTCCGTACACGGGCGGCAAAAAGGGAAAACGAACGGTGGGGTGGAGGGAATGGAGGAAGAAGATGGAGTTGGAGGAGGGCGAGGATGAGCCTCGCGGCCACAAAAAAGTGGCCGAGGGAGACAATCCACAAATGAGTGTCTATAACACCACCCAACCACCCAACTGTCCCTGATCTTATTACGCATCTTCGTGTGTGTGTAGCGGCCGATTCTTGCCCTCTGCCTATGAGATACAAATGGAAATTGTTATTTTTGTTTTCAATTCTTTTTAATGAGGCCTGCGCGTTGGGCCGGGAAAATTATCGCTCCGGACGATCCACGAGGATGAGGTTAGTTAAATCAGGGAAAATGTAAAAATTCCGACAGGCCAAAACCCCCAACTCCGAAATACCGACAGCCAAATCCCGACCGCCAAAATCCCAAAAATAGCTGTCTAAGCGGGATTAGCATAGAAAAGAGCGTCAGAATATGTTGGGATTCTGTTTGTCCGGCTGTCGGGATTTTGGCCTGTCGGGATTTTCGGCCGTCGGGATTATGGCTGGAATTACCCTGGCTCTTCTCTAAAATTTTACTTTCTTTAAAGCGGAAAACTATCGAAAAACCTAGAAACATTTTAAAAAGGTGCAGTTTGGTCGAAAATCGTTTGTTTTTCGGCCAAAACTGTACTTTTTTGATGTTTAGAAAAAAGTTGCAGTTTTTACGTTCAAGTTAAATCTGGAAGTTCGGCTTCCAACCCCGGCCCTTTTAAAGAATGAGATTCTGCCGTTTCAGGAAATTTCCACGAAGATCAACCATCGACGACCCTGCAAATCGCTATTATTTCCTGCTGATGAATAATCTAAACGTAAGTCAGAAGCGGGGGCTTAAATGGAGCCACATGTTCAGGTGGATCCGGAAACGTCATTCTTCCTCTCGCCATACAAGCTCGAAAGAAGGGGTTTCTGGACGGTGTTTTATGTGCCGAATGCGCTTCGAATCTGGGCGCAAAGGGAACAAGACCCGCGTATAAGGGCCGGTCACCTCGAAAATCCGCAGGAAGGTATCAATACAATTATAAATTAATTTCAAAACAGTATCTGAAATGTAACCCTAATTTTTTAGTTATCGACCGTTTCCCGCCCCTCAAAAAAGACAGTGTACCGGAGATTCCGGACGAAATCATGAGGTCTAACCCAAATTCGTTGATTTACCATATTTTTTCAGGGTTTTCGGAAATTCGCCAATCCACAGTGGTCACATAAATTTGGTCAAACAAAACGAGGCAGAGAAGTTGGCTCTCAAGCCCCTCTACAGCGGCCGCGAACAACCGAGCCCAAAAAGCCGTAGGTCCCTCGGAATATGGCCTGAAAAGCATCTTAGAAAAAGAAAAAAAGAAAAGGAAAAAGAAGAATGCACGGCCGAACAGATATCAGAAGCCCGCTCCGAGTCCGGTGCCCTGGAGCCCGTTAAAGTATCGGCCTGTGAAATTGGGGGAAAAGTATCAATACGCTTTGGTAAGTGCTTAGGGCTCTCGAGAGCGGGATCAGGTTTTCCTCGCGATCCACGCTGGCATAGTCATCCATTTTTGTTGTTAATCTTCAATTTGAAAAATTAGAAGAATGTTTGAAAACTTGAAATCGTAGTCATTTCGAGTCGAAAAAAAAACGATTTTTCCGCCTAAATTGGGTTTTCCAACGAAAAAAAAACAATTAACAACAACATTAAAAACAATGTAGGTAGAAAGCTTTTAGATTAAAAAACAAAAATGGCCGCTCCCTTCTCGTCGATCGACTCATCCTAAACAACTCGGCGGCAGAGGCGTGAAAGACCATATATTGGGCAAACGATCCGGAACTTCAAGAGAAAAGCCAAAATTGCGCAGGGAATTTTTGAACGACCAGCGAGCTGGCGCGCCGGCATCTGCGTTGGCCTCGATTGATGAGAGCGCCACTGTACTCAACCTACAAAAACCAATCTCAGTTCCGGTAGCGTTACCGCATTTCATGAAAAACTTTAATAATCCCAAAACAACAACTGAAGCGCCAACTATTGCCACAACGATTAATGAAAAGCCAGCGTTCGTAATGTCGCGTCCAACAAGACGCCCAGTTACAATGAACCCAAGAAGAAGCAGCAGACGTCGCCTGCGTATCCCCACCCCGGATCCATTGCAGGGGCGTAGCGGGGAGCTGATAAACGATGAGGATTATAGCCATGAAGAGGGATTACTGAATTTGTCCACAAAGAAAGCCATACCTACAAATATTAATCGACCGGAAGTTGCACTTATCTCAACCACGACCCCTTCATTGCCCGACGCACTTCCACGAAAAACCCTGGATCAGATATTAGCGCCCGTAACGGACATTAAAAAGATTGATCCAAAAGAAGTTATCAAGCGGCAGTCTGTTACGGCAGAAGTCCCCAGGAAAGTGGTGATAGCAAGGGATTCAGAAGAGGAGCTGCTTACAGAAGCTAGCGGTGAAGAACCCGCAAGCTCTTCCGAAAAGCTCACAAAAAATCTGGCAACAGAGGATGATCAAAACATTTTCTTACCCGTAATGGCCAGCGAGATAACGTCGTTACGACGTTTAGTGGAAGAAGTGTCTTCAAAGAGGGCCAACACTGATGAGTCTAGCCGACAGCTTGATGAGATACAGATATTGTTGAAGAAATTAATAGGCAACCAAACGAGAAGAAATTCTAAGAGCGCGCTTCAAGTTAAAAATTCCGATCCGGATGGAAGTTCCGAGAAAAGAAGTATCATCACGCGAAATGTAAGTGATTTTCTAAGGAAACACGAATAAACGCTAAATTCAGGTCCCCGTCGCCAAAGCAATACCAAGCGGGATCTTCTAAATGTCCAAAAATCTATCGCCGGGAATAAGGCTGTGCAATGTAATAAAGTTTTTTATCAAACAAGAATTGTAAAAAAACCCCAAATGTTACTGTTTTCGAGTAGGCAGTAAGGTCGGTGCTTGCTCGACGAGTATTTCCAATTCCGCGTCCCAGCCTAGCAGCTCCGCCAGTTTCCGGGCCCCGTCGTCGCAGGTGCCCTTCCAAAAAACATCCCTAAACGCCAAAATGATACTTCAAAGGAAGTTATTACCTAGAGTTTCCATGTTTTCCGTAGCACAACCCTTGGATGCCCATTCTCTCCTCCGCTCGACTGCTCCTCCCGACCTCCTCCAAGTTCACCAAAAGACGCGGACATTCACTGTCCACCTAGAATGGTATTTGGAAAAGCCAATAATAAAAATTTGACCTCATGCGCCATAGATGCAAAAGGCTGGACCACCAATGATGTCCCCAAAATTAGCAGCAAATCGCATTTTGGAAAATCCTACAAAGAAGTTAGTTAAAGCCGATTGAAACCTCACCTCAATCGAACATTGAAAGAATCTACGCGGAAGATTTTCTCCAAAAAACACAATGTCAGGTTTGACGACGCCCGAACATTTCCCTTTTTCACACACAGCAAACTTGCAAGCTTTGTCCTTGAGTTTTCCTGAAAGCGAAAAATTAGCGAAGGGTGATTCAGCAACCTGTAATCCACTCCAAATCATATTTCGCACCACATTTCCGGCAGGTGCTAGTATGGTGCCCTCCGTGTGCTGCCACTACTTTATCCTCTGATATCCCGGTCAGGTACTCCAAGGAGTCAATATTCTACACAAAAAAACAACAATAATAATCTTGTTTTTCTCACCTGTGTATACCAACGTTGCAATAACCCCTTTTTATCCAACAAGCTGACGAATTGATGACACACGGTTGGCTGAAAAAATTAATACAAAAACGACGCGTAATACCTTTAATCGTTCGGGGAAAAGTTCTCGTGCAAGTGTGAAGAAGGGCTCTGGATTCTCATCAAAGAAGTCAATCTCGAAGATGGCTTGCGGATGGGGGAGTTTATATTTTTGCAGATTATCGTACAAGCCCGAGCCTAAAAATTTTTTAAGTAGCTTCCAAAAAACCTACCTGGCGATCTGAAATCAGGAATCCCAGCTGAGGTTGAGATGCCCGCTCCCGACATCACAATAATGTTCTTCGGTTTCTCCTTTTTTATGTACTCGGCCACCCCTTCAATCGTAAGGGCCTTCAGTCTTCGAGTCGAACAGACGGCTGGTTCATCTAAAATCAAAATAACGAAACCCAAATCAGACTAACCCACGACCGAATTTAGCGCAGCATTGAAGCTGTCGACAAATTTGCTGAAGACTTCTCCACATGCTCCCGGTGGTTGAGAGGGGCCCTTTGATTTCTCGTCGCTGGGCGGTTTCTTGGACGGCGATTCAGGAGTATCTTTCGGCTTGCGTTGCCGAGCTTCGTTTGGCATCTAGGTTTAGCTTTATGTACAACCCATTGTATAATAAGATACGACTCGTGAATACTGCAAAGGACAAGTAATGAATGAATAGACAAGACAAAATTATTGCAAGTTTATGAAGTGGCGATCACGATTCCGTAATGCTCGAGGAGTTGTCGCAGCAGCTCCATTTCGTCAAGGTGTTGAATAGCTTCGATGCGCTTTCTTTCCTCGCTATCGAGCATCGTCGTATAGATCGTGTGCATGTCGAAAACCTTGACGTTTGTGAATCCAGCTTCTATGAACCTTGCCGCCTGTTTCTCCGGGGTTTCACAGGCGGAAAGCCCGGGCAAAATTAAACCTCTCCGCAGCAGATTCTCCTCCATAATTTTCCCGAACGAATCGTTTGTGTTAAGTTGTTCATAGTTGACGAATGTAATAGTACTGAACATTGCAGCAAGGTTCTTCAGTAGCGTGTGCGACTCCGTTTCGCCCATGTAGACAAGCACGCATTCAGCCAATACCAGGGTTGGCAATTTCGCATCAACGCCGGTTGTTTCCAACTTTTCCTCCAATTCCTTCCATTGCCGGATATCGGCACCAATCAGATGATAATCGCCGCAGTGTAGATCACAGTGTTGCACTTCGCGCGGCGTCTCAGAAAATAGTCCAACGACATCCGGCTTTCCTGGCTTCAAAATTTGACGCATCTTCCTCGCGGTCACCGAGGAAAAGTCGATTTCGACAACTTTCTTGAACGGAGTGCCCGCACTTTTCAGGCGCCAGAACAGCGTGTCGAAGCCACATCCCAGGTTCAGAATTTGGCCGTCGGGATGCGCGGCAAGGAATTCGGTGACGTATTTGTGCATTGCCGCCACGCGGGCCCAGTAGCCGATGGAAATCTCGGGGTCGCGACGAAGAGGCGTATCGATAGATGGAGTGTAGAATCGAGACAGGAACGGGTCCTCGAAGTAGTGAAGCTGAACGGCGGCGTACTTGCACTGGGTGGCGTCGTCGTTGGTCTTCTGCACCGAGTAGTCGTCCGTGGAGCTGTTGGTACGGCGTCGCATTTGGATCTGACCACCGAGCGCATTGTCGCCAAAGTCAGCTTCGGTATCCATGGTTGATCTGGAATGAAAAGTATCAATAAGCTGTCGGAACGATCCAGAACGAAAAAAAAACACAATCAAAGGTTATATGGCCCCCGCACGGCGTTTCAGATCTATGGGAAAGCGCGCACGAGAGGGGTTTCCCCCACCCCCCAAAAATGTTAAGAGGGCCGCTGTTCTTTCGCTCATAACTTTTTCCCCTGACCGTATTTACAAAATCGCCGCGCTAGTTCGATAGAGAAAATAATTCTGCACATTTTGGTATAATAAAGCTAGATAATCAACCCCTGGGAGAGTTTTTTACAGAGTAACAAATATCGTCATCGAAAATGTTAAGGATTTTTGTCTTTTTCGATCATAACTTTTCCCCCTAGCCGTATTTTAAAGGGATGCCGACGGCATAGTCAATCGATTACGCGCGGAAAAGAAAATGTCTCTGCGCCTCTCCCCAGGGCGCGCTCTCTCCCCTGTTGGCTACTTGCCAATTTGTTGATGAGGGGGGGATCGACACATGCCGTCCGCAGCCCTTTAAAAATCGCCACGACAGATCGATGGAGGAAAACATTTTGCACGTTTTTGTAGAAAAAAATTATGTAATGAAGTTCTGGGAGTGTTTTTGGTAGCTTTTAAAGCTCATGCGCGCTTTGAAAGGCCGTGCCCGGTTCGCTATATGAGCTTTATCAAAGCATATATAATATCAATTGACATATCGGATTTCGATATAGCAATATATTGACCCCCTAGAAGCCCTATTCTAAACAACCCGTGCCCAGCCCCAGGTAGTTTGTTTGCCCTCCAAGAAGCTCATCTCCTAAAGCGCGCTCTTCATTTTGTTGCCGAAACTGCTCGAACGTCACTCCCCTCCTTATTCCCCCAATCCATCATTTGTCCTTTCCTCCGCTCAGCTGTGCGGGAACCAACCAACATTTTTGCCAACACTTTTGGAAATCCGCCACGCCCAGATCTTTTCCCGTGCAGCTCTTCCCGATAATCGCGATTTCTTTGACTCTGTTACCGCTTTGTTCTCCTTGGATTCCATTCGAAACGACATTTCCAGAAAGCCCCTGTCGAAATCCACCGAATCAACGATGTTTGGTGGGCAGGACCCTTTCATGAACATGTTCGGGTACGTTTTTCGCTAGCCGACTATCTGATAATTGCTTTAGAAATATGCGTCGTCAGATGGATATGATGGATCGTATGATGGACTCGATGATGACTGACCCCTTTGCCATGATGAACCACCGGCCCTTTGGGATGCTGGAAGACCCCCGTCGGCAGCAGGTTCTAATCCTAATTTCTCATCTAGTAAACCTCCTTTTAGCACCACCATCAGCACCGACAGATGGTACATCCTGCCGATCCTTTTGCCGGTTTCGGCTTTGGAGGAATCTTCGGTGCCATGGTTTGCCGAGCTTACCGCGATTTTATTTCCTTTTTAGAACCAAATCCATGGTCAAGCAATGGCCGACCCGAACTCGCACATGTACAGCCACACCAGCGTGATGTCGTTCGGCCCCGACGGACAGCCCCATATCGTCGAACACACGACCAAGAAGGCCGGTGATGTCAAGGAAACCAGAAGGTGTGCTGTGTCATATTGTTGAAAATAACTTTGTAGGCGTGTACGCGATGGACAACGTGACGAGATGTCGATTGGCCATCACATTGGTGACAGGACACACGTGATTGAGAAAAAGGTCGGATTTTCAGCCTCTAGCTGTTTTTAATTTATCTTCTAAATAAAATCAAAACAATAACATGTTACAGCGCGATAAGGATGGAAATGTGCGTTCTCAGCAACAATTCGTCAACTTGGATGAAGGTTCGACGATTCTCTCTTCTTCATGCATACTTTAGACGAAGCGATGGATTTCGACCGCGAGTTCCAGCAACAGATCCGTCGCAATTTCAATTATGGTCGCAATGGTGCTTCAAACAGGCGCGTACTTACTAATCACACAGTCAATATTTCGTTTAGCAGCGCGATTGAGAACGGTTCAAGCGCTCGGCCCTCGCATTCCCGTGCTGACCGAGGCCCACGCGAATCCCGTCATGCACCCATCATCACACTCCCCGAGGAAGAAGATGATGACGTGATTGAAATTCCGATTACGTAGGTGTTCATAGGTTTCTCAAATCGAGCTGCTTTAGCCGCCGTACTGGTGGACCGATCATCCGGGAAATCAGTGAGGAAGAAGCCGAATCCAGCATCCCAAAGAGGCGCAAGAACAATACTGGCCGGTTTGTACTTCTTCATTATGGGTCACCCTCTCTAGGTTTCATCCCGGCAACAATTAAATTCTCTCGGCAACTCGTCATCCCGCTGCGCTAGCAACTTAGTTCTTCGCTAGTTCATCAACTAGCCTACTCGAATGGGTACGCGCTGATAGTCATTTTACTCATGGATCATACTGTTTTTGCCACATTGCTTTCAATAAATGTGTATTTTTATATGAAATCACCGACGTTCACTGTATCAGTTCCAACAAGCAAACAAACATTTGAAAGAAAAACATTTATCCTAATTCACATTAATTGCATCTATTAACGGGAGTACAAACGATTAAAATAGAGGCGAAACCCGTAATCGGTATAAGCACCTTTCGAGCACAACAGAGAATTGCTAGCTGTGAATTCACAAAAGAGAAAAAAAATTAATTAACACTGCGAGCTTTCAACTTTGACTTCGGGCAGGGCCGGCGAGAAAGGGTCGAAATTCGGGTCCGAGTCTAAAATTACGTTACAAAACACACGATTAACTAACCCGGCATGCGCGGGATGAAGCCGAATTGTTGGGTAGGCGGCGTGTAGAGTGCGTCCGGAGGTGGCACATTGTCTGTCTTGGTGACCGAGCTGCTGCCGAAGCCGTTGTAATATCGCGGAACATTTCCGCTTCGTGCCGCCAGTAGTCCAGAGACTGCCGGTGCTGAAAATTGGCAGAATTTACACGAAATTTTTTTCTCTACTACGACTACGCGTTCCGAAATTTTCAAACAACAATTACCGGTTCTGGACTGGGCCAAAGGACGGGTGGGGCTCGTCCTAACAGCGGGAGGTGGTGGCGGGGCCTCTTCTTCCTCGACACCTTCGCCCAGCCAGCGGCCGAGTTTTTCGTCGTAGACAATCTAGGTAGATGTTTATCGTCAACATTAACTCTAGAATAACCTTTTTGTTGCTGTCATCTGGCAGGTGGACCTCGTTACGACCGCGAATGAACTTGGTGGCGAGCGTGGATTTTAGCCCGGTGAGCCATCCCTGAGCGTCCCTGGAACCCTAAAAAGAAGAGCATACCACAACCGAAAAAGAGGAAAATAGCTACCTTCGATTTAGGGGATTGATCGGGCTTCGGCTCAGGTGCGTTCACGTTGGACTTGATGGGGGACAAATTGGCTGGTGCATGGGTCTGCAGGGGAACGGAGGGCGTAGGCGCCAGATTGACCTGAACAGTCTCAGCAACACTGGGCGTTCCCGGCTCTCGTTCAGTTTCTGGTGCGTTTCTGCTGGGTGGGGCGCAGGAGGGAGTCTGCGGTGGGTTCGTAGAACCTTCCATCGTCTGGATGCTGAACGACGGCTTGGCAGGTCGCCCGGACTCGGAGCTTCCAGAAGCGACGACGGTGCTCGGAGCCTCATCCGGTTGCGAGGTGTTCTCGCGTTGGTCAGATACGTTGTCGCCGGTATCGCTCGTCATTGGAACGGTGGAACGTTGAACTGCTTGGTAGTGCTAAAAAAATTTAAAGAACAGGGCGCAGACAAACCGGGCTCTGGATTGTTGGCGTAGGAAGATTCTCAGGCTGGATTTGTGGAATGGGCACTGCTCCCAGAGTTGCGATACGGTTACGGAGCTCCGGAATCCAGGTCCCCGCACTCTTCGGATCCTATAATGTTGGCTCGTAGATTCAATAATCGTACCTCATTCGACGTCAACGTATGCTCCGCGATGCTGCAAAGTTCGTTTAGCATCGTAGCAGGGAAAAGATTGTAGTTGTCCCAGATCTGCGCAGCGATTCCTGTCGCAAAACTATAAACAAAGGTCAACTTTTCACTAAAGGAAACTACCCAAAAGCATTTCTCGGTAGGCCCAGATCGGCGAGAAGCTGCGCGTATTTGACCCTGGCGCTCTGGAATTCTATGGAGCCAGCGAGCGGGCTGTATCCTTTCGAAAGCGAGAGGCCGTACGCGAAGATTTCCGTTGCGTGAAGATCAGTCAACGAAAAGCCGTAGCTAAAGCACATCATAAACCGCTCTAAATAACCTACGCGCAATTTGTCGAATTTTCCTCATCATTCGGGAGACTGGCATTGAGCAGTGAGATGTGTTCCCTGGATCCAGAAGTGCCATTTGCAGGTGGTGCGAAAACGTTGCTGTCATTCAGAAGGGCGACCGCTGGTTAAGTAAGTTTTACCATCAAAAATTAGATACAAACCGAGAAAACAGAAATCCGCGGCTGCGTGGCAATTCTTCGTCGCTAGGAATTTCCCCATCTCATATATAGTCGACATGGCGCACGGCGTATTCAGATTGGCAAGCACGATCGCCGTATGGGTTCTCCAGCTGACGAAATCATCGACAGGAGGGCTAACCTGGAAAAGATGATTAAGAGGATCAAAAAAATATAAACACTACCAATACAGGCGGCTTGTGGTTGGCAGCGACGGTGAGCAACGTTGTCATAGGCTGATCGTGCAGTCGAGTGCCGATGTATTGCATCTCGATTTCATCGAGCTTTGAAGGTGACACACGTCTAGCCAAAAGTAGCGCTTCAGCAAACATATCGTATTTGACGGCCAATTCGATTGCTTCCTAGAAACAGCTACTTTTACTTGGAAATATCGTCATACCTCAATGTGACCTTTCAGGAGATAGTCGTCAAAAGCCTTTCGGCTCTCCTCGTCGATGGCCGCATTTTGCAATATCGGAATGGCTGCCTCAACAGGGGCCACGCGAGCACCATTTGCGAGGAGAAGGCGCGCCATATCGGGCCCGGTTACTTTCTAAAATGGTTGTTGTAAATAAAGAAAGTAAAGCATACGCCATGCTGTTGTACGATTGTATGCAGAAGCTGCCACAGGACAAGACAATCCACCAGTGCGTCAGTCGCTGCGTTCCCATGTCCCAAATCGGCGCGAATGATTTTGGCAATTTGGCGCTCGATATACAGAGTGACCTAGAATTACGTCTAGAAAGCCTAACAGAACAGACCTGATGCGATGGTGTTTGTGGGTGCAAGGGTCCGCGGAACATTTGGATCGTATCAATAAGCCGCTTCGTCTTCCCATCGATTTGGATTTTTGGACTAGCAAATAGCTTAAAAAATTTAAAATTGTTGAAATAGAAATTACCGGTTTCTGTATCAGGTGTGAGCGCCTTCTCCCAACCCCGCCATGATCGTTTGGAACATTTTCTTTATCCTGATAGCCATCTTCGGTTGGGTCCCGCCTGAAGCATCGAAATATCGAAACGAAACAATCGAACCTGTCGTCCCTTTCTTGAAAGCTTTGCTTTAGCGCATCGACTTTTTGCTTCTTCATAAGTTGAAGGTAGCGCCCTTGCATCTCCGAACAAATCTAAAAATCGTCATAAGACCAGCCGAAAACAGCGCATACCCGGTACAGCGCTTCCTCATCCTCGACACCATTCGCCGTAAAGTTGTAGAATTCGCGATTGAACTGCTTGTGGAAGACGTCGATGTCATAGTAAGGGCGCTCCCAAAGTGCCGCATAAAAGACGAACGCTACTTTCTCAACGGCCGGCAAGCGGTAATACTGTGGAGGCGGTGGGTACTTCTCCAATGTTTCCGCAAATTTTCCCTGGATCAGCAGTTACAAAGATTTTTAATACAATCACCAGTGGAACGCGGAGTGAACCAATTAGGTAGATTTCAGCCTCGCTGAATTGGTGCGCTACGGGCGGAGCTGGTGTTGAACATTGTGCAGGCGGTGGAACTGAAGATTGATTTCCTAGAATAACAGGAACTCTCACGACACTCCATTCCAGCCATGTTGTCATTGCCAATCACATCTGAGAAGCAGCGCTCGAACTTTGAAGTGCCAGCCTGCTGCCCATTTATGCTAAAAATGCTAACCGTTACCGTCAGAAATGAGCTAGTTTTACCGAGAGGTAGCCGCATGCCCGTAACCGCCTTGTTGGTGCCATTTACGATGATCCTGCGCGAAGAGATCACGGCAGTCCGGGATACTTCGTCGCCGATCCTCGTAGCCAAAGTTAGACCTAAGCTACGGTGAAAATCAGAAATAGACCCTGCCTCTGGTAAGTAGCTTGGCGGCTGGATGGACGCGAGCCATCCTGGTGACGGTAAAACCGGCTTTTGCGCAACGACTCCACGAAATCTTCTCCGTAATCCGATTGGGGGCTGTTGAAAGAGTAATCGAAGGCTCCATCGGGGTTCGTTGAAAATGTACCTAAAAGAAGGAATTGTCGATAAGAATATTCTGACCGTGAAATTCATTGTTCGGGCCCGGCATTCCGGCACGCGGGCCACGGAGTCCCTTTATGACTGTCTGAATCTAAATGGTACAATGGTCAAAGGTGAACAACGCTTTAAATAGAGAACTTAAATTAGAGAAGTTTGGTGTAGATCGCGCCATTTTGTAATTTACTTCTTAGGGACTAAGGGGGGAAGGCCACCGGCCACGTGTCACAAGGGACGTGGAGTGTTAGACAATAAGTAAGGATTTTCGTCTAAAGCACTACTTAAAAGGCCGTCCGCGAGCCACCCGAACAGACCCTAATATGGCTTGGCACAGTTTTTTTCGACCCTGTTTTTTTGACGGCATTGGAAAGAGCATAGTCGAATTAGTAGAGCTGCATAGTTTTGAAAGTTTAAAAAAGTTAATTTTTAGGGTTTAAATTGGAGTCAAAGTTGCCGACCCTCAAAAATTATCTCGAAAGTTACTGAACCAAATTGGTCGAAAATTTGTCACAATACCTAATTTGGGATGCTGATCATTTCTCTAATACATCCAAAAGCGCGAAAATGAGCGGAACATGGTTAAATCGCGTACCCAAAACAGTTTTTCAGGGTTTTGTATTTTACGGGTTCTTGGCGGTCCGTTGTAAATAACCTTAAAAGATGCGCAAAAAAATTCTACATCGAATGAGGTATTTTATACCGGGCCGACAGAAACCCTACTCTTGCTATAAAGCATTTACTGCGCGCAAAACAGCCCCCAAAATGAGTCAAAAACCTCAAAAATGACAAATTTGGAAATCGAATATATCAAACCATATCTAGAGAACGAGCTGAGCCCATTGCAAAAAAGAGCAAAAAGAAATATTGCTTTTGAAGGGGGGCTGGGATCGAACTGGCGCGGCCCTTGGATTGGTAGGCGAGCACTCATGCAATCCACCACGGCCCCAGGGAGGGCTTCCAGGCGTAGGGTCCGAGTTCGATTCCTCCCCGGATCCCAGCCCCCCTTCAAAAGCAATATTTCTTTTTGCTCTTTTTTGCAATGGACTCAGCTCGTTCTCTAGATATGGTTTGATATATTCGATTTCCAAATTTGTCATTTTTGAGGTTTTGACTCATTTTGGGGGCTGTTTGCGCGCAGTAAATGCTTTATAGCAAGGTAGGGTTTCTGTCGGCCCGGTATAAAATACCTCATTCGATGTAGAATTTTTTGCGCATCTTTAAGGTTATTTACAACGGACCGCCAGAACCGTAAAATACAAAACCCTGAAAACTGTTTTGGGTACGCGATTTAACCATGTTCCGCTCATTTTCGCGCTTTTGGATGTATTAGAGAAATGATCAGCATCCCAAATTAGGTATTGTGACAAATTTTCGACCAATTTGGTTCAGTAACTTTCGAGATAATTTTTGAGGGTCGGCAACTTTGACTCCAATTTAAACCCTAAAAATTAACTTTTTAAACTTTCAAAACTATGCAGCTCTACTAATTCGACTATGCTCTTTCCAATGCCGTCAAAAAAACAGGGTCGAAAAAAACTGTGCCAAGCATTGTTCGGTCCTCTCGCAAACGGCCTTTTAAAAATAATAACAAAGGAAATGAACGCAGCAAACAAAATTATGACTTTGCGAACAATAAAAAATCAAAAAGAGCCGAGCCATTCATTCCACTTTACACAATTCCGATTTTTGTTCAAAGGATCCATGCGTAGTCGAAAACCGAGAATTTTGATCGATGTCGCCGTGTTGTAAATATGTCGGTGATTACAGGTTTCGATTTCACGGTGTCTCACGAGATATGTAGATATGCATCGTTTATTAAGAACAATAAAAGCCAACAAACCCGGCGAAGGAATAAGAAAACACCGTTTTCGAGATCACATAGAACAGTATCTATCAAAAGTTTCAAAGTAACAACAGAAAAGAGTTCAAGCTAATAACAATCAATCGTATCATCATCGACGATGGTCAAGGCGCGCAACATGTCATCCAACAGCTTGACCGTCACGTCGCCAGCCGCTTTATGCGGAAGCGACAACAACCGTTGTACCTAGAATCTCACTATATTGGCTGATACCTAACTAGCACCTTTTGTCCGATCTCTGCGTCATACGTCCAATTGTTGAGTTCCTCACGACAAGCTGCAGCGAGCGATTGGTCTTGTGAACTGCGTAGGTAGACTGCCACCACATTCACCGCCTCTTCTCGTACCTAAGACGTTGGGATTGGTACGGAAATGCATAACCACCTCAATGTCACAATCATTCAGTAGTTTTGGAAGTAAGTCCAACAGACGGCGGCCATCTACACTTGAGCTGCCAAAGTGTGCCTTCAAAATCTGGGCCGCTTCAAATCTAAAATTATTGTTAGGTAACTTGTAAATGATAACTAACCTTGGTTGGGGATCATTGTCGGCTGCTATTCTACTCCACGCTATTTCCAGGGCACAATCATGTTGATGTAGGGCCAGGCAACGCAAAGCCGATGCGCGAACATACGGAGAATCGCTGCCAACAGCCATCTTCTTCACCTTGTCAAGCCGCACTGTCAGGAAATCACTAAGTAACGTTAATAATTTTTTTATAAACGCACCGGCTTGCACTGCGACAACAGGCCAGCAGCTCGATTGCAGAATCACAGAGCTCCCATTCATCACTATCCAGCGCTTCGTCCAAGCTCTTTGTCATCAGGTCCCAGGTCAGCGCATCGTCTTTCAATTTGTCGAAGCCATACAATTGCGCAATTCGCTCGAGAATAATCGGCTTTTCCTGAAAAATTAATTCGTGCTTTTTATAATAAAAGTCACCATGACGTTCCGCATCAGTACTAGAAAGAAGGGTTGACTCTCCTCCCAGTCCATCTTGAAGCTTGCAAAAAGTTCGATCAATTCGGGAAATAGCTCTGTTTGCAGGCTGGATGAGAGTAGCTTCTCGGAAATTAACTGCCCGAAAGTTTGGCATAATTCTCGAAAATCCTGAAATGACATGTTTCGTTTTTTGACACAACCCCACCTCCTTAGCTTCACATTGTCTAGCAACACGTAGGAAATGCAAAAGCTTGACTTTGGGAGAATTCAGCATCGAATTTATGAGGGCGGTATCCATTTTGCGGGTCCTAAGAATTCAAATATCCGTAAATGTCACTGACGACCATACCGCTCGATATATCTGGATAGCGCATTTATTCGCTGAGCCTCATTTGTCCACCCATCAGTCAGAACGCCACTTGCCGTCTCGTGAGATGATTTTCTAAAGGAGACAGTTTTGTACAGCGGTCTGTCTTACGCCAAAATCGCCACCAGCAGTTGGATGGCAGATTCGGTGCTGGGGAATGTGCGGGCTGACATGATCATCAAATCCAAGTTCACAGGCGGCAGAGATTCCAGAAAATGTGTGAGTAGGCGATGGTAGCTCTCCCTACACATACGTTCAATTTTCATAGAAATTTTCTACCTGACTAGAGAATCGAGAGGTTTTGAGAGCTCATCCAGCAAAAATGACCCCAAGTTGCCGGTGTATTTGATGGGCATTGCTATGATAAATTTCTCGATTTGTCGCCTTAGGAAGATTGAGACTTGAGGTTCCGGCAACAGCCGCCTGGCCCATTCGATAAGTCCTAAAAATATGTCGAAAAAGACCCAGTATTACCTTCCCATTCAGCCGAATTAACGGTTGTTTGTAGCTGCTCGACGTACTTTCGCAAAGAAATCGCTATTTCTAATGCGCAGATCCTGACAGCCGGGCATTGCTGATCCGTCAGTATACCGAGGAGCTCTTTTAGAAGAGCCTCTTGCTCCGCGCTATTGTATTGGTCCAAGCTGAAGGTTGTTACACAGACTTCGACAACCCTACAATTTGTTCAGAAGGCGTAATACGACGGCACATCGCACTGGTCCACATTGCTTCATCCCGCCAGACGAAGCTTCTCGATAAAGGAAGCTAGTGACCTCAGCTAAAAACAGTTTTTAAACGGAAACAGTCTCTCACCATTTCGCGTGATGTTGTCCACAAACTTGTCGATCAAAGTATCATCGAAAGAATGCGGCAGCTCATCCAGCTCGTTGATCTGCCCAAGGAACTGCTCGAGACGCCCAACGATACCATCGGCCATGGCTGGCTATGCAAAATGTAGCTTTTATTGTTCCGCAACGTGGTGGTGCCATAACTGTAGGTAGATCTTTGTGTCGAACGTACTGCGCATTTCAGCCTTTAGGTCCATTATTTATTTCAATAGGATATCAATCGTACAAACACGTAGTATACATCAAATTTACAACGTTTAAAGCTTGCTGCCGGCGAGCACCTTCTCAACATCCTTGACCATGTCTTTTGGTTCGTGTGTAGGTCCGTAACTGTAAAAATTGTAAAATATGAAAATTCCCAAAGACACTACCGCTTCACAATGTTGCCCTCACGGTCAACGAGGAATTTGGTGAAATTCCACTTGATGGCGTCGAGGAGGGTGCCGCCCTAAAAATATGAATCCACGCGAGATCAAAATATTGGTATACCTGTTCCTTCTTCAAAAATTTCCACAGCGGATCGGCATCATCCCCATTCACCTTGACTTTTCCGAAAAGGTCGGGCTCAAATTTGAACTTGTCAGCCACAAAGTTCTTGATATCCAGCTCGCATTTTGGCTCCTAAAAAGTTGATGCTATATTGTAGAGAGCGCAATTAGTACCTGGCCACCGAATTGATTGCACGGGAAGGCAGCGACCTCCAGTCCTTGCGACTTGTACTTGTCGAGAAGCTCCTTCATCTGCGTGTAGTTCGCGTTGGTGAGACCACATTCTGATGCAACGTTCACGACGATGACGACCTTGCCTCTGAATAAATCGTAGTTGGAAAATACAAAGTTTGCTTACTTGTATTTCTCGCCGAGCTTGATGGGGTTTCCCTGCGAGTCCTTCACCTCGAATTCGTAGAAATTCTTAGCCATGATTAGCGGAGAAATTCGGATTGAGCGAGTGGCCACTGAAAATATTTGAAGTCTTTCAATAATTGAGAGCGAGGAAAACAACAAGGCGTATTGAAAAACTAGGAATTGTTATCAATCACTAAGCACTCGGCGAGGAATTGTGATAACGATATTTCATGCAGATTCCGGGGGTTAAAATAAAAGTAAAACGCACCCCCTACCAGGCCTCGACCGATCTGAAGCATTGGTCTTCTAAAGACAACGTAACCCTAACATGGCCTGAAAAGCGTAGAGAGAAGCGATATGGTGTGAACAACTCTAGATTGGAACGATTGATTTGGACGTTTATTTATCTCAGTAACGATCAACAACATACTCTCAACAACAACAACAACAACAAAATCAGAAACAAATCAAACGTTCTAATATTAAGAAAGCGCCAAATACTTGGCAACTTCCTTCTTATTATTTTTCTTCCTGGCGCCGCCGCTTTTTGGCTGCTTATCTGAAGATTTCTCGGCCTCGGGTTTCTTGGCGCTTTTGGCGGAAGGCTTCGATTTCTTGGACTTCTAAAAACATAAAAATAATGACAATATTTTTGATGCGAGAATGGCGATACGAGCGATTATTCCGTGTTGCCGTTATGGCAACCGAGGCTGTGGGGGTTGTTTTCGATGCAGGGCAAATAGGGAAAGGGGGCGGAGCGAAAGGGAGTGAAAAAAGTGTTGGGAAACGCACGGACATGGCAGCAGGGAGAGAGGGGCTAGTGTGGAAAGTGGATGCTGGCCCCATCCACACTACAACGATGACAAAAATAGATACCTTTGCACCTTGATCACGGTGACGAATTTTGGGGCCCAGGAATTTCGGGATCGGCTTCTGGCCACCTTTGCTGAAGATCTTCTTCGTCACTTCAACCTACAAACGACAAAGTATATCGCAGTTTCGCCGCTGACAAACCTGCTTCTTCACCTGCTCCTGCAGCTCCTTGCCTGTAACCTTGATTCCCTGCTTGTTGAGCTTCCTCTTTTCTTTAATTTTCAAGGCCTAAAAGAGAACGGGATGCAAAATTAGGGCAAAGTTACCTGAAGATTCTCAACACAAAACTCGACAATGGGTCTACGCTGGTCGGTAAATGTGTTGGCGTTGTTGTTCAATGCCTAAGAAAAAAAAGGTGTGATCGTCAAAAAAAAAACCTTACCTTGATGCACGCAAGGGCATCAACGTGTTCCGCAAAATCGACGAAGCCAAAGCCACGCGATTTGAAATTGCCCTAAATAAATATTTCCTGTAGTGTAGCAGCTCAGACGTCGATTATAAATCAGAAGACCAAAGAGATACCTTTGCATCCTGCTTGTCCATGTCCTTCCAAATGCGGCATTCCCTGATGATGGCTTCCGGACGCCCAGCGGATTCGAGGCATATCCTAAACTCTGTCAAGCGAAACAGTCACAAAAATTACTTCCGAAGTTCCTTGTCCGCCAGTTTGAAAGGAAGATTGTGGACAGCAAGTCGAGTGGCCGAAACAAAGTAGTGCAGGTTCTCGAGCTTCTTTTTGGCATCGCGAGCGAGTTGAGCCCGCTTCTTGGCATCTTTACGTGTGGGTGTTATTATAAAATGACTGCTAAAAGACGTACCTTCTTCGCTCATACCAGCAGCGGCCGAGGTGCCCTCACGAATCCAGCCGGCACGTAGAAGATGTAGATTTCGCTTATCTTTCGGGGCCTTCGTAAGGTGTTCCTTTTCCAATCTGGCAGCCTCCTCTCGTGGTACGGCCTTGTAGCCCGTGAGGGTACGCCCGTCAACTTCGATAGAACCGCGCATAACGGCAGCGAGACACGCGTCGGCCTGGAATGTGCATGTATAACAGCCCGCTAACACCAAAACAAACCTCTTCCTTCGTCGAAAAATGGATAAAAGCCGTGCCTTTGGAATGGCCCGAGTCCGCAAATTTGCAGATCAAGGCTAGCTTTACTTCGCCAAACTCTGCCATCTGCTTCTTCACGGCCTCGTCATCAGTAGCAAAGGGAAGGTTTCTAGGCTTTAATGTTATGAAAATTCAAGACTAGCTACCGAACGAATACAACGCGACCCTCTTCAACGGCCTTGTCCGCGGCCCTGACGAATGGCTTCTTCCCTTTCTTGGGTGACATGCCGTCTTCATCGTCCGAGTCACTCAATTCTTCGTACGAGGCTTGGTCATCATCGTCAGTATCCTCTGCATCTTCGTCAATCTCGTCTTCTGCCTCATCGTCATCATCAGTTTTTACAGGCTTCACATCGGGCTAAATAGAGACGATGGACGTAAGGTAGAAACACAGAAATTACCTTCTCGTCTTGTTCCTCCTTGACTTTGTTTTGCAAGGCCGTTTTCTCTAAAGCATTCATTTAACTATACGCACGTAAAAAAATCTTCCGTGTGATAAAAACAGCGTCAGCCTACCTTTATGCGCTGTAGTTTCGTAAGTATCTTTGTCCAAAGCAAAATCCACCGCAACAGAGCGATTCTTGAAGGTGTTGCTGTTGAAAAACTGGAATCAAAAACTAAAGAAAAAAACAATACGAAATAACCTCGCGAAACTTTTGTGCCGAGTCGCGTTCCTTGAACTGAATAAAGGCAAAGCCCGCACAGGAATCCGGGAACCTGAAATATATTCGCTATAGAGCTTGCGGCAAATGCGTACTTGGGGTTTTTGCATTTCGGCAATACGATCTGCGTGAACGGGCCGTGCTTGGAACACTCATTTTGTAGGTCTTCGGTTTTTGTCTAAATTCGATTTATTCTCAAAGCCGGGATTCCTACGTCGAAGGGCAGGTTGCGAATGATCAAGCGCCAGGGTTTCCTGTGTGCATCCTTATCGAAATTCTTCTTAAACGTCTGCTGCGGACGGCCACTAGGAAGCTCGCTCTTGATTTCACCAGTCTAAAAAAGTTGTTTTTTACTTGGATCTGATCCCACCTGGCCATCTTCTTCCTCGTCACTATCAGAAAACTTTATCTTCTTGTTGCTAGTCGTCTCCATGACTGGTTCGTCGATGTATCCGTATCGTTGTGGTTTTCCGTCTTGGGTCCGTTTTCGCTAAAAAATCGGTTCAATGAAGAGAAATACTACGAACGTCTTTGAAGAACGGTTTCTTTTTGCGGTCTCCGTCGTCATGTTGCGCACCGCGTTGAAATCCTACCATCCGTATCTGCACAAAGAAAAAATATAGACGGTCTCTGGCGCTGAATAGATATGATTGCCAATGGACAAGAATGGTGCAGCTGAGGAAAGAGATTCAACGTTTATCACCCGTTATGAAAAATGTACAAATTTACAGACAGTCAAGTGAACAGTGACGAAATTCTCGATTATTCGATAGGTGAAATTTTAGGTATTGGTGGCAGGGTTCGATGAGCGAATGTTCATATTAGGCGTCCGGAAGGAGCTGGCGGCTAATGGTGCTTGGCTCGAGGAGGCGTTCCCAATCGGGGTCGCTTGGAAGCTCTAAACAAAATCGGTAAATATGTAACGGTTCCTCTCATTCTCTGTTACTAGCATATTCATTCATTGTCATTGTAATTAAATTCTCATCAAGATAAAATAAATTGCACCATTTAGGTTTTTACAAAAACCAAATAATGTAGTGTCTGTCGTTTCGGTAATTTGCTAACTCCCGCGCCACGTATAACCCGTAAACCTTTATAACTTTCCGAAAAAAATCCAAGCTTACCGTCGACTGTGCGCTTCCAAAGTCTGTCGAAGCAACGGGCGTGCTGGTTACCATGGTCGTTTTGGCTCGTAGAACGGGTGTCTCTTTCTAGAAAAAAGAAAAGAAATCATATTTCGTATTTTTTTCTTACCGGGTTCAGCTCGGACATAGTATCCATACTCCCCTCGAGACTTGAATTTATCTTAAAAAAAAACGCGATTTAAAAAAGAAGGAGCGTGATTTACCATTTTCTCGCTAGTCAATCGATCCAGGACCTTCTCAAGATCATCCAAGTCATCTGAGCCCACATCCAGACATGTTAAGGGCTTTCGCAGCATGCTCATCTTTCGGAATCTAACAATTTTTTGGGGAGAGTGGATAAATTTTTGATGAGGAATTTGAGGGTGTGAGCTGACATAGTACTGGCGCGTAGCCTATCTTGCTATTAGCTGAACAAGAGGGATGTATCCATCACCGAAAAAAAGGTATCCATGACGTGCTTACAGCATTCTAAACTCTTGGGTGTGAAAAGACGCTAACAGTTGGACGATTTATTTTGATGCCATTTCAACGTGAGAAAATACTCAATGGCATTCACCGAATAAAGAGCAGGGCTCGCTTGGGCTCAACCGTTCACGGAGAACTTCTCACGAGGATCCCATACGGAAAATGTGGCAGGGCCAAGAAATTGTTGACGTTAAGTCTAATTGTAAGCTCGCTGATGGCACTTGTCAACGCGATCCTATTCGAAGACATATTTGCAGACATGGATAATGCCGGTACAACGATTGTCAAGGGGGGGAGGAGTGGGGGTAAAGCATGTAAAGATGTAGGGGGTAAAGCATCGTAGTTGATGGTCCTAACTAGACGTCAGTCTGCATGAACGGGGTGGGGACCGGGGCGTAACGTCTACCAATTCATTTTAAGCATTGTTTCCATGTGTCCCGGGAACGCGTCGAACACCTTTTTGAATAAGTCTTGATGATTGAGGATGTCCTTGAGTACACGCTGCTCTGAAAAACCATCAAAGTTATAGCCCGACGAGGTAAATTAAATTACCGCAAATCATCTCCGTTTGGGTAGACGCATCAGCGGTAGAGACAGACGGATGATAGATCATCGGTCCTGTGGAAAAAGAAAGCGGCAAGACTGAAGACGGAATTATTGTATCGGCCGGTGCCATCCAAGGAGCGAATGCATCCATCCGGAAATCATCTAAAACACGAATAAAAAGCCAGGTGAACCATCCTTACTAGCCATTTGGGCTTCTAAGAAATTGCGACTTTCAAATGGTGACTCAGATCCGTCTTCGGAAAGCGGACAAGAAGATGAAGTCATCGACGGGGTCGGCGCACCGCTTGGCGGCAATGAGTTGAAATTGGCTCCCTTGGGATTTGGGCAGATTTGCTGTAGGGAAGGCAGACGTTGACTGGGAGCTGGCCAATCCTGAAATATGGGTATCGGCATAAGCAAAGATTGCCTACCGAGTTTCGCGTTTTGATGAGGGGCCCAAATTCCATGGGGAGCCCGGGAATTCCGGGAGGTGGGCTTGCACGGAGCACCGAAGCCATTGTTCGTTCCTGGGTGACACTGGAAGAAGAGCGTTTTATAGAGTCTAAAAATCAAAGAGGGAAATAATTGGTTCTTTAGTATTTGGGGGATCGGATGTTTTCATATATGCTCAGAAAGGTGTAGTAAGGTGCAAGCAAAAGTAAACGTGTAAAACTGACGAATTAAAAAAAATGTGTCGAACAATCTATATTTTCCTATTTTTTCGCAAAATATTCGTTAAAACGTTAAAAATAGTAAAAACTGTTTAGAAGCCCTTGCTCCACTTATACAATAAAATTGGGATCCCACCTACACTACTAAAGAACCATAAACTTAACTCGACCGAATAATTCTTAACGCTAAAATATGTCTAACCGGGTGCCGATCGGAGCTTGCATTGGAAGTGGTATATGTGGCGGTGGTGGGGCTACGGGTGCTGGTTGTGGCACGGCACGTGGCGGGCGGAATGGCTTAGGAAGGCGCATCTGTCCAGAATGCTTGTGCACTGGATAGAGCGCATCCACATTCTCAAGTGGCGTCACCTATCGTCACAGTTACCGTAATCCAGAGTCCACTCACCAACACGCAGCGCCAGTTGTGCTTCTTTTCACGGTGCTGGCGAAAAACAGTTGCCCGGCAACGCTGTTCCTATAAATAGCCCCGTAAATCCGAACCGGTAATTCCCGAAGGTGTTCGGATCCATGAACAAACCTTGACAAGTGCAAAGTCGTCATCGGCTATATCGGTCCACGCGATAAAAGCGCTGCCAAATTTCGGGTTGTCCATAAAGCCGAAAAAACTTCCGGGGCCCGATTGAACATGCGAAATCTGGTGCGCATTTTGGGTGATATTTCTGGAAGTATTATACCTTCCAGTCGTCGTCGGTGATCAGCAACGAAGAATTGGCGAGCCGCGTAGCTTCATCGTTTCCAAGGTATTCTAATTGATTGGCTGTCCATGGTACATCATCAAAAGCCGCAGTATAAACGACACGGACCTACAAAACAGAATCGATCAATTAGTAAGATATATCAAAACCTTGACGCTTTCCATTGGCTGAAAGTCATTGCAGAAATTTGCCGGAGGTACATATACGCGGCCTGGAAAAGTTCAATGATATCAGCTGGGAAATGCTGACCAATAAAATCATTCCATAGCCACGTTTGACGAAGTTCTCGATTCACACGATTGATCACGCAAGTAACATTTAGCTGCAGGCGACTGCTGTCCATTTGATCTTCTTCCAGTTCAAACAACTATGCGCAAATTAATATTGGTGACAGAATACAACTTACCATGCCGAGATCTACAGGATCCTTGACCAGCCATGTTGGCTCCCGGGCACGTTGGTCATTAACATTATCAGAAACCGACAATGTTTTCGGGTCGCGGACGACAGCATACCGCAACCATCCACCCATATGCATCCAATCTTGAACTGATGCCGCTGGCAGTCGTGCTAGCCCAGTGACCTGAAGAAAAATCGTGAGATCTTCGCCCAAACAAACTGTAGAATAAACATGACAGTCACTGCCCGTCGAGTAGCGCACTATGCATCCAATTTGAGTCAACGCATTATCGGGAGCTCGTGTATTCTGAAAACGAGAAATAAAGTTAATTTGGATTTGAAACAAACCTTTAATTTCATATCTTCCGTCAAACCATCGTCAAACGTAATTTCACAACCAAAAGCAACATACTTGCAAGTATTAATATCAGGTTGACGAAAAATCTGAAAGGTGATGTTTTTTTCCGCGCAAAAATCGCCACGGTAACTTCTAACAAGTGTAACTTGTAAGGGTAGATAAACTCACACGAACAGCACAGGTTTTTCCTTTCTCTGCATTACGACCAAGCCACAATTTTCCGGTGGGAGTACGCGCAGAATACGGAACAAAAATACGCCCATATTTTTTCGCTTCCACAATACAATGCCTGAAATCGCGTTGTGGCAAGCAAGAAAGTACTTACTTATCCAATACATCAGTAATTTTTCCATACGCCTTTATCAGCTCGCTTTGCTTAATGACAGAGCTAGCCGCATACTTGCAGTCGTTAGTAGGATACGGCTGCTTGGATGCAGTAAAAATTAAGACATCATTTTCCTAAAATCAGATTAGCGACGTCAACGTTGCATACTTGAAAACGATCGCGCAAATCACAACAATCAGGAGCCATTATTCGAGCAGCCTCCAACGGCACATACACTTTTCCAACCTTCTCATCTTGAAGGAAAGCATATTTTTTTACCACCTGAAATTTTTATAAATCGTAGACCGTGGGATACCTTCGTGATTCTTCCTTCTCCTAATGCTCGATTCATATCCAAAATACAAACAGCCCAAGCCTGTTCGGTGTTCGACCTGAAATAGAACTGGTTATAACGCGAAGTCCTACGACGCAAAATTCTCTCCGAAACGCTAGAAACTTTTTGAGATCTGAAGTGGCTAGGCGAATAACAAAAAGCAGCGAGTTGGCTTGGCTACTATACGTCGCCATTAGTAACGCGAAATGCCTGCCACAGGGCAATTTAGATATGCCCCGGTCCTACTAAACCCACTGACTGAAGCCCCGGCTTGCCCTCGGATTTCCTGAGATTTGAGGAGCTCTCGCACCGGAAATTAGAGGGATGCCAATAATTAACTCCGGTTTGGAGGGGCCCGCGAAATATCGATCCAGGTAATTACAACCCGTCCCAATCTAGGTAAGTAGTTGGTGGAAGATACACCAGCATTCGCAAGAATGCGGAAAGAAAACGAAAAAGGTTTGAATCGTTTACTCAATAACAAAACAAAAACAACAAATTCAACAAACAATTTCCATCTTGCAACAAAGATGATTTCAAGGAGAGACTGAGATTGTGAACAATAATGATGGTGGAAATCAAGCCTTGAGTTTGACACTTTTGATCGTGCTGATGCGGATTCCCCTCGCCTCTCCAGCATATTTCGAACCTTCTTTTCGAATCTAAACACAAAATGCGAAAAAAGGAAAAGTTATACCTTCGGGCGTTGACCATGGTGCCGGATGAGAGCTTTCTTATACTGCTGTCGCTTCTTGCTCTGTAACGAATCATAGAATTTTTCGTACAGTATTGCTTGCCTTCGAAATGCTGGACGCTTTCTTTTTGCGGTAGCCCTGGGCCTTATTCTTGTCAATGGTGTAGTTGATACCACGGCGACCCTAAAAAGAGTAAAAACGCGCGAAATTGGTTTGCCTCATCATCCTCTTCCGCATCGTCCATTTCTGCGTCTTCTTCCAGACGTTTTAGCTCTTCTTTTTCTTTCTGAATAGAACATCTTACATGAACAAGGGAAAAAACCAGACCTGTCTGATCGCCCGCTTTTGTGAAATTACTGGATAGTGTTCTTCGTAGTCGACATCAGCTCCTTCAGCCGCCTTGCCGATGAGCTTCGACAAAAGGGAAGAGTTTCTGCCGACAAACTCGTCAACTTTATCGGTCATCTAAATAGATTATTGTCATAGCTAGTGGAACGCCACCTCTTTCAACCTCCAGATTTTTGCTAGACAAGGGTGTTCATCGACCTTCAAATCATTGATTTTGTGTGTGCTAATCGAGTCCGCCTTCATTGCAAGCCAGAATTCCACGGTGCTCCGGTAACTGAAAACCCGGGGTTTACTAAAGGTTACCAACACTCACCATCCATAGGTGTTAGCACATAGTATTAATTTAACGCGCAATGGTGAATCTTCCGGAAGCGCCTTGGCGACATCTGACAGCGGGCGGACAATCACGTTGAACATTTCCATCTATTTACGAAAGCTATCACAACACTGCGGTAAAGATACCTTTAGTTTGTAGTCGTTCAAGATATTGACAGCCTCCTGATTCTTTTTGCGAGCCGTTTTTGGGTCCCATTGTTGTGATTCATCCTTGATAACCTAGAGGTTGATGTAACAAATGAAAGTCAGAATCAATTTCAGTGCCTAGAAGTGAAATAATTACTTCAGTAACGGCCGCTGTAGTCGCATCCTCGTCATCATCAAAGACGTCCAAATCGGCTGCAGCGGCATCCAGAGCTTTTTGGCGAATTCTAAAAACCATGGGGTCTGAGATTGCAGTAGTTATTTACTTGGCATCCTCCAATTCGAGCTCTGCTTCAGCATCTTCGTCGTCGTTAACGGTGCCAAAATCCTGCACAAAAAATTAAAAAAGCCACTTCCAAAATTCACCTTATCAACGTAGGAAGTCGAATAAAAGGCTGATCTCTTCTTTCCCCAACCTTCACGTGACGGAAGTTGTGCTGAAAAACTTTACGTCTTCCCTCGGACTAAAGACCTACTCACCTTCGATCGCGTCTTCAGCTGTGCCATTCTCACTTCCCTCCCAGTCACTACTTACGTTCCCATCGTCTCTTCGCTCTCCTTCATCATCCGAATAGTCTCCCTCAACGTTCAGCACCTAGAACATGGAGATTTTTAGAATTAAAAAACCCTCGAAAAAAACCAGTATAGAATGGAACTATACCTCAACAGGCGTTGCTTTCCCCTTTTTTCCAAAGTCCTTTCCGAGGTCCCGATCGGCCTGGTGAAAACGGTCAACTTCATCATAGACGTCTTCATCGTCGGTATCAGGCCTAAATAATCGGTTTTAGGAAAGAGGACCTGACTAACGTTTCGGTCTTTTTTCCCGATCTCGTGCGCATCCCTTCTCTAAATTTCTTTTGATAAAGTAAGCATAGGTCAACGCGAAGCTAAAATTTACAAGTTTGTAACAAACACATGAAATGCTCAAGTGAAGTGAAAAAGTGAAAAGCTGAGTGTTTAGAGGACACTGCGCGGCTTGCTACAGATCTGTCGAGAGGTGCATAGTGGAGTCAGAACGGATGAGCGTCTTTTTTTCTTTTTTCCACACATCGAGTAAGAGTTTTAGAGGTTTTGTGTGCCGAGTTTCATTTCGGTAAAAATAGACTTGGAAATCACTTTTTCCTCGAGTTCAATGAATTACATAATTTTATCTAAAAGAAGCCTTCGCAAAACTCGCTGCTCAAAACCTCGCGTTTTCAGTTTGTTTCGTTTCGTTTTTCGAATTGAGCGCAGAAAACTGGTCTCGGAAACCACAAAAATTGAAGAAACAAAAACTGTGCTCCCCTCCCCAAAACGCGTTGGCTCAATACCTGGGCTTGGAATTATTTGCTCAAAATGCCCGGCGGATCTTTCTGGTCGGTCGGTATCGACGTTCTGATGGAGAAAATAGCGAAAGCCGGCCTTGGCAGCGGGGAAAGTTTAACGAAACATTGCGCCAGCCGGGGGAATGCCTTTCGGCTAGAAGATGTTGTCTGTGTCTGGTCAAATAGCCCGCACTCTCCCCCTCCTTGCACTCTGCATTCCCCTCGTTTCGCTCGTCCCTCTCGCTAAACCGTGACACCGCACTGCGACATTTTTTTTTGGCTTGACCACAAACTCTAAGGGTCCAATGTGTTGTTGAAGGGCCTTATGACTGCCATCAGAATTCGTATTGTTTAAAATCCTATGACGCGGCATTTCTTTTTACAAGATTCGTGGATCTCATCAGCTTTTTCCGGACACCGCCACGATATAATTTGTTTTAGATGTTTTGGCAGCAACAAGCTGCGGAAGAGAACTCGTTGTTGAAGTTAATAAAGGAAGATAATGTCACGCTGCAGCAACTTCTCGACGATCCTTACTTGATCCAAGAAGCCCACAATCACAACGAAAAGCTCCTTGACTTGTGAGTTGGATGAGGCTTGGTAATAAATTATTTCTAGTTTGACGCGCGAGGACGTGTTGCTCGAAATGCTGAACATAGCGCTGCACCCGAAGGTTGATGCCAACTCACCATTGGAGAATCAGTACAGGTCGTTTAGGTCGTTGTCCTTCAACCTTATTTAGGCATGCACACGTATGCTGTGAAATCCTGACTTCCGAAAACAACACAGCATTGGCTGAAGCAGTATTGACGAGGTGCGATTTTGGGCGTTCTTCCGTTCTATGCGCACTTTAGCGAAGTTGTCCTGAGCGTCATTACCGACTTTTTTGTGGGAAATTCGATCTCCAACCACCTAGTGGCCTCGTTTTACATGAAGATCGTCTCGAGACTTTTGAGCATCTTCCCTGAAAAGGTATACTTTTTGCGCAGAGCCTAACTTTTTACAGGTACTCGAGATCTTGGAAAGCGGTAATTTCGTGGGAAAAGCGACGGAACACCTGCACTTGGCCGGTGTAGCTGAATTGATCTTGCGCCTGGCAACCGCTAACTACGATGAAGGCACTTCAGAGAAGATCAGAATTGTACCCCGCCTGGACCTTTTGTCATACATATATATTTAGTGGTTTGTGAAAAACGAGTTGGTTGAAAGTTGTGTCTCGCTACTTGATCCGTCATTCCCGACTTCGGTGCACAACAACGTTAAACATCTATGGACAGAAATCGTGAGGCAATCGAGGTATGCTTAGTCGAGTTTCATTGACTAGTCTTTTTAGGGATAACTGTTTTGCGCAAGAGGAAACATGCAATCCGTTGGTTGCCAAGATGCAATCTGCTCATATAATCGAGAAGCTCATAGAAAAGGTCTTGAAGGTCAGTCTATTTCTGTCGGAGTATTTAAACCTGTTTTAGTTGGGGTCTTGCGAAGGTGCGTCCACAAGCGTTATATTCGCTGTATGCGCTATCCTGAATAAAACCTTGGAAACCAATTACATCCAGGATTGTCCCAGCTACCTATTGGCAGTCGAAAGGTAATACTCGGGTTTGATCTGCATTGTTATTTAGTGCAAATAAAAACGCGGGAAACCGGATGGTGAGCCATGAGGATGTCGAGGGGATACCCAGGATGACAAATGTACGGTTTTCTTTACTTTCTTGACGTTGAATATAGATGCTGCTACCTGATCCGGAGAGGGTGGTCGAAACCGTCGTTGCCGCATACGGAGAGCACCTTCTTCGACTCGCAATCGGTGATCTCGAGGTTAGTTTTCCGGCAAAAACGTAACCCTCATTCTTAGACGAACAACCCCACTTGCTCCTGGTCTGCGTTGATGAACCTTTTTATAAGCTTGACCAATACCCGTCATATGCCAACCCACGCACGACTCACCCAGAGTTTCACCGGCGCCAATCTCAAAGGGGTAAGTGTCTGCTTGTAATACTTTATAATAATCTTTTTAAGCTTTTCTCGATACCACGGCACCTTGCGACAATGTCAATACTGCATGACGATTACTACCAAATTATTTCGAATATCCTCTACACCGCACCGCTCGATTCGAACACGAAGTCGCCGCTTCTGGAGTTCGCATTCAAGGTATGATGCTATATTATGATTATTAGTTGCATTTGTAGGAGCTCGATCTGATCGGAATTCTTGATCAACATATTGGGAAATTACCGGAAGATCTCACGCGCCTTCAAAGCATATGCCTTCGCGGTTTCTATATGAATCTCGGTGCTCGCCTTGAACAGGCTTCGAAACTGAGCCCGGTGCAAGCCGATATCAGCGCCTACCTACAGGTGAAACCACCACTATTCTTTCATTTTTCTATTGGTTTAGGCAGATGCTCGATGGCAAGGCTTGCGTGATGGGATACTACGATATATGCAAGAAAATCAGCCACACCCAAGCGCACTTCCCCAAGCAACCCAAGACAGGCAAGTCTTTATTTTCAAATATTAATTTTGATTTTAGCCTCGGAATGGACTGCGGTGGTAATCTGGATGATGACGATTTCTTCGCAGCCGAGGGAGCACTGGCTCCGGCCAGCAATTTGGACGCAATCTCCTTGTCGCGGAAGATGAACGAAAAGGACAAGTTTGACGCCGAATTCGACGCCGTTTTCGGAGGGTAAGTTGCTAGACATTACCGCAGCTGTTTCCATGATGTTTTTTATCGTTAAACACTACGTCATCTTTCGTTTTAGTTCCGCGAAAAGACAAGGCTCTTCGGAGGAGCATTCGAGTAAAAAGCGGCAAGACACTACGGACACACAGAAAAGCTTGGAAGAGGTCAGCGTTGCCAAATATTTCCTAACGTGGATTTAGGATCAAGCAAATCCAGGATGCGCAGACCAGGGCAGTGCCACCACTACGGAGGAGATCGACCCGTTCCTCGACTGGCCTCAAGCAAGCACCACGTGAGTTGTCTCTTCTTTGCATCAATCTCCAATTGTAGGAAGTCTGATTGTGACTGGCCAACTGAGAAAGCTTTCCCGGACGAACACAAAGAAAAGAAGACGGATTTGGATTGGCCGTCAACATCTGACCCGGATCATAAGAGCACCGACTCGATTTCTTCGCTGAGGAGTGCAGAGGTCAAGCTTACACCTCGTGATGAATGGGCCATCTTCGGCAAACCGGATGGGAACCAGCATGCAGCTTCTCCGAAAACTCCTCTAGACGATCTCGACTGGCCGGGCGAAACGACATCTTCGAACTCTTCTTCTTGCTAGCTTTTTCAACATTTATTACGCTCGTTTTCTTCACATTCGTCTTCTTTAGGCTCATTTTTGTGATAGCCACTATCCCGATTCACTTCAATTATGGTCCTCGCATTTCTCCCGTTGTGAATTTAGGCTACCATTTCCGTTTGAGATTAGAGTTTTATGCTTTGTGTTGTACGTGGTTGATCGAGGCTATTTTGCCCTCGCTCTTGAAAATACACACATTGGCTAACGTTTTTTTACCGCGATTCCTGGTTGAATCCCGGACGATATATTTTTCGGTGCAAAATGCGCGGAACCAGAAAGATTCTTGCAGAATGTCCAAACGCAAGGTTCTTCTGATGGGGAAGAGTGGTGCTGGGAAGACATCGATGAGGTTTGTGGGTTCGAGCCTGGTGGTTAGCTCCAGTGTTTAGGTCGATTATATTCGCGAATTACATAGCCCGTGACACGAGCCGCCTCGGGCCCACCATTGAGGTCGAACACGCGAATGTCCGGTATTTGCTTATATTGTGGTATTAGTTTTAGATTCCTCGGCAACCTTGTGTTGCATCTATGGGATTGTGGCGGCCAAGAAACATTTATGGAAAATTATCTACAGAATCAAAAGGATCAGATTTTCAAGAATGTTCAGGTTTTTGGATGCGATACTTCAAAACCTTGGTTTAGGTGCTAATCTATGTATTTGACGTTGAATCTCGGGAATGTGAGCGCGACTACAACTATTTCCAAACTTGTCTAGAAGCTCTTCTGATTAACTCGCCAAACGCTGAGGTAAACTTATTGGGATCTTCTTAATGATTTCTAGGTTTTCTGCCTCGTGCATAAGATGGATCTTATTCAAGAGGAGCACCGTGAACGGGTGGGAAGAATCCTTTGGAAGCTTATTTTTTAACAGACATTTGAGGAAAAGTGCAAAGATATTTATCGGCTCTCCGACGAACTAATCGGAAATAAGGAGAAGACACAGTCAATTGTTCAGTGTTATAAGAGCTCCATTTGGGATGAGACTTTATATAAGGTAGCTTCTTTTTGGTTGTTTCCAGTTACATGAATTTAGGCTTGGTCCGCGATAGTCTACAAATTGATCCCCAACGTTCAAATGATCGAAAAGAAGCTTAGCAATTTCACTGACGTGGTGGAAGCAACTGAGGTTCGTAGGCGCAGTTTGCTACAGGTAGCACAATTTAGGTACTGCTGTTTGAACGTGCTACCTTTCTGGTCATCGCGCATTCAGAAACCACAGAGCAGAACAAAGACGTGCACCGTTTCGAGAAGGTTTCGAATATAATCAAACAATTCAAGCTCTCATGCAGGTGATTTTTTGTTAAACTGGTCCTTGGCGTGCACGTATTCCATTAATCCTAGAATTTTAGCAAAATGGGCTCTCATTTTGAACAAGTGCAAGTGAAAAATGACCAGTTTGCGGCATTCATTGAGGCCTTCACACCAAACACATTCATTATGGTGACTATTTTAACCCTATTTTAATCCCAATTTTAGGTGGTCATGTCTGGCCCGGGGGCGTCATCCATTTCCGGATCCGCCATTCTGATGAATATTCGGCTGGCCAGGAAGCACTTCGAGAAGTTGGAGGAGCCCGTCTCCATCTAAGTGATCATTGCTCCCAGATTTATCCTTTCATTGCTCACTTTGTCAGACTGGACCGGTCTCTTGATAATTGTGATATTGTGTATGTATGTTTTTGCCAGTCTCTTCTTGCCATACATTAACTTTTTCGTACAGCTTTACGTTGTTTTGTGGAAATAGTTTTTTTGCGACGTCGAATAAATTCTAGCGCATTAGAACGCTGTTCGAAACTGATGCTGGGTTGTTATTGGCAGAACTATCGCTTTGATATGGTGAAAGTTTTCGGAAAACATTATTTTTGTTCAGATGGAAGTCGGTGTGGCCATAGCTGGTGTGGCATGTACAGCTATAGCCTTTAGGTATGAGACATTTAAAATTCATTATTTTTCTTGTAGGCAATATTATGGCTGCAAGGTCAACTGTTGGTTCTGTAACACGGATACCCGGGTGTCGTGGTCACAGAAGAATGCCTTCGTCTGTCCTACATGCGACCAATACAATGGATTTACCGCCGAGGGGGATTATAACCGACGGGTTCCCGGGCAGTATCGACCATTGACTCGGCAGCCATCCAAGAAGTTTGTTTTATTGATGGGTTCCGAATCTTGTTAAGCTTTTGCGCTAATCGAGCTGCCGAAGCCCATTCGCTCAACGATAATATTTTATGTGCTGAATGTAATCACAAGCAGACAATTATTGTCGAGCGCATCAATAATTTTGAACCTACGAATGAGGTATTTTTATGTCGTAATTCTATTCGACAACGTTTTTTTAGGATCGTTGGCAGGCTGAACTGGACGATTATAAGAATCGTCTCAATAAGGTGTACGCGCTATGTGAGACGTGTACGATGGCAACGCAGAGAAAATTGACTCAAGACAAGGTTTTTTATGAAAAAAACTTGATATATTGCTTTAGGAAAAGTACGGATACCTTGCTCGCATCACCAAACGTGGGCGCGAAGCTCTTCAAGACATCAAGACATCGGTATTTGCAAATGTACCGCTTATACGTCGTTTTAGGCTAAAAAGCGTCGTAAATATTTCTTTCATGGCGGAAGGACCACCGAGACTAGTCATCTTGTCAGCGTGGCCATTTCCTTCGTCTACACATTAGCCATATTTCATGTGTTGCAACGGGTAAGCCTTTTTCTCATTCTGACCCAACCGGGGGTGTTTTAGGAAAGCCAATTCCAAACGTTCGAGATGTTCATTCCAACGGCCCTTGTGGGAACAGTTTTCGACGGATTAGCTCTAATCAATGCGAATTCAATGTGGTGTAACTTTGGCATCCTCGTTATTCATGCAATCGCATTCACCACGAACAAATGCCGCGTCATCTTTCCCGATTTATTGGTAACTTATTTTATGGTTTACAACCTTGCCGGCTCAGGTGTTCGTCCTCAATATGATGCTGTTCTTCTGCTATTTGGACGTTCCTGCGCACTATACTGATGACATGGACTTGTACAAATGCGGGTTCAGCGCAATTTTGTTCTGTGAGTTGCCTGAGGTTTTGTGAACATGCAAAATTAGGCCTCACATCAGCGGTTTGGCTGCTGCCGCGAAAACTTAAACACGTGAAGCGGCCTAACACGATTTCGAGGTGGGTTTTGAATATTTTTCCACTCTTCTTTTAGTGCTTTCTCAGTTGCTTCGACGCCACTCTCGCAGTGCAGTACCATACGCTCAACCGGGTACGAGCCGTCTTCATTTCACAATGCTTTTTTTATAGGACGACTCCCCTGAACGGTTCTATTTTGAACTCTTCTATCGCTAGCCGCGGGCATTTCTGGTCCGGCTCCCCGACGCAAAGGCCTGAGAACAATCCGTCTCCCGTGTTCGGCAATCGTAATTGGACGGCCAGTCGTTTCGCACCTGCCGCAAAGGAAAATGTAACAATAGTTTATTTTTCATCAGCTTTGCTTTGTTCAGAAGAATCCGTTCGTGCGTGCCACCACGTTCCCGGCGAGCAAAGTTGGCAGCATCGCTTCAAGCCGTTCGACATCTCTCACGGGGTGGCGTGATACTCGAGAAAAGACACCCGTCTCGCCGAATGAGCATGAACGCAGTGGGGTATGTTCCAGGCTTGATTTTCGAATGTAACCATTGAAATTCCAGGACATGGACTGGGAACCGAGTTTGGTTGGGTCGAACTCGTCAGTGTTGCGCCAAAGACCCGATCAGAATGCGATACCGAGAAGCAGGCGCGAAGTCACACCGTCTAGTCAACTTGGTGGAATGTTGGGTGGACTCAACCTTGGCAAACCAGGTTCAGAAATTCCCGTTTTTCTTAGCTCATTCTCGTTCAGAACGTTCAACTCGCGGCGGGCCATTTGGATCTCTCTCGTTCAACCCATCGGTCCGCTCACGGTTCAGCGAACGTGATGGCCCGTCCGGCTCGGACGACCCGCAATTTGATGTAATAACCATTTAACTACCTTTAAAATATTATTTGCAGGCTCGCTCCACTGCTTCGGGCTTCACGTCGGTGTCTCAAAGGGCTCCGAACCACCAATGGACGGCCATGCCGCCATCGTTGCGTCACCGTAACCTCTATGAAGATAATGGTCAGAAGTCAACTAACTTACGGTTCTGGACTGTTAGCGGGGGCGGCTAACTTTTAGCATGATGCCCCGTAGGGTTCTAGTAATGAACTATTTTATGTTTAATTGGATAAAGCGCAATAAAATTTGAAAATTCTACATTTTTGCCAAAATTGTTTGAAAATGGTCAAACATTTCTAAAAGTCTTTTAACTAGACTTTAGCAACCCAAAAACTACTAAACACGCAAGAGAAATAAACTTAAGAGCCCTAAACATTTTGCTAGTTATGTATACCCCCGGTAATTGTCCAGAATCAAAAGTTACGACGCCACGTTTGGCATTCTATGAAGCTTTCGGACATCCGCCATTTTCAGGTTCAGTCGGAACGGGCACCCGTCTTCAGCCTCCTCCAGCCGCCGCCAATAGACCATCCCTGCAAACTATTCTTGTGTGCCTGAGCTTCCTTTTCAACGTTGTTGTTGTTTACTACGTTATGTCACGCAACTAGGCATTCCTTTGTTGTTAGGTTTTCAATTTGTCGTTGCCCAATTATTTACGTGGTATTGCTGATCTTCGCCATATCGTGTGACAATTTAGTCAGTCAAAAAATGTTCCCGGCGATAAAGATTCATTTATGAGCTAGGGTTGGCAAGTCGATGTCGAGTTATACAGCTACAGTACACCTGGTTACAGATCAATGTCCAAATTATTCGTCGGTAGTCTGTGAGAAATTTTGAGGTTCTAGCTAGAAAGGTAATTGAAAGTCTGGGTGAGCGAGGTTTCTGGCTCTTTGCCGGAACGCCGTGGGGATGGTGAATTCGCATCGTCATGAACTGTTTGCATAGGCTTGGCGGGCTTCTCTTCCCCGCCGACTCATCCAGCCCAGCCCATACCCATAGCCTTCGCATACTTTTCAGACTATTCTTCACTTTCTAGTCCCAGAACACATGGCGTTCAGAACTTTAAGCGTCCGTAGTTTCAAGCAAAGTTGCTGGTTTTTAAGTTTAACCCGCTTTTTGCGCGATCTATGCTTGCGAGTTCGAGAGAAACTTAGTTAAACGGCTTCCCTGTTGGCTTGCGACGGTCAGCTTTAAAAAATATAGATTCTGCAGCAAGTTGCCAGTTTTTGCAATCTGAATCAAATGCTGCTTCAGGTGATGGTGTGGAATCAAACGTGTGGCTCTACCAGTGATTTTCCTTTTTTTTTGTCGTTTCCTCTCCTACTTCTGTTCTCTTTGGGCTCAATCGTATCTCATTTTCAGGCCAGTAGTATGCCAGGGCAAGGCGACAAATACGATGACGGAGGTGCCACTAGTTCGAAAGGTAACTCTAAGATCTTTAAAGCGCATGTGAGGGGTTACCCTATGCATCTGTAAAAATCTGAGTCTCCTTTTTTACCTCGGTCTCTGACCTAATTCGGTGATTATGTAGTACTACTTGAACCTGCGCTTTGAAGGTGTGCAAATCTCTCAGGGGGTATTAAACCCCGTCTGGCGATTAGAGTGGGCGGCCAAAGGTCAGAAATCATAAAAAAAAGTTCGGGGCCATGACACTGATTGTGTTCGGGTTGGCCCGATTGGTGGTGGACAGGGGAACAGGCCCCGTTCTAGTTGCGTGTCCAAGGCAGCCATCCCTTCTCTTACAGCTTTATCTATCGCGGGGCCGGCACTTGTGCTATCCTAGGGGCGGTCCTTCCACCCCCGTCCGCCTTTCTTTCCCCCTGTGCCGCGCCTGCCCTCCTCCCATCGCTCGTGGTGGCATTTTGTCGCGCGAGCAGTTTGCCGTCAGACATTCCCACCGTCTGAAGGGGTCTATTCCGGGAATACACCGCTTGTGGAGCAAACCATGTCTTCAGACTACTCCATTTGGACGGGCAATGGCGAGACGATCGTGCATGTGAAATATGAGTACGCCGACTGGTTGCGTGTCGAGAGGTGAGCGTTTTTTGGAATTACTGTTCACTTTGAAGGTGGCGTTTCGCCCAATTTTTTTATCGGGGCTTATAAGTCTGTCGGTGGCTGGTGAAATATTCCCTATTTTTCTAAAAAAGCTTTACAGATTTTTTTCAAATCGTTGGCAAAGCCTTGAAGCATCTAAGGATTAGGTTATTTAACGCGGCCGCGCTTAGAAGGAGTCGTTTTCGGCGACGATGGCAATTTTTTAGACGACATAGCTCATCCGATATGACCGGAATTCTGGACGATTCGCAGTTTTCAAAACCGCGGAACTATCAATGTTCTTCAAGAAAATTGCCACTGATCGACATTTTGGCCCGCTCTAAAAACCTCAAATTTGAGCGTCTTCTCCGCGAAGGTGGTTGTGGTTCAGCAGTGTTTGAAAGATAGGATATGTTCTGATTTTTAAGCTCTTGTTAGAAGCCTCCATTTTGAGCCATTTTTTAGGTTTTGATTTTCGATGTAACGACTTTCTGATTTTCTCGCTTCAAGTTTGTGTCTACAAATAGTCTCGTAACGGGTGCGCGAGACAGTTCGCTTTATGCATTTGTGTGTGGAGGGTGGCCCTAAACTCCAGCAGTGGCGCCAGCCGGACCACCTTTTTGTTTGCGTTATGCCTGGGCCGACAGATCGATCATAGGCCCCGCTTACAAACTAGCCAGCCCCCCCCCCCCCCCCCCCCACACCTGGCCTTATCGGGTCATCGTGATGACGTTTTTTGGGATTTCTGAGCTCAAGGGTCGAGCTGAGTCATAATTTCGTTAGAAAGAGAAAAACCACTTTAAAATTCGGATTTTAGATCATGGGACAACATATACATGCACAACATCTTCAAAACCCATTGGTACTACTCGATCTACATTGCCCTGGCCTACGTCTTCATCATTCATGGGTATTTCTCATTTTTAATTTATTTGTTTTGCATTTTTTAGCCTTGAACGATGGATGCGTAACAGGAAGCCCTGGCACCTCAAAGGCCCGTTGGTCGTGTGGAATGGGGCGTTGGCCATTTTTAGTGCTGTGGCCACCTGGAGGTTTGTCTGTTTCTCGGTCTCTAGGATACCCATTCAAAAAGGGGATCTGGTTCGTTAACGGGGGGGGGACCTGACTTCCTTGATTCCGTAATAAGAAAACATCGACTGTTTTCTTATTACGGAAAAATTATCAAAACATCTTTGGAAATACAATTTCGAAAAATTTGGTAGTTTTTGATAAGTTTTTATCTAAATAGATGGCGTCTTTTTGATTTTGGTGCCTACGGGAACTTGGTATGAGTTTAACCCCCCCCCAACTAACCAGCGCCCAAAAACCCCTCCGGGGGTCAGCCCTAGAAAATGAGCCGAGCTTCGTACATGCCGCGAAGATAGAGGGGGACTGTTTGTGGTGTGTATCGATGACGGTCCGGGGCTGAGATCTATCAAGTTCTTCGCTCACACACAGACTGCTAGCCGACGCGCTTTCCCCTGCTGCCATCGGTGATCGCCACGCGCTTTCTGACGAACAAGGGCATAAGGACGGCGGGCGCTTTCTTCCGAGCCTATCCATCCCCCCAACCCTCCGGCTGCCCCCGCTAACACAACACCCAAAACCTATTATCGATGACGGCAGGGGAGTGCGAGCTATTGAGGAAGAAGCGGAAGGAAATGGATCGGCGTGAAAAGCTCGATACTCGAACCAAAACTAGCTGGTGGCGATGATAGAGGGGGATGGGACGGGTTTTTGCGGAAAGTCAGGGATATGTTGGCCCCTAGGATCTTGATTTTTAGATTTATTTAGTTGTTTTTGGATTTTAGATTTTTGGTTTCCTTATTCAATGGATCTAAGTATTTTTTTTATTCGTGCTCGCGGATTAGCGGATTAGCCATCGGAAAGTCGAAATTCATAAGCTAGAAATTTCAGAATCTCGAGGTTTTCAAGAACAAATCTTCCCAGAAATCTGATAGACCATGCAAAAATTTTCGACGTTTTGAAATGTAATGTATTTGGATATTATGCCATTTTAAGATTATTATTTCGGCATTGTGAAATTGCGACATTAGAAATCCCGACTTAAGCCGGCCTCGCGGCAAATTTCTACTTCCGCTCATAATCCATTATTCCCACCGCTGCATTATCAGGAAGCTATTAAACAGCGTTTTCCTAAAACCTTTTGCATGCACCCCTTATACACCAATAGCCTTTGTGCCCCCTCCCTGCCGGAATCTTGACTGATGTTAAAGAGTCGTTGGTTTGTGAGCGGGTGGTGCTTCCCTTCAAATGGCCATCCCATCGCTACATCCGCCCGCCACACAAAAGGAACGGGCTTTCGCACACAATCCCCCACCCCTGCGAAACACATCCTTGAATAAATTTCGGCGACCGCCCAAGGGGGCTATCTATCCCATTTCCGGGTCCGTGAAAAATACCAACTTCTTTTTTCCGGTTCTGGTGCATTAGCAGGGGGGATTTTGGCGATAACGTCTCCTTGCTCCCGCGCTTAGAGATTAAATTGTTTTGACCTGGAGTTAAAACTATTATTAGAGTTTTTAATGCTCGATCGGATCGCTGGGACCAACCCGAAATAATAGCGACGTTTTACAGGATCGCTAACGAATTATAACCCTTTTTTTTGCTTTAGGTACGGAATTGAATTCGTGAACACGGTGACGACGCGCCCGATTTACGACTCAATCTGCTACTCGACGGACCCGGAGCAGCCGGCTTCGTTCTGGGCTTGCTTATTTGCTATCAGTAAGGTGAGTGATCTTGCCCTCGTTGGCGTGAGCGTTCAACAGGTTTCATAGCCGTCCTGCAGCTAACAAGGAATCGTTTGAGGCGATACTAGAGTCTTGGAATTTGGCATAGTTTTTCGGATAGAGCTGGAAAATCGGAAAGTCAGATGTAATTAAAAAATTGCTGGGCGATAAAGGTCTTCGAGAATACAGAAAATTGGAAATGAAAATTTAATCTTTTTTTTTGGTCGCTGCGCAACAAAATTTGAATTTTGAGGATTGACGACTGTTAGCGTTTTGGGTTTTCAAAATACCGAAATTCATAATCTCGAAATCGAATATCTAATCTCGAATTTCTCGAATTTCAACATTTTGACAGGCTATTCTGGGGATTCCCCGGTAAATCGTTTATCGAAAACGTCAACATTATAAAATTTCGACATTCGGAAATTTCGGCACTTTAAAATTTCGACATTGATGCCAGATCTCGATGTTTAGGTGGTCGAATTGGGCGACACCGTTTTCATCATCTTGCGCAAGCGCCCGCTCATCTTCTTGCACTGGTACCACCATGCCGTCGTGCTCGTCTACGTGTGGCATGCTGGTTCGTTTTTGCGTGTTTTTGGATGGGGATGTCGGTATTATGGTAGCACCTGGTTGGAAGGGATACCGTGTGTTCGTAGCATGTGACCGCTAACTCGCCCCGGCCATCTAGATAATATTATTTTTGAGGTAGAAAAAAGGGGCGATTCGATCTCTCGCCTGTGCAACGGGGTCTCTTGTTGCATTCGGTGAAATGACACACGCAGGCCTCTCTTATCGTGCTCTCAACACTCCCGGTTTGGGCCCGAAATGGCGAGGTGAATGGCCGGGTCCATCGGTCTTTTATTTTGACGTTCGGCCAAGGGGAAAAAGAGCCTTGTAAGGGATCGTTCCATAAAAAATTGGGAATTACATCGTCTTTAAGGCAGGATTTAATAGTGTTTCCGTGTTATTAGGGCAGAAATTTTTTTCAAAGGCGATGTAGAGGCGAATAAATACAAGTTAAATAATCCTTCATAATCAGAAACAAAACTAATTCTCAATCAAAAATGGCTTGTCCCCCCTCCCCCCCCCCTAACACCGAAGCACCGATCTAATAATTGAATCTCTGGCTAAATTTCACTTTACGGTAACTAAATAAAATGTCGATTTTTCGACTGGGATCGATAGATCTCGTCGAGTTCTACCATTTCCAGTTGAAAAAACTATTGGGACTCGCTTCTAAAAAAAGTTATAAACATTTTAAATTGGCTAGTTCACTTTACGGTAACTAAATAAAATCTCGGATTTTTGACTGAAATCGATAGATCTCATCGAGTTATCGCGTTTCCCGTTGAAAAAACGATTGGGAATCGCTTTTAACAAAAGTTATAGCTGTTTTAAACCAAGTCACCCCGCATCGGAAAAGTCGGTTTCGGCTACGAGGGACTCCTTTGTACGGAAAAAAACGTAATAGTTGTGAACGTACTGGGGTACCAAATACGGGGGTCGCTGCAAAAGGCACAGGAAAAACTTTATTAGCACACATTTTGCACTTCCTCCGAATTTCGGAATTTCTGAAACATCAAAAAGACGGTTTTGCAACAGGAGTCACTCAATTTGGATGGAAGTGACCGCTACTTCCTCCGCTCTGCGACTAGAAAAAGGCTTCGTGCCACCGGGGGCCTAGTCGCTTCGGATGGGCGCGAGCTCGTACAGGGTTTCGAAATGGGGGCGCCAAGGCCGGCGAAGCGGCCGGGGGCGCCCCCCATTTCGAAAGAGTGGAGCGGCAGCCCATCCGAAGCGACGGCCCGACTTGCCTGACAATGTCACAGTCAAATGCCAAAAATATAGTGTAGCCTCCTCCGAACAACTTTCCCAAAGGTTTTTTCAATTGTAAATGCAAGAACTCGATGAGATCTATATATCCCAGGCGAAAAATCGCATTTTTACGAGGTTACCGTAAAGTGAACCAACCACTTTAAAACGTGTATAACTTTCGTTAAAAGCGGGTCCCAATCGTTTTTTTCAACGGGAAACGCGATAACTCGATGAGATCTATCGATTCCAGTCGAAAAATCGAGATTTTATTTAGTTACCGTAAAGTGAACTAGCCAATTTAAAATGTTTATAACTTTTTTTAGAAGCGAGTCCCAATAGTTTTTTCAACTGGAAATGATAGAACTCGACGAGATCTATCGATTCCAGTCGAAAAATCGACATTTTATTTAGTTACCGTAAAGTGAAATTTTCCCGAATCTCTGGAAGCCATACAGTTATTGACCACGCATCTTTCACCAATATATAAAATGCCTATGCAAGGGGTAACCCGTTTTCTCCCAATACGGAATGCACCGCACCGGGGCAGAACGCCAATTTGGGAATTTGGGATTCCATGGCGCACCATGGTGATGCGTGAAGCCACACAAGCGCCTCTTTTGTGGTTCTATGGAGGGGAAGAGGAGGGGGACACTGCAACGGCACTTCGTCATCCCTGTTCGCCTATTCCGAAAGACAGTCATAAAGCCGATAAAGGGAGACTGTGCGGGGGAGAACCTCAACTTCTTATAGGATTTTTTTGAAACAGGGTGATGAAATACACTCGACCTAAAGAGAAATTCTAAAAAAATCTTGGTATTGGAAGTTGTCGAAAAATGCGTTCTGGTTCGTTAGCGGGGGAGAGCTATTTACCATTGTTCAGCCTAATCTCCATAGTAATAATGCACAAACTATTTTTAATTTTTTTACTAATTTACGATCATTAAAAAATTATAAGAATCTTTGAAAATTGGAGACATTTTTGAAAATTAGACGATGTTTCTGTCAGCTCGACCAAAATCAAAAGTTTTGTAAAATCTGAGAATTTTTATACACTTACTTATATCCTGAAATGGCGTAAAATGCATTAAAATGTTTCTATCTCATTATAGCGTGCCTCATAAGGCAAATTAATCCTCGTCCCCCACCCCGCTAACGGACCAGAACCAAAGGGAAAATCAACGGTACACATTTCCAATCGCCTTTTTCAGCCGTCGAGCTCACGGCAGCCGGGCGTTGGTTTATCTTCATGAACTACGGAGTACACGCCATCATGTACACCTACTACACCCTGGCTGCGCTCAGCATTCGGCTCCCGAAGGCCGTTTCGATGACCGTCACCACTTTGCAGACCACCCAGGTAGATTATGATTGATTAGAGATTTGATTAATGATGATTATATTATATGGCGAATTTTTAGGGTGTGAAATTATTAATATGCCGAATTTTGATTTCTCGAATTACCGCAACGATTTGCAGTTACCGATAGACATTTTTTGCTAGTGAAATCAGGAAGGGCAACAGGAAAATGTGATATTATAGAATTCCCCAAATATGGAAAATATAGCAGGGTGATAATTCGGTATTATGTAATTCGGCATTATGGATGTTTATAAAATTCGGCATGGTGAAAACCCGCCCTCACCAAAATAAAATAAACTCCTCTTTCCAGATGTTGGTCGGCGTGGCGATCTCGTGTTGCGTGCTCTACATCAAGAACCAGGGCTACGTCTGCCAGCAGAGCTTCGAGAACCTGGCGCTCTGCTTTGCCATCTACTCCTCGTTCGCCGTGCTCTTCATGAATTTCTTCCGAAAGGCCTACTTTGGCGGAAAGAGGAAGCCCGTTGACGGCGGCGCTGACAAGAAGCAGCAATAAATCTATAGGCCTAAATTGGCTCCATATGCGGGTAATTATTAACTATCATGGGAATCGTTTCTGTAGCACTCCGTTTCCTTGCCTTTTTCCTGTGCGTTTCCCCCGAAATAATGAACGGCATTTCCCAGCCTTCCCCCCACTAATATTTCCCCTGATCGCACTTTTGGCTAAAAGCGTGTGGCGCTGCTTTCGGCGCATTGAGTCACTTATTTCAAGATTTGGGTTGTGATATTATTGTATTCAGTCCGGGAACCGCCCTGAAATAAAATGTTTTCTCGTCGCTTTTCAGCACACGCGCACTGCTAGCACGCCCCCAAAAAAACCTGGTGGTGGCGGGGAGGGCGGTGTGGAAGAAAGAAAGAGCCCGCTTCGGGTTTCCATGTCACATTTTCACCCCCAGAAAAGAGCAACCCAAAAACGGCCTAGATTCACTGGCGCGCTGGAAGGGGGAAGAGCCACTTTCGCCTGCGATGGGTGCTCGTTTTCTGGCCGGATGGTTAGGTTGTTAAAGTGACAAGGAAAGCCGCGTCATACCATCCGGTTTCTGGTAAAAAAAGGAGGAAATTGGAAGGCTGGCAGGCCAGAGGCTTTCAACAAGTTCAAACTTTGAGCGTTGATAATTTTAGGAAAAGTCGCTGCGAGATTTCGGGAAATCCTTATTTTTCAGAATTTTGATTTCGCCGAACGAATCGCCGAGCTTTTGATGAATTCTAAGGATAGCTGGTTTTTCGGGATTTTTCACATGCTACATCCATCAACTTTCGAAATGTTTGGCTTCCGTTGGTCCTCAAAAATTGTTTTAAAAATTAGCTAGGTAAAAATTTGATGAAAACACAACCGCAAGAAAATTAGCAATCCTAATGAGCATTCGGCGAGATGAAATTCGGCAAAATGAAGACCGGAAGAAGATGAACTTCGGAGAAATCAATGGGAATCACAGCATTTTTAAGTTCCTGCCCCTGAACTTGTTGACATCGTCATCCCGTTTAGCCCTAAATCCCCTCAATTCGTTCCCGAACAGCCCCCTCAAAATTCCAAAGCACGACGCATCCGGAATCCGGCGGTCCCGGCCGGCGAAAGTGTGGAAGCGAGAGGTCGCTAACCAAAAAAAGTGCCTGACCCAATTAATGCCGCACCGGCGCACTTTCCCCGCCCCGCCGCCTGTTAGCCGCCAATTTTTGCGGGGTTCGTGCTCCTTTCTCGACCGGGTTTCTTTCTTGCGGATCCTGATCCTGGGCTCTACTATCGGCCATCTGATACCAGATGATGTGCCGGGTGGGCTGGGGCCTAGCCCTGTTTTTGGGCCTTGCCGAAGCCGGTCGGCAATCTGTGGCTGCACTCAGGTACGTATTTTAAAGAATTGTTGTTCTGTTTTAAAAATCGGGTATTAGACCGTTATCGGTGGGCGGGGCAGTTTGACCTATCGCGAAGAATGTTATTTACTAATTTCCGCTATTTTTGTCAAAAATGTATGGGCATTATCAAAAATTTGTAGTGTGTAAGATTTTCCGAAAATGTTTCTATGGATTTTTAGTAAATAAAACTACTAAAACCACTATAAAATACTCTATATAAGCTAAATATTTGCTAACTGGTTTAAGGCTAGATAGATCTCTCCAAAACCAAAAATTTTAAGGTCATAAAGCTGAAACTTTCTAATGAAAAGCGAATATTTAACCGAAAAATAAATAAGAAAGTAAATCAAATAATAAAAAATAACATAAATAAAATGGCTACCCGAAAAATCCATAATACTCCTTTTCCTTTCTCGTCATTCCCCCTAATTACAGTAGCCATGAAGACGTCGTGCAATATTTCTACGTACTCTTCCCGAAGACAGAGGTGGGTTTTCGAAGGTTTTTTTGAGAAGCTTTGCCTTTCAGGAGCGACCCTATATTCCACCGGTGCTCGTCCCCTACATGGCCCCATCGCCGCATCCACGGGTATTTTTTATTTTTTATTTCTTTTGTAATCCGGTCTATTTATAATTTATATTCATTTGTTTACTTTTAGGCTCTGGCCTTTTTCTTGCCGGGCCCGCTGGCAGAATGGGTGCAAAACAACAACCCCTTCCGCGACACCCAGGTTTGAAAATTGGAAATTTGCTTGATAATTCCTTTCATTTGATCGTAGCCTTTTTATTTATATATCGATTTCTATTAATTAAGTAAGCTCTTCTCCAGTTTTCATTCATAGTTTTATCGATCTTATCATTTTTAGAAAACGACTCCATTTGATGTGGATCAATATCCGGCGATCCCTCTAAAAGATCTCCCTCCAATCCCTCGAGAAATTGCACATCAGATGCAGGTAATTTTAGTTCATTTTTGGCCTAAGATTGCCTCAAAGTACCCATATATTGTTAATGACTACCCCGCTTTAGAAAAAAGTCGAGCAATCGTTTAATGGCGATGCACCGAGATCAGAGCCGGGTAGGTCCTAAAAGCCGAAAAATTCTCAATTTTGCGATCCTTAGAACAAACTTTAGCCTCAAATCTGGCACCGACAGCTCCGCAGGCTGCTTTTGAAGATGCCATGCCAAAGCCGGCTGCTCCTTCCCCGGTTGAACCATCCGCTAGGGCCGGAAAACGCCGATGGCAGGATGAAGCCGTCGACGAGATTCTCAACGATCCCGAGGTCAGTGGAAAAGGATTACAGCATAATTTTGAAGCAGCGCCAGCCTATTATGCGCAGAAATTTTCGCTGATCCCAAAACCGTTTACAAAAATTGCAAAATCGTCGTATTTCAACAGTTAGCTGCTTTCGCATTATCGGGGGGGTGATATGAGTTTGAGCCCGAGGTTCACGAGCTCCAAATTTCCAGATGAGTGAGGAGCAGATCGAAAAGTTGCTCAAGGGGCTCCTTAGCGATGATGAGAGGCGGATGGTAATGTCGGCCGGTGTGACACATCGCGTTTCTGAGGCCCTGGCATTGCCCAGTCTTACTCATACTTCAACGGTCAGGCTCCTCAAGAAACGGCGGAGGAGAGTGAGGCAACGGGTAAGCTTAGAAAATTAATTTCAAGGTTGAAAAATTGGATTTTTTTACCCGAAATCACGAAAATTTATACTTTTTGAAGATTTTTCGAAATTTTCAAAGTTTTTCAACTTAAAATATAGTTAAATTTCTAAAAACCATCTAAAACCGCTATAGACGATTAAGATGGTAATAAAACGGGCTCTTCAGGTGATTAACACCAACCTCGAGCATCTCCCATACGAAAGTAGCCATGCCCAAACTGAGGCGATCGCCACAAAACCACCCCAACCCCTTGTCAGCACACAGCGCCCACGTAGACTGAAGCTACGCAGAAGAAGGAAGCGTGTTTTCAAGAAGGTGGGTTTCAAAGCTATCCCCTCATTTCCGTATTTCCAGTTATATGAAGCCCCCACGATGAAAGATTCTGCATCATTGCCAAGGGCTTCTCCGCCACGCGAGCGTTTCGTCAAATTCTTCACGAGGTACTCGAAAACGTACTTTTATTTTTTGGTTTTGAGACATATCAATCGGGAACAGTTGGAGGAAGAGCAAAGAAAACTAGAAACCCTGAATCCGAATGCCGTCTACGACATCGCTGTGCCGTTCGTCAGCCGGACGACGATAGCACCGACGCGGCATCTTACGATTCGCGTTTTGGTATCTTATCTATATAGTTCTATCTTTTTAAACAATTTATTTCAGCAAAATCAGACCGGCCCAGACACGATTGCATCCGACAATGGGGCTGGTGCTGCTGTGCTGACCTCGCGAAGAAAACCGAAACAGTTAAAGGTTTGTGTAACTTACGATCTGTTTCTTTTGCATTATCGGGGGGAGGGGGGGGGGCGAAATACCGTATTTTAAGTGGAAAAGCTTTCCAAGCACTTAAAAAAAATGTTGAAATTTTGGTCTAAAATCGGACATCTTTCGACGAACAATCAATATTTTTTGGTATTTTTTGCGCAAAGGATTGTAACGCTTTCACGATATGGTATGGTAAAAAACGTAAAAACACTTCCACTGTGCAGATTAGAAATATTAGATCTAAAGTAACCCCCCGATAATACAAAAGCACCAAGCTCTGGAAAAAGGCCAGTTTTAGGAGTCCACTTTCCTCTACTCTGACGTTGCTTCTTACGCTACCACCGAAAGCCCGATAAGCCTAACAACGACAGAATCACGCCTAAACGAAAACGGGGCCGAATCGGCCGAACAAAGCACACAACTCGTCGAAGCAACCACCCAAAAAATGAAAGGATCCGCTGAACATCTCTACCGACATCGTGCACGAATGTATGGAATTACATCGAATGTGGCAGATAAAGATGGAGCGGTGCTTGCCCCACCATCACTTGCCTCAAATCAGGCAGCCGCTAGGGCACGATATAGGGCCCAGGAACAGGAAAGAATAAGACTGGCTGAACAGATGGAAAGAGCCGAAGAATTGGCAAATCAACGGCTAGAAGAACAGAGAATAAGAGAACAACGAGAAGAGGAGGAACGATTGATTGCTGAGGAAAATGAGCAGAAAAGATTACGCGAAGAAGAAGCTAATCGAATGGCAATAGTGATGGAAGAAGAACAACGAAGAGTTGAGGAAGATAGAATTGCAAGAGAACAATGGGAACGAGAACTACAGCAAAAGATTGCTGAGGAAACACGAAAAAGAGAAGAAGCTGAGAAAGCAACGAAAAGGTTGGAAAAAGAAAGGGAAGAGATGAGAATTAGAGAAGAAGAGAGAGTGGCGCAAGAGAAAGAGAAAGCACAGAGAGAAGCAGCGGAGAGAGCAGAGAGAGAAAGATTAGAACAAGAGAGAATTGCAAAAGAAGAAGCGGAAAGAGCACAAAGAGAGGCTCAACATAGAATGGAAATGGAAGAAAAACAGAAAATGATCGAAGAAATGGAGCGAAGAAGGGTCGAAGATATGAGGAGATTGGAGAAAAAGAGAGCTGAAGAGGAGAGACGATTGAAGGAGGAAATGGAAATGCGAGCTAGAGAAGAGGAAAAGAGAAGAAAATTGGAGGAAGAGAAAAGGATCAGGGAAGAAGAGGAGAGGAGGAGAATCGAAGAATTAAAAAAATTGGAGGCCGAACGGATCGAAGCAGAACGACGACTTCAAGAAGAGATGGAAAAGAGAGTATTGGAAGAGGAGAAAAGAAGAAGAGAAGAGACAGAAAGAAAGAAATTAGAAGAGATGAAGAGGCTTGAAGAGGAAAAGCTGAGATTAGAGAAGGAGAGAGCAATGAGAGAGGAGGAGGAAAGGAGAATCGCAGAGAGAAAAAGAATAGAAGAAGAGGAAAGGGCAAGACAAGAAGCAATGCTGGAAGCAAAGAGAAAAGCAGAAGAAGAAGTAAGAGAGAGACTGAGAAAAGAAGAAGAAATGATTGCAAAGATTGTTGAGGAGAGGAAACGGGTAGAGAAAGAGAGATTGAGAGCTCAGAAAGAAAGAGAGGAGGCTGAGAGGAGGAAACATGAAGAGGAGGAAAGGAGGAGGAAGAACTTCCTCGAAAAGATGAGACAAAAAGAGGCTGATGAGCGGAAACGGAAAGAATTGGAAGCGGAATTGAGGCGGGAGAAGGCAAGGAGGGAAGAGGAGGAAGAGAAGATGAGACAGCTGCAAGATGAGAAGGAGGCTGATGAGCAGAGGAGACATGAGGATGAGATGAGGATGAAGGCGGAGGAGATGCAGAAGATGTTGGAAGAAAAAGAGAGGGAAATAAGGGAACATAGGAGGAAAGCGAAGAGACGGCACGATACGGTGGAAGAGGATGAGAAATCGGATGAGGGGACTGTAGGTTGCATTTTATTAAAAGTACCTCTATCAAACAAACATTTATCGTTACAGCGTAGCTTTTTAGTCGGACGAGGAGCCGTCGATTAGCGTACTTCCGCCGGCTTCAAATGCCGGAGCTACGGGTTTCGTCCAGATTCCAATGAACGAGTACGCGGCGATACTGCAGAAGGCGCGGGGTAGGATTTTAAGGAATTTTTTAGAAATTGGAAATTTATAGGCAGCGAGTCGCAGGATCAGCTGCGACTTCAGCAGCTACTTTCATTACAGGTGGGTCGAACCGTAAAGATAGGTTCTAGGTCGTTAGCGGGGGGTCTAGCTGGCTTCCTTCAAACTGCCTACCTCCATAGTATCGAAGAAAAACGGCTTAAGTGCAGTTTACCCCCCCAGCCCAGCTCCTCAGCCATACGTCCTATTAATGCGCCGAGTATCTCAAAATGTTCGCCGTGGTCGAAAACCCCTGGAAAACTTGTTTACTTGCGCCAAAAATTGTTAGAAAATTTTTTACAAAATTTTGAAAGTTGAAAAGATTAAGCCGCTATGCTTCGATGTACCAGAAGTCAAAAACTCAAATATTTTTATTTTCCGCTATTTTTTTCGACTTAAACGTACCGTAGGCTTATTCTCCAGAGCAAGAGCTACATTTTGGTACCATTGACAGCTTTGTACGTCAAAAGATAGCCGAGATACGAAAACTCACTTTGGAACAGCAAAAATTAACTAAAGAAAACCCAGACTTATAATTGTTATAAAAAATTTTTTAACAATTTTTGGCGCAAGTAAACAACTTTTTCTGAGGTTTTCGACCACGGCGAACATTTTGAGATGCTCGGCGCATTAATAGGACGTATGGCTGAGGAGCTGGGCTGGGGGGGGGGTAAACTGCACTCTTACCAGAAAAACTATTTCTATTGTTTTAGTATTTTCCAATAAAACCAACTTTTTCTAGGACCCAATTTTCCTAATTAAAATAGAGGAATTGTTTCTAAGCCATTTTCCTCAAAACCTCAAAACAATCCTAATTTTTATGAAACAAATACAAAAAACCGCTTTTTGACCAAAATTTCAAAAATTCTAAGTTTTTAGCCAGTTTTCCACTTTAGATATAGCTAATTTTACTCAAAAAATACTATTAAACGCTTACTATTGCATTTTTAAGCAATTTTGCGCTTATCGTAAAAAATCACCCCCCCGATAATGAAAGAACCTTGCTTTTCAGAATCGTTTGCCAGATGGATACTCGATGGTCCCCGGAAACACATTAAACCAGCAGCAGTACCAGGGCTACGGTCTCTACGGGTTGCCATATAATAAAAAGAAGCTGATGGCCTAGCCGGCCTCTCCCCCGCCGCTTCGAATCCTGAATCTCATTGCCCAATGCTCAACACGGTTGTCCAAATAATAAAGGTTTAATACATACTAATCTCAATCAATACAACATTGTAAACACAAAAAAGTTTTATTACCGAAAATTACTGCAAAACAAAAGGTAGGGTGAAGACGAGGAAAAGAATCGGGGCTGCGATCGTGGACAGCATGGAGGCGCCGTTGCAAAAGTCTTTGTCGTCGCAGAGGCATACGGAGGATGTCTAAAATCATATAAAAAAAGGAATTAACGGTTTGGGATTCTAGATCTTAAAGCATTATTTCCAGCGGGTTTGTTTCGTATTCAAACCTTGGTATAGCCGCCCGTCGCATCGGTGGCCACATCCGTGCACTGACCAACCTTTTGCGTCGCCTAGACAAATCAAATGCTCAACGTTTGTTTAACAGAACCTAAAAACTTTAAAATTTTGTGGAAAAATACAAAAATATAGATTTTCAATGATCAAATAACGATTTTCGAACAAAAGTTCAAATTTTTCAGTCTTTAGCCAGTTATTTAGCTTGGAAGTATGATTAAATTTTGCTAAAAAGCAGTATTAAAGCGCTTTTTATTATGCTCTAGGAATTTCTAGACCAATGTGAACGAAAAAATAAATATAATAATAAGGAAATTAGGTAAAAAATAAACTTCGCTAGCCGACTTACATTCGCGGAGCATCCCTTGACGTACGTTTCGTAGGTATAAGATATCCCAGAGTAGGACACTTTATAGGCCACTGAAAAACGGAAATTGGTTAAATTTAACGATTTTTTAAAGTAACTGACCGACGCTCTTTTGGCACGCGGTCCCCGTGCACATATTGTCGCCCGTTTCCGATTTGCAATCGCCCGATGATTGGCCTAAAAATGTTGTTCGGTCGCAGTTTTTCTAATCTTTAAGAGGAAGTGTTTCTAAACTGTTTTTACTATGCCTAACTGTAAAAATCTTAGAAATTTCTGAAAAGGTATAAACGTATCGAGTTCGACGAAATTTTCCACTTGAAATATAAACTTTTTTTGCTAAAAACACCATTAAACCAATTGCTAGTACACCACGAGAACTATAAGGAAAAAAAATTTGATTCCCAACCGAGAGTAATGTTGAAATTGGTGAGCGCCTTCTGCAGAAGCGAACCCACAGCGTCACTTCCGGCACATTGATGGCACTGTAGCGCAGAAGTAACTAGACAAAATATAGGATATTCCACCATATAATTACAAACCTGATCCAGTAATCGCCAGCAATACCCAAAATAGCGCCATTCTGTGTTCCTTCAATGAATATCTGAATTTTTGGGGGCGGCGGCCATCGCGGCTGGTCGCCCCTGGAAGGTTGCCAGCAGCGACTGTGTCGTCACGAACGTTTTTTGAATCGTTTATTCAGCTTTTTTTTTAAAAACGACCGAAGTTTCTTAAACGTTCAGGGTGAGGGCGATGGCTTGGAGAGGCGCGGAGTCCTGATGATCAGTCTGGAACAGCTGATTGAATAATACTCAATGAAGGACCTGGATTATCTTGAAATTCCTAAGAAACTGCTAGCCTGTCCTCGATCACCATTTACCGTTGTGGGCGTCGTCGACTTGTTTTTGGCGCCATCCTTCGGATTTCCGCCGGCCGCCTTGTCTTTCGCGTCATCCCGTTTCATCTGGAACAGCTGATTGAATAATACTCAATGAAGGACCTGGATTATCTTGAAATCCTCAAGAATCACTGCTAGCCTGTCTCGATCACTATTTCCTGTCAGATACACTTCTACCTGAGTCTTCAGGTCCCCATTTGGCAGCTTCTCGTTGGACATGTTCAGGATGATGGCGGTGCCTTGGAGATGATCAGTCTGATGATCAGTCTGGAACAGCTGATTGATTTATGCTCAGTACCTTATTGTTCTTGCTCTTGATTTCATAACCGCGCATTTCAATCGACTATATTTTCGGAACACCGCGTTTTAATTTATTTTCCGTTTACAAATTTACGAAAAATTTGTTATTTCTTTAACGGTTCTGGACCATTAACTGGAAACGCGACGGAAGGAAAATGTATTGTATTGTATTGTATTGTATAGAAAGGTGGCGAAATGGCTTGACGTTAAATGGAAATCACCTCCTTATCCCCATTGCTCGTCGCACGCGTCACCTGCGCATGCGGCATGTCCGTGGTCACGGCCCTCGGTGGCGATCCGTCGGCCCCTGTGTCCTCCATCCGAACCTGAAATCACAGTTCTGGACTCGTAGCGGGGTAAACCACCTGTGCCTATCGTCCTTTACGGCTAGTAATCAAATATCCGGTCATAATGTCCCGTTTTGCACACTTTTATTAGTGATTTTTCATCAAAAATTTTGGAGTTTCTGCCGCTTTCGATCACAGGTTACTTAATACACTAAAAAGACACGTTAAAACCGTAACAATTTTACTGGGTAGGTCTGGGCTAAATAGATACCACCTCCTCCCACTAGTAAGATTAGAAAAGGCTACATCATCATGCCCGTCGTTCGCAGCCTGTGGGGCCGGATTGCCGCCTTCCTGAATGTCATCAACCTGAAAAGGAAATTCAACAGAAAACAAAATGAAGCCGTACCAGAGGCCGGAAGATGAGGATCCCGTCGTCGCCAAAAAACATGTACGATTGGTTGCAGCGCGTGCCCCGCACGCCAGTCGCTTCTCGGAGATCGTCAAGCGCAGTGGTCTCCTGCAAAGAGAAGGTTACAAGCGATCAATTGGCCAGGCCTCGGCGACTTTGGCTGTGTACGTAGTATTGGCCGAGTCGATCTTCCTACGCAGAACATCTTTCTGAAAGGTATCTTTTGCAACAAATTTTTCTATTGACGTGTTTACAATGTTTTTGACAACGCAGCTTTTTTATAAGTCCAGAATGGCTTGGTACTACTAGGAAGTATTTTATATGTCTTTAGTAAAACAGAACGAGTATTCGAACGAGAAAAACTATCTCAAAACTTCAAAAAATGTCATTCGAAACTTTGGCCGTGCATTTTTTCCATCTACGAACAAATTTGCGAAAATTTTTAACGATTATAAATAATAATAAACAGCTTAGAAAGAATTCTGCTACTTGTATTTGAAAAACTAGATCCCAAGGAGAAAAATGGTTTCGCCACGAAAAACTTCAGTCTCCCCAAATAATGTAAAAGTACCGCATAACTATTAGCATCGATTACAAGGCCCACCGATTCTTGCAAACCTTTCAGCACTTTCAAAAACGAATGGCATGCCGTCACCGTGGAAGAAATCTTGCCGGTGCCGCCGATGCGAGATAGGTCCTAATAACCGTCGTTGTGATAATAGCACAAGACACTGACAGCCAAACAGGCAGCAAAGTCGCGGCACAAGTAATTCTCGATCTTCTCGAAACCGCCGCACATGCGATCCTCCTGAATCGAAAAGTCAGTTGAAAATTGTAGCTGCAAACCGAAATTCTAGCTGGAGGATAATTTCCACTTACGTCGACTTCCCCTCGGCGACAACAGCCCATCAACTGCCAAACAGACTTCAGCGCGCCAAAGAGTGAAAACGACAGCACTTCCTGAAATTAGGACTTAACGTGAGTCTTTGGTTAGATCTGAAGCTGTTGATTTAGCGGGGGGGATAAAACATCCTTAAAGTTCTGAGTAACTTTACCTCTGTCCCGTGGAACGGTGGCATTTCAGCGTGACGGGCCAGGTGGATGGTAGTGGGCGAATGGACAAGAGATCGGGATCGGATCAGATCAGCGATCTCGGGGATGTAACCCTTGCCAGACTTGGACGCTTGGGCGTGGAGGCCGATGTTTGCCTAAAAAATGCGTTTAGTACGACAAATAAAATAATACATTGCTAAAGCTATCGTCATTTTCGGACTGGATGGCGTCGGAAGTGGAGGACGGCGGGTGAATGAACGTCTTCGGGCTCGAGAGAGCTCCGCCAGGCCTCTGAAAATGAAGAGCTGGTCCCCCCAAAGTATACTAGTACCGAAGAGTTGCAAGCAAACTATTTAAAAGTACAAGCTAAGAGTAAAAAGGTGTAAACTTTTATATATCAACATTCATGTCTTGGATTGTTTGAGACGATTTGGAATTTTGTTTCAAAAAGCACCTAAAAAAATCTTTAAAAAAATACAATCTATATCACGTATGACACGGCTACCACCCAGACCCCCGATAAAGCTGAAACACGGACCTCGACGATTGGGGTGCCCTGGCCCCTGGCCAGCCGAAAGCGCGTAGCTTCTAGCTTCTCGATGGAGTCGCTGAGCTAAAAGGAAGTTACAAACCGAATTAAACGCCTACCTTCTGCAGCTCCGACGGAAGCTGCGTATCAACGGCACCATAAACGTCAATCGCCGCCTGTTCCTAAAGAACCATAAATGCTGGCCTGCCATGAATGAACTTTTAAATTAAATGAAATAATTTACCTGGGCAAACATGGACTCCACAGACGACCTGAAGATCTCGAATTCTGCACGCGCCTTCTTCAAAACCTCAGCATGCCGCTCGATGTGCTGAAAAGAATCTTGTGGGGGGGCAAAGGCCACGACCGGTGGAAACGGGAGGGATGGCGGGTTAGGGTCGATTGGCAAAAGGTGCACACCGTGTTTCAAACAGACCCACTCGTCCGCCCAGCGGTCCGGAGACGTGTCCGTTTTTTTTGATTTAGGTATGTATCCAAAGCCATGTACGAGGCAAGGTCTTTTTGCGAAATGGAAGAGGTTTTCTGTTCCTCGCCTTAGTTTCACCTAAATCAGATAAATCGGAAACCTTCTGCGGACTAGTGACGCGGTGGGGCGGGGCCTTTAGGAGATCTGAATAATTATTCCAGCAACTCACGGTGCTCATGCTGTAGAACGACCGGTCCACAGTGCGGTTGCCCGCGTCGTAGCTTCTTCGATCATAAGAAATGCAAAATCAAGATGCATATTCTAAGCATTGCCCGGTCGAAAACGCGTATAGCGGTCTAGCACGACGAGACAGGCGAGTAGATTTTCGCATGCTAAAAGGTTACCAGCAACAGATATTTTTATAGACACCTTACTATTCGAAAAATTATACGCGGAGTGATGCTTTATTCGAGTAGCTGGGGGTCGAACAGGACGATGACAATACAAAATGCCAAAATGCCAAATGGGCTGGCCGCGGGGTCAGAAATTACGGCTTCAGGTCGTCAGATGGCGATGCGGTAGATGAGGGCGGCCATCGGCACCAGGGCACAGATCCAGTACGCTACACCACTATCCACAATGCTCGATGGGGCAGCCGGCTGCTGAATTTCCCATAGGAGACGTAAGAGCCTTACTTTTACCTCCTTGGCGTTGCGCTTCGAGATTCTGCGCGTTTTGCGGGGTTGACAGGCTGGAATTATAAGATTGGTTCTTTAGGATTCGAACACACTTTTTCTGCGCAAACTTGTATGTAAATATCTATTTCAAGAACAATACCTTTCAATCGATCACAATCCGCTCCCGGCTCGTCGCGAACGCATCGCTCGTAAATTTCGCTATAAACGAAGTGTAGATACTAAGCCTGCCTTTACCTAAAACAGCTCTTGTGATGAGCAACATTTGGGTATTTCTCGCAGGCGTATCGCACGAGCCGGGCAGTCATCGCCACCTCATCCTGGAAAGGTTTCAGGTATTTGCGGCAATTTTATCGGCACCTTCTCGGCGGCCATCTCGTAGCTGGAATCGCTGTGGCACTGATCGAAGAGCTCGGCATTTGTGCGCCCAGTTCGGGTGATGTTCAGCTGAAAAATCGTTCAGCGGATCTTGGTACTGGACTGTTAGCAGGGGTAGCTAGCTTTGGCCTATCACCCGAGCTAATATATGTAGGCTACCTAGCTTAACCCCGCCCCGCCAATAGTCCAGTACCCGAATTTTCACGAAAATCACCCACTGTTTCCGAAATGCACGGGGCGACGTGCTGGGCGATTTGAAGGCAGAAACGGGGGACGACAAAATGACGGACCGAGGAGACGGTGATGCCCGCCGTGGGACCATTTATAACGCATGTGTGAAGGGCCGAGAAACAATTCGGCTTCTGAGAATGAGAATTTTGAATTTTGAAAATGAAAACCTTGGCCGACGAGCGGCGGCAAAGTACGAGTAGAAAAAGCAGTAGTGTGAGGCGCATCATTGTCGCGACTTATCCTTGAGGCAGTCGCATTGGAAATTGTCTTCATTCCACTTTCGCCCTATTAATGTTCGAAATATGAAGAATGGTAATCGCTTGTTGTGCAAATTTCAGAAAGGAAAGGCAAAATATTGACATGCTGTGCAAATGATCAAGTGTACACCGTATAAGCATTAGACAATTTATTGAGGTTTGCGATTAAATCAGGCGAATAGGAGTTTCGGGTAGGAAATGCGTTGTTCGGGCTTTTGTGTACATAGGGCAGCAGGGCTTGTAAACGGTTGGATTCAGATGCGGGTGATCTCGAGATACTTGTGCAGGTTGCGCTTGGCCAGCAGCGTGCTCCGGTCGCAGAACAGGAAACGGTTTTGTCTAAATTTGGCAAAATGTTCAGAAAAGTAAAAACCGACTTTCCCGACTTGAAGTCGGCGAAGCTCTGGTAGAGGACGTTGACGATACCGGCGGCCTTGAGGTACGAGTCGGCCTTGGCCTTCTCGTCGTACAGCATCTGCTCGATGAGGAATGCCTCGGGGACCAGCTCGTTCTCCTTATCCAGATAGGCACGGCGGTAGCTCTCCACGGCCATCTCGCCCATCTTCATCATTTTTGCGTCGACCGGCTCGGAGAAGAGGCGAGTCAGGCTCAGCTAGAATCCAAACTTCGTACCAGGAATTCTGTCCTACGTTTGCGGCCTTGACATCGTCGAGCATATCGCGGATGCCGTGGGCCAAGAAGAGACGCTGGCTGGGGACGGCGAATTCGGGGAACCCATATTTGCCCTGTTGCTGTTGCAGCTTCTCCAGTTGGCGGGTGCAGCAACGCCAGCTGAAGATAATGTAGAGTTTTGCTGAAAAAAGTTCCTTACCGCTCACGGCAGTTCAGCAGCGAGCTGAAGATCGACTCGACCAGGCATCCGTTCAGGCGCTCGGGATGGATGACACGGGGCGTCGGCTTGCCCTGCAAAAACAAATTTTTCTGCCCAGAAATTATTCGAAAATAAGGCCATAAAACTATCGAAGGGCAAAACAGCGCACCTGAAGTCCCTTGACGAGCATCGACGCCGACTCGGTGATGTTGGCGGGAATGATACCGCCCTCCAGGACAGCGATCACACGATCCGGGCAGATCTCGTGCAGATCGCGGGAAATATGGCCCCAGCCATGGGCACGAAGGGCTTGGCCACCCTCGAACATCGCGTCAGCATAACCGGAATCGAAGCCGGCCGAGAGGAGGATCATCTGCGGCTTGATCTCACTGGAAAACAGTATGAAAGTTCCATGATGCTCAAACTATACCGAAGCACGGGCAATATAGCGTGGTTCATGATGGCCATATACTCGCCCTCGCTGTTCAGCGGCGCGTTCAGCGGGAAGAACATGACATTCCCTATCAGAACCGTTATACAATGTATCAAAGTAGCTTACCATCCTTCGGATCGCAGTCGTAGTCCTGGGTGAACGGCCAGAACAGTCCGTGATAGTACGAGTGGACCGAGAACAGAACGATCTGCATTCAAACTCTAATGACCACGGAAAATGGCATGTTACCTTGGACTTGGAGCCCTGGACCGTGTCGCGAAGGGCATTGTACGTTCCGACCGGGGCATGCACATCGAGATCGAGCACCACCACCTAATTGCAAGTCAAACTCAAATCAACAAAGCTATATATATACCTTCTCCATGCCGAGCTTCTGCACGGCGTACCTGGCCGCGATGGCCACATTGTTGTAGATGCAATTGGCTTGCGGCTGATCACCCCAGGCAGCGTGGCCCTGTGGGCGAACGATGGCGAACGCGTTGCCGATCCTGAAAAATTAAAATTTCGATAAATATAAAATTTGCGCACTTTTGCTCGTGGTTGGCCTTGACGAGCTCGAGCACGCCACCAACAGCCAGTCGGGCGGCCTTCTCGCTGCCCGGGGATAGCCATAGCAGCTCCTTGTCCTTGCAAAACTTCTCGCACTGGTCCGGGGTGCTGAGCGCCGTGATCTGAAAGTCAGAGAATACGAGAAGTAAACACCCGACTACCTGCTTGATGAAGTCCTTGGTGTGCACGAGGGCCAACTCGTCATCGGTGGCCGGGCGAGCCTCCACTTTCACCGCATCCTAAACGACAATGAGCGAGCTGTGTAACGCGGATACCGTCAACAATCCATCGGCTTGTAGACGATCACGGATGAGCTTGGTACGCTCGGGAACGTCCGACTAAAATAATAAGGTAAAAAGTAACTAGTAGTTTTCCATAGTTTTTTGCGAGCAGTTCGAATTTCACATGTTTTTCCGTGTTTCAAGATTTTTGTAGCTTGTAGCTTCGATTTAATTTTAAGACAATTGCGCAAACTACATCAGGTGACTTTTTGTGACTTAAAAGCGTCAAATAAGAACCACGCGCAGAAAAATAACCAAAAAGCGAGCTTTGATAACGATTTCCATACCTGGGTGGGATCGTATTCGCACTTGTGGTTGTTCATCGCCTCATCGTAGACATAGGCAAACTTGCGGACGACCCTGAAAGCCAATGAAGTGAAAAACCACTGAAGCCCACCCCTGGGTGTAGAGCGAGTCCTTCGGCTTGGTGAACTTGACGAACTGCGACGCGTTCATCGGATCCATCCGCGGATGCATCGGGTTGAAGTTGGCCGTGTTCGGGTTGAACATGGCTGCCTACAAAAAACGAGTAGCAATTAAATTTTTCAGATGCTTACCGGTGTTGAAGGAGGGTTGTCGATCAATGGGCGACATTCTTTCTAGGAGTTCCAGCCTAAACCGGAAAATGTAAGTTGAAAATGCAAATCTGAAGAAAGTTGACATAGGAATTGGACGCGAAAAATTTGCAAATTTAGATCTGGTTGATTAGCGGGGGGGTACAAAATCATTCCTATGTTCCATAGGCGCCCTATAATGAAAAATAGAGTGTTTAATTTTTTTTTTGTAAATAACGTTCATAAAAAACTACAATACTACTCAAAACATTATAAAAATAGTTTTATTAACGAGTTTAGGCTCGCAAAGTTGTCAGCAAAGGAAAGTTCATCGAATTTTATTCTTTGGTCAGTTATACAAACATTTAGTAAATGTGTAATTCAAAAAACACTGACGTTTTTTGCTCATTTCCTTACTTTCTGCCCCAGAAATTCAAGGTTTTACCCCCCCGCGCCAACGAAACAGAACCAAAAAATAGAACTCGGGAACGAAACAGTGCATTGGACCTGTAAATTTAGTGGCGTACAAAGGAGCCTCTTGTAAGTGGTTTTCCATCCCTTGAATTTCCACTCTGGTTCGGCCGGCGAAGGGGCCGGCCACCCTGAGGGCTGGCGAACCGGCCGGCGAGGATGGGCGAAGGGGACGGCGATCCTGGCCGGGCACACCGGCCGGCCAACCTGCGGCGAACCGGGGCGAACCTGGGGCAAAATCTCGGCTCGGCGAACCGGCCCGGCGAACCGCAACGCGCGCGGTTGCGGCGAATGCGGCAGATTTGAACTGTTAAGCAATAAAACAAAAAATAATTATAAATTGTGCTGTTTACAAGGTAAAATCTTTTATAACTTTTATATTTATGTCTATTGTAATCCTTAGGTGATATCTGTTTAGCACACTGATCCTGAAATCAAGGAATCGTTGGTAACTGGTAAATCTTTATATTTTTTTATGGATTTCATCTTTTATAGGCAGTCCTACCAGTGTGAACGCTACCTCCAGAAGCTTGAAGACGAGAATGGCATCCAACAACGTCATCTTCGGTTAGTTTTACCTTTAATTCAAATCTAGGCTGTTGAGCGGGCTGCACGCTTGACTAATTAAACTTTTTAAGTCGATGTTTAGGTTTATAGGTAGTGTAGGTTTTACTTTTATGCTGAAGTCGATCTATTCTTTGTGTTTTAGGGTTACCATACGCTTCGTGGTGCGTAACGGCGCAACCGGCAAAGCGATAGGTTTATGAAAAAGGTTTGATTGTTGTTAGACTTTATTTTGCGGTCGCTAAAGGGATTTTCTAGGTCATTTTTTTCTTACAAAATTACCCCACTTAGAGTTTCTAACTTGTAAGCTAATTTCAGAACCATTTTACAAAGTAGGCGCGCTACTACTACGCAATATGAGGTAAATAGCACAGGTAGGCTGTCAGGGCATAAGAGGAGGATTTTAATTACTCATAATCCAGGTAACCGGCAACATTGTTGCTGTATCGAAAATGTCTATTTTCTTTAAAAATGATTAATTCCTTCCAGGCAAGCTGTTTCAAAATAATAAAATACTATCGAAAGAACGCTCAGGCCTAGATTTCGCGGATGGGATGCACAACTGCTGTCGACATACGTATGGTGGTAATGGCTCGTAAGTTATAGTAGTTAACAATACCGCTCTGTTCAAAGTAGGAATTGATAGCAGAGTAGTTTCATCCGAGAAAAAGTAGGTTCAAAGGCTACGAAGGCCAAAACACCGGAAACCCAAGTATTTCCAGCCTCCCTTCTCGTCTACACTTCGATTGCCGTTGCCGGAAGCAGAAACTATAGAAACAACACGCAGAAAGCGTTTAATAATTTAATTTTCATATATTAATAAGGGCTGCGTTAAAATCTCGCTCAGGTTCGCCGAGGTTCGCCGGCGAACGTAGGTTTGCCGGCCGGTTCGCCAATCCAGGTTCGGCGAACCGGCCGGCCCCCCCGGCCTGGCCCCTTCGCCCAAGGTTCGCCGGCCCCTTCGCCGGCCGAACCAGAGCAATTCGTGACGTGTCAGGCTCCCTTTAATCCCCGAAAATTGTCGCCTATGTCTATTCAAAGCACTAGGAAGTGGCGCTGATGATCGCTTTCCGGCTACGAAACGGCCAGGTGACCATTATTGAGAGAAATCGACCCCCGATGAACAAAGAAGCTGGCATGAAACGAAATTCCCGCTTCCCGGAGGGCCCAGTTGGGCAAACCGGGCATCGGGACAATCCTGCTTTGTGCCCAACCACATATATATAAACAGGAAGCTCTGTCAATGACCAAACCAAGTCTAAAAATGCTAAAAATAATTGCTGCTATTTCCCTAATTGGAGGTAGGCCTTCAAGAAATTCATACATTTTGTTTCTAGCTATTGCTTGCGCGAAAATCGGGATTAACGATATTGATGTGGGTGCGTGCGAAGCTGGCAGTAAGTTTTTGACAACTCGAAAAGTAGGAGCTCTGAAGTTAAACCCAAAACTTCAACTAACAAACCCCATTTTTACAGTCAGCATGAACCAGATGTGCCCTGGCGATCTGCTAGTAAAAGGAGACTTCTGCTACGAACCGAAATGCGTGGAAGCCGAAATTAACAAACGCGCAGGACGGGTGGACGAAGAGCTGAAGAAGAAGAAGGAAAAACAACAAAAGGAAGAAGAGGACCGGAAACAGCAAGAAAAGGAGGCCGAGGCTGAGCGGAAGCGCAAGCAAAAGCCGGAGGAGGAAGAAATTAATCCGAAGACGCCCGTGAAAAAGGAGGTAGTAATGGTTATCAGAAAAGCTAATCAGTTTTATTTCCTCAAATCCTCCACAAAAACCTTTAATTTAAAACTTTTTAGGAAGAGGAAAAGCCGAAGGTGAAGCCGCGCTGTGGGCGTGAGAGCAATATGTGGGTTTGAAATTGGACAAATTTGATGGACTAATAATCAATTTTTTTTGCTCTAGATAGCTTTTTACACCGTTTTTTTTAGTATCAAAAGCTCATAAAAAAATAATAAGAATTTTCGAACGATTTTTAGAACTTTTGAGCACCAGAAACACTACCAAACTACTAAAACGGTAACAATGCTTCTGCGTTAAAAATTTACTAACAGACCAATATAAAAAAAACAATGAAATTCAGGTGCCGCCACTGGGTGAAGCAGGGCTTCTGCAAAAACGCCGCCTATGCGGAAAGCATCCGCGTGCAGCACTGCGGAAGGACCTGCGGACTCTGCCAATAGAAAGCTCTAGTTTCTCTGTAAATAAACGTTTTTATGGTATCGTTGCTAGTTTGTCTCAAACGATTTATACTCAAAAAATGGGGTTTCACCCGATGCCGTATACTTATGAGATTCACGGATCGTCAACGCCGGCTATGGTCAAAGCTCTGTTGCCATTTTCATCGCCGCAAGACCCAAGTGCCTCCTCGAGGAAACCTAAACACGCTTTTTGCAAGTTATCATTGATACGAACTTACTTTAACCGTACTGTAATAACTGCCCCCTACCTTTCTTCATCTCTTTAACAATTTCATTCATCAATTTATTCCATCCAAGTCTCAACGGGCAATACTCGCTGTAGGTCGAGGCGAGATCCTATCAAAACTTTCGATATTTCCCCCTCAAAACACCCCGACATGCATGAAGTCGTTTCCATTCGTTTCCTTCCTCACCACCTCGGTACCCGGCCTCGGCTCCTCAGTTTTCACTTGTAAAGTCGAAAAATCGGTTTTATAGGTATTCCACTTGCTATTTTTCTCACCAATGCCAAGATCTCGTCAATCGTGACGCGCTTAAAAATCAGATAGTTATCAGCTCCGAAGTTAACGCCTCTGAATTTCGAGCGATAAAAAATTTACTTGACCCCGCCTTACTTGTAAAAATGGATCTGCCCGATACGACGCGCCATATCCCACACCGAATTCATCGGGCAAAAGCCCAACGATGAGACGGCCGTGTCGAGAAAGTTTTGAATTCTGTAGGCCTGAAAGGGACTCGTATTTTTTCTTTTTTTTCATCAAACAAACCTGCAACTGGAACTGATTATTTGTATACATCGCCTTCTTTGTGACAGCATCTTCCGGAATTCCTAAAAGAGACGTTCCTGGTAAGTTCTAAATTTTAACCGTAGATCACGGCAAACTGAGGCTTTTTCTCGAGAAGAGTGGCTAGGATCTGGCGGCCAATGTTTTCGCTTTTTGCCCTGAATTTTTAGGGTTTTTTTAGGGTTAAAGCTTACCGGTTCCACGAATCCTTGACTGCCGTGATCTCCTCCTCATTCAAGCCGATATTATGGTGGACGTGAGTCGAGCAATTTCCCATCTTAAAACTACAAAAAAAATCGATTTTATTGCTGAAATAAAAGGGAAAAAGACGGGGAAAGGGTTGCTTTTGAAATGGGGAGAAGTGGGTGGATGATTGAGAGCGACATCGGCCGAGGTTTCCCTTGCCAAATGCAATCAAAACTAATCCAGAACCGGGGTTACCCGTTTAATTACCTCCATCCAACAAAAAACGATGGCTTCTCCACGATGGTGAAATGACTTCATCTGATAGCTGGGTCGCGTGGGGGAGCGAGAAATTCGGGAGACAGGCGCGAAGTCAAGCGGCAGACGATGAGAAATCCTAAAATAACATCAACGGCCTAGTTCATTAGCGGGGGGAGCACTAACTCCCTTTATTCGACCTAATCGCCATAGCAATGAAATAGAACTATTTTTGTAGTTTTTTATGAGTTTCCGACCGCTAAAAAGGTAACCTGTTTTGCAACTTTATCGATTTTCCTTAGAGTTTTAACCAAAACGTGGAAAAATACGAAATATTAGTACTTTTCAGAATTTTTTTATCTAAAAACAGCTCAAACACTAACTATTAAAATAGCTTTTGTTGTTGATAGGATAGATTTCTTTTTCCCCGAGAACGAAACACCACCCCTGAACTTACAAAATTACCATCCTAAGATTTCCATTTCTAGCCCACAAAGAGACGAAATTGTAAAAATCTTCCGTGTCTTTCCGCTCCGATGCCCGCCACAAAGGTAAGTTCGTTAACTAGTCCTGAGGCGGACCAGAAAAGAAAGGCTTCGAAGGAGCGAGGCAGACGCCCATCGGCCGGCAACAACCAGAGCCCCGTCACGATGAAGGCAAGCAAGGGCAAGAAGAACTTCATTCGTGAGGAACAAGCACCGGAAAATCACAAAGAAGACGGTTGCGATTTTAGTTGAAGGAAAATGCTGGTTCTGGGCTGTTAGCGGGGATGGGAGGCGAAGCATATGCCTACCTAGCAAAATTTATAGCGTTTTGAATCGTATTTTTCAGGGTTTTATCGTTTCTGGCTACGGAAAAGCGATAATGACATTACTAGATACCAAAAATTTGAAATTTTTACCTTTTTTCAAAATTTTCTACAATTTTATGGTTTTTAATGCCTTTCCTTTTCTTAAAAAAGGCGTAGGTTACCTAGGTGCGTGAAGCCACTCTAACAGTCCAGAACCAAAAACCCTATAGTGTGCAACCAGTTGCAATTCGATATTTCTTATATCTTGTGTTTTCTAGAAGCCGGGCCATCGTCCGCGCAGCCCCAGACGCCCGTTGATGACAAGGACAATCGCGCTCGTTTTGCCAAGCAGATTCTCTCCACAACTCCTAAAGTAAGCTCTGCTTTATTGTATTTGCTACATGATTTTTTTTAGAAGATCTTCAAGGAGTACAAGGACAATGAAATGGCCAAGATCAAGCCCGACAACTACACGTATCTCACCTATCAGCGCAACGAGGAGAAAAATCGGTGGGTAGTAGATTGCCGTCGCCAAACTGTGTTTAGTTATCCGGATATCCTCTGCATCGATGAGACTCGCGTTGTTCTGAAGGTACGCACTTGTTCAACGGCTTATTTTGACCTTTTTTTCAGGAACGTGAGGCGACAAATGACTACATCCACGCCTCATGGGTGAAGCTGCCAAATGGCCGGAAGTACATCTGCACGCAAGGCCCGCTGAAGGAAACCCTCGAAGATTTCTGGCACATGATCGTCACCGAAAAGTCGCCCGTCATCGTCATGTTGTGTAATCTGGAAGAGCAGGGGGAGAGCAAGTGCGAGCGGTAAGGATTTTGCTCCCTATTCGACGCTCCCTCTCTTAGATACTATCCGAAAGAAGGCAAAACCATGACGTTTGGCAAGTACTCGGTCAAGTACAAGAAGGACCTCAAATGCGTTACGCCCGAAATCCCGGTGCAGCAGTATGTCGTGACCGGTGGCAGGTAAGCTGGAAATTGCGGTACTGGATTGTTAGCGGGGGGGGAGCTAATTAGCTATTAGGCTCCCGCTAACAGTCCATTACCAAAATCGCCTCCGAAATATCATATTTACAGTTCGACGCATACTGTGACGCACTACTTGTGCCAAAGCTGGACCGACCACGCATGCCCCATCGATCCGACCCCTATCATCAGTAGGAATCGGCCAGGCTCATTACTTCACATCTTTACTTTCAGAGCTGCTGAAGAAGGTGATTGCCGAATCGAAAAAGGACGTCATCACGGTCCATTGCTCCGCTGGCATCGGCCGAACGGCCACCTTTTTGGGTAAAGCTGGCTTTCATAATGTATTCAAAATGTTTCAAATTCTAGGTATTGAATACGCGACGCTGAGGGCGCAGAATGATCCCGACTTTAAGATGGAGCAGCTGCTGAAGGAGCTGCGCTCCCAGAGGTCTCGCTCCTAACCCTTCAACTAACCATATGACTTTCAGGTTCCAAGCGGTCCAGGGCGGCACCCAATACCTTTTCCTTCACGTCGCCATCCTGCAGCTCTGGGCCAGCGAGGGTCTTTTGAAGCCGGAGTCGTGCGAGACGTTTTTTGAGTCCTATCGCAAGGTTATGAATCAGTAAGTTGACACTTTCGATTGAGAAAACAAAACCCGGTTTTCAGCATGGTCGCCCGCAAGAAGTAACACGCAATACGGACGCCTCCATCACTTACTCGAGGATTTACAACAAAAAAATTCTAATGAAATCATGCATCTCATTTTTACAAGGATTTTTGTGATTTCCGTGCGCATTCCATTCATTGTGAATAAAGAAAGGCTGCGGCGATACGGGGCAGAGGGGAGGGAGTAGGAGACTCGGGGCACTGGGCTGTTTTCGGCGGGGGGGGGCGTAGTTCGCCTATCGCACCTGCTATTTTTTATGTATTGAAAGTTCATAAAAATTATTTAAATTGTCGAAGATTTTTGATTTTTCGTTCAAAATGGTCAAAAAATCTCAATTTAAAGTGTTTTTATTCTTTTAGTAAGCAAGAACAACAACAGAACAAAAGTAAAAAAAAAGAAGATTAATGGGATGCCCAACCTTTTCGGGGCTCAAAAAGCAAAAAGCCTGTCGCGGGCGGGGGTCGAAACCGAGACCCCGGTTTTGTAGGCCAGGATGCTATCCATTAGGCCATAGTGGCAAGCCATTGGGTGGGATGGGGCCGCCACAAGAGGGAAAGGTGTCCCAATTTTGTGCGGCACTGGCGCCTCATTGCCACACAAAATTCCCGCGTCATTTGTACTGCCCGGAATACATAACTATATATTTGCCACCAAAACCTTGGGTATCCCTTTAAGCGCAAAAAATTGTTAGGTTTAGGCTAGATAACCCACTGGCCAAAAATCAACTTAACAAGGTCTATTTGAATCGGATGGTTTCAATACGACCTCTACCTATTTCCGGCTATCATCTTGCCTTCACAAGTATATAAGCCCGAATCCAAAGCTTCATCACCCATTTTCTTCAGGATGCCGGCGCCCGGCAAGGTAAATTATCCAGCTCTACCCCGCCAACACTCTCAAAGACAACTTCGGTCGACCGCCTGAAGCGCTCGGCTGAAGGAGGCGTGGCTGCGTCCAGCCCGGCTGCCAACAAGCAATCGGCAAAGAAGGAGAACAAGAAGAACTTCATCAAAGAGGAGCAGCCCCCGGAAAATCACAAGGAAGAGGGTGGTGCCTTTAACAATACGCCTCAATGTCTCGTACCGTTCAGCCGAAGCCGCGCCTCCATCCGTGCCGCCGCAGCCGGTCGACGAGAAGGACTATCGGGCCCGCTTCTGCAAGCAGGTCCTCGCGATGTCGCCCAAGAAGATCTTCCGCGAATACAAGGAGGGCGACATGGCCAAGATCAAGCCGGAGAACTACACGTATCTCACCTATCAGCGCAACGAGGAGAAAAATCGGTACGTTGGACTTGGTAGATTATCAACCTTTAGCGAATGTTTTTGGTCGTTGTCTTTCCAAAAATATGTATTTCTTTTACCTAAAACCCCTGTTTAGCTATCCGGACATCCTTTGCATTGACGAGACTCGTGTAGTCCTGAAGGTAATGAAAACCTCAGATTAAAATCATTTTTTATTACTACAGGAACGTGACGCGACGAATGACTACATCCACGCCTCATGGGTGAAGCTGCCAAATGGCCGGAAGTACATCTGCACGCAAGGCCCGCTGAAGGAAACCCTCGAAGATTTCTGGCATATGATCGTCACCGAGAAATCACCCATCATCGTCATGTTGTGCAATTTGGAAGAGCAGGGGGAGAGCAAGTGCGAGCGGTACGGCTGACAATTCTCTTCCCCAATTCCATTTCAGCTACTATCCGAAAGAGGGCAAAACCCTCACTTTTGGCAAGTACTCGGTCAAATACAAGAAGGAGCTGAAAGCCGTCACCTCAGATATCCCAGTCGCCCAGTATACCATCACCGCCGGGAGGTAGGAAGCATCCGCAGAAATCTTACAGTACGTAACGTATTCTAGTACCACGCACACAGTCACCCACTACATGTGCCAAAACTGGACGGATCACGCATGCCCTGTCGACGCCGCCCCAATTATCAGTATCCGCCCTGCTTGAGGCTCAACCATTTTTGCAGAGCTGCTCAAGAAGGTTACCGGCGAGTCGAAGAAGGATATTATCACCGTCCATTGCTCGGCTGGAATCGGCCGCACTGCCACCTTCCTTGGTATTCCCCCATCAAACGTCATGAAAGTTACGGTCTAGGTATCGAATACGCTTCCCTGAAGGTGCAATCCGAAAGCGATTTTAAGATGGAGCAGCTGCTCCGCGAGCTTCGTGCGCAGCGGTATAGCCCGTCGACTTTTCGCTGACAGACAATTTGCAGATTTCACGCCGTCCAGGGCGGCACGCAGTACCTCTTCCTCCACGTGGCGCTCCTTCAGATGTGGTCCGCAGAGGGGATTGTGAGCCCCGAGAGCTGCCAGAGCTTCTTCGATTCCTACAAGAGAACCATGACTCAGTGGGCTGACAAATTCTCAGCAAACCATCCCCTTTTCAGCATGATCTCCCGCAAGAAGTAGCTCCAACACACCGACCTCAAATTACTCGATTTATAAAAGCTCTAAACCAATATTGCATCAAATTTAGACATTCTTGTGATTTCTGTACGGTGACCGATGAATAAATGTTTGTGATTCGCCGGAACATGCAATCAAATTGAGGTGTTGATCCGCTGCCTCGACGACTTATCACCTGGCTTCATACTTTATCCATTCCAGCCGCTCTTTTGACGAGAACTGCGCCATAAAATAAAAATTGGAATAGAAGCTAAAAGTCATCAGGATTGCTGCATTGAACTGAGAATTGAAAGAAAAACAAGCGAGTGCAATGCAGAAGGGTCCTGATGACCTACCCGTAAATGGTAAACGTAATGCAGATAATCTAAGTTGAGGTACGGCAGAGACAGTGGCGAGTACCGGGAAGAAAAGCGGAAGCAACAATCACAAACTAATTAGCAGGAAGGATATCCCGCAACATGTCTTTTTGAGTAGCAGTCAATTCGCGGGGGAACTCGACAACCAGCTCCACGATGATATCGCCCCGGACGTTTGTCTTGGGGTTCGGCAGGCCTTGGGAAGTAATTCTAAAAAGAAAATTGATTCGCGAATGCAACACTTGCCGTCGGGTCGTGTTCGGCTTGACGATGTCCCTCAAGGCCAATGGAATGGTCGATCCCTCAAGCGTCGGTACCTAAAAATGGGGTCAATCTTCAAGCTCAAAGCCTCCCACCTGAATTGTAGTGCCACACAGTGCGTCTTTCAATGGAAGTTTATGGACGTATCGAAGATCCGCACCCTCTCGCTTGAATTTCGGGTGTACTTTATCCTAAGCAGAAAGTTAAAATAACCCATAGATCGTCCCACCTTGATGACAAAAACAATGTCAGCAGGCACACGTCCGGGAAGTTGGTCGCCTTCTTTCGGGAAGGTGATCTTCGTGCCACTCTTCCATCCGGGCTTCACGTTGATTGTCAGAACCTTGTCTTCCACCCGGGACGTCTGTCCGTCACCGCTCATCACTTTCCTGAACTCACGATATATTAAAAACAAACCAAAAGTACCTGGTGATCTTCATCTTTTTCACACATCCCTTCGCGATATCCTCCAAAGCGACGGGCAGGTCATGAACAACGGTTGGGTCTTGGCGCGCACGTCGAGGAGCTGCAAACAGTAAATTTAATCGTTTGCCCGAAATACCTGCTCCAAAACCACCACCGCCCATGGGGTCCATACCTCCATGGAACGACTGGAAGTGGGCTCCACCACCACCACCGCCGCCACCCATCTGTCCGAAAAGGCCAAATGGATCGCTGCCGCCGAAGAACTGCGAGAACATGTCCATTGGATCACCCTGCAGCATATTTTAAAGGCATGAAATTGAAAACATACATGGAATTCGTAGTGTGTACCGGGGCCGGCGGGCCCTGCCCCTTCGCCGGCACCACCCTTCAGTCCTTCCTCGCCAAACTTGTCGTAAACTTCCTTCTTCTTCGGGTCAGAAAGGACGTCGTATGCTTCCGCGATTTCCTGCCAAAAAATAAAACTACGCAAAAAGTTCAAACCTTGAATTTTGCCTCTGCGCTCTTCTCCTTGTTCTTGTCGGGGTGGTATTTCAGCGCCAGCTTGCGGTAGGCCTTCTTAATTTCATCTTCGGAGGCTCCCTTCGACAATTCCAGAATCTTGTAGTAATCTTTTCCCATTCTGAAATGAAATCAAAATTGGTCGGCGGACGATCGATGATCAAGGGAAAAATTGCGCTGCAATGAATGGAGGTCAAGGTCGCGAGGTGATAATGGTAAGAGTCGCACTCCTCGCACTAGCAGAAATAATTAGAAACGCTAATTTTTCAATCGAGCTTGTTCTTTAGAAAAAGCAGAAAGCTGGTTTTATAAAAAATAGAGCGTGAGCGTCAGTAAGAAATGCTACGAAACAAAGAGAATTCGAAAAGATATGTTCGTTCGCGCAGCTCGATCTCGAATGATAAAAATAAGGTGCCGGACGCACCAACAGGAAAATAATATGCCTGTTGATGGCAAATTTCACTATTAGGATGATCGAGGTGGGAAATGGGAAGAGTATAAAGCGGCTCGTTGAGCCCGAAACGATCTGGAGGGAGCAGGAGAAATAATGCACTTTGAAGCTATCAAACACAAGCCCTTATACTCCCAATCTTTATCGCAATGTTGTCAAGTCGAAATTTTTCCTTCAAATCGGCAGAATTTGGCAATATTCCAGAACGTAACTGAACGCTCTAGAACCTTCTCTTTGCTCCTTTTCCGAAAACGCGCCAAAAGTGTGCGTTGCTAGTCAGTCTGCGTTCGGGTTGGCACGGGCGGCCGGGTGAAGCAGCTGTTCAACCCGAGTGTACGCCGCGAGAAAAGGCCGAAAAATGCAATGAATCACGGAAGGGCTGCTGTTTCGGGCCACGAACATCGCCTTGGCCGCATCGAAACACTAATTCCTTGTCTTGGCCCGCGACGTTTGTCGCACTTTTGTACTATTTTGCAATGGTTTTTGCGAAAACCGAAAGTTCGGAAAACTAATTCGCGAACTGGTCTTAACTGTTAGCTACAAGACGCTCCAAAATACGTTTTCTGGGCACTAAGTGTATGTAAACGCTTACAGAATCCTTGACTTCATTTCGTTTGTGAGTTCGGCTCGATATGACCTCTTTTTTTGAGCTACTATGGCAAATTAAAGCTAGAATTGGACTTGGCTTTTTTATGTAAAGCTGAGTAAAAAAAGGCTTGATTAAATAACCAAGAAGCTTAAATTGAGCGTCACATAATCCCGAGAAGCATAAGCGAGACCGCCCCGATATGCCCGCATCCCCAATTTTCTTTTGGCCAAAAATTGCTCTCACAGTCCGTAGAACAAACAAAGTTATTTTTCAGGGCATGGTCGCCGCCAGCAACGGCCCAGCCACAAAGCTACGAATCCTATGTTTACACGGCTATCGTCAAAATGATGTCTTCTTTCGGGAAAAGACGGGCGGCATGAGGAAGCTGTTCAAGAAATATGCCGACTTCACCTTTATCAACGCCCCTCATGTCCCCAGCGTCCTTTCAGAAGATCGGGGCGAAGTGAGAGGGTGGTGGTTTTCGAAGCCAGACGCCAATTTCTCGTCCCGAGACGTCACCGATCTGGATACCGGATTTGAGGAATCCGTGCGGGCTGTATTGGATTTCATCAAAGAAAATGGGCCTTTCGACGGATTATTCGGATTTTCGCAAGGTGCTGCGATGGTACATCTTTTATTGGCCAAAGAACAGCTTGGTGAGCTGAAACTCGACGTCAAGTTCGCCATCATCGTCTCGGGATTCCGCAGCCTTTCTTCGCAACACGAACGATACAACGAGGTGCTGATCGAAAAGCCGAGTTTGCACATCTACGGAACTGGAGATGAGGTCGTTTTGTCTCCCGTTAGCGAACGCCTAACCAATTCCTATAAAGAACCTGCTACAATCATCCACGACCAAGGCCATTTTGTGCCGCCATTGTCTAAATATAAGCAAGAGTTTGGATCCTTTTTAGAAAGATTCGTAACATTATAACTCTGATTTATCAATGCCTAGGTGAAGCTTTTGGTTGTTGAGTACGTTCCGTTTGTTCCTTACGTTGTGATAAAACGTCCTCTCGTTGAACGGGTTTTCCGGATGTTGAATTTCGAACCATTTATTAAATTTAGGTTTGCGAGATGGGCGGCTAAATGCAAGCTGGGCGTGATTGAATCGAGAAGGTATTTTGCAGTTACTATAGCCACACTAATCCCTTACTTTCAGATGGGAAATTACATGAGCGATCACAAAAAGGCGAACGGGTCCTTGGAAGCGGAGAACAACGAGTTCCGCGTCTACATCCATCGCCGCAACAAATTTATACACGGTTTGCACAACGCATTTTTCGGTAAATTTTGTTTCAGCATGGCTAAAGATTACACCAAGCGAGATAATCGTGCAGCGCTCCAAATCTGATACCCTCGTCTTCCCGCTCCAATATTTGAGAAGATATGGTTAGTTATTCGATAAAGCAAAAATAATTTTCTATCTCCAGGCTACACCTCTGCGGGCGTCTTCTTTTTCGAAAGCGGGCGAAGATGCGCGACTGGCGAAGGCTTGCACACGTACCAGTCGCAGCATGCAGAGGCTATATTCCAGGTTGCGATTGTTTAGTTGTTGTTTCAAAAGTTTGTTTAGCTAGTCCAGTCACGGATTCAAGCAACGGCCAACGCCGTGCACTCGGAACGGGCGCGAAACCAGCGGGATCAGCGCTACGGCAGTGTGGACCACACGCCGCGCATACATCCAATTCAGCGCTATCTGAGCGAGGGTAAAACATGATATTTGCTGTTTTTAATAAAGGGATTTTCAGGAAATAAAGACATCTCGGCTTTTTCGCAACCAAATTACAATTCGTTGCATACTGGGGACGCGAAACGAAGGGTTAGTGGTTGATTACGATTTTTCCGTTTTTCCGCTATAATCGACTATATTGTACCAGTTTTCAGCCTCCTAAACGTTTTGAAAATGAAAATTAATTTTAGCGCCCAATCCTCGCACCCCCGCCGAGACCAAGAAGCCTTCAGGGGATGGAAAACGGCCGCCAACCAGGCGCCCAACCACAATACTACGTACAAAATGCTCATGGTCATGCACAGATTATCGGAAACATAATGTAGGTTTTCAATGCATTTTTGCATTCCCGATTTTAGCACAGAAAGCGCGGGCCCGAACCGGGGCTCCGTCTCTTCACTCTACAACAAGTCATTGTCCACCTCCATGCACTCATACACAAATCTACCGCCCACACAATTCGCGCCTCCCGTCCCAGGATCGGATCCGGGATTTAGAAACAGGTAAAAGCACAGCTAAGTTTCTTTATCGGTATTTAGGTGCTCATCGGCGTGTTCAAATAGGTCGACAGCGTCATCCATCAATTCTTATCATTCGACGCCTACGACACCTACCACCAAGCTCTTTCCAATACAATGGTAGGTCGTCGAAGGGGTTGCGGTAGAAGAACTGTTTGTGGGCGTGATTTAGATTGGATATCAAAATCTCGAATTGATAATACCGACATTTTCAAAAGACAAAGCTACTAAATCTACCTCCCATTTCTAGGGATGGCGGCGCCGGCTCAACTTCCTTCCTTTGCTATGCACAACCAGCAACAGCACAGGAACCGCGTACCTTACCGTTCTCCCCACCGCTCCCCGATGAAAGGCCTGGGGTTTGTCAATTCCCGGTTGCAGAACTTTTAAACTCATAAATTCAGATCAAACTTTCCAACCCTCCCGGCCGCTATCCATCGAAAGCCATGCTCTCAGGTACCAAATTTGCGCTCCAAATTTTTTTAGCATCTTCAAACGTAAATTAAAATCAACGACTTGGTTAAGGCATGCGCGGGATACCCCTCGACGAGCAGCCGATGGCGAAGAACGAGCACGGGCAAATGCAAAAGGTTAGCGAATTTTCAAAGTTGCTATGTTTACCCTGAAAAACTAATAACATTTTCGGATGGATGGAAAACGCCAAATTCCAGCATAACCGCCTAAACTACGCAGCTATGGAGGCCCCGCTGGCGACGGCAGAACGTACGAGCCGGTAGGGTGCTCAAAAAAGTCCTGAAAGTTCCTTCCAGATCCCCATCTATCGCCGGCTCGTGTGCTTCACTACAGGGGAATTCCGTAAGTTAACGTGGAGTATGTCGGAATCAGTTATTTCAGTTATTTCATTATTATAGTTTATCCATATGAAAATAACCGTTTATCTATCTATACTTTTTCAGACCACCTATGCTGTAATTGACCCTCAGCGCACAAAGGCTCTTCAACAGGTAAAAACCAGAGAAAAAAGGAAAATAAAAGCTACGGATTTAGGCGAAAAATGACGTCGCCCGCGCCAACAACAGCAATTCGCCGGCTGTGTTGGGTAAACGAGGCGATGATTAATTAGTTATCGTCCCCCCCATCTCGATCCCCTGAACTCTTGATCTAGCAACGAATTTTTCACTTGCGCGCCCTTGCCATTTTGTCGTTTGCCATTTGTATTCCTGTGCCTCTATTTCTCCTATATTTGGTGCTCAAAAAAAAGAGTCTGTAATCTCAACAGCTTTACGTGCTTTACCCCAAATCACCTCTTGCCTTGTCTAGTCACAAAAAATTTGCTCAACGATAAATTTCTAATTGTGTCTCCTTGTCATGCTCATTGATTGGCACGTCGCCAGCGGATTCGACGGTTTTGGAACCAGACTTTCACCTAGAACGGAAAAAAGGGTACTGATTCGCTATCGGGGGTGGGGGCGGGGGCGTCAGCTTGGCAAAAATTTTTCCTAAGGGTCTGTAGGAGCCGAATAATGACTATTTTAACATTCCACGCCCTCCTTAGATATAAAAAATCTACAAAAATGATTAAAACTTTTCAAAAAGGTGATTTTTGGTAAAAAATGTCAATTTTTAAGGTTTTTTCTGAGTCAAAAATTACTAAAAAAGCCCATGAAAATAAACTATAGATGCGAAAAACGTTGCTATGTAGGTAGACAAGCTAGCTGCCCCCCGCGCTAACAGTCCAGTTCCGGAAACGCACCTGAACCTCGGTGAGCAGCAACAATTGAGAGAGCTGCTGCCGCTGATTTGCTTCCAGATATGGCGTCAATTTGAAAGCAGATTCGAGGATTTGCAACTGATGTGTGGTCAGAGTTGTGCGAGTTCTTTCTAGAAAGTGGTTGTTGGATGAAGGGGGAGTTGTGACATAAGACGGCACTGTTTGCCCTGTTGACCCGGGTGGTGGTTGCCTCGTTCGTCCACACCTCAAATAACCGCGCCCAGACACACTTTTGAAAATAGCCGGCGTGTTGTGGCCGGGTGGTATTTGTGTGGGTTTTAAAGTTACCCTAAGTTTCTCGCAACTTTGTAGTTTTTTAGTTCAGTTAATATTTTTGTCAGTTTTTCATTTAAAAAGAGAAAAACTTTATTATCGGTATGCTTTCAATTTTAGTTATCGGTCTTTTAGGAGGAAAGCGCTTCTAAAAATAGCTAGCTTTTCGTCTACGGTTAGATATATGAGGATTTTTGAAGCTACGAAATTTTTGAGTAACTTTTTTAGGTTAGTTAATGAGAAACTAATGTTTACGATTTGTTTTCTTTCAGTTTGAATTTATCCATCGAAAATACTTACTTTTAGGAGGGAATCGTGCAGGAGCGGACATCAGTTTGGTAAGAAGATTCTGAGGTAACTATTCTCCTTTCAAGGTGCACGAGTCGAAACCCCTAATTTTTCGATCACGACGAGTCGACCGTTCCCTGGTCGCTCTGACTCGTTTCTACCTTGCTCTGTGTAATAAATGGGGGTGTATGAATCCAAATATATTGTTGTTGTATTTTGTATTAGTTAATAACGTCAGGCCTAGAAAATGGCAGGATGTGGATTTTACTGCATACCACACGCACAGGCAGGTACTATCGGCCGCGGGTGTTCATAAGCACTCTTTTGGTATATATCGCAAACAATTTAAATAAAAACTATATAACTAAGTCCAATAAATATGTAGAATCGATTATAGTATATTAAAACGCATTAAATAATATCATCGGACGTAGTATTTCTTAATAAATTACGCCGCGGCCGATAGTACCTGCCTGTGTTTTTGGTATGCCGTGTGGATTTTAGATAACCTGGGTGCTTTAGTATGTAGGATTTTAACCTAAGCACTTAACTGCTTCTAAGCAAATATTTTAAGTTTTTTTTCTCAAATTTATATATGTATTTTGTAAATTTTTTTCCATTTCGGAACAGTAAGACCAGTTTAGAAAGATTTGTTCTAATCATAGAAAAATCGGCTCCGAAAGTAGAAGTTTGTATTCATCACCCCGGGAATGCTCGGGAAATAAGCTTCCCTTCATTTTGACAACCCTAAAAAGTAATTTCCAGGCATCGCGGACCTTTGATTCGCGACGATCTTGCTGGCCCTGATCGTCGATTCCACGATGCGGCCCTAGACCGGAAAAAAGAGAAGGAAAGTGCAGCGAAATGGACGGATCTTTTATCAGTTGCTTCGCCGCCTCGCCGACCAGCCCCAACACCAGGTATCTTTCCGGCCTTTGTGTGTGTTCATTGGAGTGGCGCTAATTCTCTGGCTTGTTCTAAATGGTTTAGTGTTATAGTGGAGTTGAGGAGTATTGGAGGGATCAGGGATCACAAAACCTGTTCTTTTGCTGCCTCTCCCCTGCGACGGCAATTACGGGCCGCGCTGCCGGTGGTGGCATATTGTTACTTTTTCAATTCGGGACCTCTTTCCCATTTTTTGAAACAAAAAATTGCTAAGAATTTATTTACGAGTTCTTTTAGATGGTTATGGCTTTTTTGCAAGATGATTTCGATAAGTCGATAAAGCAAATGCAGATCATTCGATGCAGCTTGAAATTTTGAACAAATTATTGCTTTCGAAACTTGCCGAATTATAATTGTCTACACGAAAATTCAGCCGGAAAGATCCGGTTTTTTTCCGCGGAGTAGCGAAATTGAGCAAATCTGACATTCCAAAGCGAATTTTCGCCAAAAACCGTAATATTGTGGGAGATTTTGAAATATGGGGTCTGTGCAGAATTTAAAGCTCTATCTAATCAGTTCTGTGATATCGAAAAATTTCATTTTCACATCGTTCTATTTTCAATTTTCCGTGCCCCGACTACTCCGACTACATTTTAATTAACATCCCGAATTTTCATTTAACTAACTGTCTAATAATTTTTTCAGTTCGTATGCCGTGACGATGGGTGCTCTTCAGGGACGTAGCGTAAGGTGGGCCCCCCTGGGCCCGGGGCCCCCCCCGAAATCGGCCGGGGCCTGAAAATTTCATAAGGGGGGACCCTTATGATTTTTATTTTCTCAAAAATTTTGCTGCCTGCGGCGCTATTTTTTCACGTTTTTACTGCTATTTGTAGAGCTGGGTAGCCTTTTTTCCAAAATTTTTCGCCTGCGGCGCTGTTTTTTCGTTAATTTTTTGACTTATTTGGAAAAAATTTTTCGGGGCCCCCCCCGAAATTTTTTTTTCTGGCTACGCCCCTGGTGCTCTTTTATGCCGAGGTCGAGATCGGATCCGGGATGAACCGGCATCAACTGCAGGTTCTCTAAGTAAAAATGCGTTTAAATCTCGGTATAGATCTACCAACTGGCCGACTGCTGATTTTTGTAAATCCGAACAGTGGTGCTGGCAATGGGATGAAGACGTTTAATCAGCGGGTAAGCAATTTTACGAGCTCATTTTCGATTTTCCACCTCAAATTTTTCTGTCTTGTGCTATTCTTTTGGACCAAAATATAATATATTCCTGCTCTACAGACCAAAGCGAACATTTTGGTATATTTTACAGCCCTGTAGCACAAAGTAGAGCCAAGATACGAAAAACTTATGCTTTTTAACCTTTAATATTTTCATAATAAACCCCAAAAAATTGATACTTTCAGATGCAACCGCTACTCTCTCAACGCGGCATCGCCTATGAATTAGTAGTGACAAGTTTGTCTTGTTTTACAGTCATTCATACAATTCTTTCAGAAGGCCCCGGACAGGCCGAACAAGCGGCACGAGAACGAACCGACCTCGCCGAATTCGCCGGCGTTTTGATCGTCTCCGGCGATGGGCTGGTGTTCGAGTGGTTGAACGGTCTCTGCGCCAGGGGAGACTCTTTCTCCCTCGTCCCCCATCTACCAATCGGAATCGTGCCCAGCGGATCGGGCAATGGTCTACTCGCTTCGGTTTTTGCGTCTAAAAAGTGGACTTCTTTCCCGTCCTCAATTTCTTGTTTAGCTATCCGTTGAAGGGCGAGAAATTCCTCGACAAAGCCATCCGAATCAGCACTTCCGGTAAGCTAAAATTTTGAATTGTAATTTTTTTAATCTCTGAAAACCCTGATTTTTGAAATACTGAAATTTTTGCCGGTTTATAAAAGAACAAAGAGTATTTTTTCTCGGTGAAAAACTTAATTTAATGGGCTTAAACGCCGTCCAAGCTTTGTTTACTTAAAAGGCTGCAGAAAGCTTCCAGGAATAGTCAAAACTCGGAAGACTTACCTTTTTTAAACATTTCACCGGAAAGCATCCTAAATTCAGAAAGCCTTTGCACAGAAAGCAAAACCGTAAAGACAACAAAAAAATATACAAAAGCGAAAGCTGTACTTTCTGTTTTGTAGGGTTTCTACTAGTATTTTTTTTTTCAGCGTCGAGTGTAGCGGTCCCGGTGAATTTAATCCACGTGCAGACGGATCGCAAGAATATCGTCTCATTTTTGTCGTTTGGCTGGGGATTACTGGCGGATATTGGTGAGTTGATTGATATAGGCTTTTAGTAGCATCGTTATTTCTAGATATCGAAAGTGAGCGGTGGCGGCGAACACTCGGCTCTTCGCGCTTCGTGGCTGGGGCACTGATACGATGTCTTAGTATGTTGTAGGAGTTTTTAATCCTAATCTGCTTTAGATTTACGCTCTTACCGGGGGAAGCTCTCCTTTTTGCCGTACGACAAATCTACGCGGACGACTTCTCCGTATGCGTATCCCGTACATCCGTGTAGCGCGAAGGAAAGGGTACGTTTTTGAGCTGCCATTGGGTTCTTTAGCCATATAGCAATTGTTTAAAATCCGCCGTTTTCGCTCGAAAAAGCGCAGTTTTTCTTTTTGATAAAATTTTGTAAACTTTACGTTTAGGAGTAGTAAAAATAAGTTTAGAAACCATCCTTTAGTTATTTTAGAAAAGTCGGACACTTCGGAAAAAGTTGGACTGAAATTTCCAGGCGACGATCGAACCACGCCGGCAAAGAAACAGAGACGATTCGGCCTATTCTTCCACAACTTTCCCCCGAGAAGATGATCAAGAATGGGAAGCCGTCCATTCGGTCCACGATGTCCCGAATATCGAACGCCCAATTCCCGAGCAATGGACCACTATTGATGACGACTTCGTTTTTGTCTATGCTGTAAGTGCTGGATCCTGGAAAACTAGCAATAGAAAAAACCCTAAATGGACTACAAATAATAAATCATTTCGAATAAACTTTAAGATGGCCAAATCGCATATCGCCAACGACGGGCCATTGATGCCGCAGGCGAAAACTTATGAAGATCGGATATATCTCACATATGCTGTTCGGTGGGTGCCACTTATTTTTGATATAGCTAGCAGGTTTTTTTTTGTAATGTTTTTAACTATTCCTACACATTACGACTTTACAAATTTTAAGTAAAACACATTTTTTGGTAGACGAATCTCTGTTTTCGACCCAAAATGACCAAACTGTCAACGTTTTCAAACGTTTTCAGGCTTTTGCTACTTCATAAAATTAAAATATACTAAAAATAATGTAAAATATGTTATATTCGATAAAGAATTTCACTCATCGATATCCAAAGTTTCACGAGCATTTCAGACGTGATTGCTCAAGGATAGGACTGGCTCGATTCTTGAACGACATCGAGACAGCCAGCCACCTCGACGCCCCGTTTTTTAAGGTAGGCCATAAAAAAATGTGGTATCCTTCTTTTTTTTAGGTGATCGAGGTATCAGCCTTCCGACTCGAGCCGGAAATCGAAGGCTCTTCCTATCTGGTGGTTGATGGGGAAGTGGTCACCGCCCGCTCGATCCAGGCCACCGTCACTCGGCTTCATTCTACTATCATGGTCGCCAATGAAACCGTCTAGATACCTTGAAAATTTAAGCAATGAAATATTCATTTGTAGGCAATTATGTCCTTCGGAAATCCCTCTGATTCTCAGATTTCTTTCCCCAATTCCGGCTTTATTTTTGTGAGATTTTGCGCTGTGATTTTTGGCCACTGATTACATGTGATATTTTGGTGAATAAATCGTTTAGAGGAGTGCTTGGTTGGTTCAACTACAATGGAGTCTCTAAAGTCGGTACTTTTGCGTTAGCAGGGGGTGGGGGTCGAGGATAGCAGGAGAAAGCTAATTTTTATCTGGGCCAGGCTGCCGGCGATAAATAGGCTGTATTTTTATAATCATTTCAATAGTTTTTGGTTTTTAAGCAATTCTAAATTTCTTCTTGTAGTTGAAAACTTCAAAATGTTTTTTGGGCTTTTCTATAAATTTTTGACGTAAAAGTCAACATTTTTCGCAAGTTTAGAATTTTTAGCTACTTATGATATCTAAATACAGCGTAAGGTTCTTCAAAATAGGCTATTTAAAAATAGAGGCGTACAGGATTCCTGGAGATGATGAGTTGATGCTAGCGCCCCCCCCCCCCTGCTAATGAACCAGTACCACCGGTTAGACTATAGTGAAGCTCAAATTTCGAGTGGATTTCTTGATAAAAAATGGCCCCGTTTATCTGACCGGTTTCTCCGTCAAATTCCCATCCAACATCATTTTTTTCTAGTGACAAAAAGCGAAGAAGCCCTCCTTATAAAGCCCGCTTTTCTCAGCGGGTGTCCACTTAGAAACCCCCTTGTGCGGCGGCGCCATCAACAGGACTCTAGGCCACTTGTCGATCATGATTGTGTTGTATCGGTGTTCGCGTTGAGGAGGAGGAGAAGGAGAACGAGGGGGGTGGGGGTGAGCAAGGGGGTTGGATCCTCCTCCCATTTGAGGCCACGCCGGTCCCATTCCTCATTTCTCTCCCTGAAATCCTCGCGATCCCGGGGCCGCGCCTATCAAATACGCCATTTCTAATTGCGCCCCCGCCATCCCTCGCTGGCGCCCAACTTTTGGGCATTTGTTTAGTTTCATTTTCCGAGATATCGTTAAAAACTGAAAACTATAGAATTTTAGCATCTTGTGCATTATCGAGGGGGGCTATAAATCCAGATATCAGAGAGTAAGGGATCACCAAATATTCGCGGAGTTTTTAGTATATTGTCGCTATCTATCAAGTGTAGAAATTATCAAAAAACTGAAATTCTAGGCGAAATTCGGTAATTTTTATTCAAAAAACTCGAAAAATTCCTGACTTTGCGGCATTTCTGTTTCGTTTGACCGGAATGGGTGCTATTCCATTATGAGGGGGGGCTATGGCGAACAGTAAAAAAAGCGAATTTTCGGCCGAAAAACACCGGTTTTCGACAAAAATTCGATAGTTATCGTTTAAAAACATGAATATAACACTTACTATTCCGATACTAGGCAGATCTGAATATAGGAAAAATTTGGCCGTGGCTTGCTTGAACCTCCCTGGTAATTGAAACCATAGATCCTCAGAGGAGCGAGTCCCGAAAAACCCAAAACACAAGCCGACAAATAACACCTCGATATTACAACACTTTCAACAATCTCAAAGACATCGGCGCTCAGTGTTGTTTTTCCAATCCGATAGTGCATCTCCTTATCCATGTTTGCCGCGTGAGCTCCGTGAGCCCAGTGGGGGGCCTCAAATCAAGATAGATCTCGACTTTCAGAACCAATGAACCACGTCGTTGTTGTCGCCCTCGTCACCCTGGTTGTTAGCATTTATGCTGGGAGCGTTGGGGGTATGTTTTAACATACTTTTACGCTTCAACAACCAAATTTTAGAATGCCGCTCGGAGTGCGTCGAGCTGAACAGGTTCAAAATTGTGCGGGTGCACTTGAAGGGTCAGATGGTGATGGCCGGTGTGTGCCGCAACACGACACAGGATCATGGAGGGAATCAGGTATCGGAAAATATGAATGATCAGCGACTGGTTCTAAACTATTAGCGGGGGGGGGGCAGTGGATTTGGAAAAAGTGGCAAAATTTGTGGCAATTTAGATTGAGTTGGGTTTTTTGTACTGAAAGGACGTAAAAAGACTAGTAAATGTCAAATATTTAAAATTTCTGACTATTTTAGCACATTTTTTTCGAGGTTTTGTTGACTTTTATGAAATTTCTATGCTAAAAACGGCGTAAAAGGCTGTTCCTAAACCTAAAAACCATCACTGGGCCTACAATCTACCGCTAACCGTCAAAAAAATTGTTTTACGAATCACGCTTCACCCCGAAAAAATAAAACAAGAACCGGAACCAGATTTTCCTAACCAAAGAGAAACAAGATTTAGGCGACCGTTTTCCCGTTCATCTGCGACCGAAACGTCGGCGTCTGGGTGCCCGATGACAGCGTGAGTTTGTGCTTTTTCTCGTTCCTAGGGTAAAGACCGTTCGAAAATCGATTAGTTGCGAATCATCGAATTACCGGGGTCCATTTTGCCTTTTTACATCGCGTGCGTCAATGGGAACGGGAATTAGGCCGGGTAGACCGGCCAGCCAGCCACGAGACTCACAATTCCAGGATGAGGAAGGGATTGTCAATTTCCCGGTGAAATGCCCGAAAAACCAGCCGGTTGACGCGTTGTTGATCGCCGGATGTCCAAAGGGGGAGACGGCGTTTTGAAGACGTTTTGAAGATTTTTGATGTCGAGAGTTTGTTATCCCCCCGCCCCCGCCCCGGATAATGTATCTACAACCTGATCTCCGCCTCACCAAATTCACATGTGATTTCGGCAAGTTTCAAAAGCTGATTGCAAATATATCATGTTCTACAAATAAAGACGACCGGTACTTGAGCAACTACAGGGCGACAGCATGAATAAGGGTCCTTAAAAACATCAAACAATTCGTTTTTTCAAGGTTTTATTTAGGAAACAAGCTCTTATTTGAACAGTAATTGAAAAACTAGAAAATTTTAATGTTTTTCGAATTACAGCCTGTTATTTGTCGCCTGTCGTAGACCGTAAATAGGTGTTTCTTGGAACATCGGTCCAGGTGATCCTAAATTTTTTTTTCTCGCAGGAAGAAAATTCGCGCGCGACTCGCGACGAGTGGGGCACTCGCGAATTTTTTCTGATTTTTTATTTTTAAATTCAAGCTTTTATATATTTAATGTTTGAATTAGTGAAATTGTTAATTAAGAAATTTTCTAGTCTCGCCTTTTCCGTTCCGTTTTTCTGAAAACTTAACCATCTCCCCAAATCACTGGTAAACGCCACGATTTCACCATTCCCCTCCTTTCTCTCTGTCCTTGGGAGGGGAAAGAGGGTTCAAATCGAGGGTTGGCGGGAACCCCGACAAGGATTTTTCCATGCCGTCTCTTAATCGTTTTTTTTTTCGTAAAATGGAAGTGTGAGATGCATAGAAATTTATCTTACGCTCTTTTCCAGATGATGGCTGACCCCTATGAGATCGAATCGTCTCCAGAAAGGAAGGTGACGCCTACCAGGCACCGGGGACGCAACACTGTAACGGCTTTCGCATGTATTTCAAGTTTCTTTTAAGCCTGGATCGTCGAGGAAATCCGGAACGCCAAGGCATCCTGCTGTTTCGAAAGGCCCCGGCAAACGCAAAAGTGGGGGCACTGGAGAATGGTCAGTAATTTTTTTCGTCCAATCTCATGCCAGTTTGTTTTAGTGATGCTGATTTCGACGTCGATTTTCTTCCGGAGGAACCAGCCAAGAAGATTCCGGCAACAACGGTACTATTTTTGGAACAGAAGACCATACTTCTTAGCCGCTATTCACCGATGATTCTCCATCAAAGTACGCCCATCATCACGTGGGCAGTGCTCGTCGAAAGCGTCGTTCCAGCGACAAAATGGTTGATGTGTCTCGGTGAATTTTTATTTTCGTTGACTTATTTATCTGAATTTGTTTTCAGATACGGAGAAGACGAACTAGAGCGCGACCGTTGCGAAAAAGAGAGAGGGAAAAGTGATGCTGGTGTGAAGGTTGGAGTGGCGCATGACGCAAATTTGTTTTAGGCAGAAGCTGAACTATCGCAACTGGCTCAGGATCTAGACGACACCGAAGACTTTGATCTGATCGTGGAAGTTGTCAAGCGGGACGACGACGATAGTGTGGAAAACAAAGATGAAGCTGGAGACGGTATTGCTGAAATATTTCCAGTTCAAATTTTTTTAGCTGGCGATTTTGTGCTGCCCGAGACTTCGGATGAGCCAGCTATCGAACGCGAGAAAAAGAAGCCGGAAGGTTTTTATTCACCCAAGGTATATTTCCGAGTCATGTTTTTAATTCCTTTAGATGACTCCCACCTCTTCGCGTCGCAAGTATACAAGGACTCACGAAAGTGTTTACACCCCTTCCGAACCATTGGACCCACTGGATCTCAAGTAAATTTGCCTTCCGGATAATAGCATCATTCTAGCAATATCGGAACCCCACATGCTACTCCGAAGCGCCGACTGTCGATGCGCAAATGAACATCATCGTTCCCGGTCATAGTGTCTCGACTCATTTTGATGTACGTTGTTGCTTTGTATTTATTTGCCACGTTGTGTTCTTCCTTGATAGCTTTATTATTTCTAAAAACCGCCTTTAATGTATCACATCAAGCAACCGTTATGTTTAAACGACGGGCACACATTGCTAACGTTATTCGCATAAAAAGGGCATCATTCCAATTCCTCGTTCGGGGCGAGCATCTTCATCAATCCGACGAACTCCGGTCGCTCGGCGACGTTCTGAAAAGGTTGTTTGGAGGGAGTGCTGTTTTTTTCTGTACCATCGTCCAGCAGGCCTTCAAGACCGCGAGGCCGACTTCCGGGATGTTCTGTGGAGGCGTCAACATCGCCATATCCCCATTCGCGATCTCAAAAGCAAGCAGCTTCTAGTTTGGCTTAGCTTCGTACCTTGTCCTTGGCCTGCTTGTTTGTAATTCCGGTGAAGGGCTCGATGGTGCAACGATGGAAAATCTCCCACAGCATCACACCATAGCTCCAGACGTCCGTCTTCGTCGTGAATTTTCCCTAGGGAGAAGGTCAAGCCGGGACGTTTGGTGTCAACCTCGCAGAGCGTCTCCGGCGCGCACCACTTGATCGGCATCTTCTTGAGGGTGACGCACTTGATCTCGGTCTGGCCGACTTCCGATTTGCCGAAATCGGCAATCTTCAGCTCAAGGTCCTTGCCAAGGAGGCAGTTCCTGGCGGCCAGATCTCGATGGAGAACCTATAATTCAGCTTTTCCACAAGCAGTCGCAATGGAAGGAATGTCGCTGTAGTTACTTACGCTCATCTTGTGCAGATAGGCCATTCCCCTGGCCCCATCGGTGCCCCAGGAGATGAGCTGTTCAGCGGCGACATCAGGGTGCTTCTCGCAGTACGACTGAAAGAATGTTTTCCTGTTATAAGCGCAGTGGTAGCTGCTAATTCATTAGCGGGGGGGGGGACGAATTTTTTGTAGCAGGGAAAAGGAATATTTTTGAAATTACAAACTTTTTCTCGATTTTCGCGATTTTTCTCGCTTTTAGAACGAACCAGGGTTGAAAAGCCGCTTCGCGACTTTTCAACCCTGACCCCGTCTCGGACCCCATACTATTCTGCCCTTTGCATAATTGTCCTCCATTCAGAAGACAAAAAAAATGAAAAACAACCCTTTCTGCCTCTTTATATAGGCGACGGCCCACTTCCGATGTATGCAAATTGTTCCTAACAAAAAGGTTTTTACAAAAACCTAAATTTAATGGCGAAAATGGCTACTTTTAAAAATCTTGTATGTGTGCAGTCATCCCTAGACCATTATGCACCTAATGACGTATCATACGTAGCCTAATACCCGTTCCTTCTTGAGATATCCTCCGGACAGACAGACGGAAGTGGATGCAAAGTGGCACACACACATACACACACACACAAACACTATTTTTTTATATATAGTAGGATAATGCAAAAATTTTCGACCGTAAAATGCTATTTGCCCGCTGCTAGCCTCCCCCCCGCTAATAAACCAGAACCGTAATGTCTACCTGGAGCCCGCCCTTTTCAGCCAGCTCGATCACCAGCATCACCGGGCTCTCCTGAGCAGCCACCCCGTAGAAGCGGACGATGTTCTTGTGGTTGAGAATGCGAGTGACGCGCGCTTCCTGTAAAATTCCCTCTCTGCCGCCGCCGCTCAAGAACTACCTTCATAAACTCGGTGATCTCCTTCTTCGTCACGTCGCCCTTGCACAGTTTGATGGCGCACGGCGTCTCGGTGTTCCCCTCATCGCGCAGCGTGCCCTTGTAGACCTCACCGAAGTTGCCTTCGCCAATTTTCTGCGTTTTTGTCACGTTGCCGTGCATGATGTAGTAGGCAGGGCGTTTGATCTTCTAAAAAAATTGGGGGTTCATGCCCATTTTGGGGTGGCACCTTGCTGACGATGGCTCCAGAGGGCAGCGGGTGCTTGTTGTCTTCGAGGTACTCGATCAGCTCGCCGATCGTCTTCTTTTCCACTTCATTCACGCACCAATTTCCGCCCTGAAGTTGATGTTGTTCAGGTTCTTAATAATTTAACTTAATAACCAGGGTTGAAAAGCCGCTACGCGGCTTTTCACCCCTGGCCTCTCCGCGGGGATCTATAGACGGACACTTTGCATAAAATAATTTGCACACATCTTATGATTTACGTTAGGGATCTGGGCGCTACAGGAATTACGTGAGCAACCTTCTTCGAGCCCCGCAAAGCCCAGAATGAGCCAAATTAATTCCCGTATGCAAATTAGTCTATTTCCATGTGTTTTAAAAACGTTAAAATGAGGTATAAAGCGTAATTTTAGTCAAAATCTAATAAGCGTGCAGTAATCTACGCCCTCGAATACCCCTACTATCTTATTTCTGGACCAAAAAATACTTTCCCCTTCGAGTTATGGCTGGAACCCGGGATTTTATGCACACACACTTTTTTTTATATATAGTAGGATACCTAGTTTGTTGGTTATTAAAAATAGCAACAATAACATTTTTGGAAGATTGAAAGGATTTTACACTAATGGATACTTCAACCTGATGTTTTTCAATTAGACCAAATTACCTACCCTTCGAAGAATCGGGATATGGCGCACAACATCGCTGTGCATGACGGAGATGACGATCTGGTCACGATTCCCGCCGTCGCCCTTCTTGTTGTCGTCGCGGGTCGTGTAGCGGAGGAGGTACTCGCCCTCGCTGGTCAGTAGACTTTCGCACTCGGCTCGCGGCATGATCCCGTGGAAATAGTTCATCGACCGGGCCAGCATCTCGCGCATTTTCTGGAAGTGAGTTTTTAGTTTATAAGCATAGCAAAATATTTGCCTTGTTTTGCCGAGAAAAAAAGATATTATTTGCGTCGTAAAACTAAGGAAAAATAATGCTTATTGAGGAGGAAAAATCTAAATCCCTGTCCTACTTTGTACATCTCGCGCTCAAAGTTGCTGTCCGGATCCTTGACGCCGCTCGCCTTGCTCCTTGGCTCCTTCTTACGGTCGTTGGAACTGATTTTCTAAAAGCGGATTAAACCTGGATTCCCAAAGGAAAATACCCGAGCAGTTGGCAAGCTTCTGCCGGTCTTCTTGTCGGCGCTGCCCTTGCTGCGCATGGGCTGACTCGGCGGCACCGTATTCGCGTTGCTCATCGGGAAGGTTGTCGACTGCCGGCGTCGAAGCGGAACGGCGCGAGTGAGCTGTGATTGGTTTCTTTTTCAACTAGCAGAGGCATGCTAATTTAATTTTTTAAGGATTCAATTTTTAGATGTAAAGAGGAATCCAGTGATCACATCGGGGTGCTTGTGTATTAGCGGTGGGGGGGGGTAAATTTAATTTCACATTTTTCGCAAGTTTTGATGTTTTACTGATGTTTCTGTATTAGAAAAGTGTAATTGTAAATTCTTATCGGCTTTCCTTTCCTTCATTGTAGGCAAAAAATACTCTGTAACTCAACCGTCACATCCAACGCTAAACATTTTTATTCGAGCGAACCACAGCGAACAGAATCCCATCACATCCTAGAAGTAGGAAGATCACAACAGCGACGTTATCACAAAGACACGCAAAAAATCCATTTTGACACACAGAAACGGGGGGAAGAGCACAATTTTATTAACAAGACACAAAGTGGTTAGTGTGGGCGTACACGAAAATCATCGCTACACTGCCGCCAAAAAAAATCACAAAAAAGCCCTCAACAAAAGATATGGAATGCACACTGCTTGCCCAAAAATGCCGTCACAAACAAGCATCTGGGATTTTGATTATGTTTAGCGAGGCGAGTACCCTTTTGAAAATGGGGGATGCTTTTAAGGGGGGTATTGGGGGAGGACCGAGAATAAGTATTGTAGAGAGGCAACGGGGGCGAGTCTTCTACTTGTCATAACTGAAGGCGTGATACCAGTCACGTTTCGACTATTTTGGCTTTGTTGATGGATGCTGCGTGGAATCATCGGTTCTTGATGACGCGCCATTCAGTGCGAGGAATCTTCTGGATGTAGCGGATCTTGTTGAACAACAGCGCAGCCCTAGAAAGTTAAATTAAAGTAGGTAAAATTTTGTTTTTAATTATTCCCTAGCCACGTAGCAATATATTTCGCCATAAAATTTCTTTAAAAACGTAGAAAAGCGCCTTCAATTTCAAATTTTGATCAAAATTGATATTTTGGAGCATTTAAAAAGACAGTATAATAAAAAGTCTGAAAAGAAAGAAAAAAAGAAAGACTAGTAAAAACGTCAAGAAAGTTTTTCTTTCTTACATTACAAGATTTTCAAAATTGTATCGTAATTAAAAAGTTTGTATCCGCCAATGCGAAATATTATTACAACGAAATTTACCAAAGAACTCCGCAAATCGAGCAAATCGCCACTCCCAGGTAGTAACCGTCGATTTGCGTCTCACAAACGCCTCCATCCACAACGCACTGATCCGCCATTTCTTTTTTGTGACATTGATAGAGGAATCTAACAAAGTAGTAATGTTAAGTTTAAGTAATGAACAACCCACTTTTCAGTCCCAACTTGAACGCAATCCTTCCACGTCAGATGGTCGACGATCCAGAGAATCAGTGTTACCTGTAGAATTTAAATTAAACGATAGCTCCTATAAAATACCGGGTAATTTCCACCAAGGTTTCCGATCGTGTTCAACAGCGTCATGTACGTGCCACCGATTCGCGGGTCGGACACCTGCGCGTTGAAGGCCATCATCGACACAAACATCGAATATGTCGCAAACTAAATGGAGTGCGGTGAATTTAGTAGTTTAGAAAACCTGGTGGAAAATGTAGGCGATGATCCAGATCACGTAGACGCCAATTTGGAAAGTGCCATCGGCCAACTTGAAGGAGGGAGTCCACCAGATGAGGAGGGCATAGACACCACCGATGAACAATCTGAAAGGCTTATTTTTAAATTCGCGAAATTTCAGAATGCCGAAACTTTATTATATCGAAAATTTTGTTGTCAAAAAAAGATTGGTTCATAGTAAACCTCGAAACTGAATTTCGACATCCGAGTATCATCTTCCGAATGCATTGCGCGTCCCAAACACTACAAAACTTACCGGTAAGGGTAAGCCATCAAGAAGATGTTCAAAGGTCGCGGCCCAGTCGTCCATTTTCCGATGATCCAAGGGAGCACAATCTAAACTCCAATTTAGAGAAAAACACCTTAGATATACCTGAACTGGGGTCAGGAAAAGTCCGAACATGGCCAGCTTGTCTTTAGGAATGCCCATCTCGATCAGCTTCAGCCCTGTCATGCCGTCCGTCGCGGCAAATGCTATCTAAAAATCAATGTTATCAACGACTTTATCTTGATCGACCTTTCCAGTCAGCAGAATAATGAGCACGTAGACCATCGGGCGCAGACGCAGGATCCGGTAGAGCACTTTGTACGTGTCCGTGATGCCCATTTCAATTTCCTTGTCGTCGTCATCGGTGCTTCTAGACATTCACCGGTAATCCGTTGGGGACAGACAATTAAATGAAGGGTACCATAATACGTGTTTCATTGGTTTGAATATACCGGGGACGTGAATGAGAGTAATTTATTGGTACTTGTCGGTTAGCGGGGGTGGGGAGGTTTTGGCGGGGATCTTATTTTGGCATAGCCACACGTAGGTTCCGAAAAATAAAATAAACTTCATTTATGTGTTTTCTTCGCCCTTTTTAGGTTTATAACGTGCATAAAAAGCCCCCAAAACTTTGCGCGATTTCTTATTATTGCTCACGATTTTTTAGGAATAAAATACTACTAAAACATGTATCAATAAACCCTTAAACCCTAAAAATTTTGCAATGCATGTAAACAAGTACCGAGACTTGATTTAGACGAATTAATATATTATTTTGGCTGCATACTCTATTTCAGGATCTTATTCAAGTCAAACACCCCCTGCACAATTAAATAGCCCCTGAAGGGTCGTAACCCGTAATGAGATGGGTCGCTGTCCCCCTCACCCCATTGAAATGTAACATCGATAAAGCCCTGATTCGAGGCTAGCCCCCTCCCATCGCCTTGCGCCCACCCCTCCTAAATCATCCCGGGACCCTAGAGGCCGTGGAAAACAAATCACGTCAGGCAAGTTGCAAACCCGACCCCCCAAATCTGGCCCCCAGCCCCCCGATTTGATGGGGCCATTTCTCCGGCGAGTAAATGGGCAAAAAACGGCCGGGGAGCAGGACGAGACCAGGCAGCCATTATTTGCATGTGTCCAAACTTTTCGCGACTCACCCATCTGGTGCCTGGATCGAGTGGTCGATCTCGTGCTTGAAGATGAAGACGAGCGTTGTGGAGACGATGAAGATCACACCCCAGAAGAGGAGGAAACCTGAAAGCAAAAATGTATTGATAAAGTATTTTGGCGAAACTCCCGTCTGGGTTTTTTGGTACTGGACTGTTAGCGGGGACCTTATTTTATCTTATCGTCTTTTCGGGTCTTAATAATGAGCCACAAACGTTTTATGTAACATACTAAGCCATTTTTACGTCTAGAACGTCTAGAACGTCGATGTTTAAAATCGTCGTAAAAGTGATTGATTTTTACACAAAAATAAACAAAAATGGTCCCAAATTTCACTTTTAAAGAGGCTAAAATATTTTAGGCCTCTTAGGCACCAACCATTCCTTCAAAACTCAAAATTACCAAAAATCCAGTAAAACTACACCATCAAAGCGCAAAAAAAAATTACTACATATGTAGGTAAAGGTCACGTATAGATAGCAAACACTCCCCCGCTAACAGTCCAGTACCGTTTTTCTCTGCGCATTAAAGGTTTCTGGAGCTGAGAGGGGCGGGGCCCCTGGTGGATGCATTGGGCCCTCGAGGGCCTAGGGGCGCACCCTCTGCCTTCACAGCCTCCAGGCCATCGTCGCGCCCTAGTCTCCCCCAAATAGCCAGGATAATGTCCCCGATCTATCGGCTGCTGCCAACCATCGCAACAATTCTATTCCTCATCACAATTGCCAATTTCTTGGAGGCGCGCACCGTTCGTAAGTTGTTTCATGTAAAAAGAAGCCTATAAAAACCCTAAGTCTAAAGGAGTTCTAACCCCTCGCAGAACATCCCGGTTTAGACGACAACTGCAAATCGGATAAGCTGCGGGAGTTGGTGTTGGAGACGATTGGGATGTACCCCCACCAATACAGCTATCAAGCCAAGTATTTGATCGTTATTAGATTTAGTAGCGCTTTTTAGATACCTTAAACAACAGGCCGAGGAGCGCTTTGGGAATTGGTGGAGCGCAGTGATCGTTAGCGAACGAGGGGGATATGGGATGAGTGCTATCTATGATCAGCACCGCAACACTAGGTAGGTGAACTTCCGATTCTACGGAAAACCTAGAAAAATAAACCGTAATCTTGGAGCTAAAATTTCATTACGGCCTTGATTACGTCGCAAAATAGGTTCTATGCAAAGCCTAAAAACATTTCAGCTGCGAAATGATGCTATTTGACACCTACTACTGGATTGGGCGAACTTGCTGAGCTCCCCGGACTCGATCGCCCGCTGTCAACTCGGACCTTTTGCCTCCCAGCCCCGCGAAGTAACGCAAATAAATAGTTGGTTGACTCTGCTTGTCACATCAAATGAACTACCAGACTTCGCAGTTTTTTAGTACTTTTTGCTCCCCTCTGAAAAAAAAACGAATTTTGCGGCGCAACTTTATTTGATAATTAGTTTTTCACCTAATTCTCGGCCTATCGCTTCTGACAAATTTTCTCCGCAAATTTCGCGCCGAAAGTGATACAACCCCTTTTTGGCAACGCGGGTATCAAAAAGGAGAAAGTGTCACTCCACACTCCAGTCTAAAGAAGCCACATATGAGGGTGGGCGGGTAAAACCAAAATGGACGACGGCCCTGAAAAAGGGATGGGAATACCCAAGGGGCCCAACCGGATGGTAGACTTATGACGAATAGGCCCTCCCAAAAACAATTGAGTCCAATAAAAGGAGAGACGAAAGCGTGAATGCGTGGGTTGGACGGGGCGCCCAAAGGGGAAAGGGCTCGCCGCGGCGCGCATGGGAGCCGTCTATTCTTACCCTTGGCGAATAAATCTTTCACCGATGGCTGTCGGCGATGGGTAAGGGATATATTGACGTACCCGACAGATTGATGAACCCGTAGTCCTGTGGCGTATCGCGGAACATGTTGGCAAATTGCTTCGATTCTAACCCGAGGAACACGACGTTGCCTAAAAGGGTTGTAACCGGACAACGCCAATGGAAATACCGATGAAATAGCCGGCTGTTTGGCCGACAGCGTTGCAAGTCGAGGCGTAACCGACGTTTTTCCTGGAAAAAAAATTTGTATTATTGTGAAAAATGCTGTAAGCGCACCTGCTGAGCATCGTCAGGGCCCAACCATCGACAGCAATATCCTGGGTGGCGGCCAAGAAGTTCAGAGGCAAGAAGGTGAGCATTAGAAAGATGACCTTAGGCGGATTTTCTTCTAAAAAAAACGAAGAAGCTTTACGAGAAAAACGTCAGACTTACTATTTCCCATAATATCATCGACCATAAAAGACAGAACCAGCATAAAGATGCCGATCAGGTATTGGCAAGGGACCATCCAGGATTTTCTTCGGCCAACCTAAAAGTTACCATTACCGGATCTAACAATTTCAGGAAAACCAAAAACAAAAAGGGTATCTAAAACTCACCTTTCTCCAGAACACCGAATCGACGATCGGCGCCCATAACAACTTTAAGCTAAAACAAAGTAAACGTAAAAGCAAGTATAAGAATACCTGAACGGCCAGTAGGCAAACGAGAACAATGCTTGATCACTATATGTCACTTTCTTATCGGAAAGGATCAATGGTATCGAGGAGATGAGGCCAAGGGGAATTCCCTGAAAGAAATTACTGTCTAAAAATTAGTTCCACTTACCTGTAGTAGATACAGGAACAACAATAGTAGAATCGACGAGAAATCCCCTCGCAAAGATTCGCGTGTTCTCGTGAACCAGCCCTCATTCGAATCTTGATCCTAAACAACACATGTTGGAAATACCATTAACATCCAAGTTACACAAATTACAAATAAGGACACACGCGCACGACACGCTTCACATTCAACACGATTAATAGCATACCTTCAAAAGCGTGTCCTTATCGTCATAGCTTGAGCTAGAAAAAAGCATAGGGGGTCCAGAGCCTTGGTCCATCATCGGTTCGACGGCCATCAGATCCTCGGCGGTCGTCGGATCCCTCCGAGCCTTCCGGCTTCGATTGCGCACGCGTTCACTCATCGCTGAGATGAGGGGTTAATTGGCGGAAGCAAGTTAGGCAAGTGCAGAGTTATCATTAAAAGCAACCTACTCAGATAGTCTCCTACGTCTACACTAACTGAGCTCGGTTGTTCTAGGCGTTCGCGGCGCATGGGATCATCTCCTTGTTCTGCCCTAGAAAAAATTTATTGAAAATGGAATGTATATAAATTATGCACAAAATTAAAGCGAGACGAGAACTATCGGATAAATAACTATACAAATTCTACAGGCTCTATAAAATCAGTAAACAAAATCGGGATACACAATGTCAAAGAAGGTTTTTCTTCTTTCCGGAACGGATTCATCATCATCTTCATCAGCAGCCGGATGATCCTCTTTAAGTTCTCCGCGAAGCTGCATCCTCTCACGTTTTTTGTTGAGTATGCGTGCCAGCATCTTTGAGGAATCCTCTTCCTCGTTTTGCCGCCCGATATCCTCGGCAAGCTGCTCAAAGGGCGTGCGCCGTAGGTAGGTTAGAAGCTCCCGTGTTTGCTTGCGATCAATCTCCTTCTCCTGGGAAGGATCGAGAGGCTTTAGAGTCTCGATCAGGCTTCTCGTAGTGATCGGGAAGCCGACAAGCACTTGTAACTTTGGAGGAATCCTGGGTGCCGGGTGATTGCTAGAGGTGTTGTCCAAGGAAAAGACCGTATTGCGCCGACTTGGCTGAATCGATTCGGGCGGCGTGAGGTCGAATGAGGAACCCATCGACTGCGAATCGTGCTTCTCCACTCGTCGCCCATCATATTCGTCAGCATCCAATTCCTCCATTTTACCATCGCTGGCCGTCCTCTCAAGGAATGGGACGAAGAGCCGGGAAGTATCCTTTCCAGAGCCCTTCAAGCAGTCGCTAATCACGTCCCGATTGAAAAGACCTTTTTCATAGTCCTCCGAACGTCCATCTGGCGCTCTCACCGGGAAATTGCTGGCGCGCCGATGAGCCACGACTTCTTGAACATGCTGGCAGAGCGACTCGATCCCGAGTAACGAGGCGCACACGTAGAGATAAAGGGCAGCGATGTCGTGTACCGTCTTTTGCTTCAGGACTGTAAATTCCTGTTCGCGGGTCAGCACCATATCCTGGATCGCGAGACAGAGACGGAATAACTCGACCAGGCTTTCATCATAGCCAGTCTCAATGCAGAAGAGCAACATGGTGCTTGAGATTGCATTGGCGTGCTGTTCAAGCCCTTCATTCTCCGGCATCAATTCCACGGCGCGGTATAAGGTGAGCATAATGGAGTGAGCATGTTTCCGCATAAACATCTGATCAGGGCTTGAGCATTTCTCCACATTCAGCTGTAAATCCGAGATATCCGTCTCAAGTGTGATGTCCTTCAGGATTACGAGATTGTCGTGTCGATCGAGCAGCGTATGGAAGATCTTTTGCGTAATGAGCCGCACTTGAGGGTCCGGCACAAGCGCCAGCCGCTCTAACGTATCCAAGAACGAATCCGTGAAGATTGTAGCCAGATAGCTGGTCCGGAAGCGGGTGGCAACCTTCAGCAAGGTTTTGACGAGCACATGCTGCAAGAACACGTCGCCATGCCGATTATTTCGTTCATCGGCAAGAGAGGGGATGTTGCCAACCGTGAACATCATCATCTCCACCTTTTGGTAGTCCGGCAGCGCGTTCGCAAAGTCGCCCATCGCATTGATCAACGTTTCTTGATACGTCTTTTCATCCTCTGGCGATGGACAAGTGGGCAATTGTTGGAATTGGACCGAGGCTCGCAGATGTTTCAACAGCGAGTTGAAGATGGATAGAAGTAAAGGCCCAATGCTAGTCCCAGCTATTGACACAATCGAAGAGAGCACGGTCGCGATTCCAATCCGAACCGAGGCATGAGACGTGGCCATTGTATCCAGGTGGTCGATCAATTCTTGGATGACATAGTAGCTACTCTTCGACTGGATCGAGTAGAGAATCACGCGGAATACATGAATGGCAAATGTCGGCGGGGGGTGCCATTTCTCTTCGTCATCCAAGTAACGGAGAACCGGCTCGATCACTAGGCGAAGGCTTCCAAAGCTTGCTTTGCCCATCAATTCACGCAAACATGTTTCCGTCAGGATTTTTAGATTCTCCTCCTTCGTATTATCGCCATATGTCTCATCCATCAAGATATTGATCGGCATCGTATTTTGCTCGGCGGAATGCAGATTGAGTAGCAAGCTCGGGATGATCAGCCCCATGTGGTTTTTCTCCCAGATATTTGCCTTGTTCGAATGGAGATCGTCTGTCACCGACTTCCAGACGAGACCGCGGATCCCTTTTACGCCCGAAATACGACGTTTCTCCGCGCTGCTGCCGACAGCGTAGCACATCTGGGAGAAGCGCTGGATGAAGAAGTCGTACTGCCGGTGATAACTTGGCGCCGATTCCTCAATATTGGAGAATTTGACAAACGACATTGTCCCCAGCTCCTCCATATCAGGGATGCCGGTCTCCAAAAGCTGCTCAATCATCTTCAAATGCCGTTCCGTCAATTGGGGCAGGGACGGTGATGAGTGACAGCATTGAAGCAGCGAATCCATTGCCTCAGTTCCAACGCGTACCTGGTTGAAACGCAGACGCGCCAGATCACGGCAAAGACGAAGAAGGATGCAGTCGCCGATGCGGGCCAGCTTCTCCGGATGTGATGACGCATAGAACGTCAGCTTATTCAGGTTGGCCCCGTTTGGCCCATCGTTCGCGTTGTTTGGGTAGATGGAGTCAACTAGTCGCCGGTATCTTGGTTTGCAGGGCCCACAGCAATAAGCCCCATTCATACCTGGAAGTCAGTGGTTAGTACGAGGCTGCTTTTTTGAAAGTAGAGAACGTGAAAAGAGGGAAAACTGGGAAAATACGACCCCGTGCTACCTCTAGAGAGTACCAGAATAAAAGAGAATATGGTTTTTGCTCTCTGGTGGCTCTCTGAGTTTCGCACTACCTAGATGGCATTACGGGTTTGTACTTTCCAATTTGCCGAAGTCATAAAACTAAAGATATTTGGCAGTAATAATATGTTAATAGTACTAAAATGTGAATTTTGCATTATTTCGTCGATAAAGCGCATCGGAATTCAATAGCGTGTACGAACAGCGATTTTCGCGACGTGTGTGAACGCTGTCGCGGGGCGCCAGGGCCGAGATGTGCGGTGGAAAAGTCGGAAAGCGGACCCTGTCAAAAGCTTTTTGAACGCGTTCCACACCACGAAGACGGACATGAACAAACGGGACGACGACAAGGAATGGATAAAAAGTCAAATTAGTATTCAGGCAGTTTTTTTGAAATTTACAGGTTTTATTTCGTTATTTAGCCAAATATGGTAAAAAATGGAAAATCCTAAAGGTAAAACACTAAAGTTCTACTAGAATCCAGATTTCGAGCAGCTAGAAATCAAATTAATGATGTTATAGGATTAAAAGCGGCATTTTTGCGAGTCGTAAAAAAGATGAATAAATTCTAGGCCAGGGATTCAAAATCTAAAAAAATAGCTCAATTACTTAATTGAAAATAGGAAAATAGCCTGTTTTACATGTAATAAAAAGAAATTAACTAATTACTATTTTCGAGTTTCTTTTTCAAAGAATTTCCCCACCTTTTGGGATTCCATTTTGCTGTCCCAGTTGTATTTAGGCGCATCATCACGATGACCGGACATCGCGTGTCCTTCTGGCAACAAAATGCCGGGGGTTTTGGGCCTGCTTTACAATAGTTGTTTTGTAGAAGAAATGAATAAGTTAAAATTGAGTAAAATCAAATAATGGCGAAATCCTTATTAGGTAGGAATTCGATGAATTTGCGAGTCTTGAGAGAGCTGCGGGTCAGTCAGGTGGGTGGGTGGCGGTGCGCTGAAGGGTTCCTTGATCGTCGTGAACCGTGTGATAATTGATGGATTCCGCGCTGCCCCTATTGGGATGTTATGTCTAGGGGAGGGAGCGAGGTTTTTGCATGATCTCATCATGTTCGATGACAACCCTCGCGTTCATGATGGAATGTGCCGAATGGGGGAGCAGGGCGGCCGATCCGCTCTGCGCGTTATTATTTCCAAAAAATATGTATGGCTACAAAATTGGGATTTGCACTGTTGTTGGGGGACCTAACTTCGGCCTCGTGCCGTGTACAGTCAAGTACACACGATTTTCATAGATTCTACGCGGTATTTAATTGTAGACATTCATAAAATGTCGAAAAGTTTTGGTTTTGATAAAAATCGTTGGCCGATCGACCTGTAGGGCCCTAATCAAGAAATACACATAATTTGTATAGCTTTTGAGGCCGTTTTAAGTATTTTAAAGTGCATAAAAGTTAATAAACTGTTCGAAATGTCTTGAATTTGATAAAAAATGTGCTTACAAGCTTTCGTTTGCCGATCTATCGGGTCAAATACATTACATTTATACAGGTTTTGACCGTATAAAAAATTCATAAAAATGAACAATTTAGAACTTTCTGAATTTTCCTCTAAAATATATGAAAACGGCCAACAAAAATCCAATTTTTTAAAAATTCTCTGCTCTTATCCCTAATTTTCGAAAATGTAAAAAATGTTTACGAGTTTTTAGTTATCGAAAAGTACTAAAACACGATAAAACGCTGGAATTTTTGATTTGTTGGTAAAAAATCTATCAAATTATCAAAAATTCTTTCTTAATTCTTTAAAAAGGGTTTAATGGCCTATTTATTGTAAAAAACTACCAAAAGCTATAAAATAAACATAAATTAAAACTCGACAATCCTGTCAATCCCCCACGGCTAACAGCCCAGTTCCGCAATTTTTTACGGGGGTTATTGATCCAAAACAACTGATTGTGCAGCGACTGCCTGGTGGGCAGGAAATGATTTGAAAGAACGGAGGACACTTCAGAAACCCCTTAAGACCCGGCGGGAGAAATGGGAAGAGATGATGATGACAGGCCGAGGAAAATACCAGCCGGCCGGACGGACAGTGGAAGCGAGTAAAACGGACTGTACGCGCACGGGGCGTGGCGGACAACGATATCGGACACTTGGCATCGGGGTTATAGATTGTGTTCAATAACGGGACACCACGAAGACAACGACGTTAATAAACCAAAGAACTCACGGCGTCAATTTTTCGGCGCATCTCTGGGCAGTGCATTGATGAAATGGAGAGTCTTGGCGGTAACAACACTGTCTCCGGGTCCTTTTCGATATCCATCCCCGAAGAAATTTGGTCTAAGGTCTACGTTTATTTCGTCGATTTTTCATAACGCCGATTTTCATGTTTTCACGTGACCTATTTAATTTTTTAAAATTTATGGATTTCTGATTTTAATTGCTAATCATTCCTCGTATAATGGAAATGTGTAAGAATGTGTATCAATGTACGTTGTTACCGTGGCAGAATTTAGCGAGCGAATTAGCAGAATTATCGGGGGGATGCATTTTAATGAAGTTTAGTACCGCATTTTTCTAATAGTCTAAATAGAGAAAGCGTCTCTAAACTGCTTAATTATCGGTTTTGTCGTCCAAAAATAGCCAATTGTGACCAAAACTTCGACTTTTTCGAAGTTTTAAAAGGTAACTACTGATGTAATTTTTAGATACTTATGCGATTCTTCGGTTATAAAAGTGGACGTGCTTTCTTAGCGGGTTTTTTTATTATTGCTGGCCGCAAAAATTTAGAAATTTTGGCGAATATTGGGCTAAAATTGCTAATTTTTTCCTACGTTTTCAGATGGTTTTTCCTTTCGAATAAAGTGAAATTTCACCAAAAGGTTGCAAAAGGAATTCGGCTAGATAAAAAAATCGGCGAATGAAAAACGGTGAGATGAAAATCGGCGAAATAAACGTAAATCCATACCGAAAGCAATGAGGTCCAGGTCCAAGGGAACCAACTGCAATCCTGAGTTCCTCCTCACAATCCTCGAGTCTCAAAAAGGTCTCAATCCGGGGGGTGGTGGTGCTCCCTCGATATGGATCAGTCACCGTTGACTGCGTATCGCCCAGGTCCAGTGAATATTTTGGCGTAGTTTCTGTAGATAGCAATCTGCCGGGTCGAAAGAAGGAAGAAGAAAAGAAGAAGACGAAGAACTCTCGTGAAAGATTTGTCAAATGTCCGGCTGTCCAGTTGAACGACGACGATTTGGCGACAATTCGCCTCCTCCTCCTGCTCGTGCTCGTCTTGCTAAGTGAAGGCCAGTCAACCGCTACGGATCGGCGGTGAGCTTTGTGCGGCTCCAGTTTCTGCACAAAAGATCTAAACTAGAGATGTTGCAAATTTTTTGTGGGCTGACAAAATCACAGGAGTTTCGGAAAAGGTCATCGAAGAAAAAAAAATCGACAAACCGGCCGGATTTATAGTTTTATGGTTTTCGTCTAAAAAACCTCCAAAAAGTCACAGTATTTTACATTTTAAGATTTTTTGAAAATTATTTGCGGGTGCTTTCGCATTATCGGGGGGGCAACTTTTTTTGAGAATCAGTTTTGCTAATATAAATAATAGAAGTGTTTATAAGCTGTTTTTTACTATTGTAAGCGTAAAAATTGCATAAAGTTTTCAAAAAACACAAAAATTTCGATTTTTCGACCAAAATCGCCGATAATACCCCCCATATAATGCAACAGAACCAATAAATTGTAAACGATTTTTAAAGCAATTTAGACGAATTACAACAAGTTTCGAAAAGCTTCGATTTTTCAGCAAAGCCCATGTGTGAGAATCGTCAAAAAAGACCCCCCCGCTAATAGGCCAGTACCAAAATCACACGGATTACAAGAAAAGGGGAAAAGCGGATGCTGATTCCAAGAAAATGCAATAAATGGCGGATCGGATCGTTAATTGTCCCGGAAATGGACTGGATACGGGTCCGGCCCGGGCAACTTGGTATCCAGCCAGCAATGCTTATCAATACCAAGGTCACAACTCCCCAATCGACCACCAAAAATAAAAATGATAGCTGGCAGTTAATAAAGGTAATGTTTGGCGGCATGTACGGCCCAAAAAACGGGCATAGGGATTTATAAAAGGTAGAGAGAAAAAGGGCGGGGGTGGCTGTGGGGGGGGAGAGCCACCCTTGTGATAGGGGAGAATTGATTAATGGGTCTCCTGAGCACAGTTTGACCATACCGCCGAATCTCGCGCACACACACACACACACTGCAACAAAATCCCTCACTAAATTCGAGAGAAGAAGATAGCGCGAAATATCATATGGAAAAAGACCAAGCGTTAGTCACAGCAGTTTTTGGATCTTTTGCATTATCGGGGGGGCATTTTTCCTAAGGATTCAATATGTCAAATAGATAGCGTAACTGGTGCTACATTTTTAAAGATAAGCTGAACGGGAAAACGTTACACATTTGTCACAAAAATTTAGATTTTCCGTCCGAAAAAGGCGGACTTACGCGAAAATTCGAAATTTTAATTTTTTTGGGCTCTCTAAATAGTTTTTCTAGTTGAAATATTTTTAAATTTTACCAAAACATGGTTAAATTACTTTTTAGTACGTCATTACGCCTACAAACCCGATTTATTGCCCAAAATGGACCGATTTCTGCCAACCTTTCAAATTATCGATTGGTTTTGTAAGTGTTTTGGATAGGAAAAAATTTACCCCCCCGATAATGCCAAAGAAACGACAGCGCCGTACACTGCAAAGTTTTCCAAAAACGACCGACCTTCGTCGTTTTTTCGAGGGCCATCTCCACCTTCGAGGGGACGTCGATCTTCAAATTTCCCTCGACATCCAACTCGGAAAATGGGGGCTTGAAAATGATAATATTTTGATAGGGACTTTAGACGTACCGGCGGGCCCCGAACGTCTTGCTGATGACGTTCTTCCAGCTCGAATTGGGCAGGATCTCGATCCGAAGACGCATCGGCCACTCGGTCACCCATTGCAGCTAGAGCCAACGAGTTCAAGCCGTACAGTTAGGGCCTTCTGGACTGCTCGATGGTGATGGGCGGTTCGGGGTAATTGGCCAGCAACGAATGGAATGAATCAAGCTGGCCAGTGACGGCGTCGGTGGCTTCTCGACCGCGCGCGGCTGGAAAATCCTTTGCGCAAATGCGCCTTGGGGCGCGCGGAAGCGCCGTGAGGATGGCGCGGCCGCGTCCACGTAAATCAGCTTTACGTCGCCGATGATCTGCCCCGGCCGCCCGGTCTTTTGAGATTGTCTGTTTAGGAGCAGTCTGTGAAGAAGCGGAAGCTCGTTGGCCATATGATCAGCAAAAACTCTGTGGAATCTTTGATTGTTGGGTGCTGGAAAATTAGGTGCTTTGGTATGAGCGGGGGGGGGGGGCAAATTTTTCTTATACCGTAGAAGTGTATCTCAATTGTTTTTTGGCTGCTTCTAAACGTAAAAACGTTAGAAACTTCGATTAAATACAAAAATTATATGGATTTTCGAAAATCTTCGTAATTTTCGATTCTGGAAATGGCTAATAACATAGGAATAAATGTTTTAAACGTGTTTTTAGCAACATTTAAGGGTATTCCAGGTGGGAAAACTAGCTTAAAAGGTTTGGGAATTCTCAAAAATTTGCATATATGTATTTTTACGTGGAAATGTGTAATTTTATGCGTTTAGAAAGTGTAGAAACACTTCCTCTACTTGTATTCCCGTCCCCGATAATGCGAAACAACCTTTTTAGCTATCGAAAATTGCTAGAAACGCTATAAAAATCCTTAACAACTTGGATTTTTGGGAGGCAAGCTAACAAGGAGTGTCCTTTTGGTGTCATTGGCAAAACGATTCGAGACCTCGTTCATTCGATAGAAAATTGAATTCTGAACAAGACTGTGTTGTTCATTTTTGCGGAATGGTTGTCCCTGATTTTATAGAATTAAAAAACCAAGCGCGAAAGCTTAACAACTCGCTCCCCAAGCACCAATGTATGGGCGTCGCCGGCAGTTTTTTAATTTTATAAAATTAGGGACAGCCATTCCGCAAAAACGAACAACACAGTCTTGTTCAGAATTCAATTCTCTATCGAATGAGCTGGGTCTCGAATCGTTTTGCCGATGACACCAAAAGGACACTCCTTGTAAGTTCCCTCGTTTGAAAGCCCCCCCCCCCCAACCCCCGCAAACAGACCAGTTTCGACGAAGGCAAGTTAGTTGGCTTTTGCTAAAAGTCAGTAAGCTAAAAAATCTTCTCTTTCTAATCGCCTGTAAAATTCAGCAGTGTTTTATTCCATTCATGTACAACGTCGAGCTTCGCTTTTTCATGGCAGGCTGGCCATTTGGCCCCTCATTGTTCCAGGGCCCCCCAGCTTGCAATCATGGGTAATGGTGCGTACCACATGTCAACTCAGGTTATTTTGATACAATCGTCAGCCTTACATTGATTATAGGCCATCATCCACTTAATTTTTAGGTGTTTTTGATGGCACCGCGTCGATTGGAGAGGGCGAAGACGTTCGCGGAAAGCGGTTTGTGGTTTGTCTAACGTGATATTGGGCCAAAACAGGGCGTCCCGACTTGGCGACCGGCTTCTCCTTCTCCTGCACGTCGCTGGCAAACTGTCAGGAGGCGTCGCATGTAAGTTTTCGCAAACCAAAATTTTTTAAATCATTAAGAGGGCTAAATATTTTATTATCGCAAACTAGCCATTTTTCGTTCATTTTAATCAGCCGTAGGTTTAATCGGGTATGAGTCAGGCCAAAATACCGACATATACTTGACCCTAGTTTGAATGTCACTTCTTTTAAACAGCTATTTTTCGGGGGTGATTTTTTGACTGTCGGCATTTTGTTTAAGTAAACTTGCCTGTCGGGGGTCTTGGCTGTCGGCATTTTGGCTCTCCGGATTTTAGCTGTCGGGATTATGGCCTTTCGGGATTATGACCGTCGGGATTTTGTCATTTCGACTGTCCGGATTATGCTCGTCGGGATGGACTGTCGCATTTCAGCTGTCGGGATTTTAACTGTCGGCATTTTGCTGTCGGTGTCTTGGCTGTCAGGATTTTAGCCTTCTCCCCGAACCCAAACCCACCCTCAAAATGCCATGTCCCTTGAACCCGGAAGAAATCCACTTCCTGGAGATGTTACTTCTTTTGGCCAACACCAAGATGGGCTACCTTTTCGGGGCCCAATTGTCGAATCTGGGCCCATTAGAAGCCCATTTCAAGGCCCGCAGCTTGTCACCAGAAATTTGGACGGGCAGGGGGAAGAGCTGGGGGAAAGCAGGAAGCGTCTGGCATTCGCCGTTTCCGACAATTCCGGAATGCCGTTGATGATGAAGAAGACACGACGATCATCTTCTGTTGAACAGCCCCATCAAATTATTGGAGGCAGCAAAGCGACGCCACTACGGGCTGCTGAGTCTATGCGAGAATTAGTCAAGGTTTCTGTATCAAACCGCCGGTTCTTTGGTATTATCGGGGGGGGGGGGATTTTCCTATAATTCGAGAGCGCCTATCAATGCAATCGTAACTCCTTTAATCGTGTTGCAGTAAAACTTAACTATACTTAAACTAGAATAACCATCTAGAAACTACGACAATTTTGAAATTCTGGGCTATAATCGGCCATTTTTGTTCAAAAATTTTTTTGTGTTTTTAACAAAAATTTCTAACATTTTTACGCATAGGAATATTAAAAAAACAGCTTAGAAACACGTTCACAATTTTCAGCCGAAAAGTGAAGCCGCCCGGAAACGCGAGCAGTTCAAGTCCGGTCAGGTGCGTAGCGTCAGCGCCCCGCCAAGAAAACGCTGGTTCCGAAAAGGTATGGATTAAAAAAAAACTGTCATCTTTGTATATTAAGAATTAGTCTTTTTTGATATCATAGCAATTGTAAAAATTTATATTTTTTTAGAAACACCACTATCGGAGGTGGAAGCGCCCGTACCGGGCCTACTATGCGATGAGATCACGAAACGACTGATCGGGGCGATCGCTTGGTGGCACGATATTCACAGCAATCTGCTGCAGCTCAGTTTTGGTAATTGAATTGAATTGCAATTTATATGAAACGATGTTTTTTAGAAGAATCCGCAGAATCGCTATGCCCATCCTCTGCCTCGTCGGTGAGCTCGATCTCATTTGAGGATGTGGAAGATCGGGTCTTGAGTGATGAGGAAGAGCAAGAGGCTCATTATCACGGTAGCTTTTAACTTTATTCCTGTTTACTAATAGGATTTAGATACTTCTTTTTTACTTTTTTATATACGGTTGCCTGGTAAAAATAATAACGATCCCTTTTAGCTCTGGATGATGCTTCGGATTTGCGAAAAAGCGCACGTCAGAGCCTTTCGAGTCCTGACATCACGGCCACCCAACTCGATGACATGTTTCCCCAGCTGTCCGAGTATTGGAGGTTATTTTTAATGGGTTATTTCGCTCAATAGGGTTTTCAAATGGTATTATTTGCAACCGTGTCCCTTTAAAAATTTGCCAAAGCTAACCCTTTTGTTTACCTTGTAATTTCGATCGGTGATATAGCAGATTTTGTGCAGGATTTGTCGCTGATTCCGACACAGTTTGCAAAACTTGCGGAACTATCAGGGTTATAACGTTACAACCGTGTTTCGGACTCAAATATCCGAAAATTTCGGATTTAAAACCTCCTGAGGTGCTTTGAGGGGTAAAAAACCCATTTCCGTGTATAGAAAAACGTGCGCTTTCGAATGGGCAAGCTCGAAATTCGTAACTTTCAAAAATTGGCGATCAGGACCGAAATTTCGCAAATTCGAAAAAAAACTGTTATAACTTTTTGATCCTGGTCGTTTCTCAATTTTTGAAACCGGATTCGGTAGCAGCGAAAAATTCTGCACAAGTTGGGCCTTAACACGCTTCGAAGTTACAAAGTGAACAGAAAAAGGTGACAGTTAGGTGGTAATTACACACTTTTTCAGCGGGCAATACACGTAGACCGATGATTTCAGATGCTTCGAACAAAAAACAGCACCTAGCACGCGTTGACAAAGGGTCTGAAAAGACCAGAGGGAAGTGTTTAATCGAATGGTTATTCACCTCATTACCGGAAGCCCGGCTTAGCCGACGGCCGCTTCGAAAGACAAATTTATTCCTTCGGAAGGAGACGAGGGACGGGGAGGCCTTTCGAGGTGCGCCTCTTCCGATAGGCTTATGCATGTATTTCCCTCGACAAGGACTACTCTTGCTATTAGGAAGCCCACGAATGACGTCCCAATTCAATCCCGCGTTTTTAGGTTTGAAACGCCTCTGATTGATGGTTTTTAGTTTTCTTAAGCTATTTAGGTTCCGCAACTTATGCTAAATTCAGCGTTTCTCGATACATTAAACTTTTTTTTTGCTATTTAAAAGGCCGTCCGCCGGTCAGTCGAACAGCCCACATGATGCCTTGGCACAGTTTTTTCGATCCCGTTTTTTTGATGCCATGTGAAAGAGCATAGTCGAATTAGTAGGGTGGCGCTATTTTGAGATTTTTAAAAGTTCATTTTCTAGGTTTAAATGGGTGTTAAAGTTGAAAACCTTCAAAAATTATTTCGCGATCTACTGAACCAAATTGCTCGAAAATTTCAGACAATACCTAATTTGGGGCGCTGATCATTTTTGTAATACATTGTAAAGCACGAAATAAGCCGGAACATAGGAATACCGCGTACACAGAAAGGTTTTGCGCAATTTTCTATTTAATGGGTGTGCGTCGCCACTCTAGAAATACCCTTAAAAGATGCGCAATTAAATTCTACGTCGAACCATGTATTTTCCAGCGTGGCGACAGATACCCATTAAATCGAAAAAATAACATTTCTAAAAACAACTAAAATGACTCCACAAACATAAAAATACTGTAATTTGGCAATCGGCGGATTTCATTCGACTCTAAAGGAGAAGGCAAGTACATTGCAAAAAAGAGCAAAAAGAAATATCTTTTCTACGCAAAATTGGGCTCGGTGGGGAATCGAACCCGGGATGCTCCGCCTGGGGGGCACTGGGGACAGCCACTAGTGGGCGCCGCCAAGGTCCCAGGCGAACGACCCGAGTTCAATCCCAGCCCCCTTTTAGAAATCGAATTTCTTTTTGCTCTTTTTTGCAAACGTTCTGTCTTGGTTTCTATATACGTAAAACTGTCTTTCTTTTCCAGAATACGCAATTTTTTCTCCTCGGCTTCTTTGAAAGCGATTTTTCGATTTAATGGGTATCTGTCGCCACGCTGGAAAATACATGGTTCGACGTAGAATTTAATTGCGCATCTTTTAAGGGTATTTCTAGAGTGGCGACGCATACCCATTAAATAGAAAATTGCGAAAAACCTTTCTGTGTACGCGGTATTCCTATGTTCCGGCTTATTTCGTGCTTTACAATGTATTACAAAAATGATCAGCGCCCCAAATTAGGTATTGTCTGAAATTTTCGAGCAATTTGGTTCAGTAGATCGCGAAATAATTTTTGAAGCTTTTCAACTTTAACACCCATTTAAACCTAGAAAACGAACTTTTAAAAATCTCAAAATAGCGCCACCCTACTAATTCGACTATGTTCTTTCACATGGCATCAAAAAAACGGGGTCGAAAAAAACTGTGACAAGGCTTGTTCGCGTCTCTGGCAAACGGCCTTTTAAATGGCAGTTATAGCTTTGAAAACGCGCTTTTTGCTAAGCTAATCCTTTGCTTTTGCATTATCGGGAGTCGGGCTATTTTTTAGAGCTCAGAAATGCCTAATAACGTAATATTAAATCTTTTAACCAATCTGAAATAATTTTTAGTAAAATTTAGGCTGAAAACTGTCTAGCCATTAAAAAATATGAAGATTTGCTAAAAAATCGGCCTTTTGGATCTATAAATCTTTATTTTTTTTTGTATTTTTTTTGATAAAACTGAGTTTGATTTTAGTAAAATTTAACTATACCTTAAATGAGAATTTTTCTAGAATACTGAAAAATTTGAAGAAATTGAAGTTTGATCGAAAAATCTATATTTTTGTAAAAACAGTAAAAGCGTTGAAAAGCGCGGCTGCTTTTATTTTAGAAAAATCGAAGTCTAAGGAAAAAGCTGCCCCCCCCCCTGTTAATGCCTGAGTACTCTTTTCGCTATTTTAAAGGGCCCTGACATTTCAAAGAAAGCTAAATTTTGCAAAAAGTCAATAAATGCCGTATCAGGGCACGCATACGCCGGACCGGAAATTCGACTAACCGTTCATAATACCCAGGGGTCTGCTGGAGGGAAATGATCTTCCGGTAAACGAAAAGCGGGGGATAGGAGTGGGGGGAAGAACGCCGGAAAAATTCATCAGCCCCAGGGCTCTTCATCGCCTGTTTTCTCCTCCTAAAAGGTTTGTCGATGCTCGCGACAATTATTAAACGCGTTTTTTCTGGTTCTCAAGCGCTTCTTCACCAAATCTAAAATATCGGTCGAAATTCGGCCATCCTTTTGGTCGAAAAATCGATATTTTCGTCGATATTACTTCAAATTTGTGAAGCAAGACGTCTAAAATGGTAAAAATAGTGCAGAAACACAAGTTCTTTCCTCTTTCCGGGGGGGGGGGGTCTTTTTCTGTTCCATTATACGCAGAGCAAACGTTTCTACACGTTCTTAACCTAAAACCTGTACAAAAACTCTTTAAAAATAGAAAAATATCGATTTTTTTTAACGCTTTTTTGATACTTTTTCACTAACTTGAAATCAGATAAATTTTACGACAAACACGATTGAAACGTCTATTTTTTTACTGAAATTTGGATCCTAAAGAACCGAAACTCTGGTGCTTTTGCATTATAGGGGGGAGCTGATTTTCCCAGTCTATAAATCCCTATAGATATATGTATTTCATCCGGACTTGGAGAAAAAAATTACGTAGGCGCTAAATTCTGCTCCTAAAGAAAAAGTTGCTCCCCCCGATAATGCAAAAGCACCGGGCTCTCAGCGCCTGTCTTCCCTCCCCCGACCTAAAAGGTTTGTCGATGCAATCGCGCCAATTATTAAGGGGGTCTTTTCCACTTCTCTATTTTTTTTGCTGGTGTGTGGGTAGTCCCATCCATCCGTTCGTTCTCTCTCTCTCTCTCACTCTCTCGCTCTCTCTATCTTTTTCGTCGGGTCCAATGAGACGCGTGAATGGATTTGTGCCCGCAGACTAATCCCATTCAATTTGCGCGACCAATCGGAAATATCGCGGGTCCATGGAAAGAAGAAAGTCCGCCCCGAGCATCAGGGCCAACAATGCGGCCTGAAGAAGCAACTCCCGTTGTTGCGCTTGTGTTCTGTGTTTTTGCGCCCCCACATCATTCATTCTTAAGGGTTCTTAAGGTTCCCGGGCTTTTTTTTTTAACGTTTCAGCTATAAGTGTACTCTGCACACTTTATTCCTAATTTTTTAATCCCTTATCCATTTTTCGACTTTGGAGAAATCTAATTAAATATCCGGTTCTTTTCCGTTACCGGGGGGCGGGGTGTTCAGCCATAAATCGATATATGCCTAGTAGTGTAAACTCTTTCATCCTTGCCTTTACCATTTTGCTATTTTTTTTGCTCCTGCGAAAGCTAATTCACATCCGGTTCTTTGGCATTATCGGGGGGGGGGGGGGGGGCGATCCTTCCGAGAGGTCCAGATTCGCATAGAATTGTGATAACGAGTTTCATCCAGTGTTTTCGAAAAAAATGTAGTGATATTTCCCGTGAAAAACCATTTATAAACCTTAGAAAAATGTTTAAAATTTCGAAATTTGGTCGTAAACGATATTTTTTAATAACAATTTTTAACGTTTTTACGTCTATATCTAGTGTAAGATAATGTCGAGGATTTCGTCTAATTATGTTAGAAAAACTGGAGGCTAAGGAAAAATACCCCTCCCCCCGATATTGCACAAGTTCTCCTTGGTCTCAAAGTGAGGCTCACAACGAGCCAAAAACGACGCATTTTCCAGATTTTGTTTCGGATTTGATACCTTAGCTCAGGGTAATGCAAACAGTTTGCCTCCCCCCGGTAATCCACAAGTACCATGCATCGTTTTGCGCAAAGTGAGGTTTACCACCTTTCCCGAGCTGGACCCCGGCCAAAAATGACGTCTTTCAGGCGCTTTAGTCCCATTTCCCCCCAATAATGTAATCCCTCTGGTATCGCCGGGACTTTTAAGCCCGGGGCGCGGTTTCCGGTCAGACCGGTTGCTGTTTCTCCGGATTTATTGGTGAGGAGGCCCAAGAAAACAGAATCAGAGAGAGGTCCCCCCCCCATCCAATGGAAGGGGGCCCATCGGAGGGAAACTCGCTAATCCGCCGTGCCGTGTCGCGCGGGTTGAGGGGGCTTCGGAATATCCGCCCGGTGGCGAGGGTACACGTGCCACATTGATCCAATATCCAGATTGCCCTTTTCACCTATAAAAAATGTCACCTAAATTTCATAGAATTTTTCTATTCCATTCTGAATGATTCAAAAAAAACCCAATTGATCTCTCAAAAAGTGCCGAACGAATTTGACAAATGCTGGACGTGGGAATCAGAATTTTTTTGTATTAGTGCAGTAATGAGTAAGAGGATAATGAGTATTTTAATAGTGTTTTTCGTAAAATGAAACTGGATTTACATTAGAAAAATCAGCTAGAAACCTAAAAAACTGAATTAAAAATTCTAGACTTTGGCCGAAAATCGTCCACTTTTTCTTCAACAATCTATATTTTCTGTATTTCTCTGAGTAGGAAAAAGCAATTTAGAAACATTTGCTCAATTGATATTAGGCAATTGAATCCTAAGAAAAAGTTGTGCCCCCCGATAATGCGAAAGCTTCTAATTTCCGAAATAGGTTCCGCTATAGCAAAAAGGACTGTTAACCATCTTTTCTGGGTAAACCAGCCGTTTCCGGCCCGCTCCTCCTTCCATTGAGCAAGCGAACAGCTCATTGTAAGAATTTTTGGTAAGAGTTTACTTTACCCCCCCACAGCCAAAGGGTCTCAAAGTTTTCGGTATTTTCGCTTATTTTGTCGGGATTTTCGCAACGCCATTCGATAGAGCGTCGAAAAATATACTCAGAGTTTTAATTTGAGCCTACAATAATGTAAAATAAAAAAGTTATAGCCAAAAACCCCCGGCTGGGGGGGGGGGGAAAGTAAACCGTAGCCGAATTTTTGCCCACCTGACACCATGCGCGTCAACCTGCTCGCTAATTCCGGATGCTGCTCTCGTTCCCGTTAGCGCGACTTCAAAATAAGCCCATTCTTTTCCGTTTGGTCTTTAATGCCTCCGTGACGGTGCCTGGCTACCGCCCTTCTCTCTTCCACCATGATTTTGCTGCGGCGGAAAAGCCGCGACGAGGAACTGTTTGCAGCCAACGAGGCCGCCGAAAAGGTTTGCGCTTCAATAAGTTGGGCCCAACTCGGCAATTCGCCATTCTCTAGAAACGCGCCAAAGAGGAAAAGAACAAGAAAAAGAATGCGAAGAAGATGGCGTCGATGCCGTTGCGCAAAAAGAGCCAGGAGCACAACAACAATGTCAAGGTTTGTTTCTGCGGTTTCTGTGTTATTGTGCTCATCTACGATTTCAGGTGCGAAAGAACTCAGCCGTCGCCACTGCCAACGAGAGGAAAGAGTCGAAACGTACACCGACTGAAGGATCTCCAAAGAGCCCTTCCAACCAGCAACGCTTTCTACCGGCTGCGCTTCGATCGCCCACGTCTATTTTAAGGTTGATCTTTTTTGGGTAAAGGTTTCTTAGCGGGGGGGGGGGTAGGTTGGGCGAGGAAGTAAAATAAAGAAGAAGTAAAATGCTTTGAAAATCTTTATGTAATATTTCGTTATAGGACCGTGCTGGATTATTGTGGAAAAATTTTGCCCCTCCCCCGCTAAGAAGCCAGTACCAATTTTCCCCTTTTTCAGACGAAAGAAGAAGCCTCTCGGCCCGAGCCTGAGCTGGGATCCCGAACGTTCTCGCGAGGGTCTCGACGCCGTTCCAGCCGCCGAAGAGCGGTAGGTGATCCCCCCCATTGTCGGCTACACCACTGGTGCAAAACTGCCCAGTCCAAAAAAGGCTTACGGGAGATGGGATTTGAGGGATTATCCCGGGTGGTAGGGGGAACCCCCTCAACCCCCAAAGGGAGGGTTCACAATTGATTAGAAAACCGAGAGTTATAAGGGGAACACTTGCAGGTCTCGAATTCATTCCGACGGCTCCGAGGCTGAGGCCGAGAATTCCGACGAGGGCGATCGTCGCAGTGAACTTGAGGTATTTTTGGCTTTAAAAATGTACAGCAATAAATATAGGTGTTCCGGTACTGGTTCATTAGTGGGGGGGGGGGGTTGACGTTTCTGTATGCCCCATATAATTCAAAGATAAGCGTTTTAATTGCATGTTACGCCCTTTTTCGATATGAAATTTATAGAAACCCTTAAATTTTCAAAAATTTTAGGTTTTAATGGGTTCTGGTTCATTAGCGGGGCTTCCAATTAGCTCCCCCCGCTAATGAACGAGTGCCTTAGAATGTTTAAAAGATATTTTATCACTTTTTGGGAATCAAAAATACTATAAAAACAGCATATTTTGATCACGATGGTGGTTTGAGCAAAAGATAGTTAGTCCCCCCCCCGCTAATGAACCAGCACCAAAAAGCTCATTTCTTTATAGCAAGTCTGCCCACATTGTGCTCTGCTGGCTGACTACAAGAAAAAGCTGCTGAAAGCGGAAATAGGTCAGTTTTTGACTTCACGGTTTGAAAAAAGGTTCTTTAGAAACGGCAGTGATGCGACTTGCCCGGCGACTTGCTCAAAATACGGGTCGAAGCTTTTCGCGGGGTGACCAGCAATCGGTTAAAAGGTCCGAAGGATTATTTAGTGAAAATAAGTTTACTTTATAGCCTAAAAATCGACGCTCCGGACATTGTTGTGTCTTCGATATCGTCGGACGAAGAGGACGCGACGAACGAGACGACGGGTAGCGAGGGGCAATTCAGCAGTCTGCAGACCAGTGAGGCCAGGTACGGTTTTTCCTTTCTCCGCTCAATTCTTATGAAAAGCGGTACTAGACTGTTAGCGGGGGTGGGGCTAAAGTTGGCCCATCGCCCTTATAGTTTTATTGAAATACACAGCATTTACGTTGTTTTTATGGATCTAAAGAGCATAAGGAGTTGTTACATTTTCGAAAGCTGATCTTTACCTAAACGTTCCTCAGAAGCTTCAAAAATTGAAAATTTCTAAAGTCCCTAAAAGGCTTTTCTTGGCTTTTTTCATCGTTCGGTTTAAGCCTGGAAAAATTATAAATCGCTACCCAAATTATCGAAATTTTTGTATTTTACTTTTTGTATCAAACGGTCAAGAACTTAAAATTTTGGCCTTTTTTAGTACATTTTTATGACTTTTTTATCTTTATTTATTTTTTTTATCTTTATTTTTAAGTAGTAATCAAAGCTACTTAAAACACTAGAAAAATACAATATAAATGTTAAAAAATTCCTAGATTGGTAAAAGCTAAACAACTCCCCCCGCTAAAAACCCAGTAACAAAAACCCAGCTCCTCGGGCTATAAAGTGTAGTACGGGGCTCTGATCTAATTCCAGCTCCAGCTCGCCCTGCTCATCCCAATCCCCATCGCCCCGAATCAGCCGCAACGAAAATGATGTGGTTTTCGAGACATCCGTTGGCACCGAGGATTCTGAAGACAGTCTGCTACTTTTACGGTATGCTTAGAAAATATTTCCTATCCTACTATATATAAAAAAATAGTGTCTGTGTGTGTGTGTGTGTATGTGTGTGCATTTGCATGCAACTTCCGTCAGCGTGTTCCAGTAGTATCTCAAGAAGGCGGGTAGTTAGGGGTATGTTTTATACCTCATTAGGTGCGTAATGGCCGTGGTATGTCTGCACACTCATAAAATGTTCAAAAATTCGGTGTTTTCGATCTTAAAATTAAGTTTTTTGTCGAAAAATCGAGCGCTCTCTTTGTTAGGAAACAATTAGCATATTCCGGAAGTTACGGTAGCCTATATAAGAGAAGAGAGGTCGCGTTTCTCATTTTTTGTCATCGAAAATCGCGTGAATTATGCAAAGGGAAGAATATCATGGGATCAGACGGGGCCAGGGTTGAAAAGTCGCGAAGCGGCTTTTCAACCCTGGTCTTTATTTAATTTTTAGGCAGCATGGGTTGCAGTTGAGACCCCCTAAATTTCTCTCACCATTTCCCGACTCGAACTCCCCGCCGAGGAGCAACAGCGTCGATTTGTCAACGTTGCGGTAGGGCCAATAAGCAAAATAACGAAAATGTCATTGCTTTTTAGGCGCGATATCGAGTTGTTATCGATATCATCGGGCGATTCGGAGGCAGAATCCTCATCAGGTATCGGCTATGGTGCTCGTCTATTAGCGGGGGGGGGACTAGGTTTTATTTTCCGCTTCTATCTTCATGTTAATAATATGTAGTGTATTTTTATAGACCTTTGCGAATTTTTCGTTGTTAGGAAGCTATTAAAATATTGGAAAAATTGAAAAATTCAAAATTTTTACGTTTTGATAGATTTTTTTGGTGTTTTTTTATCGATTTCGATATCGGAAAACGATGCAAAAGGCGGATAAAAATGGCTGAAATGTTTTATAGGTGTAATGTAGCGGTGCTCCCCCCCCCCCCGCTAACGAACCAGAACCTAGGCTATTTTCTTGATGTGTTTTTTTAGAATTCGACGCACCAACCCCTGCGGATTCTGTGCGCACCTTTCGAAGTAAATCCCACGATCCGGCGCCTTCACCTGAAAATCTGCTGCGGAGACCCTCGCGAATTGAGCACCTCAGCGAATTATTCAGGTTTGGTTGGGCGTAAAGGGCCCGACAGGTAGGCCACAGGGACACGGTTGCAAATCTGAAAAACAAAACAAAAATAAAGATAAAAATCGATATTATGAACAGGCAACTAATTATCGTGTGGTGGATTGTAAATTCATTAATATTTTAGGAAAGCGCTCGCAAAATCGCCGGTAGTCCGCAGGACGGCCGAGCATGAGCATCGAACAGTCAACAAACATCGGACAAGTCGCTATTGGGTCGATGAACAGGTTTGTATTAACGGGAGCTTTTTCATTATCGGGGGTGCAAAACTTTTTTTAGTACAATAAAACGATGAATTTATATTAAAATAAAACAAAAATATCGATTTTTCTATATAATAGATGAGTGATACCATACTTTTTATTATTCCTAAGCTTACAAATTTTCCAGTTATTTATTAAAGAATACAAAAATTAGGATTTGTCGATCAAATGGGCCGATTTTCGACGATAGTTTGGAATTTTTCCGCGTTTTTAGCTAGTTTTTGACTTCAGTTTTAGTGAAACTTTACTAAAAACGCTATTAAAATACTTGCAATAAAAATTCGCCATGCCGCCCCCCGATAATGCCAAAGCACCGTGGCCTTTTTTAGATACTCGCCGCAGAACATATTTGGCTTCCATCGTCCGGGCCAGGGAGCAGTTCAAGTGCCGATAATGACTGTTATTTGGGAGATAAAGGTATGCAATAATCAGTATTATATAGCAAATATTCTACTAATTATACAATACATAATAGCATGGCAAAAGTAGGGTTTTACGGGGATTATACAAAATAACTTTAGGCGGTTGCGAGCGTACGGGTGAAAAGCGACGTTGCGCAGCGTGTCACATTGTCGCCCACACGGCCTGCTTTTCCATTCTGGCAAAGGTATTTTGTAATATCGCCCGGAAATTTATCATTTAGCTAAATCTAAACTGCAAGCTGACGTTTCGAGACCACGGCCGGAAGCCCCACAGCACAAAGGATTTATTGGATGGGCTGGTGATGCATCATTGGGTGCACAAGTGGCGCCACGAAGGAAGGTAAATTTTTTTATTGATTTCTTGTACGGTTCTTTGGCATTATCGGGGGGAGCAGACATTTATCTATAGGCCTATAAATGCCTAAGAACGAAATAGTAAGTATTTTGATCGTGTTTTTATTCATTTTTCATCGAAAAATCGAATTCTTGCGTTTTTTTACGTTTAGAAATAGTAAAATAAGTTTCTAAATGCTTCCTCTTTTTCTGTTTGAGAATGCAAGTTCAAGCCCCCCCCCCCCCCCCCCCGATAATGCGAAAGTACCTATTTCATGTGTATTTATCACTATTATCGATATGATTCTCAATTTCACTTATATAGATGCAATCGATGCGGGAAAAGCTTCCAGCAAAAAATTTTTTTCCACCAGAAAGAGAAGGTAAACTTTTTAGAAATTCGCAGTTTACTATCAATTTTTAGGAGCCGGTGGCGGTATCGTGTTCGTGGTGTAAGGAGTCGTATCACATCAAGAACTGCTTCGACACGGAGAAGCTCGCCGAAAAGTGCAACCGAGGTTGGAGCCGGTTTTTTTTTTAGAAAATGTTGTAATTCAGGATCGTTACGAGACGTTGTTATCCCACCCGGCTGGCTTCTGAGGTTGCCGACAAGAAAGAGAAATAAACATCGACATAGGGCAAACGGAAAAAGAGTAAGGTTTCTTAAAAAAGTATTAAAAAAGTTACCCTTTTGCTGAGAAATGTAAATTAACTCTATTCCCCCCCCCCCGTTAATGAACCAGCACCCGAATATCAATACAATTTAGCCGATCCGTGCATTCATCGCCAAACCCATCGACACGCACAATGGCTCGGGCCCGTCACAACCCCTCGTCGTGTTCGTCAACCCAAAATCCGGCGGAAACAAGGGTTCAAAAGCGCTCCACACCCTTTGCTGGCTCCTCAACCCGCGCCAAGTCTTTGATATCACCAGCTTGAAGGGGCCCAAATTTGGGTGGGTTCAGTTTTGAAATTAATGTAATAATTAAACCTTATAGGCTTGAGGTATACCGGAAAATGGCGACGCAATTGCGGCTGCTGGTTTGCGGTGGTGACGGGACGGTGGGATGGGTGTTGCAGACGTTGGATCAGGTCAGTATTGCTAACTGTGGCGCTTTTGCATTATGGGGGGGGGGGGGAGCTTTCAGGGGGGAAGAAGACTTTTTCGTTTTCGTGTTAGAAAACAAAAATATCGACTCTCGACCAAAATTTTCCAAGTTGTTTAGGTAGTTGTTACGGACGAAAAGACTTAAATTTCGATAAAAACACTATTAAAATAGTTCTGGAATAATGGGAACCCTCCCCTCCCCCGATAATGCCAAAGCTCGCGAAATTGATAATGTCCTAATTTTATACTGTCGAAATGTTTAGCATTGCGCTTCGCACTTTTCCTATCGATTTTTTAGCGAAATGTTGAAGTATATAAAATAACAAAAATAAACGCAAAAATAATGAAATTATTTTTTCAGTTAAACTGGGCAACCTACCCACCGATGGCCCTACTACCGCTCGGTACCGGAAACGATTTGTCGAGGTGTGAAACCACAACAAAAAATATAGTAGTTTTAACACTAGCAAAATACTTTTGAAAGCAATATGCGTATTCAGGTGTATGGGTTGGGGTGGTTCGTACACGGATGAGCCACTATCACAGCTCCTGCAAGCCATTGTCCACGAGAGTTCCGTCACTCATCTCGATAGGTATCGCATTTCTGCATGCTAAATCGTGGTTTTCAGATGGCGCATCGACGTCGAGCCAAACCTTTCCATCCCACCTGATGCCCCGGAAGATATGGGTAGGTTTCTCATTTCTTCCAGAGTTTTATTGAAAATTAAAAAGTATTGTTACGCTTTTTTTCGCCCTTTAATTCGTTTTTCTACGTAAATTCTCGCTTTTCAAATTACCGTGAAGCCAAATTTTTCCCTGAGAATCCAGTTTTTGTAATTATGCTAAAGGAATCCAGTTAAAGTTTAAAGTAAAAGCTAAAGTACAGTTAAAGTTTGCTAAAACACTTTTGAAGCCTTGGCTAACATGTAGGTACTTTAGGAGTAGCCGTACAATCATCACTACCCCTTACCGTCATGAACAACTACTTCAGCATTGGCGCCGATGCCCACGTTGCCCTCCAATTTCACCATTCGCGCAGTACGTCAATTTTAGCTAGACCGCTATGCTTCCCAGGTGCAAACCCGCAAATGCTAAACTCACGGCTCAAAAATCGGATTGCCTACGGTGGGCTGGGGACGATCGATTTGTTCAAACGAAGCTGGAAGGATCTGTCGGAGTATATCAAACTCGAGGTACAATATTTCGGCGCAACGACGAGTGTCACCCATTTTTTCAGTGTGATGGCGTCGATCTGACCCCCAAGCTGAAGGAGCTAAAGTTGCACTGCGTTCTCTTCCACAACATTTCGTATTATGCGGGCGGTAAGGAAATGAATTTTTGTGTAAAAATGGATTTGTTAGGCACCGTGCCTTGGCCGGCCGATGACGATTCCCCTCGGCCCTCGAGTTGTGACGGGAAAATCGAGGTCCTCGGGTTTACCACGGCGACTTTGGTAGGCCAACGGTTTCTGTATATTCCAATCTTAAATTTAGGCCGCGCTGCAAATGGGTGGTAAGGGCGAACGCCTTGCACAATGTTCCTCGGTGCGCGTGATCACGACTAAAGCCATTCCTATGCAGGTGAGGATTTATGCCAAAGGGGTGTAGAGTTTACGAAAATATTCGCCAGATGAAGACGAGCATTTTGGTATACTTAAAAGGCCATCCCCGAGTCGCCCGAACAGTCCCCAGTATCGCTTGTCACAGTTTTTTTCTACCCGATTTTTTTGATGCCATGTGAAAGAGCATGGTCGAATTAGTAGGGCTGCATAGTTTTGAATGTTTAAAAAGTTCATTTTTGGGGTTTAAATGGCCGTTAAAGTTGGCTACCTCGAAAAACTATCTCGACACTACCTTACCAAATTTTCTGAAAATTTGTGACAATACCTATTTTAGGGCGGGGATCATTTTTCTAATACATTTTAAAACACGAAAGTGGCCGGAACATCGGAATATCGCGTACTCAAATGAGTTTTTCAAGAATTACTATTGAATAGGAAGTCGTCGCCACTCTAGAAATACACTTAAAAGATGCGCAATCAAATTCTACATCGAATGATGTATTTTTCAACTTGGCGACAGATTCCTATTAAATCGAAAAAATGGCATTTCTATAATTCGCAGAAACAGCTCAAAAACATAGATAGCTTTGTTTTTTCGCAACCGGAGGCATGCAATCGGATATTGATGCGAAGTCGAGCCTGATACAAAACAGAGCAAAACGAAAGATTATTTCTACGCGAAATTGGGCTCGGCGGGGAATCGAACCCGGGATGCTCCGCCTGGGGGGCATTGGGACAGCCACTAGTGGGCGCCGCCACCTCCCCAGGCGAACGACCCGAGTTCAATCCCAGCCCCCCCTTTAGAAATCGAATTTCTTTTTGCTCTTTTTTGCAATAGCTTTGTTTTGTTTTCTAGATACGAAACACCGTCTTTCTATTCAAAAATACGAAAACTTTTCCTTTTCGGTGCCTTTGAAAGTCGTTTTTCGATTTAATAGGAATCTGTCGCCAAGTTGAAAAATACATCATTCGATGTAGAATTTGATTGCGCATCTTTTAAGTGTATTTCTAGAGTGGCGACGACTTCCTATTAAATAGTAATTCTTGAAAAACTCATTTGAGTACGCGATATTCCGATGTTCCGGCCACTTTCGTGTTTTAAAATGTATTAGAAAAATGATCCCCGCCCTAAATTATGTATTGTCACAAATTTTCAGAAAATTTGGTAAAGTAGTTTTCGAGATAGTTTTTCGAGGTAGCCAACTTTAACGGCCATTTAAACCCCAAAAATGAACTTTTTAAACATTCAAAACTATGCAGCCCTACTAATTCGACCATGCTCTTTCACATGGCATCGAAAAAACGGAGTCGAAAAAAAACTGTGACAAGCCTAGTTCGGCTCTCTGGCAAACGGCCTTTTAACACCCCTGTAGCATAACAGGGAGCTGAGATACAACTGGCCAGGGTCGGCAGGTTAAAAAATTTTAATATGTTGACATTTTGTCCCTTTTCAATTTTTGATTACAAATCCGATTTTTAACGTTATTTATGGCTTTTCTATACGTAAAAAGACCCCCACTAAGAGTCAAGAACCAATGACGCTTTTTAGGTGGACGGAGAGCCGTGTATGTTAGCGCCAAGCAGTATTCACCTACAGTTCCACAGCAAAGTACCAATGCTGAGGAGGGAGAAGAAGGTCGTATGCTCGCCATCGCTTAGGAAAGGTACGTTATATTCCGAATACAACTAAATGTGCATAGGAACGAAATGGAATCGTGCCGAGCCCAGCCATACATCCACCGCCCTCATCATGCAATTGCCGGTGATCGTCGTCGGACGCCATGATTACGATACCTATAAAGATGCAATTGAGCGGCTAAAAGATACAGGTAGGCTTGTTTTAACGTGAAATATACCGCTTAACCTTCCGCAGCATTCGAAATCGGGATGATATCTATTGAGGCGGAAATGGATCTGGTGCAAGCGAGGCAACAGGTGCACAAGCTGCTCCACGACCATCCGTGTTTGCCGTACGAGCATACGCAAGATTGGCGGTTTTTAGATTGTAAGTTAAAAACCTCAAAAATGTTAAAACAGCTGGGTTGTTGGTGGGGGGATATAGCAACGGCTAGCATACCTAGCAAATTTTGGCGTATTGTAGTGTGTCTTTTAGTGTTTTTGGTAAATTTTTGATACGAAAAAGTCATCAAACCATTTTTAGACAATTTTAAAAATTAAATTTTGGATTATTTTCGACATTTTTTTAACAAAAGTCAGGTTTCCTGAAAATTTAATAATTTTTTTATAAAATTCCTAGACTTAAAAAATCTACATAAATGGCGTGTTTCATTATTGGGACCCCACAGAACAAGAAGCCAAAATTAGCTCCCCCCGCTATCAGTGTAGAACCAAATAAACCTTGTAGATGTGACAAACGCGGAAGAGGGTACGTTCCGCGTCTCGCGACACGCCGAATACGCGCAGTCGGTGTCTGATATCTGCAATCCGGATGAGTGTCTCCTCATTTTGGACGACGCATTCCCGTCGATTACCAGCCGGGGCGCCGCCATCGCCACCGATCTCGTCTTCTCCCCCAAAATGCCCCCGCAACCAGCCATTTTTCAGATGCCAAAGTGAGTCAGAAAATGTGATCTAGAGAAAACTCGTGATTACACCTCCGGGTTACTGTAGAATTTCCTTTTTTCCTAAACCCGGTTTTGGTTATACAAAATTTCGAATTTTATGGAGTTTCTAAGTATTTTTTACACTTGGAATAGAGTTAAACTTTACTAAAAACGATATTAAAACATTTGCTAAAACGTTACTAGGCATTTCTGGAGTTATAGACAAATCGCATAGATTTCAGGAAAAAACCCGTAAAATTTCAGACAAACGCAACCACGACGAGCCAGCACGCGGCGTATCTCGGAGACGTTGCGTATCGTGCTGAGCAGTGATGCGAGGGAGACACACCTCTAGTCCATACACCCTCGGATCGTCTAGTGCCGATAGTTGTACACAGGAATCTTCACACGTCTTCACTCTCTTCACGCCATCCCCCGGTTCAAAGTGCTAATAATTATATACTTGTGTTAGTCGAGCAAATAAAGTTTTTTATCCTTGAAGAAGCTGTTATCCAAAACTGGGTACTGGACTGTTAACAGGGGGGGCTAGGTTTAGACTAACGCTTCGTAGGATGCAATACACACCATTTCGGTAACTTTTACACCATTTTTAAGTATCGTGAATTCCTAAAAAAATTAAAATTTCGAATGCAACGTCGCTTTTGTGGGGCTAAATAGATTCCCCCGCTAACAAGGAGACGTTTTTAGGTGGGCACGGAGTTTCGGAACGGGACCTAGCCTATCTTGTGCAGAATTTTTTTGCTGATTAAAACGTACTTTGTAGAATTTGCGAAACGACCGGAAAACCAAAGTTATGAGGGTTTAAAGTGTGAAAAAGGCCCAAAATGGCCTACTTTCGGCACCTATAAAATATAGCAGAATAACTTTTCACGAAAACTAATTAGTGCATCTTGCTCAGAAAATTACGCTCTTTCGAATGAGCCATGTCACGCGGAAATTTCAAAATTTCGTCAAATTGCTGAAATTTCACATGGGGGACCATGTCGTCTAAATTAATCTTTTTGAAAAAATGTTCGAACTTGTTTCATGAGATGGCTGATTCGAAAGAGCGTAATTTTCTGAGCAAGATGCACTATTTAGTTTTCGTGGAAACTTATTCTGCTATATTTTATAGGTGCCGAAAGTAGGCCATTTTGGGCCTTTTTCACACTTTAAACCCTCATAACTTTGGTTTTCCGGTCGTTTCGCAAATTCTACAAAGTACGTTTTAATCAGCAAAAAATTCTGCACAAAGATAGGCTAGGTCCCGTTCCGAAACTCCGTGCCCACCTAAAAACGTCTCCTTGTAAGAGACCGGAACCACAAATTCTACAAGCAAGAAAAGCTCTCAAATTTTAGTGAAATCACACCGTGCGCAGAAGCCAAAAATTCGGAACGCCGCCAAAAGCCTGCTTTCCAAAAACAGGAACTGACCCTAATTCGAAGTGTCCCCAACCAGAGCCAAGCCCTTCTTCCTTCCTTCTCCCGGTGACTAATGGATAAAGAGAAACTTTTCGAATCTTTTCTGAAAGTCGGGAACACCCGACCCCCACTCACCCCCAAGGTCATGCTCCCCATATTCAGCCTTTTTTGAATGCTGACCGCTGGCCCACAGCCGCCCACCGCCTTACACGGGGCCTAGAACCAGACATTTCTTACATAGCACCCATGGATTCTTTGAAATCAGGCCAGATCTATCTTTTGCCGAGTTTTCGGTTCTTTTGCATTATTGGGGGGGGTTCTTTTGTATCCAATTTTTCTGAGATAAATAGCTATAATCTGTTTTTACTACCCAAAAACGTTAAAAAATGCTACGAATTTTGCGAAAAAATCCGAAAATATAAATTTTCGGCAAAAAAGAAACAGATTACGAGCGAATTTCGCCCTTTAAATATCAAGAATTTTGTTAGATAGTTTATTTAGGGCTCCATAATGCATTTTTATAGTATTTTTAGCAGTTTTTATTCATGGGAAGTATAAAAAATCCGTGAGAGAAAAATTTGGTTCCGCTCTGCTAAAAATCCCCCCCGCTAACAGTACAGCACTAATGCATAATTCCCAATTATCGAAGTTTCTAAAAGTTTAGTAGTCAAAAACTAGTAAAAACTATCAAAAAAAATACACTGAAACACACGGCTCGATAGCCCCCCCCGCTAACAGTCCAACACCCCGCCGTCTACCCCAGCATCTTAAATTTGTTTTCCACAACGCAGAGCAAAAGACTCGCGCGCGAGGTACCAGCCAAAAATTGCGCGGCCCTCCCGCGCGGGGGAGAAAGCAATTTGGGCGTGTTGGCGCTAGCGAAAAAGCTGAGCTGGAATAACACATGGCGGCTATGCGGGCCTGATCAAGGTCATACATAGAAGGAAGGAAAGGGCGGAGGAGGGTGGGATGCGCGACAAGCGAATTTGTGCCTTGGCGGCGGGCTTCTTCTCGTTTTCGTCGAGCCTTTATGACACGAGCCAAACGAGGTTCACAACCACCACATTCCAGCTGATCGATCGCTGTTAAGCCTATTCTGGGGGTGGAGGCTCGTCGCTAATTACCACGTTGTCTCCGGTTACGAGTCATTGTTTCCGCTTCTTTTCGGTTTCCTATTCCGCGCGCAAATTAGGCATTTTTATAGGCGTTTGATAGGAAGTAATCGCGGCCTTTCAAAATTTTAAAGGGTAAATGTTTCAAAAAAAGACGAAATTTCGAAAGAGTAGTTTTTTTGTTGCTGGTCTGTTAGCGGGGGGGTGCGCGGGAAGGGCCATCTAGCCAACCTAGCAAAAAAATGCATTGGTTTGAATATTTAGTAGTTTTTGATTCCTAAAAAGTCGTCAAACAACTTTCGTAAATTGGAAAACTTGAAAATGTTCAGCATCTTCGCATTCTTAATCGAAACTCCGAAGGTGTGAACGAAAGTTATGAACTTTCTATGCTTAAAAACGGCGTAAAGGCTACCTAAATTGTGTTTATTTCAGTATTCCACAGTACGGGGGCGAAAGGCCAAAATTAGCCCCCCCCCCCTGCTAACAGTTCAGCGCCTTTTTTCCTGAAACAATTGCCAAACGTTAGTTACTCATAACCAGTAGCGAATCGATGGTTTCCGGGCCCGGCGAGGGTATCGGCGAGTTCAATCTCTTCGCAGTCACACCCCACATACCCCGTGTTCTCCTCATTCCGCGAGTCAACCACTTTTCGTCTTGCCAACTACCCCGGGCTTGTTCCCGCCCTTAATTTATGGTCAACAGGATGCCATTGCAGTGGTTTATGGGTGGGGTGTGGTTGATGGTGGTGGTGGCTGTGCCTGCCGATATCCCCCATCCCGAAGGCGGTTTTCGACCATGACCCTCCCTTCCGCTCTTCGGCTCTTCCCCCAACATCCCCTAAATCCCACCCGTTTTCGGTAGCCCCCTACCCTACCATCGAATCCCCCTCCAACAGCTGGACGGGTTCGAACGAACCCCTCTAAAAAGGATATCTCCATTCGATGACTAGCAGAGTGTTCTTTTAGCTTTTTTTCTATATTTTTGGCCTTTTTAGCTTTCAGACTGAAATGCCTAGTAATGTAATTTGATATTGTCTCGTTTATATGATGTTTTATATAATGGATCCCACTGATAAAAAATTTTCAATTCCTATCTCGCCAAAAGATGCAAAAACCTTTCAGAGTATATCTAGTCAACTTGAAATGGGCAAGAAGAAAGCAATACGCATCATATTTCAAGAAGATCCGATTGAAACGGGAAGGGTACGTTCAGAAATGGACTCGTTTTAAGGATTATGAAGAATACAGTCGGCTTATTTCCACTCTAGGAATACCCGGTTGTGTTCGAATTCCGGATACGCGATTGGATCGAGGTCAAAGAGGTTGGCGGGGTATTTGAGGGCGTCTGCCGGTAAGTGGCACTATTCGGTTGAATTATTGGTTCTTGCCTGTTAGCGGGGGGGGGCTGAGATATGGGCGGAATAACGAAATATATACCATTCCTATACGATACATCATTATTCAATCTAGAAAGTTCCTAAAAAATGCTAAAAGCTTCTAAAAAATTGTTATTTGTTCAAGATCGCATTTTTTGAACCTTTCTAAAAATGTCTTTATGATTTTAGTAATAAAAACTAACTCAAAACGCTTAACGATGTACTGTCAAACGCTAAAACTGTCGCTAGTTAGCTATAGGCCAGATAGCTCTCCCCGCTGACAGTCCAGTACCGAATTTTCCGCCTAGATGCACGGTGGATGGCCAGGATACGGTACAAAATGTGTTGACGGTGCCGTTGGACCTTGGCCAACTTTTACTGCAACAGGTAAGCCGCATTAAAAAAAACCAACCTTCCAAGATGCCGCATAAGGGCAAACCGATGCTACCAGCTGGCGTCTATCGTGTGCCCGGCGTTATCAACATCGCCACCGACACCCCGGGATCGTTTCACGGCAAATTCGGAGCTATCGCTTATCGTTTTCGGGTCACGGTATTCGCTTTTTAAAAAACGATACCTAAAAACTGATTAGATGCGAGCAAAGAAAAACAACGAAGAAGCCACGCTGGCAAACGAACGAGAGATTGAAGTTGTCGGTGGGTGGTTACAGAAAAATTAAATAAGAGGTTCTTTGGCAATATCGGGGGAGGTCTTTTGGGGAGGCAAAAAATTCAGATTTTTCTACTAAAATTTTTCGAGACTGAAAGGTTTTAGACCGTTTTTTTTCACTTAAATATAGTGAAAAAACGGTCTAAAACCGTTAAGACTCGAAAAATTTTAGTAGAAAAATCTTCTAAAAGCAATATTAAACTACTTACTAGTCGGTTTCCTCACCCCCCCCGATAATGCGAAAGTACCTTAATTTCAGCTAGCTTTCTAAGATTTCAGATAGTTTCCATTTGAAATAGAGCTAATTTGTGAACAACATTCCTCAATAACTTGCTATTACATTACTAGATCAGCAGGGAAAAAACACAACCTCCCTCGACAAGCCAAAGAACCAATAATTTAAACAAGAAATGTTACAGGTTCTGTTTCGATGAGCTCATTCCCGCAATTCGAGAAGCCAGTGGCCGTCCAGAGGCAGGTCAAGCGAAAATTTCTATGTTTCAACATCCTGGACGCCCATATAAAGATCGACATGGAAAAAGCGGCATACATGCCAGGCATGTCCTACTCTACATTTTTAATTATTTTTATTTTTATTTGACTTTTTAAACCTTAGGTGAACACGTGCTGGTGAGCGGGGAGATGACCAACGCGCCGCACTCAAGTCGCCTTCAACCCGTCCGACTCGAGTTGCGCCAAAAAACCGCGTACAAAAGCGGCAGCGGGGCTCGCAAAGAGTAATTCGCTACGCAGAAACCTGGACCCCGTTTTGCAGGAGCCATACAATTCGCCGGTTGGATTGCGGAACGTGTGAAGCCGGCGATTCACTGAAAATACACCATTCTCTGCCCGTCCCTGCCGACCTCTACCCCACCCTGTCGACCCCGAATTCGGCGATTCAGGTGAGAAAAAAATATAACTACTTTCCTGTCGGGTTCTTTTGCATTATCGGGGAAAACCCTTTTTTTCTTAGGATCTCACTTTTCAAATATAGATAGTAGAAGTTTACCATGTTTTTACTTTTCCTAAATGTGAAAACTTTACAAAGTTTTATTAACAAATACAAAAACATCGATTTTCGACCGAAAAAGGTCAATTTGTTACCAAAATTTCTACTTTTTTCTAAATTTTTAAACCTTTTCGGTAGTTTTTCTAGTTTAAATATAATAATATATTGCTTAAAACACTATAAAAACACTTTCTATTAAGTTACTAGGCATTTCTAGACCTATGCAAAAAAGTTCGTTCGCTCTATTCTATGATGCTTGGTATTTACAGGTATTTTACGAAGTGATCGTGACGTCGCCGGGCTATTTCGAGATTGATATCCCGGTGTTCGTGGGAAATCGAAAAATTGCTCCACCCAGGCCCGTCCGCTCTCCAAGCATCGCCTCATCAGGTACCTAACCAGACAATCCCAACAAAAAAAAAAACACAGGATCCTACGACAAATCTTCACTCGGCTCATCGTCAATTCATTCGGATCCATACTATTACGTGCCGATGAGCGAATTTTCTGAGCGCCCACCCCCTTATCCCGGTTTTCAGGTGACATTAACTCATCTATAAACTGGCGAAAAATTCAGAGTCGCCCCTATTTCATCCCAATTCACGTGAGACCCCGCGTGTTCCGCCCAATGTTTGAGTCACCCTTCAGGTTAGTAAGCCGACCTTGGTTTTCCAATTTCCGCTTGAAACAATTGTCAATTTCTTTAGTGAATTTCCACCCAGCTACTCGCCGCCTTTCCACCAAAGCTTCACACCCATGACCAGCGGCCAACCATCCCCCGCCAGGGAGCGTTTCCTCAAAATTGAGGAAATCGAATGAGCGCTACGAGAATACGAACATGCCTGAATAAATACGAGTCTTTCGGTTGCGGTACACATGCGATTCACACACGAAAAAACGGGCGGGTTTCTAGCCCTCGGACGTAACGAGTCACGAACGTGTCACACCACTTTACACCGCGTAATTGATTTCACAAACCCAGTTATTTGCGACAAATAATCTTGTAAAGGCTATTCTAACGCTAGAAACAAAAGAAATATAGTTGTAAAACAGATTTGGACGGGAAAGGGGCATAACTCTGCCTGTTTCGAGAAGATTGACAGTTTTGCTGGTTCATCACACACGACTAACTAGTAATGTAAGTAATCCCTATAACAATAATGCTTCAATCACGAGTTCACTTTATCACTGCCGTTATAAATAAGTGTTACGCAAGGCCAGGCACTTTGTTGATTGAATTTCTACAAAACCAGCCGAGCTTCGCCGAGATAATTTAAACATTGAGGATGAAACCTAATGATGTAGCGTTCGAGCATGCGTGAAACGCTGGTGATGATATGGGCATTGTAAAGCGCTTGCTTGGTTTTGCTTTTTACCGCTACCATTGCTCCTTCAAGTTCGGGCCATCTTAGCCTACGGCTCTCAGTTATAATGTGTGATTTGGGTAATTCAGAAAAGATTCTTGAATTGCGAACATTATGTGTACAATGCTTGCAAATGATAATTGCTCGCGAAAATGGAGAACGACGTGTTGGTGCCTTAGAAGAAGCTTCTTCGTGTTAGAACAGGCTTTCTTATTCGTACTGCTGTGCAAAGCACCAGCGAAACTGTCAATCTGCTCGAAACAGGCATAGTTATGCCCCTTTCACGTCCAAATCTGTTTTACAACTATATTTCTTTTGTTTCTAGCGTTAGAATAGCCTTTACAAGATTATTTGTCGCAAATAACTGGGTTTGTGAAATCAATTACGCGGTGTAAAGTGGTGTGACGCGTTCGTGACTCGTTACGTCCGAGGGCTAGAAACCCGCCCGTCACGAAAAATAATTTGCTGCATTTGCAAAATCTCCGAATTACACCCATTCCGGTACGAAACGTACAGTGAAAATCTAATACGCGCCCTCTTGACCGTGCCACTGTTCCGTTGCGATCCGTTCTTTGGCAAATTCGCAATTTCTCGCGAAATCGTTTTTTCATAAAATTAATAAAAAAACAAATTTCCGATTTTTTGTCGAAAGTCTATCGATTATATCTTTTTTCATTTAGTTACTCTTGATTTAGATTTTTTAGTCGCTTTATACCGAAAATCTCGACTACAATAAATTGACGAAATATACAATTGCAATTGCAAATAAGCCATAATCACGTTTCTCAATTGTAAAATTACTTCTTTAAAAATGCTGCGTCGGTTCTTTAGGATTCCCGGGGGGGGAAAGTATTCCCGGGGGGGGAAAACAAATTTTTTTCGGCGAAAGCCTAGATTTTTGTATAAATTGCGGATGCGTTTCTAAATTGTTTTTAACTATCCCTGTGCATAAAAACTACACACATTTTAACCAAAAAAATGTAAAAAATTAAAAATTAGGTCGAAAAATAGACCCAAAATGACCAAATTTTCGACTTTTTCAAACATTTTTCTAAATTTTTCTGAAAGTTATTCTGCTTTAAATATAGTTAAAACTTACTAAAAACAATTCGAAAACACTTTATATTTGATTACTAGGTCAACCGGGACCACCAGGAAAAAAATTGGTTTCCCCCCCCGGGAATACTTTCCCCCCCCCCGGGAATCCTAAAGAACCGCTGCGTCCACAAGTTCTTTTCCATTTTCGAGCTACAGATCGAGCCAATATCGAACCCAGCCCAAAACCCATCGCATTTTATAGGCCACTCAATTATTTCAAAAGTTTCGAGCTTTGATTTGAGATTATTCGTCAAAAACTCTTGTTTCTTTTGGTCAGTTGCTGACCACTCGTTTGTTTGAACACAGGGCCCATCCCGTCGTCCAACGGAATGCGCCGGCCCCCCTGCCCGCTCACGGCTCACCCCCGGTTTCGCAATATACTGGCTCCTAACATTTGGCGCATTTCCGCTCGCACTCTCACATTTCTAGAAAATATTGGGGCTTTTTGTAGCATCAGGGCTGTCCTTGTCAATTCATCAGGGTTCATTATCGAAAGCTGATTCTACACTCCGTGCGTTTTTAAGCTAATCCCTCTTTTTTTACCGGCGTTTTCCATCAGCAAACCAGCGTTCTCGATCGAAGTTTTCCACAACATGCGTGTTTTCACTTTATTGATTTAGAAAAAGATTTGACTAATTGCAGATCCCGTCATCTGGCTCTCAACATGGATAGCGGGAACGAAAGTTCCGCCGGCCCTGCGCCAATAACGGTTAGATTCTTCTAAGAAGCTATAATCTTTGAATTAGGTAGCAACGGCTGATCGTTCGGATGTATGCGAGTATCTGACGTCTATTGCGGGGACTTATTTTGCGGGAAAGTCCAGCGCAGATCTCAAGACTGTCCTGGCTGCTTCAGATGCGCTCGACAAGTTCATTGCGGACAGCAAGACCAATGTGCTCGTGGTCGAGCGTTCTATGTACAAAGGTATTGCTTCGGGCGTTCGTTCTATTCTGCCTAGAAACTACGGATGCCGAGGAAGGAGGAGTGGATTCGGAGGAATCCGTCGTCTTTTCTGTGAATAACGACGTGGCCTTTCGCAACGAGAGAAGCACGATGTTGATCTTCATCCGGCGTGGTGGCGTCGTCGATGCCGAGAAGGCGCTTTCGGATCAAATGCAACTCTTAGTGTAATGACCACGGTTTTATCACCAAATTTTGTTGCAGGATGAACGAGGGAAGCCCGTACGAAAATCTGTGGAGTATCATTGGGAAGGCAATGAGTCCCTTCTTCAAGTCTTACATTCGCCGAAGCGGACGTAGCGAACGGGACGGCGACAAGCTGGCTCCTGCTGTAGAGAAAGCCTTGAACGAAGCTGAAGTCTCTCTGCTCCACCTGCAGCAGAACATCGACATCCCAGAAATCAACTTGGTCGTCAACCAGCATATTCTCGCGGCCATCCAAGCCGCCACGGCTCAGGGTCGGAAAGCGAAGGTATTCTGTGAATGCATCCTTCAAATATGTTTTATAGGCTGATGACCTTGGAAACCTGATAGAAGACTCGCTCTTCTTGAACACTCTGCAGAGCGGTGTTGGACGCTGGATCAAGGAAATCCAAAAGGTTCAAACTCGCCTTCCTTTTCTAACAAGGCCTTTTAGGTTACCAAGCTTGAGCGTGATCCTGCTTCTGGCTCCTCGCTGCAGGAAATGAACTTCTGGCTAAATCTGGAGCGTGCCCTACAGAAAATTCAAGAAAAGCGAGAATGTGAAGAGATCCAGTTGACTTTGGAAGTGTTGAAGGCTGGCAAACGTTTCCATGCTACCGTCTCCTTCGATTCCGATACAGGTTTGCGATTTGTCCGATGCTGAATTTTTGGTTTAGGGCTGAAGCAGGCTCTGGACCTGGTCAACGACTATAATATGCTAATGAAGGATCTGCCTCTAAACGAGATTGTCTCTGCCACCGATTTGCCAGGTACAAATTCCGACCTCCGGCCAACATTGCTTTAGCTCTCCGTGAGGCTATCGGCAATGTGTTTGGGCATCTGAAGAAGCTACGTGTCACGAAATATCCAATTGCCCGTGCCCTTCGCTTGATTGAAGCCATTTCGCGAGACGTTAATGCCCAAATGAGCAAAGTATGCGAAAAATTGATATGTCTTATTCTTTGCTATTTTCAGATCCTCAGCACTCGTCGCCTGATGCACATCTCTATGAAAGAGTTCGATCAACTGATGAACGATTGTTTCAAGGTGTTTGCGAAATGGGACCAGGAATACGACAGGTTTGTCTCTCCTCTTTTACAAAGCTTTCGTTTAGGAGCAGCATTCTGATGCGCGAGATGGTCAAAAAGAAGCGCGAAGAAACGTTGAGGCTGACTTTCAAGCCGAATCACGTGCATAAGAAGCTCGAGCAACGGCTGGCACAAATCAAGGCTTTCCGCCGGTATCTTTGCGTTTTATGCATATTATATTTTATTTATAGCCAGCACGAGCAATTCCGTACCGTCATCGAACGCGTCTTGCGCTGCCCGAATGCCATCGACGGAGTCGCACAGTTGAATGCTGGCGCTGGGACGGTTACTGCTGCCCCTACGGCTGTTGAACAAATTGACCGGGCTTACGAATACGTCAAGGAGGTCGATTGCTTGGACGTGACAGCCGAAGGGACTGTGGCTTATGACGCTGCTCAGATCAGGTGAATTTTATTCCTTTTGCACCATTTCTTATTCAGATACGAGCAAGAAGTTCAACGCGTCGAAACAGACATCACCGCCTGGCTTCGAGGCCAACTTGGCGCTGCCAAGAACGCAAAGGAGATGTTCAGCATTTTCTCGCGCTACAACGCGCTTTTCGTCCGGCCGAACATCCGGTAATCTTTCATGTGCGAATTGTATATGCTGTTTTAGTGGAGCCATTCGCGAGTACCAGACGCAGCTCATCGACAAGGTCAAGGAAAATATTGCCGAATTGCAAGAGATTTTTGCGACCGTAAGATAGCAATTAGTACTTTGAATTTAACTTCAGAAATACAATGACAACTATCGCCATGAACAGCTGACGAAACGCCTCGACATTCAGCCGCTGTCTTGTCGCATCATTTTCGTCAAGAACATCGAGAATAAGCTAAACGACTCAATGAAGAAGGTCGAAGATGTCCTTGGCAAGGGATGGGAAGGCCATGTTGACGGTGATGCTTGTTATCTGTCAATAACTCTTTATTACAGGACAACAACTCAAGAAGGAAAGCGACATGTTCCGTCAGCGTCTGAACATTCAACCGATGTACGATGACTGGGTCAAATGCACCAAGGAGAAGAATCTATCCGCTTCCGGGAAATTGCTTACAATTGACAAACGCAACCAAGAAGGCAAACCGGTTCTCCAACTCAAGGTTTTTTTCAATCCCAAGTTTTACCCCCATTTTAGGTCAATTTCCGCGACGACATGATTCAGCTGCATAAAGAAGTGCGCTATCTGAAGACTCTTGGCCAGCGCATACCACTTCAAATCGTCAATGCAGCACACCAAGCTGCTCAAATGAATCCGTATGCGACAGTCGCCAGAAATCCAATTTCCCTTTAGATTCGCGGTCGTGCTCAAGGAATCTGTCCGGACCTACTATTATGTCGAAAAGAAATTGGCGGATCGGAAAGATATCGAAACCTTGATTGCCTCATCCAAGAAGGAAGTGCAGATGATCATTGCTGAAGTAAATTATAAATTACGAACCACACTTTCATTAGAGCCTGCAACTGAACTGGGATTCGTACAAATTGGAGCAATATGTGACGCGCTTTAACACTGCGGTCAGCAAGTATAGTGAGAAGTGCGAAGAGCTGTTCGACATCATCTCTCAAATCGATGGAGCTCTCGCTGCTCTTGATTCTTGCCCCTACGCGATGGAGAAGGTCAGTTAGATAACGGCGTTCTAAGTTCCCTTTTTCAGATCACCGAACAACTCCGAATTGTCCAAGAGAATGTCGATGTGTTGGCGCTTGGAAGCTACTCGAACCTGCAGTGTTGGTCTGCTGATCTGGATAAAAACGTACCTAATTTCAAACTAAAGTGTAGAGGAACTTCCTAGATCGAACAAAAGCTCTCCCGGCGTCTCGAAGAAGCCATGCGCATTTGGGCCTTGGTCTACAACAAATCTGAAGAGCTGGAAGACCTCCGTGAGCAAAACATTCAGCTTCCAGCCGTGCAAAATATTGTCGTCGAGGTTTGCTTGGTTGGCCATCCCTAAGCTTTTCTAAGGTGCGCTTGACTGCGCAAACGATCTACATCAGCCCCTCGATCGAGCAGGTCCGGGCCAGGCTTTGCGAGCAACTTTTCGATTGGCAAGCTGTCGTGACTGCGCAGAAACGTATCTCTAGCACACGTTGCCAGGTCAGTTGTTGGATGGCAGCTTCTCAAACTTATTTCCAGCTCGCAATGAACGCCGACAATGTGGAAGCCACCTACAAAGATATCCTCGGCGCTTTGCCGAAGGGCCTAACCACTCTGGAAGCTGCGTATAAGACTGTCGACGCAGTCATGACGAAGGTGGAGGAGTATGTGGGCGAATGGATGTGCTACCAAGCGCTCTGGGACTTGCAAGCTGAAGTGCTTTACGATTCACTCGGTGATGACTTAACCCGCTGGATGCGAACTTTGGACGAAATCCGCAAGAACCGACGCATCTTTGATACGACGGTTTGTCAGCTATTCGGAAACTTTACCGGCTTTAGGATGCTCGCAAAGATATCTACCCCGTTGTAATCGATTACACCAAGGTTCAAGGAAAAGTTTCCTTCAAATATGACAACTGGCACAAAGAAGTCTTGCAAAAGTTTTCTGCTGCCCTCGGTATATTTGACTTTTGTTTCCAATAAATTCTTCTTACAGGCCAGGAAATGCAGACCTTCCATGGACAGGTCTCCAAGTGGCGCTCCGATCTGGAAGGGCAAAGCGTCGATTCGGGATCCACGACAGACGCTGTTCAACTCATCACCTACGTGCAGGGCTTGAAGAAGCAAACGAAGATCGGTCAGGATCAGGTTCTGGCATCTTTGTTTGCAAGTATATTTTGCTTAGGTCGACAAGTTCCGGGCTGCTCAGCGATTGCTCAACCAGCAGCGCTTCCAGTTCCCCAACCAATGGCTTTATGCAGAGCATGCTGAAGGAGAATGGGATGCTTTGCAAGATCTGTTGCTCCGAAAAGATTCTGCTATTCAAAGCCAGGTCTGCGAGCATAGCTGTTTTTTTACCATTTCCTTCAGGTCGCCAATCTGCAAACGAAAATCAAAGAAGAAGATGAGCTTGTGGAAAAGCGCACCATCGAGGCCCTTCAAGACTGGGAAAGATCGAAACCCGTCGAAGGAGGCCAGCGTCCAGCCGTTGCACTTGAACAGTTGGCGGCGTTCGAGCAGAGGCTTTGCAAGTTGCGTGATGATCGGGACAAGATGAAGAAGGTTAACAGGTTTTGTATTGGCAACATTTTTTTTAGGCTCGGCTAGCCCTTGACCTCGCTGAGACCACAGGAGTTCCAACCGAGGCTGACAAGTTGTCGATTGCGGTGGAAGAATTGGGCGACCTGAAGGGCGTTTGGGAGGTATAATCTTCGTACGTTCCATTTATCCGTTCTTAGGCGTTGAAACCAGTCTATTCGGAGATTGACGAAATCAAGGAGAAGACATGGCTCAGCGTCCAGCCGCGAAAACTTCGGCAGAACTTGGACGAGTTGTCACAACGCTTGAAGGGATTGCCCGTTAAATACAAGACCTATCAGAGCTACGAAAAAGCCAAGGATATGCTCCAAAGTTATGGAAAGGTAAAAAAATGCCGTATTTGTGTACCCCTGTGCTAGGTGAATCTACTGATTGCCGAGTTGAAATCTGAGGCCCTGAAAGAGCGTCATTGGCGTCAACTGATGAAAGAGCTTCGTGTCACTTGGAATCTGCAAGATTTGACTCTTGGACAGGTAATGTTGTAGTCTTCGCTTTCTAATTATTTTCCTAGGTCTGGGATGCCGATGTGCAACGTCACGAAGCTGCCATCAAGAATATTTTGACCGTTGCTCAGGGAGAAAATGCCTTGGAGGAGTTCCTGAAGCAGGTGGGCTTTTCTTGCTTCTGGCCCTTATTGACTTCATTTATGTAGCTGCGTGAATACTGGCTTGCCTACGAGGTCGAATTGATCAATTACCAAAACAAGACGCGGATTATCAAAGGATGGGACGATTTGTTCAACAAGCTGAAGGAACACCAAAATTCCTTGGCGGCCATGAAACTTTCGGCCTACTACAAGCAATTTGAAGAAGATGCGCTCTCCTGGGAGGACAAGCTCAACAAGATCTCCTCAATGTTCGACGTGTGGATCGACGTGCAGCGTCGTTGGGTCTACCTTGATGGCCTGTTCAGTGGTAGCGCGGAGATCGCTTCCTTGCTGCCAAATGAGAGCTCCCGTTTCAGCAGGTACTCTCTCATTTTTGGACGTTATATTCTTTTAGCATCTCTGCCGAATTCCTGGGTCTGATGAAGAAAGTGATTGCTTCCCCGAGAATCTTGGATGTTGTCATGATGCAAGGTGCTCAGCGACTTCTGGAACGCCTCGCTGAGATGTTGGCCAAGATTCAGAAGGCGTTGGGTGAATACCTGGAGCGAGAGCGCTCATCATTCCCTCGATTCTATTTTGTCGGCGACGAAGATCTTCTGGAGATTATGGGCAACAGCAAGGATATTTCTCGCCTGCAGAAACATTTGAAAAAGATGTTTGCTGGAGTAACAGCCGTCACGATCACGGAGGAAGACAAACGAGTATAGCCTTTGTTTCGGATGAATGTTGGTTTTTTAGATCACCGAGATGCACAGTCGCGAAGGCGAAACTGTGGTTTTGTCATCTCCAGTTGCGACGCAAGGCGTGCGTATCAATGAATGGCTGCATGCGTTTGAGAAGGAAATGCGAACCACTTTGGCCAAGTTCCTGTCGAACGCCCTCAAGGATTTTGCAATGTTTGTTGCCTGACGCCATCTCAACGCTAAATATTTAGGATCGATGTCGACACCGTCTCTCATGCCAGCTACATGGAATTCCTCGACAAGTATCCCTGCCAAGTCATTGGTCTGGTGGCGGAAATCTGGTGGAGCAACCAAATGGAGAATGCTCTGCAGCAGGAAAAAGATGCCACTGAAGTGGAAAAGGTAGCCTTTTATTGGTAGCGCATTATGAATTGTTAGGTTGTTTCGAAGACCCTCGCCCTGCTTGCCGACAACGTCCTGAAGGAGCAACCGCCAATTCGCCGCCGGAAAATTGAGATGCTCATCACGGAGCTTGTCCACAAGAGGGATACTTCAAGGAGGTTGCTACAGCGAGGCGTGACATCCACCAATGATTTCGAATGGGCTCAGGTATCTATTATTTGCGTATTAAACGAAATCATCATTAAGGCGATGCGCTTCTATTTCGATGCGAACAGCTTGGCGACCCCGGAAAAATGCTGCATTGTCCGGATGGCGAATGCCGTCTTCTACTATGGCTTCGAATATTTGGGCATCCAAGAACGACTGGTTCGTACGCCCCTCACTGATCGTTGCTTCTTGACGATGACCCAGGCTCTGCATTCAAGGTATTCATTCAACCTTCTTTCTCACTAGATTCGAACCGTTTAGGCTGGGAGGCTCGCCCTTCGGTCCGGCCGGTACCGGAAAGACTGAATCGGTCAAGGCTCTTGGACATCAACTTGGGCGCTTTGTCCTCGTGTTCAACTGCGACGAAACTTTCGATTTCCAGGTGTGTTTTACTTTTGAAATCAATATATTGCTTTATTAGGCAATGGGCCGCATCCTTGTCGGTCTCTGCCAAGTGGGCGCTTGGGGATGCTTCGACGAGTTCAATCGTTTGGAAGAAAGGATGCTGTCAGCCGTTTCGCAACAAATTCAAACAATCCAAGTCTGTTACCTCTGTTTTTTGTCAATTGATTCTAGGAAGCGGTTCGTGCCGGCGGTGAGATGAGCGTTACATTGGTCGGCAAGCGATTGAGCGTGAACGGCAATATTGGAATCTTCATCACGATGAATCCTGGCTACTCGGGTCGATCGAATCTGCCTGATAATCTCAAGCAGGCAAGTATATGCGCAAGGATGTAACCATGCCGTTTTAGCTCTTCCGTTCGCTTGCCATGACCCAGCCGGATCGACAGCTCATTGCTCAAGTTATGCTCTTCTCACAGGGCTTCAGGACAGCAGAAGTGTTGGCGAACAAGATCGTCCCACTATTCATGTTTGTTTTTCTTTCAACTCTAATTTGTCCGCAGTCTTTGCAAGGAACAACTTTCTGCGCAATGCCACTACGATTTCGGACTACGTGCTTTGAAATACGTGCTCGTATCGGCCGGAAACATCAAACGTGAGAAGCTCAATCAAGTCGGCGCCGCTGCCCTCGAAGATGTGGCCGAACAACAGGTGCGAGGATCTTAATAACAAAAATGGCTATCGTCATTAGATGCTGATCCAATCCGTCTGCGAGACCATGGTGCCAAAGTTGGTGAATGAAGACATTGCCCTGCTTTTCTCCTTGCTCTCCGACGTATTCCCATCTATCCAATACGCACCAAATGAGATGACCGAGTAGGAGTCCATTTCCAGCATAACCGTTTTTAGTCTCCGCGAGAAGCTCTCCGAAATTTGCTCGGCTCAAATGCTTTGCTATTCAAATCGGACCGGCGAGCTGGGATCGGCCTGGGTGGAGAAGGTGCTGCAGCTCTACCAGATCACAAACCTGAATCACGGTCTCATGCTTGTTGGTCCGTCCGGTACCGGCAAAACGACTGCTTGGAAAATGTTGCTGAAGGTAAGCTTTCTCGATGGCTTCATTGCTCTTATTTTAGGCGCTGGACAAGCTGGAGGGAGGTGAAGGCGTTGCACACGTTATCGATGCGAAGGCCATGTCGAAAGATTTCCTGTATGGATGGATGGATCAGAACACGCGTGAATGGACCGACGGTCTTTTTACTTCCATTGTCCGCAAGTATGTTGCTGGACCATTGGCGGAGATATTTATTTTCTAAGGATTATCGACAACGTGCGCGGAGAGCTCGACAAACGGCAGTGGATCATCTTTGATGGCGACGTCGACCCGGAATGGGTTGAAAATCTAAACTCGGTCCTCGACGACAACAAGCTGCTCACCCTACCCAATGGAGAACGACTCGCCATTCCGTCAAATGTAAAAACCTATGTCTTCTTCACGCTCTTTTAGGTCCGCATCATTTTCGAGGTTGCTGACCTCCAATACGCGACCCTAGCCACAGTGTCACGTTGCGGAATGGTCTGGTTCAGCGAAGAAGTTGTTAGCAGCGAAATGTTGTTCTCCAACTATCTGAAGACGTTGACCAATATCAGCCTGGAAACCGAGGTAAGTGTTTCCAAATGGTAAAATTCTGGCTTAGAGCGCCCCGGCTACTATCGCGATGACCCTACAGCTTCAAAAGACTGCTGCCGAGTTCCTGCAGCAACATTTCAGGTATGGATTTCTTACGTGATTTCTATGATATGTGGTATCCAGTGCGGACGGACTTGTGCCACTTTCTCTACGATATGCCCTGACCAACTGCGAGCACATCATGGTGGCGACATCCCAGCGCTTGCTGTCCTCCTTCTTTGCCATGATGAACTACTCAATTCGCGTGATGGTGCAGGCCAATGCCATGAGAGAAGATATACCATTTTCGGTGGGATTGTCAAATAGGCTTGATTACTGCTTCTTTAGCACGATCAAGTGGAAGCGTATGTGGCCCGATCTATGCTGGCGAACATTGTCTGGGCCTTCTCCGGTGATGGGCGCCTATCGAACCGTGAGGCCTTGAGCGAGCATATCCGCAAATCCACAACGCTTCCCTTGCCTCCGAATGCCCAGGTTTGGTTGTTACTTCACTGCTCGATCACGAGTTTAGGCGCCGATCATTGATTACGAAGTCACGTTGACTGGTGAATGGCGCCCTTGGATCGCTAAGGTGCCGAAAATGGAGATCGAGACTCATCGTGTCGCCGCCGCAGATCTGGTTTGTCTTTTTTTTGCAAAATGTATTACTTTCTGCATTTCCAGGTTGTGCCCACGGTGGACACAGTTCGCCACGAAATGCTTCTTTCGGCTTGGTTGAGCGAACACAAGCCATTGGTGCTATGCGGCCCGCCCGGATCCGGTAAAACGATGACACTCCTCGCTGCGCTTCGCTCTCAACCCGACATGGATGTTGTCAACGTCAATTTCTCGTCGTCCACCACTCCGGAATTGCTGATGAGAACGTTTGATCACTATTGCGAATACCGGTATGTTTGCCAGGGCTCAAAATAAAAAAGTAAACTTTTTTCTTTAGACGTACGCCCAACGGCGTCGTGCTCGCCCCTTCGCAGCTTGGCCGTTGGCTGGTGATATTCTGCGACGAAATCAATTTGCCATCGCCCGACAAGTACGGAACGCAGCGAGTTATCTCGTTCCTCCGCCAGCTTGTGGAATTGGTAGGATTGATCTCTTTGGAAGATCTCATTTTTTAGAACGGTTTCTACCGCACATCCGACCACTCATGGGTTTCCCTGGAGCGCATTCAGTTCGTTGGCGCATGCAATCCACCGACCGACCCTGGCCGACACCCAATGACTCTTCGGCGAGTGGTGGCTTGCCAATTTATCTAGTTCCAACTGCAGGTTCCTTCGCCATGTTCCTGTCGTCTACGTTGATTACCCGGGCAAGCCATCGCTTGAGCAGATCTACGGCACCTTCAACTTCGCAATGCTTCGCATGGCTCCAGCCTGCCGCTCGATTGCCGATGCGCTCACCGCAGCTATGGTCGAAGTCTATCTGGCCAGTCAGGTGTGTCTCCTTCAGCTCTAAGAATTCTCGCGTTTAGAAACAATTCACGCAAGATCAACAGCCACACTACGTCTACTCGCCTCGTGAGCTGACGCGCTGGGTCCGCGGTATCTGCGAGGCAATCGCTCCGCTCGATAACGTCAAGCCAGAAGATATCGTTCGACTTTGGGCGCATGAGGCTCTGCGATTGTTCCAGGTGCTTCAATCTCTAATTTTGAACTTTTTTCTATTGTTCAGGACCGCCTGGTGACCGAAGAGGAGCGCAACTGGACGGATGACCTCATCGACAGCACAGCCGAAAAGTACTTTGCCGGCGTCGATGTCAAGACGGCCTTGAAGCGACCGATCCTCTACTCTTGCTGGTTGAGCAAGCAATATCTCCCCGTGACTCAAGAAGCGTTGCGACAATACGTGAAAGAGCGGCTGAAGGTATTCTACGAGGAGGAACTCGACGTTAGGCTCGTGCTCTACGACAAGATGCTCGACCATGTCTTGCGAATCGATCGTATCTACCGGCAACAACAAGGACATCTTCTGCTGATTGGTACCAGTGGCTCGGGCAAGACTACGCTGTCGCGTTTCGTTGGTGAGCTGCCAATACTTTTATCACTATTCTTCGCTTTTAGCATGGATGAACGGTCTCTCCGTATTCCAACTGAAGGTTCATTCAAGGTACACGGCAGCCGATTTCGATGAAGACATGCGACTGGTGATTTTACTTTCCCGTCTTTATTCCGATTTTTCAGGTCCTTCGTCGGGCTGGTTGTCGCAACGAACGGCTCTGCTTTATCATGGATGAAAGCAACATGCTCGACACCGGCTTCCTGGAGCGTCTCAACACGTTGCTTGCCAATGGAGAAGTACACTATAAGCCGTTGTGATTTCTATGGATGTTGTTCAGGTTCCTGGTCTTTTCGAGGGCGATGAACACACCACGCTCATGTCTCAGATCAAGGAAAGCGCAGCGAAACAGGGCTTGATGCTGGATACCCCTGACGAATTGTACAAGTGGTTCACAACTCAAGTGGGTTTTTTAGTTCATATTCACGTTTTTTTCAGGTCATGCGGAATCTACACGTTGTCTTCACGATGAACCCATCGGAAAATGGCCTTCGTGACCGCGCTTCCACTTCGCCTGCTCTGTTCAATCGCTGCGTCCTCAATTGGTCTGGTGATTGGGACGATGCCACGCTGTTCCAGGTTGGTTAGGCTTCCCTAAACCGCGAAAAATCGTCAAGCTACTTTTTTTATCCTGACGGCGCGGGATTGATGTGTTGTTTTAGGTCGGTTCCGAGCTTGCTGCTGGCTACGATACAATGGTGACGAAATGGGAAGCACCCTTCTCCTTCGAACCTGTCTCCGAGCTGGTGCCCAAGCCACCCAAGTACGAGGACGCTGTGGTGAACACCATGGTCCTTGCCCACAATGCCGTCAAGAAGGTTAGCCATTGCCCAGTATTTGTGCTTATACGATTTTAGTTCAACCTTTCTGAGTCCAAGCGCGGCCACCGCACGATGGCGATCACGCCACGGCACTTCTTGGATTGCATCCGCCACTACACGCGGCTCTATCGCGACAAATATCGGGAGCTACAAGAGGAAAAGGTATACAGTTTCGTCAACAGTATAAGCCACTTCTAGCAACATCTCAACATCGGTCTCGACAAAATCAAGGAGACGGAAGAGCAGGTGCTCGAGCTGCAGAAGAGTCTTTCCCAGAAGAGCAACGAACTGGAGGAGAAGAAGGCCGAGGCGAACAAGAAGCTCAAGCAAATGTTGTTGGACCAGCAGAAGGTGCGTTCTTTTCTCGTATGTGATTATTTTTTAGGCCGAGGAAGAGAAGAAATTCTCCGAACAGCTCCAGAAGGATTTGGCTGAGCAGAAGACCCAAGCTGAAGCGAAGCAAGCCGAGGTGCAGAAGGACCTTTCACAGGTCGAGCCCGCCGTGGAAGAAGCGAAGGCAGCTGTTTCTGGAATCGGCAAGCAGCAATTGATCGAGGTGTTTTTTCGTCACAAACATTTATTTTTATTCAGGTCCGCTCCATGGCTTCGCCCCCAGTCCTTGTGAAGTTGACGCTTGAGGCCATCATGGTGATGCTTGGGGAAACCGTTGGTACCGACTGGAAGGGAATTCGTGGAGTGATGGTCAAGGAAGACTTCATGAACCGCATCGTCCATTACAAGACCGATCAAGTGACTCCCGAGTTGATCAAGGCTATGCAGAAGTATATCAGCAACCCGGATTGGGAATTCGAGAAGGCAAGTCGCTGATTAATGCAAAAAATCATTGTTTAGGTAAACCGTGCCTCGCAAGCTTGCGGTCCCATGGTGAAATGGGCTCGTGCTCAGCTTCTCTACTCCGACATGCTTCACAGGGTCGGGCCGCTTCGAAACGAATTGAGCCGGCTTCAAGCCGAAGTTGCGAAGAAGGAGAAGCAGGGAGAGGAGATCAAGGCTCGCATTGGTCAGTTGGAGCAATCCATTGCGGCGTACAAGGACGAGTATGCACAGCTGATCGGACAGGCCGAGAACATCAAGGCCGATCTCAGCACGGTTCAAGAGAAGGCGAGTATTTTTCAAAATTATACCAATTTTGGCTGGTTTTAGGTCGGGCGCTCGCAACAACTACTCAGTTCGCTGGGTTCGGAACGCAACCGCTGGACAGGCAGTTCGGACAGCTTCTCGCAGCAAATGGGCACGCTGGTACGCCTCATATATTTTTTCGAAGAATACCGGTTTAGGTGGGAGATGCAATGCTATCGGCGGCCTTCCTGGCATACGCCGGCTACTTTGATCAGCTTCTACGTGACCATCTCTTCTACAAGTATCTTAGAGATCTAAACATTATTTGGTATTTTAGGTGGGTCGATCATGCGCAAAAGGCTGGCATCAAGTTCCGGGCGGATCTCGCACGCATTGAGTATCTCAGCACGATGGACGACCGGATGGCTTGGAATCGGTATTTTGTCTTTGTCCTCGCAAAACTTGTCTAGGAACGGTCTGCCTGTTGACGATCTATGCAGTGAAAACGCGATCATGCTGCATCGTTTCAACCGCTACCCGCTTGTGATCGACCCTTCGGGCCAGGCCATCGACTTCATTATGAAGCAGTTTGAGGCTAAAAAGATCCAGAAAACTTCGTTCCTGGATACCGCGTTCCGAAAGGTAGGCTTTTCTCTGAAAGTTCTGATTTTCTTAATTTAGCAACTCGAGTCGGCTCTTCGTTTTGGAAATGCGTTGCTCGTGCAAGATGTCGAGAGCTACGATCCGATCCTGAACCCAGTGCTCAACCGAGAAATTCGCAGGGCTGGTGGCCGCATCCTGATCACAATCGGCGATCAAGAGATTGATCTGTCGCCTTCCTTCGAGATATTCCTCTTCACTAGGTATTTTGGGGTTTGGACTTCACTGTTTTCGATTTCAGGGACTCATCGGCCGAATTCCCACCAGACGTCTGCTCGCGTGTCACCTTCGTCAACTTCACCGTCACATCCTCATCGCTGTCCAGCCAGTGTCTGAACCAAGTGTTGAGGAGCGAGCGACCTGACGTGGACAAGAAGCGAAGCGATCTTCTGAAACTTCAGGGCGAATTTGCGGCTCGTCTCCGACAACTTGAAAAGGCTTTGCTCTCCGCACTGAATGAAAGCAAGGGCAAGGTAGGAATTAATCAGCCTTTGCCCATCTACCATCTTGCTAGATCCTCGACGACGACTCGGTTATTGGAACACTGGAGAAGCTGAAGACTGAAGCAAATGAGGTCCAGAAGAAGGCAGCCGAGACGGACCAAGTTATGGCCGAGGTCGACACGGTCTCGAGCCAATACTCGCCTCTTGCCGCCGCTTGCTCTCAAATCTATCATGCGCTGCAGCAGCTTGGCGAGGTAGATTTATTGGGGCTGCTTGTTTATTTTTTTTTAGGTGCACTTCCTGTACCAATATTCGCTCGATTTCCTCATTGGCATCTTCACGAACACGCTTGCAACCGAGGACCTCAACGGTGTTAGCGACTACAAGCAGCGCCTTGACATCATTACACGCGCTCTCTTCAAGGTAAGCTTTTTAGCGGTTTCCGTGTAAATATGCAAGATCGTACAGTAATATGGGTTTCTTTTCAGACTGTCTATGGGCGTGTGTCGCAGGGAATGCTTCATGCTGATAAGTCTATGCTAGCCTTGCTACTGCTGAGAATCTACGTGAAGGGATCCGCAAACACTTACGATGTGCAATGGAACCATTTGCTGGGCCGAGGCGAAAACACGATCAGCACGGTTGATGAAGGAAAGAAATACTCTGAGCTCACCTTCCTCACCGCTGGCCAACGCACAGCACTGGCCAAGTTGGCCAAGGTCCCTGGATTTACCCAAGCGCCCACGATCGTCTCTTCCAAGTATGCCCTTTCCTTTCGATCTTATATTGTATTTCTAGGGCAAACGAGGTCGCGAAATGGTTAGTGGAAGAGCAGCCCGAGAACAACGTACCTGTGCTCTGGAACGAGAGCGACAATAAACTTTGTAAGTATATTTTTTTGCTTGTACGCTCGGTTTAGCTGATATGGGAGCCGCCCTCTACCGCACCATCGTCATTCACACCCTACGCGCCGATCGCCTGCTTGCTTCCGTTCATCAGCTCGTTGAGTCGGTCTTTGGACAGGCGTTCATGGCCCAGGATCGTGTCATCGATCTAGCGAGGATTACGGAGACTGAGGTATCACTTTAGTAAATTGAAATAAACACGCTTTTAGGTGGGAGCATCTCACCCTCTCGTCCTCTGCTCCACCACTGGTTATGACGCGTCGGGCAAGGTTGAAGACTTGGCTGTTGAACAAGGAAAGGAAGTCACCTCAATAGCCATTGGATCGGCAGAAGGCTTCGAACAAGCTGAAAAGGTAAACTATATTTTATCTCCCTTCAAAGCCTTTTAGTCTCTGGTCTCCGCAACCAATTCCGGACGTTGGGTGTTGTTGAAGAACGTGCACTTGGCCCCATCATGGCTGGGACAAATTGAAAAGCGACTCCATTCTCTGAAGCCACATCCATCCTTCCGCCTGTTCCTCACAGCCGAAATCAATCCGAAGCTGCCATCATCGATTCTACGCACCGGTCGTGTCGTGGTGTTCGAACCAGCCACCGGACTCAAGGTAGCATTGCTTTTTGATAGTTCATTTCTGTTATTTAGGCCAATCTCTTGCGTTCTCTGACATCCATTCCTGCAGCTCGGCTATCAAAGGCACCTGCCGAACGATCTCGTCTGTATCTGCTGTTGTGCTGGGTACATGCCCTCATTCAAGAACGACTTCGCTACACGCCACTTGGTATTGTCGTCGGCACTTTTTTTTTAATTATCTTTTAGGCTGGGCAAATGCGTACGAATTCAGTGATGCTGATCTGCGCGTGGCCTACGATACCCTGGATTCTGCTGTGGACTCGATTGCTCAAGGTTAGGAGTGCCTTTTAGGTTCTTATTTCATTTAGGTCGCTCCAACGTTGCGCCAGAAAAGCTCCCGTGGGCAACACTGCGCACGCTTTTGTCGCAATGCATCTATGGTGGCAAGATCGACAACCAATTTGATCAATCGTTGCTGGACTGCCTGCTCGACAAGCACTTCAACCCTGCCTCGTTCAACCAAGAATTCCAGCTTGTGGAACGTTTCCATAACGATCAGCCCTTGAAGGTTATTTTGTTCGACAGCTTTGACCAGATTTTAGATGCCGGAAGCTACCTCAAAAGAATCTCTGCTGCAATGGGTCGAGAAAATGAGCCCGCAACAATTGCCGTCTTGGCTCGGACTACCAAACAATGCCGACAACGTCCTCCTGACGTTGCGTGGCGAGGCGATGCTCCGAAATCTGCTGAAGGTCTCCGAGGATGAATTCGCCGTTGGACCTGGACAAGAAGAAGCGGCCAAGCCTACCTGGATGCAGAATCTGAAGGAGCTGGTGTCGACCTGGATTGGCCAATTGCCAAAGGAATTGCAGCGCATGAAGCGCACAAAAGACAACATCCGCGATCCGCTTTTCCGCTTCTTTGAGCGGGAGGTTAACCTCGGAGCCAGCCTCCTTGTCGATATGCGCCAGGATCTGCAAGAGGTAATTTGCCGATCTGTATCGTTACGTACCTTAATTCTTTAGATTTTGGACATCTGCCGAGGCGAAAAGAAGCAAACAAACGAGTCACGCGCCCTCGCAGCCTCACTCCAACGTGGTCAAGTCCCGACAAACTGGCAACGCTACACGGTCCCGCGTGACGTTACCGTGATGGATTGGATGGGCGATTTCCGGGAACGAGTCAACCAGCTGCAGAGGATCACCGCCAGCTCTGCCCTCAAGGTATTCGTGCATTAAGGCTTATTGCCGATGATTTTCCAGAGAGAAGCCGTCTGGCTGGGCGGACTGTTCAGCCCTGAAGCCTACGTCACAGCTACCCGGCAGCAAGTTGCACAAGCCAACACGTGGTCGCTCGAGCAGCTGCACTTGCACGTCTCATTCGGCGACAGCGGAAGTGCGGACGCTTTCAAGCTTACTGGTTTGTCATTTCATGATGGCTCTAAGCGCTTCGTGGTTTAGGAATCGAGTTGCGTGGCGCCCAGCCTAGCAACAGCGGTGAACTGTCACTATCTGATTCTGTACGTACGGCTGTTGATTGTGTCGAATTTTCTTGGAAACAGGTATATCCTCCCGGTTACCCTATATGTTGTCCTAGGAAGCGTCCCTGGGCACCCGGCTGCCGCTCTACCTCTATGGAGACCGTCGTCATCTCGTTGTCTCCGCCTGCTTCAAAGCCAACAGCGGTTCAGCCTTCTACGAACGCGGTGTATCTCTGGTCGCGAACCATTGTTTCAATTAGGAATTGTTGATTTCGGTGCAATGAATTATTTTGCTGTTTTTTGTGCCCATGAGCTTATTGATATCGGGCAGCTTTACCGGGAATTTGCATAATAAACTTTTGAATGCTTATGACAGCCTCTAGTCGACTCGGTCCTTAGCTTCTCGCTGGCTATCTGTTAGGAAGATCGGGTCAGCTAATCGAATTGTAGGATGCCGGAACCTCTTGAGAAGCGGAGAAAAGGAGATCCCGAGCCCTTGCCGAAAAAGGTGCGCCCATACTTTTCACGCGCATACGAAAATTAGATCGATCCGGATGCGCAGATCACAATCCGTTTTGTCGGCGAGGATGGGAGCGAATTGGGCGGTATAGGCATGCTTTTTTGTTAAATTTGAATTAGGCGGGGGCATCGTTCTCCCTTCGGGGGTTTCTGTCGGCAACCTACAGCAGCTTTGCAACACTCTTCTCGAATCTGGCGATGACCCAGTGCCGATCTCGTTCTTTACTGAAGAAGGGCTCGAAATTCGTGACACCGTCAATGATTCACTGGATACGATTGATCAAGAAAAGACCCTAACACTGGTCTATGCGCCTCAAGCTGTTTTCCGCGTGCGACCAGTCACGAGATGTTCGTCCTCAATGCCGGGACATGGAGAGCCAGTCGTTTCAGCTCAGTTTAGTCCCGATGGCAGGTAGTGTATGAAAACGGTTCGCATTGCTTCTGTATTTTCAGCGGTCTGGCTTCCGGATCGGGCGATTGTACAGTTCGAATTTGGGATACACAGACTGAGCTGCCGTTGTACACATGCAAGGTTCGGACTGTTTTATGGGTTTCATTCAATGTGTTTTAGGGGCACAAAAATCACGTACTCTGCGTCGCATGGTCGCCAAATGGTTTGCGTATCGCTTCCGCGTGTCGTAATGGCCAGGTATGGTGTTATAGCTCGTCTAGGTTTGCGAGAATTAATTTTTTGAAACGGAAACCTAGGCCTAACTACGATTATAGCTTCTTTTGATTGTAAGGGGATTGTGCAGTCGGAACGATTGTCACTGACAGAAAAAAGAAAATATTTGAGTGGCCGCGTGAACGTCATGGTCGCTTATTTCTGCAATACTCCTGGCTTCTACCAATCATTAGCTAATTCATTTTCTAGATTCTTCTCTGGGATCCGGCGACGGGCGAGCAGGTCGGCAAGCCGCTTGCTGGACATAAACAGTGGATCACTAGCTTGGCCTGGCAGCCATTGCACCAGGATCCCTCCTGCAGGTTGTGTCGATCAATCTCAAACGAATTCTTTTCGTAGACTACTTGCTTCCGCGGGAAAGGACGGTAATATCAAAATCTGGGATACGGTCAAAGCATTGCCCGTGAAAACCCTGAGCGGCCATACTGCCTCGGTTACTTGTCTGCGTTGGGGTGGACAAGGTCTGATCTACACCGGGTCGCAGGTAGTATTCCTGCTTCCTCTGTGTATTGATTTTAGGACCGAACGATCAAGGTATGGCGTGTGGATGACGGAGTGATGTGCCGTAATTTGACCGGTTCGCACTATGCAATTTGTTTATATTTTCTGCAGGACATGCGCATTGGATCAATACACTAGCCTTGAATACGGACTATGTGATGCGCACTAGTTGTTTCGATCCCAGCAAGGGCTCTAAGCATCCGGAAAATGAATCACAGGTATCGCTTTGATCCGAATCATTAATGGAAGATTTCGTGCTAAAAATACCACGTTTAAGACGGACAAAATTCAAAAATAGTGTTCTTTTGGGCATGCTGGATAACAGTTCGGTTTTTAGGCGAAAGAAATTGCGGAGAAGCGTTATCAAGATGCGGTGCGTGTTTGTGGTGGGGAAAGACTCGTTTCAGGTACGTCCAAAAATTGTATCCTTTTGACGCGTTTGGCTTTTTAGGATCCGACGACTTCACCATGTTCCTTTGGAATCCCAGTGAAAATAAGCAGATGATTGCGCGTCTAACTGGCCATCAACAGCTGGTTAATCAGGTGAGCCGATGCATTGGGTGTGATATTTCTCGCAGGTGGTCTTCTCCCCAGACACCCGTTGGATCGCTTCAGCCTCCTTCGACAAATCGATCAAACTATGGTGTGGACGTACCGGGAAATTCCTCGCTTCGTTGCGAGGCCACGTTCAGGCTGTTTATCAGGTATCTATAGCTTGGGTGGTTTAACCACGATTTAAGGTGGCTTGGTCAGCCGACAGCCGTTTGCTAGTCTCTGGCTCGGCAGATTCTACGTTGAAGGTAGACTTACCCAGTTATTTTCATGTTCTTTTTTAGGTATGGGATATGCGCAGCAAACATCTGATGTTTGACCTGCCCGGTCATGGTGACGAGGTCTACTGTGTTGATTGGAGCCCGGAGGGCACGAAGGTTTGTGATTTCATGAGCCATGCATTAATTTACTCCCTTGCAGGTCGTATCGGGCGGAAAGGACAAGATTCTGAAGTTGTGGCGCCAATGATACGAACACAACTTGTCATTTTCTAGAAATATTTGTTGAACTTTTTACTTTGTTGCGTTGTTGCTGTTTTGTTCTCCCCTTTGTTGAGCGATAAAAATTCTTCAAGAATCAACGTAGTTGCGATGGGAATAACCAAAAATTTGGATTATTGCGTTTTTGGCCTTGCATCCGTGTACGATGACCGGAAATTTTAGGACAGGCATGACACCTCAAAAGGGTATCTTCTTGCGGACAGCACAGGATGTGAAAAGAGACTTGAGGTTTTTTTGAATCTGGTGTTAAATAGTTGCTCAGGTTAAACCGGGCGGTCACACTATCCCAGATGAAGGTTTGTAATGGGGTGATGTTGGCAGCCATCGCGCCCGATATACTGCTCAAAGCGTCTGTCGTGTCTTGGACGGAAAAGCCTTTAGGTGACATCGTGGTTACACAAAAACGGGATTCTAGAAATTCCGATACCGGAAGCGCCGTCAGGTCTTTCGCCCGAGCACATTCATCTGTCTCCATCGGGACTACACGCTATTGTCTCCTACCCAAGTGGCGAAAATTTTTACGTGCACACCGCTTCGGCCAAATGCATCCGAATTAAGAGATTTCGGGTATTTATAGTTCCCTGTTTTATTTATTCTCGACCTTTAGGGCATGGTCACGGCTGTCGGTTGGAACCCTGAAATACAAAAAGCCGAGGAGACAGGTCCAATATTGATTGCTGATGCAAAAGGTTTTTCGAATTGGCTGGAAGTAACCGGTTGGCTTTCAGGGAACATTGTGGAAACTGTGTTCACCAGCACTGGCTCGATCCCCTATATGGAAAAGGTTATAACGACGAATATCGAGAAGGACTCACCAGTAAAATGAAAGAAATCTGCGAAATGCTATTCCGCTTTAGATTTGCGATATACAGTTGCGGGTGGTAAATGATGAAGACGAGAAGAACGCCAGGTGGTTTTTGTCTTCTCTCTAAATGCATCATTTTAGATGGATATGCATCATCTGCCAACCAACCCGAATGCACGTACAATACGGTACCGTTGATGTTACCGCAATGCGCTCTGGAACGAGGATTCACGGAAATGTTCGCAGTTCCGTCGCATTACAGGTGTCTATTTGAAGCAGATTATGCAGTATGCTTGTCAAAAATTTCAGAAGAAAAGCCAACTTGGGAAACCGATTCGTAAAATCAAAAAGCTGAAAGTATGCCCCTTGCTAAGGCCGGCAAAAATTTTTATGAGCCTTTTGCGATACTTTTATTTTTTATTTAGCCCCAACGCTTCAAAATTAATGCGAGTTTTAGAACCTGGCGGTCTTCAGTTCGGCCAACGAACCCACTGCCGAGCCTGTGCTATCCCAAATATTTTCTGGAAAACGTGGGCTTTTACAACGAAAAATTATGGTCGGTATTTAGGAGCCAGCAGTGCGGTTCTGACTGTGAAGAGTCCACAGAGGCCAACATGGTCAAGATTGGCCATGTATCCGTCGGAGCAACCATCAAAGCGTTTCGTCTTCGTTTCGGGTCAAAGGTAGACGCATGGTCAGTTTTTATGAATGTTGCTTTCCAGTTATATGGTCGGCACCGTCGACATGGAGGCAGAGCAGGCGAGCGGGTTTTTGGTGGAAGACAAGTCAATTGTGTACGTTCCTCGGATACTGTTATGAACACGACGTTTAGATTGCCAAGGGTCGAAGGACAAGTCGAAGAAGCCGTGGGAGTGGGACTATCGGAATGGCATATCGTCTTTGGGTTTCCCTCCAGGGTCGTGGCGGTGTCGATCTTTACCCACGGCGTCGTATATGAAGATCGGATTGCCTCGGTAAGAAAAGTGGCGAAAGCCGGTGAGAGTGAGAGAGAGAAATTGTATGTTCTGTCATATTCTTAACCATGGTCAGTGTATTTGAAGGCGATAGATGCAACAACACATTCGAAAAACCATTTATTCGATAACGCCAAGAAGACGTCTAGGGGTTGTACTCAATGGGGAGATTCTTGCGGCGGACCATGCCGTCACCCTGGAACCATTCGCGGCGGAACTGCTTGGCGGCACCGTCGGGGGTGTTCGTCCACTCGATCGTCACGCGGTCGTTGTTCGTGTCCTCGGCTCCGAATTGGAACGAGTCGCACGAGACGGCAACCTGCAAAATTGGAGATGATCAACGACACGGAGAAGGACGGACTGGCCATGAAGCTGTCAAATAACCGACCAAGACCTGCTCCTTGGGGTCAAGAACTCCGCACGGCGGGTCGACACCAAGGCGCTTCATGTTGGTGGTCTTGAAGGCCCATCCGATGCGACGACCGCCAGAGTTGATGACCTTGATGTGGTAGGTGTGCTTGTCATCGTAGGGGGCGTTGAAGACAATCTTCGTGCCGGGCTGGGTGGTGATGTCACCGGGAGCGACGGATTGGGCCATCTTCGAGAAGTTTGGATACCGAAGCGACGGCTGAGATTCTTTTTATACCTGAGAACGCATGGTAATTGGGTGATGGTAATGAGGGGTTTCCGGAATTTATAGGATTTGGATTTAAATGTATTTAAAGGACCTTTTTCAAGGATGGCTTAGGCTTGGCTTACAATTATGATTGTTAGGCGCCGGCTTAATGTGGTTGCGCTTATGATGTATCTATTGTACATAGAAGAGTTGCCTTATCGAAGTTCTTACGGATTTTTTTTTAGTTTCCAAAGCTTACACAACGTTTTCTAGGAGTTCGGTCCGCTTCGCGGCTTGACGACCGAGGCCCCTTCCGAATTCCATTGGGCGTTCACCGACACCTTCGCAATTAAGTACCGACCTGACGATGAAGCACGGTAGCATCTACCTCAGAAATATGGCCTTCATTCAGATACGTATGGCGATTGCTGCTGGACCGTGGAGACTACACGAGGGCCGTGACTGTAGCCCGAGATCGGCGAAGAATCGACCCGTCCGCCTACGAACTAGTACTGCGCCGACAGGCAGATAAACACATCCTCGATAAAAAGTGGGGTTTGCGAGATTTATGAGGAATGGCTTGCTAGTTACATCGCTGCCGCCGAGATTCTCGCCTACAGTTCGGAGCCGTTTGAGACTGTGAGTTGTTGACAATAATTTTGATTTTTTTGCGTAGCTGGTCTTACGCTTCTTATCCACCGACGACGATAGGAGGACTGGACTAAAGACGCTACTCGAGAAGAGGCTGGAGCAATATTCAAGACCAGAGGTGAACATTTCAGCCCGGTCTGAATTTCCATTATTTTCTTTCTAGGAAAGGATAAAACGAGACGCCCTGATCCTGTGGCTTCTCGAGGTGCAGCTCGAAGAATTGGCGGAGAGTCGCCGTGGCTCTGCGGACGCTGAAGGAGAACGAGCCCATCAGCTCACCAAACAATTGATCTCATTCCTCAACCGGAAAGTCGTCTTTGTAGGGGATTACCTTGTGACTGTAGCAGTTCCAATCTAGGAATTCATCGCCGCCAACAAGGAGGCCGTCTACAAGCTCGTCGTTTCGCACGCTGATTTTGAGATGCAACTCTACATCGCGCAGTGTCTGAAAGGTATTCAGAGAGTTGTTATCATATGCGTTCCAGACTGGCCCACCGTAGCCAACATTCACATCCTGCGCGAACGGTTTGATGATGCATTGGCTGTGCTGAAAGAACAGGTTAAATTTATCGACAAAATGCGTAACCTTTTTTCCAGAAGTCTGCCGATCTCTATGTAAAGTACGCGCCGATACTGGCGATCAGATTACCCAAAGAATTCTTCGAATCACTTGTGCACGTGGTTAGTTAAAGCTTCTTACTTCAGAAATATATTTTTAGCCAAGCTTCCGTCCAAAGAGCATCGTATCCGTGTTGGCAGAGTGCCAGAATGAAGCGAAACTCGTGAGTTTATTTTTTTATAAGTTTCAAGGCATTGCTATAGGCTGTTGCTGCAATGACTTACTTGGATTGGGCCATCTCCAAGGTAGCGCAGGCTGACATCGCACTTCGGAATCTCCTAATAGCAATGTTAGTTTATTCAGTTTGGTTTTATTTTAATGTACGTTTAGGTACGCTCGATACCGTCCGAAGCAGCTTTTAGTCCATCTGGAGGGCATGGGCAGAGACAGGACACGGCTCAACTACGATACAGACTTTGCACTCCGGACGTGCCAGCAATACAGTTGAGCTTCGGATTTTGGCTTTTACAAACACGTTGAAGGAATTGAGGAATGTATTGTCTTCTTGTATTGCGTTAATGAGATGTTTCCGGAGGCGGTAGACATTGCGCTCAAGGTTCGAATTTTGGTCCGGCTAGATTGGGGTTTTTTTTTAGTTAGACCTGGATTTGGCGAAGAAATGCGCTCGTTGGATGGATGCGGCTGATGACGTGGGTTGCCGACAACTTTTTCAGTCAATTGGATGCTTTTAGGATATATTTTCCGACAAGATCTATCCGGAGGAATTACGGCGTAAAGTATGGTTGATGATAGGTGTGTAGCTTTTAAAACCATTCTAATTTCTCTTTAGCCGAACACGTGATCAAGACGACCAACGACGCGACTGTTGCCATTGGGCTTCTTCGTGAGAGCGGCGACGTCATAAAGATTCAAGTATTTCACTACTTCTCGTCAAATTGAAATTTTCTTTAGGACATACTCCCCTTCTTTGCCGATTTCACGGAACTCCAGTTATTCAAAGAACCGCTTACCGAATGCCTACGCGAGCATTCTGCAAAAATTCAGGTAACTTTAGCCATCTTTTCTTCACCAAAAAATAGGACCTGCAAACAGCGATGCGAGAGGCAACGACGACGGCGAAGGAAATTCGAGATCGTTCTGAGAAGCTGGGCAAAAGGTTTGAAAATTGATCGGTTGAAAACATGCGGTTTAGATATACGGTAATCCGAGCCGCCGAAACGTGCTGTAGCTGCTCAAGGACGCTGATGAGTCGCCCTTTCTTCTCGTATGCCTGTCGGCACTTTTTCCATCGGGATTGTATCGAAGGCTTGGTTCGGCCTTTGCTGAATCAGGTAATTTTTACGGGAGTTTTAGCTATGGCATATTACAGGAAGCATGTGGCCGTCTAGATCGACTAGTGAAAATCGAGGGACAGCTCATCGTTGCATTGGACGCTGAAGATCGCGTTGGGAATCCACGCTCAACAGAGGCCATTAGTCAGTTTTCGCTTCTCAGGAATTTAGAACGCTTTTAGAACGCGAACAGCGGCTCTCCGAAGTCAGCGCTGACATTGGCGAAATCTTGGGCGACGATTGCCCTCTGTGTGGTATTCGAGCCATCGAGTAAGTCTTTCTGTGAAAATACATTATTTTTTTCCAGGCAAATCGACCGATCATTCTTCGACGTTGATGCCTACGAAGCCGACGAAGCCACGTGGAAATTTTAGCGTCAACTGCCATATGCTTGTACTGATCAAAAACTCACACTGTAATATTTATAAAACTCTCATACTTTGTGATATGCTCAGTTAAAGACCGTCAGAACGATGAAATTCCGTTGAGAGCAAGAAAGTTGCGCACCGGGCGGGAGTCGAACCCGCGATGGCTCGCTCCACAGCCCGACGCGCTAGCCACTACACCACAGGGCCAAGTGGGGAAGGGAGTCAGAGACGCCCCAAACCCCAGAGGGCCTTTGCCCAGTACGGGGCACCACTAATGACGCACCTCTCTGCGCGTTCTTGGGGGCAGCACCCTCGGGGTGACAGTGCGCGTTCCATCGTTCTGGTAGTCTTTAAGGGTGCCTTCATCATAACTTATTTTTCTTTAGATTTTTCTGTGGATAAAGATTGTTGGAGAGTTTGCTGGTAGCATCAAAAAGCGACTTATAAATCGGTGATCTTATCTCAACGCTTAAAGCCTTCGAGCCGAGACTTAGAAAAGAAAAATCTAGTTCGGAACTTATATATATCATCGGTTTCTGTCGGCACCTATGATACCTATTCTATCCGCTTCAGTTAAAGCGTAGAAAGTACGAAAATGTAAATTTGCAGTAAGCAATGACCGATGGCCGAACAGGTCCATTGGAAACACACCTGGCCATGTGCTGAAGTTTTAGGTGCGAGCTTAACCTGGTCAACCTATTGATCCCCGTTTTACAGGCCAATTCATTGCTGGTAACTCTGCTCTCTTCCGGGATCGTCACGCGCTCGAATTGGGCGCGGGAGCCACGGGAGTTTGCGGGCTGGTGGCGGCAAAAGTTGGAGCTGTTTCCGTTGTGTTCACGGACCATCCGGGACTCGCTCAAGCCTTCTCGATTCTCGAAAAAAACATTGCAAAGAACGGCGTCAGCGAGAGGTGTAAGGTTCAGGTATGTTTGATGCCGCGAAGTGGGCTCATTTGGTCTAAACTGGCGTTTTTTGAGCTTGTTATTTAGGGACTCGACTGGAACAACCCCGAATTGGAAACATTGGCGAGAGTTGACGTCGTAATCGCCTCTGATGTCTTTTACGAGCCAACGGTGATTTGATTGAAACGTTTTTGTGATCCGTTTTTCAGGTATTCGAGCCACTAGTGAACACTATTGACAAGCTGCTGACAAAGTTCCCGAAGGCGAACGTTTTCTTCGCTTATCAAAACCGGGAGTGAGATTTTTCAAAGCTATCAGCCGCGATGGCATCGCATGGGTTAAAAGGCCATGCCCGCTGCTGCGTGGTATCGATTCCTTTGAACTTTGGCGGGTAGCGGGGCCAAAGATCAAAATACAGGAAAAGCTTCTGAGGTGGAAATTAGTATTTGATTATCTTCTAAGGAAGCTCTTTAGCGACTGGTCGATTGCTGAACTTTTGATTGCTCGTAAACTCGGCTGTTCGCTGATACGCACCATCGAACACGACTCGTACACGATACAGCTGGGAAGCATCTATCGCATCTCGATGGCCGACGAGGACGTGTTTGCTGGTATTGAAGGGTACTTATATTACCTTTTCTCTATGATTTTTTAAAGGGGCGGCAGTTGCTCCAGGCTCGTCTTTCTGAATGCTAAAGCCGAACCTTTAGGCGAATTTCCCGGATCGGTAGGGTTCGCTCCAAGCTAAAGTATATTTTAGGGCACCAACCTGTTCCTAAATGGCCTGGAGTTAACAGCAAATCAGATTGCCGCCTGGGTGCGGGACTCGAAGGAGAAGCTGGGCATCAAGGGACCATTGCGGTCTTTGGTAATCCGAAAAGTAATCATGTACGACTTGTTTTAGGGCATGGGTCTCTCGGGTGCTGAAGACCCGGCGATGAACGAGAAGCTGGTCAATTATCTACTTACAAATCACGGGGACGTCACTGAAAAGGCGCATCTGGTTTCTGACTCCGTCGCTTGCATTGGTGCCAGTTTCAAGAACGGTAGGAGCTTCAGAATTAGCAAAATTACGATTTTCAGGCGGAGTTGTCCTCATTGCGGGTACAGGCTCAGCTTGCCGTATGTTAACGGAAACCGGCGAGGAGCACCAAGTGGGCGGCTGGGGCCATATGATCGGAGACAGCGGCAGCGCTTATTGGATCGCAAACCGGTAGTTGCATCCCCGTTTAATCAGTTTTGTTCAGCGGTATCCGACTATTATTCGACGTTGATGATGGCGTTGTAACTCCGGTGGGGTCTGTAGAAACGCTCCGGAAGCTGGTGCTAGAATATTTCAACATCACAGACAAGGTTAAATTTTTTGACTTTCCGAATTATTCAATACCTAATAGGTGCAAGTGCTCGACTACTTCTACAACCAATTCTCTAAATCGAATGTGGCGCGTTTGACGGAAAGGATGGCTGCCGGTACTGAAATTCTGCCAAAAATTACCATTTTTTTAGTGGCGGATGACCCGGTAATAGCACAACTTTTCTTTGATGGAGGCTTCGAACTGGGCAAACACGTGGCCGCCATCAGTGCCCATATGTCGGAGGTTAGAGTCGGGATTTTCTTTAAATTCGCTTCAGGCGATGCTCAAAAATGTTCCGATTGTGATGGTCGGAAGTGTCTTCAAGTCCTGGAATCTTTTGAAACCAGGTAATGACTTCCGGTCCTCAAAGATAGTGTTCAGGTTTCATCGAGGCCGTCAAAACGTTAGCGAAGCGTCGTATAGAGGCAGCCACACTACACCAGCTCAGCGAAACGAACGCATTTGGTGCTGCTGCAATTGCCGCGGCCAAAGAAGCGCAACAAGATTTGCCATTTGTACATCAACCCATCATTTTCGACACGATCGAATTACTGTGATAATGCATAGAATTGACAAATTTGTACGGATTTTGATATTGAAGTATCCGAAATTACTACAATTAAAAAAATTTATTAATGAAAGGTGAAATCTGAAATTGCAGAATGTAAGAAAGAAGAGTTAGTTTCTCGGGGCGGCTCTTATTTTGCGGTCTTCAACATGTCCAGCAACTCCTTCGTGCACTCGGCCCGCTGCTTTTTCATCCAAAGGCGAGCAGCTTCTGTAATCAAAATGAAATGCACTTTAACCTTAAATCTACCTAATTCTAAGGGATCGGGATTCGGCTTCCTCTCGGCCTGTGTTGATGCGTTGATCAAATACGCCTCAAAGTAATCACCGACCTGAAAAATAGGAACGAGTATATCCCAATTTAACCAAACCGACCACTTTCATGTTCAGATCAAATCGTGATGGGTTGCGGCAGCCGAAGAAAATCTGGAAGATTATAAAAAGTCGAATCAAAAGGACTACCTCTCTCCAGGAACCGCCTCTCGCCAAAGTCTCTCGCCAACGATGGAGAGCCGGACCAAGCTGGCACAAGCGTTCGTCCAGATTCCAGTGTTGCTATAGCACGATCTCAACGTCGTAAAAGAATCACCTCAGCCCTTTTCCGCTTCAACCAGGCTGCCAGAAATTTCTTCCGTTCTTCTGTCGATATTCCTGGAGTCGCGGGGTTTTCATCGGCTCTGCAATAATATTCTTCCTTCAAAAACAGCCAATTTCTTTAAAACCATAACCGCTGAAGCTCACCGATATTTTTCACTTTTCGGCGGCTGTGGTGAGAGTTTTGTTGGGAAGGCGTCGATCAGGTCGATAGGTGGCGTGGAACCCGTCGCGGTATCCAGAAATCCCGATTTTGAGGATTGACTAAAATCTATGACATGCAAAAAGTAAAAACGTGATACTTACGGTGGGTACAGGTCCGACTCGATCAGTTCCGAATATACTCCACAATTCAGGCAGGCAAACGAGATTCGATTGCATTCTCCGGCAGGGCCAAAATGCAGGTCGACCGTCGTATTGTCTGTTCGGCACCTCTGAAATGGATGCGGAAATCAGACGCTATGATTAGGTTATTGCGAGGAAATTAGCGAGTCTTTTAGAACTGGTAACGTGCCAAAATACCAAGAAAGCTAACCACACAAATTTTCACCGCGCTGATCACTTGTTCTTTGTTGCCGTAGTCGATTTCGCGAAAAATGTGGAAGGGTCTTTGGAGGAATTCAGGCGGGTTTGCCATGGTTCTCTGAAAAAAGATTTGAGGTAAAAGGACGCCAAGCATGATTAGAAATAAAAAAGCTAAAAACAAATTTATAAAAACAGTAGAACAAATAAAAACGATGACCACACTATAAATAACGTGATAACTACACGGGCGGGTTTTTAGCCCTCGGACGTAACGAGTCACGAACGCGGCACACCACTTTACACCGCGTAATTGATTGCCCAAACCCAGTTTTTTAATGACAAATAATCTTGTAAAGGTTATTCTGACGCTAGAAACAAAAAGATAGTTGTAAAGTTGTAAAGAAGCAAGTTGTAAAACAGATTTGGACGTGTAAGGGGCATAATCTTGCGTGTTTCGAGTAGATTGACGGTTTTTCTGGTTCATTGCACGCCAGTACGAATACGAAAGCCTGTTCTAAGACGAAGAAGCTCATCTATAGTCACCAACACGTTGTTCTCCATTTTCGCGAGCAATTATCGTTAGCAACCATTGTACACACAATGTTCGCAATGCAATAATCTTTTGTGAATTACCCAAATATGACAGTATAACTGATAGCCGTAGGCTAAGACTTAGAAGAGGCTAAATGGGCTGAACTCGAAGGAGCAATGGTAGCGGTAAAAAGCAAATCAGACAAGCGCTTTACAATGTCCCTATCATCACCAGTGTTTTGCGCATGCTCGAGCGTCACATCATTAGGTTTCATCCTCATTTAAATGCTCTCGACGAAGCTAGGCTGGTTTTGTAGACGGTCAACAAGCAAAGTGCATGGCGTAACACTTACTTATAATGGCAGTCGGCTCCTAATTGAATCAGAATTGGTGTAAGGATTCTTACTAGTTAGTCATGTGTGGTGAACCAGCAAAATCGTCAATCTGATCGAAACACGCAAGAAGATGCCCCTTTCACCTTCATATCTGTTTTACAACTATCTTTCTTTTGTTTCTAGAGTTAGAATAACCTTTACAAGATTATTTGTCACTAAAAAACTGGGTTTGGGCAATCAATTACGCGGTGTAAAGTGGTGTGCCGCGTTCGTGACTCGTTACGTCCGAGGGCTAAAAACCCGCCCGTGATAACTACAGTAGGATTCCGTGTTGCAACTTCTTACGAATTACGTACTTGGTGCAAAATAGTGGGCCCGGATCGCATCACATTTTTCTCAACCTTTATTTTTCATTTTTGGCCCAACAATTTTACCTTTCTTTTCCTTTACTTATTTGCATTGGTTGATGATTACTTCCTTTTTTCAGGTGATGTATACGGAGGTCAAAGAAGCCGTCAACGTGATTGCGCGCCTTTGCTTCGGCAAAGTTCCCCGTCGCAAGGTTGGTGTCTTCTGCGAGGAGTTGGGCAACATCCTCACCGTACGCTTCGCAGCCACGTGGCATCCGAATAATCCGCAGGATGGTAATTACGGCTATTATCTTCAACATTCTTTACAGGCGAGGGCGTGCGCACACTGGTGTTGAAGAAGGATGGCATTTTTGAAGAAAATGTGCTCGAGGCCGCCCAAAATATTTCGGTCAACATGGTGCAGCTCAACAAAGCCATTCCGGGTAAAACTACAACTTCTGAAAAGCTTTGTTCAGAAGGCACCACCATCAAAGTCAATCCGGGGCTGGTGGCGTATTCGATGTCACCGACCTCTACGTTCACTACGATCTGGGCTGGGCCGACCGATGAGGATGACCGGTAGGGTAGTATTGTACTTTTTGAATGCACCGAAGCATAGTTATTCTCCGTTCCCGGCCTTCTGCTTGGGGATGCACTCGCTTCCGGCTAGCAGCTTCGCACGTTCGCCGACGAAGGCCGCACCGATCTTTGCGCCAAGTATTCAACAACGTGAGACGAAACAGGGAGGGATGAAGCGTGACAACCTCTGCCTCAATCTCGTCTCAGCCAGCGAGATGAATAAAGCTGAGGGACCGGTATCGTATTTTTTATCAGTTTCCATTAGTTTTAGTTGGTTTTCCAATATTCCGGCAGCGAGCAAAACATGGTCAGCGTCCGCGAGTTCCGCCATACCCGTTTCGGCACGTTGAAGTAAGCTTTATTTTTATTTTCAAACCGTTTTTAGGCAACGCCCGGATCACGAAATGATGCGCTTCGTCCAGTCCCAGGCTGGCGTACACCAACCCGCGCTCCACTACGTGACTGGACAGCAGAATGGTTCGACAACGTTGATATTCTAAGATTCTTCAGGTTTCTCCTGTGTCCCACCTCCTCCGGCGCCATTTGCGGACGTCGTATTTGGCTCGATTCCCCCGAATGGCCTATTGTCTAACAACTACCATCAACTCGTGCAACATCGTCACGCTCAAGAAGGGCAGCACTTTATGGCGCTCCCGAATATGGATGTGAATGCACTTCAGACTGGGGACTCTGGAATTGGTATTTTCACACCTTGTTTTTCAATAACTTCGCCGTTCTAGCCTGCGCCGCCTACACCCTTCCGGACGAAATTCATCGTTCCCCCAGCAAGAAGATTAATTTTCTGTGAAATATTTTGTGTGATCTCGATGATACGTTAGTTAAATTGCTAATATATTTTGCTACTTTTTTGTTTGGATAAATTCTTTTTCCGTGTCTGCCTCAAGATTCACAACCGGGTATGTCTGGATCGAAAATGCAAGGGGGAGGTATGGTGTGGGCAGGGGCAGCTGATTGTCAGCACTGCGTTTCCGGGATAAGGATGCTTTTCTGCACATTGATTTGTTTATTATTTGCTTCGGTGGTGGCGAGGTAAGTTGGTTGCTAACAATTGGAGCTTAATCTGGTGATAATAGCGATCAAATTCGAGCGAAACGACAGTTCGAAACGGAAGTTACCGTAAGGACGGCTAAGAACGAATGGAGAACAAGCTATCAGCAGCCTCTGGATAGTGTAAGGGTTTCTATAATTCTCAATGCTAAACTAGTTGCTGGAAAGTGGCGTCCCGAATGTTCTCTATCAAGGACTGCCCGGCAATGCTCCGCCGCAATCATTCGTCAGGTATCGAGCGTTCGCTGCTCCTGCCCTATTGCCAGCCGGTGCACAGCGGGTCGTGCGGCAAGATCCGAACGGGTTCCTCGGGCCGATGTCCAAGCAGGGTACCCCCCAACAAACGGTTAGGCTAAACCCATTTTTCCCTTAAATTTTTAGAAATAGGCGTTTGCTCCGGTTTTTAATTACTTTTACCCGGATCCCCTAACTGGCGCTTCTGCGAGACAAGAGCGGCTTGGAAATGCGGAAGATAACAAGTGGGTTTGACGCCAAACCTGAGACCTCAGAACTTAGAAAACTATTCGATATGTTGCGTTTCGATGCCGCAACGAATAATGGAAACGCGGTATATAATCTAAAAATAACTAATGACCACCTTTTCAGAAAGCGCGGAGAACAACAGCTGCAGATACGGCTAGCCCGACAGTCATCCGGCGATATTTCTTTGTTAGGAATGCGTGATTTGCATAAAAATAATTAACACAAAGTTGTTCCTGCCCCAAAATATCACGCTGCATTTTTCTACAGTATTTAGATTGATGCGCTATGCTGTCTGGAGGCTCTATGGTCTCTACAATCGTTGGTGCTGATCAAATTTTAGGTAATTGATGGTGATCCACGGCGCATGTTGCAGAAAAATGTGGAAGGTACAAGGGATTTGCTGCGCCAGGTGTTTTTTTTTTTACTTTTATCTAAACAATTGATGCGTTCTAGGTGAAAAACGCTGTGGAAATTGCTCGTAAGAAGAATGATGACCGCAAGAATGAGCTCAGTGCGGTAAGGAATTACTAGTATAAACGATTTTTCCTCTAGAAACAAGCAGCGGCCAATGAGCTCCATGCCGGCATCGGTCTCTACCGTCGTCGCGAGGTCGAGCTGGCGAAGCAGATGGATTCTTGGATTATGCTGATCGCGAAGCAACGCGCTGCTGTAGCGATCTATTATTGACAAACACCTTTTCATAATTACAGTTTGCGAAGGAGGATGCCCGCTTCAATCGTGTCAGCAAGGAAAGCGACAGGCTTTGCGAAGACTTGGAGGGCAATTTGGCGCTTCTCAGGACGAAGCGAATGAGTGTCGACAACCTCGTGATTATGATTGCCGAATCGAAGACCATCCATATGGTGAGAAAGCACAGACGCACAGAATTTACCATGACAAATTTCAGACCACTCTTGCTGGCCTCCGCGGAAATTTGAGGAAGAAGAAAGAAGAGCTGCAGGTAGGGCGGAGCCTCTGAGAAGTAAATCTTAAATGTTGCAGATCTGGGACACGAATGCCGTGGCTAACAAGCGATCCATTGCCCGGCTCTACGAGGACAAAATGATGACCCGGGCCGCAATCGAAAGCCGTCGCACTCGCCTTGCTGAGCTTCAGGTCTGATGAAGCAACTCTTAAACTTTGGTTTAGAATGTCTGCTCGACAACGGCCAGCCGCATCTCGGCAATCGAGGAGACGAATCGTGCGCTGCAGGAACCTCTGGCAGTAAGTATGCGCATTTACGCTTCAACTGTGCTAACTAGGTCACACACGAGCCCCACCGCGCGCAGATCATCTCGCTGGAGCCGATGATGGCGGCAGGAAAGCAGCCGAGTTTGCAGCAGCCCCCCGCCAACCGCACGATCCAGAAGGAATACGTCAAAACGTACGGCTAAAAGCTCAAGGAAGGAGCCTTACCTAACGAAATCTATAAAATCTGGAATCTTGGGTTTTCATAATTTCGAATTTTCATGACTTCGAAACCAACGGAATTGGAAATTGCACCGCTAGGCGCTGCAGCCAGTCTAACGAAATTTCGAGATTCTGAAAAATCGAGATTATTAGAAGCTAAGCCCTGAAAATTCAAGATTTTTGATAGGTTCTCGGTCAAGCCTCGTAGCCCGTCTCATCATCCGCGCTCTCCATCCCAGAAAGCCGGAAAATCCCCCGTGCGTCCGGCTTCGAGTAATCTGACGTTGGCCCTGCGCCCTGAGGAGCCAGCTCGGGCCAAAGCGGTAGGAAACTGCGGAAGACACATAATTTTGATAGGTTTTTTTCACTGTATGTAAGTCAAAGATTCTTAACGTTTTCAAAAAATTATTCAGAAAGTACAAAGTAGTTACAAAAGATAGTTATAGTAAAGTTATAGTTATAGTAATAGAAATCAAAAACTAACGTCTCCGGCTAACAGTCCAACCCTCCGAAAGTCCAGAAACAGCTATTTTTAGCCAAAGATTGTCGAGATGGAACTCCGTTCGGGATTTGATGAGCCCCAGCTGCAGCCGGCCGAATTGACCCCCTCGAAAGCTGATCTCTACAATCGGTTGGGCAATGTTGCAAGCTCCAAGAAACCTCTTCCTCCGCAGCCTACCCAGGTTCCAGTTCTTTAGAAAGTTCGCTAAAGGAACGGCATTCAGAAACAGATCGAGCGACTCGCCGCCAAGCTGATGTCCAAGCCCACTCGTTAGACGCGCCCGAATGAATCCCCTTAATTGATTAAAAGTGTTTGATTGATTCGATTTGCGGAGAAATAAAGGTTTCGCCGTGAACACCTTTTTACAGTTCGTGATGTAATGATAACAGCACAGTAAAGCGAAGTTTCAAGCAACCTCGGCGACCACCGGAACATCGTGTGAAAGTGCGAGGCTAACAGCGCTCGGCATCGATTTCCGTTCGGGATGGTGATCCGGCATAAAAGATTGAATGCTCTCAATAGACGAATTGAACCGTCCCCAACCCCCGCCCCCGACGCAATCCCATATTGGCAATCATGATGTGTTCTGGGGATCCCCCGAGTGACACCCCCCGGGAAATAACTCTCCGAAAGGTCTTTTTACCGCCCCCGACAGTATCTGGCAAAACTGTTCAGATCATTATCCTTGCTCAACAGCCCCCCAACAGTCCACAGCAATAAATACCCAAACATTCCCGAATCGAGCCGAAATCGCGGGCGGATCTTGATGGGAATCTAGCGGCGGCGGCCGTTCCCGCCCCGAGGCGCTTAGCATGTTCATATTTGTGGGGCACTCGATGCGGGCTGCAGTCGGTCCCCCCACACACAGACTCTTTCTTTTCATCCCTTTGTTGCCGTTGCATTCCAGCTAGAGCCCATCCCATCCCTAGAGCCCCCTCCTATTGGGCACCAACCCCATCCACGTGTAAATAGTCACTTCCGGCGAGCCGCGCCCACCTGTTCCAATAACCATTGCATGCCCTTGTCACCCACCGGGTTATCAAGGCCCCCCCTTGTATCCGGCTACGTCTGTTTTGATTTCCCTTTTGCGGGGCGGATCGCCAAAATCTTTGATCTTTTCCCGCAAACCGAGTGTGAGACGTGGACTAAAAGCGCGGCTGAAAAGTATAATATATTCCATCACCACCATTTCATCATCAACCCAAGTTTTTCCGCGATTTCGTCATATCCTACTCCTATTTATATAAACCTCCTAAACTTCCTAATTATATAAACCAGCGCGAGCCACCCTCGCCCCCCGGGGGATCGGCCAAACAGCTGGCAGCCGGCAGCTTTTCGGAAATGCGCTACCGAGCATCCGGTTTCACTGGATTTCGCCCAAATCTCGACGATCATTGTGATAAGCCGATCACGCGTGAGCAAACTCTGCCCCCAAAGATTGGCGGTGGGCCGAACCTTTTTTGGTGTGCGCGTATCCCGTGGTTTTTTCGAGGTACCTACGTAACGGAGATACAGATCTGTCGAGCACTATGCGATTGTTATCCAAACAAAAAAGTAACGCGCCAGACCCGCCTCTGCCGGATTCACCAAACCACCCATGGAATTCTAAACAGCACCTAGCCGTAACCGGTCTGTTGCGTACATCGGGTACGGTAGTCACGACCCGCAGCGGACGGTCGATTTTCCAGCTAACTCATTTCGATTTTTGGTGATCAATCTGATCACTGATTTTGTTTAGCAAATTTATTATTATCTTCCTTTCTCTTGCTATGATTTACCTTCATTCGGAAATTTTGTTTGCGTTTATTTTTGACTTTCTTTAAAACCCAAGATTTTCTTTTCTCATAAACATTTCAGCATTTCGTTGCGTTTGGCATGTATATAGAGCTCTCTTGCAGGTCATTTATCACCTGTGACGATGTGCGGCATTTTTTCTTGCCTCAACTTCTTGGCCCCGAAGACCCGCGGCGAGGTCATCGATATCCTGATCCAGGGTCTCCAGCGCATGCAATACCGTGGCTACGATTCAGCTGGTAACTTAGCAAGTTTATCTTTAGCTCCTTGTTTAGGGACTGCTATCGATGGCAGCAACGACAATTTGAAACCACATGGTGAAATTATGTTGATGCGCAGAGCGGAGAGAAGCCTGATCGAGACTCTAAAGCCCCTCGATCCTTCCCAGGAGAAGGAGATTGATCGCAAGCAAACACGGGAGCTGCTAACCTACCTACGGCGCACGCCCTTTGAGCAGCTTGCCGAGGATATCGGGCGGCAAAACGAGGAAGAGGATTCCTCAAAGATGCTGGCACGCATACTCAACAAAAAACGTGAGAGGATGCAGCTTCGCGGAGAACTTAAAGAAGATCATCCGGCTGCTGATGAAGATGATGATGAATCCGTTCCGGAAAGAAGAAAAACCTTCTTTGACATTGTGTATCCGGATTTTGTTTACTGATTTTATAGAGCCTGTAGAATTTGTATAGTTATTTATCCGATAGTTCTCGTCTCGCTTTAATTTTGTGCATAATTTATATACATTCCGTTTTCAGTAAATTTTTTCTAGGGCAGAGCAAGGAGATGATCCCATGAAATTTATTATTCTGCTTCCTTTCTTTTGCTACAATTTATATTCATTCCGAAATTTTGTTTGCATTTATTTTTGACTTTCTTTAAAACCTAAGATTTCCTGTTCTTATAAACATTTCAGCCTTTCGTCGCGTTTTGCCTGTCTATAGAGTTCTTTTGCAGGTCATTTATCACCTGTGACGATGTGCGGCATTTTTGCTTACCTCAACTTCTTGGCCCCGAAGACGCGCGGCGAGGTCATCGATATCCTGATCCAGGGTCTTCAGCGCATGGAATACCGTGGCTATGATTCAGCTGGTAACTTAGCAAGTTTTTTTCTATAGCTATTTTTTAGGAATTGCGATCGATGGCAGCAACGACAATTTGAAACCGCATGGTGAAATTATGTTGATGCGAAAGGCGGGGAAGGTCGGAGTGCTCAGGGAATCTGTCAACGAACAGACTGGGATCGACATGGATATGGTCTACAACATTCACGTCGGAATCGCGCACACCCGCTGGGCTACCCACGGTTCGCCGATGGATGTGAACTCTCATCCGCAGAGGAGCAACGACAAGAGCGGTACTATTTTTGCCGTTTACCAGACTTATTGTTTTTTTAGAGTTCCTGGTTGTGCATAATGGGATCATCACCAACTATCGCGAGATCAAGTCGTACCTGACAAAGAAGGGCCACGTTTTCGAGTCTGAGACTGACACTGAAGTCATTGCGAAGCTGACACAGCATATTGCTGATCGCTATCCGGACTTTTCCTTCCGCCAGCTGGTTGAAACTGTTATTCAGCAATTGGTAATCTCTTGGTAACTTTCTGATTTCTCTTTAGGAAGGAGCTTTCGCCTTGGCCTTCAAGTCCAGCCGCTTCCCCGGCCAGTTGGTTGCTTCGAGGCGAGGTTCGCCTCTGCTTATCGGCATCAAGAGCAAGTCGCGTCTGTCCACCGATCACTTCCCGGTGTCGTACTCAAAAGGTATGGTTTGATTCCGGCCCTTTACAAAATTCAGACATGGGTTTCGCTTGGCAGGATGAGCATAATAAGGTTGCTAAAGAAGATGGTAGGCATCGTGTGATGCGTGTTTTTGACTAACCCACCACTTTGTCCCGTGTTTGCACCCTGTCCCTGTCCGCTATAGCCTCTGGCTATAATAATTTTTCCGTTTCAGCACTTCGCTTCGCTTCTTCTCAAGCCACACATCGTGGGTTTTAGTTCGGCTTTCTTATTTAAGTTTGCTTCAGTTCGCAATCACGATGGCAGCTTTGTTGAAACACCTACTGTTCTTGATCTCAGCACCAGCAGTAGGCACAGTCTTGCCTGCTTACCTAACCTGCTTTTTTAGTCCATGAAGGTCATCAGGGCATTGAGGGACGTCATGCTTCGATGTCGCATGTCCGTCCTTTTGATTCTGGCAACTGGGAGGTAATAGCTTTACCCTTGCTTGTCGACCATTGTTTAGGTCGAGTACTTCCTCGCATCTGATGCGTCGGCCATTGTCGAGCACACGAAGCAGGTCCTCTTCCTCGAAGACGACGATGTTGCTTTCGTCGAGGAGGGCGCCTTGACCATCCATCGCATCAAGCGCGGCAAGACTGACAAGGAATCTGCCCAGACACGCGAAGTCCACTCGCTCACCATGGAGTTGCAGCAGATCATGCGGTATTTTTCTGTGACCAGAATGCATTGTATTTATTTTTAGGGGTGACTTCAAAACGTTCATGCAGAAGGAAATCTTCGAGCAGCCCGACTCTGTTGTCAACACGATGCGTGGCCGCGTTCTGCCAACTGGCCAAGTTGTACTGGGCGGCATCAAGGACTACGTCTCGGACATCAAGCGTTGCCGCAGATTGATCATGGTTGCCTGCGGCACCTCTTACAACTCAGCCATCGCCTGCCGCCAGATCATCGAAGAGCTTACTGAGCTTCCTGTTGTACTCGAGCTCGCTTCTGATTTCCTGGACCGTCAGACGCCTATTTTCCGCGATGACGTCTGCTTCTTTATTTCTCAGTCGGGAGAGACTGCCGACACTTTGATGGCTCTCCGGTAATTCATCATTCCTTTCATAATTATTTTATAGGTATTGCAAGCCGCGTGGCGCCCTCATTATTGGCGTAACCAACACCGTCGGCTCATCGATTTGCCGGGAATCTCACTGTGGCATCCACATCAATGCTGGACCTGAGATTGGAGTCGCTTCAACCAAGGCCTACACGTCGCAAATCCTCGCGCTCATCATGTTCGCTCTCGTTGTGTCAGAAGATCGCATCTCATTGACGGGGCGACGCAAAGAGATCATCCAAGCTCTCAATAACTTACCTGGTAAGAGAATTTCGATTGCTTTAGCCGTGCTCTTTTTAGAGATGATTCGGACTGTCCTGAAGCTCGACGATGAGGTCCTGCAAATCGCCAAGGAGATCTACAAGGAGCAGTCGTTGCTCGTGATGGGACGCGGCTTCAACTTTGCGACGTGCTTGGAAGGCGCCCTAAAGATCAAGGAGCTGTCGTACATGCACTGTGAAGGCATCATGTCCGGGGAACTGAAGCACGGGCCATTGGCTATGGTCGACGAGAAGCTTCGCATTGTCATGATCATTTGCAAGGATCATGTCTACAACGTAATTAATTTTTCAAAAGTTTCAAGCTTTTTTCCAGAAGTCTTTGAATGCCCTGCAGCAGGTGTGCGCTCGTGGTGGTGCACCTATCATCATTGCCGACACCTCCGTTGCCAAGGATGATCTTGCTGTACGAGCTTTTTTATTTGCCTAACATTCTGTTCAGGAGATGCCGCACGTGCTGCGCATCCCGAAGACTGTCGACTGCGTGCAGAACATTCTTTCCGTTATCCCGCTCCAACTTCTCTCGTACCACATCGCCGAGCTGAACGGCCAAAATGTCGACCGTCCACGCAATCTTGCCAAGTCTGTCACCGTTGAATAATAGCCTCAACTTGCCATTTCTGTGTATTGCATGTTTGTGATTACTTTTGTGATATTCGGATTCCATTTTTTAATTTGCTGTGAATAAAGCTTGTGTAACGTGATCCTTGCAAGACTATATTTGTTGCACTTATGGCATCTTGATCATGGCAAGCTCGACATCCCAATTAGGCGCGCTGGACGAAAAGAAGGCGAGGCTCTGGAAATGGCTCGTTTTTGGGAGGCACGGACTTACAACAAATTGACCGTGATATTCAGTGGGCTTGAAGCATTGTGGGTCGACTGCCAGCCGCATCTCCACCCCGTCGGTCCCCTTGATCTTTAGTGCATACACGTCTGATGCTTGGGCTCCCTGCCAGTTTTCAACATTGAACGCGCGGGAATTTTACCTCTGTATTGGTGACGAGCACGCCGAAGTATTCTCCCATGAAAAGTTTCGTGGGTAGTGGTGCGTTTTGATCAACACCATGTCGATAGAAATACTCGGTTACGTATCCTCGTTCTTCCCTAAAAGTGTCGGGGATGTATCTTTGGCTTTGAACCACTTTGAGCAAATCCGAAAGTCTTCGTCGAGGGTCACCGGTGTTTGTGAAGTGATCTCCAGGCGAATAGGACATGCCTGGTGAATCACAAAGTACGGAATTGCCAGGCAGATGTAACCTTTCTCAGTTGAAAATGATCATCGTAGCCAACTAGATGCAGGGATGTCCACATGTCGGCAAAATCGCCGGTGCCATCTGAAATGCTGGCGTTTTCCGCTAAGGTATTTTTTAAGACCTTCACAACTGTCGGCCTCGATTTGGTGCATCTGCAGGAAAGTGCTCATTGGGACGCAGCCATCGCGTATTGAGAAATGCTCACTAAGGACTTGCCAATCCTAAAGGAATTGCATTGATGATGAAATGGTGAGCACTTCATCGCTCATTGGGTCGTCGCCACTGGCCGCGGTGAAGGCGTCAAATTCCTTCCGGTTCAGCAGCCCATCCATATCCCAGTCGAACATCTCGAACATGTTCATTAGTGTCATCCTAGGAGGTGGTTAGGCGCAGCAATTTGAGAGTTACTTGAATCGCTTGGTGAGCTTTTTGTTTTCTCCGATCAGCTGCTCGCCGCCTTCGCCTAGTTGAGGTTTGGGTTGGTGATAATCCCAAGAGTTACCGGATGGCTTAACGCGCTCCAGGGTGACACCGCCGCACATCACGACGATGGAATATTCGCCGGCTGGGAGCTCCAATTCACCGGTGGTGTAATTCTGGAAGAATGGCTGGCTGGTACTGGTTCGTTAACGGGGGCCCTAACCTTTTTATACCTTTGCGTAGGCCCGTTATACTGAAAAAAAAAGGAATTTTTGATAAACCTTTGCACACCTTCTAGATGTAAAATCAATATAACGCACCTTTTGTTGATCCTTGTGAAGACTGATAGCCACCGGCGTTTCCGTGTTCGCATCGGAAACGACGCAGAAGATGTCGTCGAGGAAAATCTTGTCGTCCATATCATCTAGGAGTAAGTAATTGGTTTTGGATGGCTTTGCGTTCTCAGCTCAATTTGAAACGTGGTCTTTTTGGCGTTCCAAATTCCGCCTCAGAAGGCAGACGTGTGCCAAACTACACAGCGATCCATATTGTTGCTACTTTGGGACGTAAGACAAATGGACCGCCATCTGGGCCATCAGTCTTTCGGGACATTTGGCTTGGGCGGTGCCCTTTCAGATGCGCGCTGTTCGTACTTGCCAGCCAGTCCCGGAATTTGTTTACTTTGTTTGGTGCTGTTTCGTTAGCGGGGGGCGAACGATCCTGCGCTCTTTGATGAAAAGAACCCATTTCATTAGAACTTTTACGCCTTTTTAGATATAAAAAGCTTCAAAACTACCACATTTTCGAATTTTTTTACGATAAAATTAGTTTAGACCTAGTTAGTTTTTTGTTCTGTCCCCCCCCCCTCCGCTAACGAATCAGAGCTTTCTTTTTCACACTCACTATTTCTGATTATGCCCAGTGTCACGACGAGTTTTTGCGGTTGCGCAAGCAGAAAGCGGAAGGCCGTAAAGCGGATGTCTCGTGAGATGATGACGAAACCCCGCCGAACCACCTAAACCCCTGGTTACTACGATCCATGTGCAATCAACCCACCGACGAAACCAATTGCGTGCTTGGCGGCGTCGATTTGTTGCCGGCCGGGGATTCGACTAAAGTTTTTCTGTTGATTGCGAATCGCATTTGCTGCTTGATCTAACTCGACGCGGGGGATTTCCGCATCAGCCGCGGAAGGGAGCCGAATCACGCGTTCCGCAGATTCGTTTTGGGGATAGGGGGGATAGAAAGAGTGGGGGGCGAATTTCCAACCTTTTTTGCTGAGCAGCTTCTTCAGGACGTCGTCTTTTGTCGCCGCCATGTCGTCGCAGAACTAAAAAGTGGGGATGTTGTTTAGATCTCTTTTTTTTTGGGGTTCTGGACTGCTAACGGGGGGGGGGGGGGGGGATTAGGGGGAGGAAGGCCATCTGACCTATACTTATCTTGATAAATGTAGAAATTTTGCATTTTATGGTGTAGTTTTTAGTTTTTAGTACTTTTTGATTGTAAAATCGGAAAATTAAAAAATTTTCAAAACATGATTTTTGAAGCTTTTCATAGATTTTTGATGAAAAATCAAAAATTTCGAACTTTTCAATACGTTTTGCGAATTTTCTATGCTTAGAAACAGTGTAAAAATCTCCGTAAACTAAACAGCTATTTCGAGGCTAGCGCCCTACCATGTGATAGACCATGCTTTGCCTCCCCCCCCGCTAACAGTTCAGTGCCATTTTTGGGTAATGGTTTTGGACTGTTTAGCGCGTAATTACTAGACTTTTAGGCTCACTTGCCCTTCCTGCCACGAGGTGTGTGTGGTGGTTTTTCCCTAATGGCGCAAGCGTCGCCGTGATTTGCCCGGGATTCATCACCGTCGATCACCTGAGAGTGAGCAGCACCCTCCCAAAGCGAGACCAGGATGGACACCTGTCCCGACCGACGAATTGGCCCCAGACCGCCGCCCCTTCGCACATTGGCGTTTATTGGGCTCAACCTCGCGAGCAATCTTCCTGCCTGTCCGGGTCCCCATAAAATGCCCAATGATCTCGCCCTGCCCCCCTGGAAATAGGGTTTGGCCCAAGGGCCATTCAGCCTCTTCAGCACCCACCCTCTAAAACGAGTGCTTTCGGTTGGCCGGCAACAAATGCTGCCCCGTTAATTGTTCGGGCTTTTTTGTTGATTTCATCCTTCCATTTATTTCATTTTCCCTTTTTTCGGTTTCCAAAAATTGGGGCGGCGTCACTTCCAGAGCACCCCTAGCCTCCAGAAGGGCGATTTTCAGGTTCTGATTCGTTAGCGGGGGAGATGACCGGGGGCCTTAACCATCGCATATCACGCGATGTGGTCCCAATAATGAAATGCACACCGTTTGTATAGCCTCTTACCCCGATTTGAAGTATCGAAAGTTCAGAAAAATTCGAAAACTTTCTTTTGTAAAAAGTTTCACATTTGTTAAACTTTAATTAAACACAAGGGGTTTTTAAAGTATCAGGTATGAAGCAGCAAAAAAAAACTTTTGACGCCATTTTTTAAGGGCATCCTCAAAATTCCTTTGAAAGTGTTTGATTTTGGCCAAAAACTATTAAACTGTTTCAAAATTGCCAATTTAATGTTTCTAAACCTTGGTGGAATTTTGAGTTATTGAAAACTACTAAAAACGCCATCAAAATAGCCTATAGAACGCCGCATTTTTTTACATGATTTTGTTTATTATATAAATGTGTTTGATAATGTTTTTTGCAGTTTTTGATTGCTAAAAAATGCCAAACGCATTGAAAGTTTTGCTAGCTAGCTGGAGGCTAGGACCCCCGCTAAGAGTTCAGCACCAAATTTGGAGCATTAGACACTCAACCGGAACGCCTCACGAAAAGCCATTTTTCCGGAGGGTCTCGGCAGCCAATAAATTAAAAATAACCCCCGCATCGTCGGTCGACGTCCCCTTCCACTTGATCTGCGCCCCCCTTTTGCATAAGCGGTCCTCCTCCTCCCCCATTGCGTGTGCCCCTCATTCGTCGAGGAGCTGCTGCTTCTGCTGCTCCTGGTCCCCCTCCGCCCGGCCGGGGCTAATTCGATTGACGACTCGACACTCGACCGCATCACCTTATCCATAACCCGCAATGCTCCTCATCCCCTTCCATATGCAATTCTTTCCCCTACTTTGATGAAGTCATATACCTTGGCCAGATCGAATAGCCCATCGCGGTCGTAGGCGTAGAGTAGATCCAGCAGCTCCTCTTGGCGCTGATCGCTGATGCCAAACGCCTGAAAGTTTTTGGCTTTGTTAAAGGGACAGTCGCGCAGCAAAACGTACAAGGCTCTTTCCCGTTATTGGGGGGGGTGGATTTTTTCTGTAACCATTTTTCAGGTGGAAAACCATCTTAGTACCTCTTAGTCTAGTCTCCTTTCGCCCTGCCTTTTCGCCTACGCGCCGCTACCCTGCACGCGTGCACCCTGTAAGTTCCTGCCATTTCCGCTTACTTTTCGTTTTTTCGTATAACGGTCCCTTTAAAACCAACGAATATTTAATAGGTTTTATGTTTCGTTTTGCTAGATGTAGCTGAACTTACCGTATGCACCTTTTGCGTGACGATGGCTGTGGGTATCGGGATGTGGGCGACTTCAATCAGAGGGGGGTCGGGCTGTGGGCAATGTTGGTAGAAAAGGAGCGCGTCTTCGAGGTTGAACACAGCTAAATACATGTTTAAAATTTGTAATTTTGTTTTAGGCCTTTTTATACATACTTTTTAGAAGCTGTAATACTCATAAAAAGTGCGGGGTTTGGACAGTTTTTCCGATTTCAGCATATGAACCCTTTTTTGATGCTTTCCCGAAATCCGGGGCCAATCACAGAGCTAGTTGGGCTTTGAGTCTCGCTGCTTAATGAGGCCAATAACGGGGACCCACTTCTCAAAAATAACCCCCTTCACCCTCCGGGGGTCTTGGCTGGGATTTGGGGTCGTTTGTCTTGCCTTCATGCTCCGTCTCTCTCTCTCTCTCTCTCTCTCTCTCTCTCTCTCTCTCTCTCTCTCTCTCTCTCTCTCTCTCTCTCTCTCTCTCTCTCTCTCTCGCTCTCCCGCCCTTAATCTCAAGCCGAAACTAAGGACCTGCGCGAGTTGCACGTTCAATTCCCCCCTTGGTTTGCAACTCTTTATGTTGTTTTTCGGGGCTTTCGCATTATCGGGGGGGGGGCTTATCAAGTTGAAAAAAACCAACTGTTTTTTAATACCCAAATTTTATGGTGTTCTAGCCGTATTTATATATTTTTTAACGTTTGAACGAAGTGTGAATGAGCTATTGGGTACTGGAGTGTTAGCGGGGGGATATCTAGCCTGTCCTAGCAAAATCTAGGATTTTAAGCGCTTCATAGTGTTTTCTAAAAGGTTTTGATCAATTTTTGATAGCTAAAACGCACTCCCCCCCCCCCCCGCTAACAAAACAGCACCGTTCTGATCCCCCGTTTTTTGATCCTTTGAACGGGGCGAAGGAACGGAATGAAAGAGCAAACGTAGCTTCTTCCCTTCCGAGTTCCCCAGATGTGAGAAATTCCCGCCCTGATTAACCCCATCAAGCCCCCCCTCGGGGCACGCGGAAACCCACCCCCACGATTTTTTGATCTTCGCTTTATGAGACAGCGCGCAACAAGCGACACGGCCCTCATTTTTCACCCGGGGAATGCCGAGGCCCAGATGTCGCTTCGAATGTATCATTTTTGGGGAGGATGAGGTGGAGAAGAAGAAGGAGAAGAAGATGTCCCTATGGGAGCGACACACGCTCACTCACTCACTCACTCATCCACATACAAACATGATTGTGTTATGGGGGGGGATCGGGAGGAGGAGGAGGAGAGATGACTAGTAGCATAGAGAGATGTACTACAACTAGTCTAGAAGTTTCGCGGGTTTACTTATTTTTCATTATTCTGCAATCCATGGTGCTTTTGCATTATCGGAGGGGGGACTTGTTTTTAGACCGTTTCTTATTATTGCCGAACCAGAACAGTACAAAGATATCGATTTTTCAATCAAAAATGGCGGATTTGCGACCAAAATTTCGTATCTTCCCCCTCTCACTCTCGCTCTCTCTCTCTCACGCTCTCTCTCTCTCTCCGCCTCAATCTGACGTCGTTTAATCTTCAGTATATTTTGTTATTTTAAGCAATGGTTAGCATTGAACGCTTTTTTTAGATAAAGCTACCAGAAACCCAACTTATCGCACCCTCAACCAAATTCCGACCTCCCTTTCAAGGTGCAACCAACGCTGCAGCGTACCGAACGCGAATTTCGCCTCGACCACCCGATTCCGGGCTTCAACTTATCTCTTTAGTCGGCCCCGAACTCCTGGGGCACATCTTTGAATTCACCCGACCTCCGCCTACCCAATTCTCAGCCCCAATCGAATCACCTTCACCACGCTCAGCTCCCCGTCAAAAGCTCCCAAAATATGATTTTGCGCCGAAAAACAGCTGTTCTAATGTCCTTGGCGGATTTTCTGGAGATCGAGGTCATTTTTCGAACGGACGACCGACTTTTTTGGGTGCTTTTGCGTTATCGGGGGGGAGGGGTGTCAGGCGGATTTAATTTGTCTTATATAGATATGTAATGTATCTAAATTTTTTTAGTGTTTTCTAAACTCTGAATTGTTTAAATTGTAAAAACTTTTTACTGTTTCTCAACTTAAAAACTTACAATTTTTTTGCCAAAAATACAAAAAATATCGATTTCTCGATGAAAATTTCGATTTTCTAACAAAAAATGTCAAGATTTTTAGGTGGTTTTCGACTTGAAATATAGTGAAATTCGGTTCTACTAAAATCACTATGAAAAGGCTTGCTATTATCTCTAGATTTGTAGACAAAAACGAGGGCTTCCCCTCCGATAATGCAAAAGCACCGTCTTGATCACCTTGGCTGTCCTTCCCCCCTGATAATGCAAAAGCTCCGTCGTGCAAGATTTGGTCCCCGAACCCCGCGCAAAAACTGAACCCCGCCGGAAACGATGCCCAACTAAAGGAGCTGGGGGCTTGGAGGTGAAGCCTGAATTCCTATGCTCAGCCCCCAGCCTTGGCGTCAAACCCAGCGGGCCACTGCTATTTGTGCGAAATCTGCGGCCCAATGAATAATCGAGGATTTTCCTGGGAATCCGCTATACCTTCCTGCCACCATATCTTCGCGATGCCTGCTTTATTCGGGTGGATCTGTGGCCTGATCTCGCTTCACCTAGTTTTTAATAAAGGGTTGCCTTAATTTTAAAGTTATTTTAGTCTCTTAACACTTGTTACAAGCTTTAATAGGGGCTTAACTCCGATTTATAGAGATTTTGGGTGCTTTGGCATTATCGGGGGACCATTTTTTGCTTCGGATCCAGTTTTTATGTTTTGCATAGGGCAAGTGTTTCTAAACCGTTTTTTTTTCCTATTATTATTAACATTACCAAGTTTTAGCAAAAAAAAAGAGAAAATCTAGATTTTCCGTCCAAAAAGTCCGATTTTCCACTAAAAATCTCGATTTAAAAAACGTTTAGATAGTTTTTCGCTCGAAATCTGGTCAAACTTCACTAAATTCACTATTAAAACTACGCTATTAAAACTATTACGTTCCGGTATCTCTGGGCGCATCGGAAACTTAAGGTTTACCGCTGCCGCCCCCGTACCCGATAATGCAAAAGAGCCCCATTTTTAGGATTCTAAAACCTGGGTTTTCTAAACGGGCCATTTTCGTCGTAAAACTATTTTTATTGGAATACCCCGAGAGCTTTCGCAAAAAAAGGTAGACGCTCTTCCGGAAATGGGCATTATCCGGACTTGCACTACTACCCGCGAGCCCCACCCACGTTAACTTTTACCTATCGAGTTTTTGGCCCTCTCCTCCCTGAGCCCAAAAACTTGACGCCTTTGCTCGAATTCGAATTTTCTCGCGTTTTCTCGCGTTTTTGTAGCTCCGCTTTGATACCTTTTGTTTTTAGGCCCCGGGCTTTCCAATAACCCATTGTCCTTTCTAATCGTTGCCCCCACCTGAGTCACGCCGTGGGCACAGCTCGTCCCATTGGGTCGGCGTCTTGCCCGCGCAGCACAGCGCGTCGAATAGGCCGCTGGAAATGGGGTTTAGAGGGTACTGGTGTGTTAGCGGGGGATATCCAGGGTGAAAAGACTATTTGGACCCCCCCAATAATGCACCAGAACCTGTGAAGCGAACTGCTTCCGATAATTACTGGAGATTTACTGGCGACACGCCACCCGCAAGCCGTCTGACTGCTTGAACAAGTTTTCGGAGCTTTCCTACTATCGGGTGGGGCAATCTTTTAGCTATTATCCAATTTGCAAATATAAATCGCGCACGTGTTTCTAAAATTTTTTACTATTTTTAGCGCAAAAAACTTTACAAATGGTATTTAAAACAAATACAAAAAAAATCACGATTTTTCGTTTTTCAATGGCCGATTGTCAACCAAAATCGGAATTTTGAATTTTTAGAGCTTTTTCGGTAGCTTTTTTACTTGAAATGTAGCTAGGTTTTACCAAAAACACTTGAAAATTCTTACTATTGCAGAACTATGCATTTTTAGATTTCTGGGTTTGTATTGGTCCCCCTGGTAATACAGAAGTACCAATATTCATAATTTTTTCTAGCGTTGGGCCTTCGCTTTTTTGAAGCCTGCAACATCCCCTTGACAGCTTTGATATAGCCCATTTTCTCCACCCCAAATGGCCCATCAGTGAACGGCTTGGTGTTGGGGGACTTTGGGGCGAGAGTTCCCGGCTGGGGAAAAGTCGGCTCCCGCGCGAAGATGATGGGCCCCTGGGGGATCCATTCCTCCCCATACTCACAACATCATTCCACCCTCCCATCCTCGTTTCTCGGCCATGTCCCCCCCCCCCTTTCTTGAAAAAGCGCCGCTTATCGCACCCGCCAGTTGCTTTCTCCCTCGGCTCTGTTGCTTTAAAGGGGTTGTGAAGCAATTTTTTCTTTTTTTTGCTACACTTTTAGGGTTTCCTAATTTCGCAGGCACTCCACTGTTAGCGGGGGGGGGCATCTAACCCGGGGTTTTAAAGAATTATTAGAGGCTTTAATCAACTCTTTAATACAAAAATTTTTTAAAATGGTTTAAGACGTATTTGAAATGTTTAAACCTAACGTAATTATTTAAAACATGCTGTTTAAATTTAAAGCGACCCCCGGGCTTTTAGCAGGGGAAAAGCTATCTGGAAATATTTTTCAGAGTTTTTCAGTATATTGATATGGCGTTTTGAATAGTTTCTGGTTCACAAAAAAACCATAAAAAATTTGGCAACTTTTGAAAATTGTAGAGTTTTCCCATTCTCATTAATTTTAACAAAAAAATAAAAATTAACGGAAATAGTAGCAGTTTTTATAAAATTTCTATGCCTCAATGCGGCATAAAATAACAAATCGTTTGTAATGAATCTAAATACTAAATACATAATAAATTATTGGGGAACCGAATGTTCCAGAATTGCACCCGCCCCCCGCTAATAGTTCAGTACCACCTATTTTTCGGTTGCTTTTAATATTAAGATAAGTCGACTTACTCCCTATCCACTGTTGCCTCAGCACTTCCGGCCAATCGTGTGAATACCTGGGTGAAAGTGGCGTTATCCCGTTCCGTGTCGCCCATCTCCTGCTCTTTTTCACCTAGGAACATACCGCATCTTTGAATGTCTAAACAACAATTCGACCGTGAATGATTAAACGAACATATGGGCTCTCATCCGTAATTTTTGAATTATTTCTGGGTGACTAAAGTTCGGGTTTTAGGTTTATAGGCCTTCCCGTATCCGATTATGCCATGTGTTGGTATTTTTATATTTTTACTGTTTAGAGAAATAGTTTAAAAAATAAAATTCGTCTTAAAAGAGATCGTAAGGCCAAAAAGATGAATTTTCGCAGCTTAACCCGGGGTGACGGCGCGGATAAGGACTGCGGCCTTTTTGTTCCCATGGCAACCAGCAAAAGGCCACTACGCGGCAATACCCTTTCCCCCGGCCATTACCGTAATGCGAATACAGCATTAATCCAGGATTTTCAAGCGAGTTTTGTGTGCTCTTTTTGGCCCTCTTTATAAAATTTGAAAAACGGCCACCTGCAACTTTTTGGTACTGGACTGTTAGCGGGGGACTGTTAACTTTGTTGGAAAGAAGACTTTGAATAATGAGATACACGCAGTTTATATATTTTTACGCCCTTTTTAGGCCTTAGAAATTGCAGAAAAATTCTTGAAATTGATCAAGAATTAGATCAATTACTAATTTCTTAAATTTTCTAAAACTTTCACTTTTTTATTCATCAAGACGTACAAAATTATAATATGCTAAAGATATATCTGGGGTATGTAGGGGCCAAACCCCAAGCCCCCCCCCCCCCGCTAACAGTCCAGTACCGAATTTATAACCGAATTATCTCGAGTATTTTTTCTAAATTTCGAAAAACAACGACCCGCAACTTTTTCCCCATTTAGCCCATGGCCGATTTTCGATGCGAAGTACCCCCGTCTAGCCCTTCTAAAGACCATTGGCCCTTACCCACACCCCTCACCGCCCTTTTCAATCAAAAAACGCGTTTGCATCCACCCGTTGTGGAGACATCTCTTCACATCTGCACGGCAACAGCCCCTAGGAATTAACCTCTGCCACCTTAGGGCCCAGAAAGGACCCAAAATGGCCCCCGAGATCCTAAATCTCTAAATGGGATCGCCTCAAGGGCGACGTCTCGCCTTGTTTTCGAGCCGGTCTCACTGGACTTTATGTAACTTTACGGGAATTTCAGCCAAAATACCGACAGCTAAAGAATCCCGACCGGCATAATCCCATCAAGCCAAAATTCCAAGTTCCAAAATCCCGACATATTCTCGACTCTAGTTTGAATTCCACCTCCAATCTAAAGAACTATTTTGGCCTGTCGGTATTATGGCGGTCAAGCTTTTGGCCTGTCGGCATTTTGATTCTCGGGATCCTGGCCTGTCGGGATTTCGGCCTGTTGTGAGTTCTGGATGTCGGTATTCTGCTTCTCAGGATCTTGGCCTGTCGGGATTTTGGTCTATCGGGGTTTTCGCTGTCGGCATTTTCGACTGTCGGTATTTTTCTCTGTCGGGCTTTTGGCCTGTCGACATTTCTGCCCATCGAATTTTGGCTGCCGGAATGATGTTCGTCGGGATTTTGACCAGTTAAGATTTTGGTTGTCGGGATGGGGCCTTCGGGATTTTACCTTGTCGGGATTATGCTTTGTCGGGTTTTTCGTCTGTCGGCATTTGGCCTATTGAGTGTTTTTTTGCTGTCGTCATTTTGGCTCCAATCTCGTTTGGTCGTGCCAAAAATTCCCCCGCGTCAGCGTTAATAATTGAACTCTGTTGGTGACACCCGATTGGGCATCATTTCCAGCCCCCTCGGCCCCGATGTGTTCATTTTCCGGGCCAAATTCCGGGCAAGCAGGAAGTATTCCCAGGCAAATCCGGGGCCCCGGGCCGGCTTTCCACACTCCCTTCTTCCCATTCCTCTACAATTTTTGATGGCCCATATCCCGCAGTGGGGGCCCACAATGGGGCCCACGGCCTTTTTGCTGAATTGCAGAATTGCGCGCGCGGTTTTCATTTTTAATTTAGTTTTTGTTGAAATTAAAGGGACAGTCACGTGCCAAAAATCAACAAATCTTGGGCTAAATCCAACGCGCGCATAGAGTGTACCTGTACGTAGTAATGTGTCGTACTCGGATATAGGTGGCCTGCCGCTCCAATAGACGCTAAAGTCCCGGTTTTAAGTATTTATCACTTTTCTAATTTTCTTCTTCATTCAATTCCATGCTTTGTTTTGGCTTCTTTTCATTTCTAGGAACTCTTGCATTATTGGGGGGGGGGCGTTTATCAGGGGAGGGAAACTGAATTTTTCTCTTTAAATCCAAAAATGCCTAGAATTCTAATAGTGACTATTTTTAATCGTGTTTTAAGTAAAATTTAACCATATTCCAGGTGGAAACGAATCTAAAAACTCTAAAATATCGTCAAAAATTCGATAATTTTGTTGTTTTTATTCGTTAATCAAAAGGTGCGTATTTTTTGCGTTTCATAATAGTCAAAAAGAGTGGGGAAACATTTCTTCTATTTATATTGCAAAAAATCAGATACTAAAGAAAAAGCCCCCTCGATGTTGCAAAAGATCCTCCCGAAATGTCGAATTCCTTTTGATCTTTTCCTTTATTTTCATTTCTTTTACATTTTCTAACGGATAGCGGAATGTTGGCCTTTATCTCGTTCAAATCAGACTAGCCTTCTTGCTGCTATAAGGGCTCAACGACTAATCGTGCTAATTCCGGCTTTGCGCGCCCCCCAGCCGGGAAAACACGCGTTATGATGACCCCCCGGCTTTTATCCATAACCTTTTCACGTTTTTCCCAATTTTTCGACGTTTTTTTTGGAGCGTGATTTTCGAAAAAAGTTTCAAATTTAGTGATGGAGCCGGCAGGGATAGGCGGAGAATGTTTCCCGGAATACGCCGACTCGAATATCTCCTATTTGGTGCTGTCGTGGATGGGTGAGAGATGCCCGTCGGTATGTTATTTCTATCGCTTAATTCTTCGGGTTTTGATTCTGGTTCGTTAACGGGGGGGCGACGGCCGTTGCATTTAACATTGGTTCTTGTTCAGTTACCAGGGGTAACTGTTGTTTCCGTTAATTTAGGTTCTTGTTCGTTAGCGGGGGGGTGCTAACCGCCTTTTATTTGAATTTTGGTTCTAGTTCGTTTGCGGGCGAGGGCTGGGGGGGCAAGCATCTGTTTCTTTGAATTTCGGTTCTGGTCCGTTAGCGGGGGGGTTGGTTCTTGTTCCTTAGCGGGGGTCTTGTTTCTCCGAACATGCTGATCAAATCCCCCCCGCTAATGGATAATTTCCTACATTTTAGCCGTCAATCATGTACCCGACGGTGGTCATCTACGGGTTGATTCTGCTGCTCGGGCTCGTTGGCAACATTTGCACATGCATTGTCATCATCGTCAATAAGGTATTTTTCTAAACCATATGCCATTGATTTTGTTTTATTTTTGTTTCTATTTCTTAATTAATTTTTTTCAGAATATGCACAACCCGACAAACTACTACTTGCTCAGTCTGGCGCTCAGCGACATTCTTATCCTAATTCTTGGTAAGTCCTGCTCTTCCTTGTAGAAGATCTGTATATTTAGGCCTTCCGATGGAACTCTACATCGTGACAGACTACAACTATCCCTATCGTTTCGGGGAGGCCATCTGCCAGGCGCGCGCCTTTCTCGTCGAGTTCACCTCCTACGCCTCCATCCTCGTCATTTGTCTCTTCTCATTTGAGCGATGGATCGCTATTTGGTAAGGTGGAAAAATCATTTGCGTAAAAACGGGTACTGGACCGTTAGCGGGGAGGATTTGCCCCAGAAACCAAGTACGATATTTTCGCAAAAAATTACTGGGTAGACTAGATAGTCCCCCCGCTAACAGTTCAGTACCTAAAATAAGCGAAACATCAAAAAGTCGTTATAGAAACAATACAATAAATAATGAATTTAGCTTCCCGCTTCGCGCCCAACTTTTCTTGGGCACCCGGAGGACGTTGAGTCTGATCTGCGGCTGCTGGGTTGTCTCCTGCCTCTGCTCACTTCCTGTGGTCTTTGTCGTGCGCATCAACAAGTTGCCATTGCCTGAATTTGCCGTCAATCAGACCTGGACGCATCTTGTGGGTTACAGAGAATTGAAAAAAACACAAAACTAACTTTTTTAATGCGGTTTTGGGAATGCGTAAATTGCGAAGTGGGACCAGATTTTTCATCTACCTATCATTAGGAAAAAGTTCCAAGCCGTTTGAAAATACGACTTTTGGAAAGTTATGTTCAAAAATGCTCAAAAAAGGATCTAAATTACCCAATTCAGGTCTCCGCCGATGGGAAAACCATCGATCGAACCGAGTTTTGCGCAATGGACATTGACAACCTTGAAGATCAAAAGGAGATCATCTACTTGTCCTTTATCGGCTTCTTCCTACTTCCGGGTAGGCGACAAGTTATGTATTATCTATCCTTTCCGCCGTTTAGCCATCATCATCACCGTCATGTACGGGCATATCGCTATCCGGTTGCACCTGTCCGAGTCGCAGCTCGGCCGCGAGAAGAAGGGCCGAAGCCATAAATGGAGTGTGTTGAGGGTACTTGGTAAGTTTTGCGCGTAAAAACCGGAAATCAGCATTTTCAGTGTCGGTGGTGATCACCTTCTTCGTGTTCTGGCTTCCATTCCACATGCAAAGGCTACTCTCCATTTTCCTCAACGAGCGACAAGGCGATGCGTCGGCGGCCGTCCAAACGCTTTTCACCCTTGTTTTCTACATTTCAGGTGGGCCTCAGAAGGAAAATAGAGGGACGGCGTGCACTTTTCTGTTAACGGGGGGAGGGCGGCGATTTTTCCTCAATAATCCCAAGCTATAACAAAAGCTAAGCCATTGTTATAGAATTTTGCGCTCATAAAAACACTAAAAATGTCGAAAAATTTTACTTTTATGTCCAAATGTAAGAACATTGACAGCCCCACCCCCGCTAACAGCCCAGTACAAATTATATTTTAGGATATTGCTACTACTCGAACTCTGCCTGTAACCCGATTCTCTACAACATTTTCTCCGAGAAATTCCGCGCCGCCTTTTGCCGGACGATTCTGGGAGAGCGGTTGACCGGGAAATTCTTCCCTGGCCTGAAGAATAGCCGAACATTCGCCATGCAGAGGTAGCTTTTAGTTAAATTGGCTATTTACCAGACATGGCAATTCCGATCGGCCGAGCCGCGCGGCTGGGCCGGCGGCCTAATTTCCATAAAAACGCGGCCCCCTACGAGCCGCAGTCATTAGTTACTTCCGGAACTGCGGCTTCGCGGCCGAGTCGCATTTCATCGCGGCTCGGCCGGGCCGCTACGGCCAAGCCGCAAACCGGAAGTGGCTCATTTACATATCGATTTATCTTTGCGGCCGAAAAAGCCGCGCGGCCCGGCCGATTGCCATGTCTGATATTTACTGTTTCAATGGTAAGACTCCAGATAACCCCCCCCCCCCAGCCCTCACCCAACTTTTGTGTCTCGGCTCCCTGTTCATCTACAGGTGTGTAAAGTATACCAAAATGTTCGCCTTGCTCTGGCGAGTATTTTGGTATACTTTACACACCTGTAGATGAACAGGGAGCCGAGATACGGTAGGTGGGGGTCGGCTGGGGGGTTATCTGGAGTTTAGCCGTTGCAATTCAGTTGTCGTGTCAACAGTTCACCGGCTTTTATGACAACCCGGCGAGCCGTCAGCGCAAAGATGGCACCGATGAGCCGGATGCAGGTATTTTTTAGGATTAGTCCAGTTGTTCTGGAACTGCGCTGTTAGCGGGGGGGGGGGGGGGGGTAATTTTTGTTTATCGCCCTAAAGCTTAGACAAATTACGTGTTTTATATTACGCCGCTTTCAAGCACCGAAAGTTTTTATAAATTATGAAAGTTTTCGCCATTTTTAATTTTTGGTCAAAATGTAAATCGAAACAAGCCAAAAAATGGAATTTCGTAAATTTGCGGGTGATTCATCTATGACTTTCCGTATTAAAAATTTATGGAGAGTTAACAATACAAAATAAAAAACTAAGAATTTTGCTGCCCCCCCTGCCCCCCCCCCCCGCTAACAAACCAGTGCCTTTTACATAGCATTTTTTACACGTTCTAAAATTTTTTAATGTATCTTTTAGGTGGCAAGACGAGAAGAACCGTCGACATCCGCTCTCTCTTCTCGCCGATGCTCACTCCGGCGCTCCTCCTCTCAACCGGAAATTTCCAGTCGAAAGTCCTCGAGTAATGAAGCCCAAAAACTTGTCCCAGTCCACGGACTCATATAATTTTACAAAAATTTTGTAATTTGCACAATTTGTGGTGCTTTTGCATTATCGGGGGGACGCGTCTTATTCCTAAGAATGAATTTTTCTAATATCTATAATAATCTATGATAACTAGTTTAATATAAAGCATTTCTAAACTAACGATTTTTTTTACTATTCCTAAACGAAAAACGTAGCAGATTTTTCCGAGAAAATGCAAAAATCAACTGGAAATATGCTTAAATCCGCTCAAAACGCTATTACGTTCCCCCCGATAATGCCAAAGCACCGTTTTCCTAACCACCAAAAATTGTCAATTTCCCCCCTGTTCCGCATTGATACGGGTGCTGTGATCTCGACCAAAACGTGGTATATTCTCTTCTGATTGCAATAAATATTTATCGACTGATTTTTCAGTCAATTTTCGCGGAAACCCGGCTATAATTTGAGGATCATATTCCCGAGGATCATCACCGCCACCACGCCGCTGACGCCGGCAAAGGTGGTGAACACGATGGAGGCACGGCGGAGGAGCTGGAAGAGTTTAAAAATTATACTTTTAAAGAAGAAACACGATATCACTACAAAATACAAAACTAGCCAACCTTTCTGCGCTCCATCTCGTACTCAGAAACGTTATATCCCTTCTTGTCGTCGTCCAGCTCGACAGAATCGTCAGAATCGATGCGCATCGGGGTGATGGTTAGGCGGCGAATTGACTTAAAGAGCATCGTTTTGTGGTTCTTTGGCATTATCGGGGGAGGGTATTTTTAATATAACGCCTAGTATTATAATAGCATGTAGTTTAATAGTGTTTTTAGTAAAATTTGACAATATTCGAATTCGAAAAACCATTTAGAAAACTTAGAAAAACGCCGAAAAATTTGTAATTTTCGTCGAAAATCAGACATTTTGTTCAAAAAAAACCCGATATTTTTCTCAGTTTGTAAGTTTTTACGTTACATTTATTTTATTAAATTGATTATATCTTTCATTTATTATTAAAAATAAGTTAATTTGCCTACCTCAAGAACGATAAACGCAACGACAGCCCCAACCAGGGGGGGAGCCCAGACAAAACGAAGCCCGGCGGGGGGGGGGCGCCCCCAGCGCGGCCCGCGCCGCGGGACGGAGCCGACCGACAAGTAAAAATAAAAAAAAAAAAAAAAAAAAAAAAGAAAACAAGGCCAAACCAGGGAAGCCCGGGCCCGGCGGGGGGGAGATTTAGGTGTGGCGGGCGGGGGGGGGGTGGGTTTTGTCGGCAAGAAAAAGAAAAAAAAGGTGCCACCCCCCCCAACCGATCGGGGAGGGGCCCAACCGGAGATAGTTATACGTTAAGAGTACATAGGAATGTAATGTACCTTTCTTTCCCCTCCCCTACCGCCACCCCCGCTAACAGCCCAGTATCCCCTTTATAACCCACCAAACTATGAAGACTTCCGGGTCCCCATGGATCCTTCGCCATCCCCGGCCATGGTCCTGTCCACCTAAAAGCTGCCATTTTGCTCACTTCTACCGTAACCCCACTCACCTCCAGCCCTGAGAGAACAAGATGACGATAATTGAGACAACGGACAGGATCACGGCAGCGTAGTTCATATTCCGGTGTAGCTACAATGATTTTTTTACCTAATTTTATCTAGAACCCACCAAGAACCAGTTGGGAATCTTGACAATATTGTCACGGGAGGTGTTGCTTCGTAGATATCTGGAAGTTACCGTATGCACAGATTAATGGCCCTTGGCATTGATATTCTGGGCCTAATAAACTTGTCGGTACTAGACTTTTAACGGGGGGGGGGAGGATTTTCATCTTGGAAAGCCAATTCTGTTGTAGTATGCCAGTTAATAATACAATAAAAATATTTTTTTTTTAGTGTTTTTAGTAGTGTCTAATGGCTAGGAGGTGCTAAAACACTGTCAAAATGTTAAAAAATTCAAATTTTGACTTTTTTTTGGTAGTTTTCATGCATTTTTTACAAAAAATTAAAAGTTGTCGAGATTTTTGCGCTTTTCTAGATAAAAATTGTGTAAAATGCCATCAAAATGGTCCGGTTTTCGTTATAGGACGCGATGGGATTTCTGAGGAAAAAAATGCCCTCCCCCCCCCACAGTCCGGTACCTACTTCTCTCTCTCCCTCTCTCTACCCTTTTCAGCGAATTTTTTGACCTCACCTAGCCGCCATACTTGCCGTTGGCGCCAGAAATATCCACGCAACCACCATCAACATTCCTAAAAACATTTTGCGTGTTTTGGCTTTTGATTTTCTGGGATTTGTTGACGTTAAAAGTGTAATGCTTGCACCTACCGTGCAACGACCCAAGCCAAAACCTCCGCTTTTTCGCCGATTCATCAAGCTCAACGGCCGCAGTGGCATTCAGCGTTTCGGCGTACGCTGTGGAGAAGCTCGCCTAGAGGCATAGATTTGATTCTCGTTAATATAAAAACTACAATTCTTTTGTTTTTATGGAAAATCGAGTATTTCCGGCGTTAGCTGCTGGGCAGGCAATTTTTCGAAGGCGCGGTAGGTCAAGTAAGTGCAATTTAAACATTTTTCATTTATATATGCAAGCATTTGGCATAGTGTTTTATCGAAAACCTTGTATAAAATTATAAAAGTTTCAAAAGGGGGGCTTTTGACTGAACATGCATGAAAAATGGCCAAATACGGCGGAACTTTCAATATTTAACTCGATAAATTCCTGATAACATAATTGTAATTGTTTTAATAGGGTATTTAGGAAAATTCTACTATATTTACTCGGAAAAACTATCCCAAAAACTTAGAAAATGCCATTTTTTGTCGAAAATCGGCTATTTGTCGTCGAAAATGGCAACTTTTGTATTTTTTTTAATAAAATTTTCAAGCTTTTACGTTGAAAACAAAAAAAAACAGTGTAGAAACATCCTAGTCTTAAGAAGACATCCCACCCCCCCCGATAATAGAAAAGCCCGAAAAAGTTTAAACAAATTTCGAAGCTAATTTTCTAAAACTCACCAGTAAGACGAGCAGCCGGCTTTTCATCTTGAAAATACAGCTTCCGATCTATCGAGTCGATTCGCTGACCGAATTAGCAGCTGCGACCGGGAAAACGGGGGGGGCGGGAAAAGAAGGGGGGGGGAAAAAAAAAGGGGGGAAGGAAAATTTGGGGGGGGGGGGGGGGGGGGGGGGGAAGGGGGGGGGTGGCGATACACGATGGAGAAAAACTAGCAGCAAACAAAGCGGCCAGCAGAGGAGTGGAGGACCTGGGGGGTCAAGGTTGAGCATAGAGACAGATTAGCCGATATTCATAGAGTCGAAAAACACGTTTTCGAAATTTTTAAACCTTGAAAAAGCAAAGAAAAAGCAAAAGAAGCGTTTTTACGTTATTTTAAGTAAAAAAAAACTAGTTTAAAAAATGCATTCGGAATTTGGTTCTTTGGCATTATCGGGGGCGGGGGGTGATCTTGTATAAATCGACAAATGCCGAATAACATATTAGCAGTGTTTTATTTGTGTTTATAGGAAGATTTAAAGTTTTTTGTCAAAGCTTTAAAAACTTTTTAGGGGACGGCATTTTTGTCGAAAACGGACTATTTTTGGTCTAAAAACCTATAACTTGAAAAGAGTTTAGAATAGTTCTCCTATTTGTCTTAGAAAACTAGGGTCCTAAAGAAAAAGACCCCCCCCCCCGATAAAGCAAAAGTACCTATTTTGTTCAGGTTTTATAAAGTCTGTAAAATTCAGAAACCCTTTATATTAGATACGTCGGATAAGAACGAAAATAAAGTTGGTTTCCCCTGATTAAACCTCCCCCCCCCCCCGATAATGCGAAAGCACCGACAAAATAGCCTATTCAAGCTGCCAGTAAATACCCCTCTGTCTACCCCCCGAAAATTCCAAATTGACAGCCCCAAAAATAATCTGATAAAACCCGCCAACCCTGACAGGTCATCAAGTAAAAAACGGCGTTCAACTTACGCCCACAAAATGCAGCCAAAACATCAACATCACAAGCTGGCTTTCTCTCTCTCTCTCTCTCTCTCTCGCTCTCTCTCTCTTTCTGTCTCTGTTTCTGTCTGTCTCTGTCTCTGCTTCTGTCTCTCGCTCTGTCTCTCTCTTTCTCTCTCTCTCTCTCTTTCTCTCTCTTTCTCTCTCTCTCTTGCTCGGCGCTCTTTCTCACCGAATTGAATGAAACACATTTCTCAACATTTATTAACATGCAAAGCCAGCGTTTGACTAACTGCCAAAAATGTTCAGCAAACTCAATGGGAGACCACCCGCCGGGAATCGCCCAATCGGCCGTCGGTTTTTCGGCGGAAGTGTCCCCTCCAAAATGTACACAATCGCATCGGAGAGCACGATCTCCGGCTCCTGAAATTGAGGTGCGGATCTTGGTGTTTTTTGCGAACCAAAACGGCAATCCCGTCGATGCTTAGATGATCATCATCACCCTCGGCGGTCAGGCCCTCGCCCTCCAGATTTTCATACATTTCCACCTGAAATTGGTTTTTTATATTTTTGTATGATTCAGTAAAATTTTTTCATTTAGTTTTTATGCGTTTAGAAACGCTTAGTAATGTAATGTTAAGTTTTAATAGTGTTTTTAGTAAAATTTAACTATATATTAAATCGAAAAACCATCTAAAATCCTCAAAAATTTCAAAATTTTGGCAAAAACCTACAATATTTGCCGGAAAATCGTGTTTTATCAGAATTCGTAGTTTTTACGTTTAAGAATGGTAAAATAGTTTAGAAACAGTATGTGGAATAATTTTGTACCCTCACCCCCCGATAATGGAATAGCACCGAATTGTAATTTACTCGAAAATCTCGATTATGTGGACCGTCAAAACATTACCTTGATTTCTGAGGGATCGTGCGCGAGATCAGACCTACAAAGCGGCTCTGAAATTTATTTGATTTGATTTTTCCATTTCCTCAATTTCCCTACCATCCACCATATATCTTTTCACAAAGTGCGCGCTCAGCGTCGTGTTGGCAGATAGTCGCCGAAATTCGTTATTCGAAAACGCGTCATTTGTCGGGGCAAAAATTGTAAGAATTGATTTCTGAAAACGCGCAATTGTCCAGGTTTTAATTTTTATAAATAGAAAATGAAAACCTACATGCCCTCGTAATAACGTGTCGGTCCCCGAGCGTTCAATGAGCTCCAAAAATTTGCTCAAATCCTTCCTGCCGCTGAGGTATTCGAGGAGACTTTGAGAAGAGGCTTGAATCGGCTGAAAAATTGCTTTTTTTGCTTTTATGAATTTTTCCTAATCGAGTTTTAGGTAGATGAACTGACCTTGTTGACGAAATAAATGGCGGCGTTGCAGGAGTGGATCGGTGCATGAAGTACCTCACTGCATCCGACCTACAAAAATCTGGTTCTTTCGCCTTATTGGGGGGGGGGGAGAGGGATGGAATTTTTCTTATAAATTCAGAAATTCCAAGCGACGTAAGAAACGCAAGTAAAAAGTATATATTTTTATATATTATTCACGTCTAAAAAGTAGCGAAAAAATTTAGAAATCTTTGAAATGTTGGTCAAAAAAGTGTATTTTTCTATTTTTATCAAAAAAATTGTAAAATTTTTACGTTTAGGAATCGTAAAAAACTGTTCCAGAAACACCTTCACTATTTTATTAAATAAAGTTTTTGGAGCTTTTGCATATTCCCCCGATAATGCAAAAGCTCCAAAAACCTAGATAACTCTAACCATACCCTGAAGGAGCTGCGCGGCGAGTGTCCGAGCGAAATTCTCATCGAAATTGGCGAGACATGGCGTGTCGGCTTGCCGTAAAATACCTAAATGAAGAATTTACAGGTTGAAACTGTGATAAACTGACCTTCTTGCCGTCGTGCACCGACGCGATGCCGCTCTCTGATAAATCCAACGTTTTTCCGGTGATTATCGAGCTTTTAGGGTCAAATTTCGAGCTGAAAAAATAGATTACTGTTTTATATTATAAATTATAGGATATTTTATCAATATTTTAATAAAGCTACCTGTTTAACGATTCGGTCGGCGGCACAAAAATCGTCACCGGCCCGTCGATCGGCAAGTCCGAAAGCGCATTGACAAATTCTGGGGCTCGCACCTTTAGGTGATCACGCCAGGTCAATACTAAACCATTTTCTATATGAATTAATTGGCGAATTAAAACAATATTTAATTTTTTAAATTAAGCTCACGACGCTCCCCGTCCAACAGATCATCAACCACATGCAAAACTCCGTTTTCAGCCACGTAATCCCCTTCAACAAGTCGCGCATCACCGATTCGTAGATAGGATGTCCCGTTCTTGGCCCACTAAAATAATATTTATAGCTGTAGATTTTTTCCTTACTTCTTGCGCTTTGTGGCTAGCCCCGTCCAGCGATACCAAAAACTGATTTGGCAGACTGTTTCGGCAGTAGGAGCCCTCGACGATGTGCGAGTAGACGAGTTCTGAAAAAAGATAGGTACTGTCGCATTATCGGGGGAACGGGTCAATAAAATAAAAAATTAATTTTATTGTATTTTAGTAAAATTTAAGGATATTTTTGATAGAAACCTATCTAAAAACTGACGATTTTGAAATTTTGCCGTAAATCGGCCATTTTAGACGAAAAATCGATATTTTTGTATTTTTCAAGAATTTTTTTTAAAGGTTTTACGTTTAAGAATAGTGAAAATAAGCTGAGAAACGCTCCCCCTGTTTTTTTTCGAACCCGACAACAAAACCCCCCGATAATGCGAAAGTACCGAGATACAGGTCGATCAAAACCCCCACCTTTCAAACAACCGCCCTTCAATTTCAATTGTTCTTTCACACTATCCGACATCTTGTCGAAATCCTCATCCCGGATAGCGAAAACGGTGTATTTCTTTTCTGGTGAAGAGAGAAGCTCCCGAGTATCGTCGTTGAGCACTAAATCCAGTTCAGAAGCGCGGTAAAACCCGTAGATTTCTGCTCTAAAACCCACGTCCATTAAACTGCTTGAAGCGCGCGTCTCCCTCCAGAATCTTCAATAGCGTGTGCTCGGCCGGGTGAAGCTCAAATTTCACACTCTTTGCCCTCGATCGTTTTCACCAAACCTCGACGTCAGTCATATGCACTATCGCGCCGTCGGCCTCGATGTTGGGGCGCAGCAGCTTCGCGCAGTTGATTTGAGTTATCTAAAAAAAGAAAAGAAGTTTACGTTAAAAAAAATAAAAATTACCACTTGTGAGCCTTCATTATATTGTTCCACATGATATTTCCCCTTATCCATACTTTCCAGCTCGTCCCCGTTCGACCAGTCGTAGTCTTTTTGGATTCCACGCAGGATGACGGCCTAAAAAGTTGGAAATAGCTTTAAAACTAGTTTTAAAAGTTCAGTTATTTAGTATTTTAGCTAGCTAAACGTAATAAAAAGTGAAATTAGACGCCTTTGAGGCTTTATCTATTCATTTATATAATTATTTTACAGGTTCTGGTTCGTTAGCGGGGGGGGGATTTCAAGGGAGGTATAACTTCTTTATGAAACCTAACACCTATTCTTATAACCGACAATGTATTTTTATAGCCTTTTTTACAAGTTTCAACTAGCAAAAACATTCTACAAACCTTCCAAAAAGTGAAATTTTTGAAGTCTTTTAGAATTTTTCATACGGTTTTGACGCAAATACTCAACGTTCTGCTCACTTTCTATCCCGAAAAAGCTAAAACGACCGTAAAAAATTCTAAAAAAATTTTAAAAAAACAAAAAAAAAAAAAAAAAACAAAAAAAAACCCCCCGCTGACGAACCAGAACCTAAAAAACGCTTTTTTTTTGTCCTATACCTTTGGCGCTCTCGCCATATTCGCGGTTCGTTTCGGCAACAAATACGTGACCGCATTACGCTTCTCCTCCATTCCAAGCCCGGCGTAATCCGATCTCTCATAGTTCAGCTGACGCATCCGATCCTCTAGGGAGGCCATTTCGACCCCTAAATAGTGAAGGGTTGTCACGGGGACAGGGAGGGGCCACTTGCTCTTTGTGCATCCGTTGCTCAGAATATCTTCCGTGTCCCATCCGGCACAACATTCCTCCAATCGTGCCGTTTCCTGGCCGCCGCTCGGCGTTTCGCGGCGCTCCACGCATTTCTGGGCCTTCCGGAATCTGAAGGAGTGCTTTTGGGGTACTGTGCTGTTAGCGGGGGGAGCGGAATTTGCCCTATCGCCCAATCGGGTCCCGCTAAATACGCAAAAACACACGATCGATCTATTTTTACGCCATTTTAGGCATAGGAAGCTAAGAAAAATTACAAACATTTCCAAAACAGTTGATTTTTGGTTAATATGTGTAAAATTCGCCTAATATTCATAGTTCAAATTTTCTAAACGTGGTTGTGGCTTTTTAGTAATCCAAAACGGCTAAAAACCTATCGAAATACACTTTAAAACGCCAAAAATTTTGTCCATGTAACTCCCCCCCCCCGCTAATAGTTCAGTACCCAGACTTTTTGGGCAAGTAAAACTATCTTTCTAGCGTTTTAATGAAGTTTCACCACTTACGCAGTCCATTTCGAAATCTGGTTTTACCTTTGACACGAATGCTCAGAACTTCTCCTCCCTCCCGTGGCCGTCAATCGGCTAGTGATCTCGCGCACACAGACGTGATCGCTAAAAGCTGATTTCACCACCCCTGCCTCGCCATATGCCCAACCCAGAAACACGGCGATTGCGAAACGGAATCGAGCTGATCGTGTCGAAGAGGTTAAAGACACGATTCACGGTTGAGGATCCAGTGTTTGAGCCTCTTTCCCGGTTACTCTGAAACTTTTCTAAAAAGATCAAGGTGCAAAAATCACATCTTTGACCGAATCGTCAGATACTTTTGCCTGGTCGGAAACCTCTGCCGTAGCCTCATCCTTTATCACGCCCATTAGTTTTGAGAATAGATCATTTGTCTGGAATTTGGAGGTGAAACCGATCTCTATGGCAAATCCCTCACTTGGCCAACGATTTTCCCGAGATCCGTAACAATTCGCTGCTGTCGATCCAGGTAATCGGGGTCTTTTTGGGAGCTTACGACGCGCGAGACAACCTGAAGTGTTTTAAACCTTATTTTTAGCCTTATTTTCCTCGTTTCTCCTTTTTGGCGCAACTGATTTTCCCCCACTCACTCTTGATCGTGGCTGCTCGTCGCTTGGATAATCAGCATCGTCAAATAACGAGTAAAAAGCGCCCAGCTGTGCGAATAACAAGCCCGGAAATAATAAAAGCAATACAATACTACGCATCGCCGATCGGAGGTTCGAGGGGTTTTAGGTTGTGCGGAGCGATGCAGCCTTGGAAATCGGGGGCAATCCACCACCGACTCGTCCCTTTTAGGCTGATTCACTTGAGCGGAGACCGTGTTCTACTTAGAGCCACCCCATCATCAACAGTTGTTTGTTCGGCCTAATGATTTGGGTTACCGGGACCGGTCGAAATAGCATCGAAAAGACGTTCTCTTTGCTGGGGGCGCCGGATGTGCGCTATAAGATAAGGTTTCTGACGCAGAGGGCGATGACAAGCCAGCATATTCAGTTTGTTTTGTCGTAAAAATTAAAAATTTTCAGTTTGAGATAGAAATTTTATTTTTTTGTGGCTTTCTTGACTTCCGGGTTTTGACTACGAGACGCTCCAAATGCTGTTTTTTAACGCAAATCCTCCGAAAAATCAAAGCTAAGCCTAAGCCTCGGCTTGGCTTCATACAACCGAAGCCTGAGCCTAGCTTGAGTTAAGCTGAGCTTAGCTTTAGGCTAAGCCCAAAATGACCGCATTTTGACCTCGTGAGGCCATTCGAAGCTTAAGATGAGCTTAGCTTGGGCTTAAGCTTAGGCCTAAGCCAAGCATAGTTAAAGCTAAGTTAATCCTATGCTTAAGCTAAAAACCAAGTAGCTTAAGCGGGGCGCCTTGTAACCTCTTACTAGCAATTTTGGACTGCCCCTCCTTAGATGCATTAGCACCCAGTTTTATGATCTACCTTACCCTAGCATTTGCGGGAAAACGCGCTAACTTTGAACACGACCTGCCGGCTGCGAGCCGAGGGGATCGATTGGGCTGTCGCGGCGGCGGCTGGACCTGGTTTTTTTTGCGCTGTGTTGTGTGTAGATTCAAATTCTCCCGTTCCCCGCCTCTTCCCCACCCATACCCTCCTCAGTCCCGCTCCTCTACCGCCAACCCTCCCCCCCCCCTTTCCGCCCGAGGCGGGGTCGATCCCCATTTGCGGCGACCCTTCTTTGTTTGTGGGGTCCCCGAGGCCTTGGTCCCAGCCCCATATCGCAATGACTAATGCTTCTTTCCGCCAGCCTTCCTATCCGTTCAAATCGGGGTCCTGTGCTATTAGATTGCTTATTCGTACGCAGGATTTTGGATTGTTTTTTTCCGGAATGGGCCTGTCTTGCTGACCAGAATATTTTTGAAAATAAATGGTGCTGCTGCGCGTTTTTATTCAAATTGGCTGTCTGCCAAAGGTCTAGCTATCTGCTGTCGGCTACTTTATTAAGAGCAACAGATTAGATTTGACTTTAGAACGCCGTAGCTATGACAACATTTTAGGGGGAAGCTCTGATCTTCCTCTCCCGCCCTTTATTGAGCGAATATTATTCGCCACACGTCATTATGCATTTTCTGTGTCAATCCCGGATCGTTGTATCCTTAGCTGATGCCTGGAGGGCTTGCCCAGGCTCGGCCCATGACCCCGGACAGATGGTCACCACATCCACTCAAGGCCGTATTAGTCGCAACCTAATGACATGGCTCGCGCCCCCTCTCCATTCCATTCTCATATCGATATTTATTTTCGGGCCACGTCCATTCTGAATAATATCTAGGGGATTCCAATTTCGCAATTCAACAGCTTTGGGGGTACTAATGCAATTACGGGGGGGGGCAGTCCGAGATTGGTAGTAAGAGGTTGCGAGGCGCTCCGCCTAAGCTACTTGGTATTTAGGCTTAGGCTTAAGCCGAAGCTCAGCTCATCTTAAGCTTTAAATCGCCTTACGAGGTCAAAATAGAGTCATTTAGGGCTTAGCTTAGAGCTAACCTACGCTTGGCTCAAGCTAAGCTCAGGCTTCATCTATAGGAAGCTAAACCTATAGGCGTGGGCATAGTTTTGCTTTTCAAGCGGATTAGAGTTTAAAAAACGCCCTTTGGAGCGCTTCGTAGTCAAAATCCGGACTTGCCCCCCCCCCCCCCTTAAGTGCGTTAGCACTGCTTTGGGATGTAAATCCATTCTATGCACGTATTCTATCAAATTCAATTCTATGAACTGTCAGGATTTCTTATTTTAAACTCTTCTCTATTCGGCGTGTTTTTGCTTTGTACTCGAGAGCCGTAAAATAGTTCACCATTTCAGCCTCTCCATCATGCGTGAAATCGTCCACCTCCAGGCTGGCCAATGCGGCAACCAAATCGGAGCCAAGTTCTGGGAGGTGATCTCCGACGAACACGGCATCCAGCCTGACGGCCAATACAAGGGTGAATCCGACCTGCAGCTCGAGCGTATCAATGTCTACTACAATGAGGCCACCGGTAAATTTTTGCTTTCGTTGATTGAAAAGTTTGTCTAATTGGCAAAGCCATTTTTCTAGTACATCTGTTCTTTTTTAGGTGGCAAATACGTTCCACGCGCCGTGCTTGTCGATCTGGAGCCGGGAACGATGGACTCGGTCCGCTCGGGACCTTACGGGCAAATCTTCCGCCCGGACAACTTTGTCTTCGGCCAGTCGGGCGCCGGCAACAACTGGGCCAAGGGCCACTACACCGAAGGCGCCGAGCTCGTCGACAACGTCCTCGACGTCGTCCGCAAGGAGGCTGAGGGATGCGACTGTCTGCAGGGCTTCCAGCTGACCCACTCGCTCGGAGGTGGTACCGGATCCGGAATGGGCACGCTGTTGATTTCCAAGATCCGTGAGGAATATCCTGACCGCATCATGTCCTCGTTCTCGGTTGTGCCCTCGCCGAAGGTTGGTTGTCGTGTTTTTTTTGTTTAGCTGCCCCCGTTGCTGCGTATCTAACATGTATTTTCAGGTATCTGACACGGTCGTAGAGCCCTACAATGCTACTCTCTCCGTCCACCAGCTTGTCGAGAACACTGACGAGACTTTCTGTATCGACAACGAGGCTCTTTATGACATCTGCTTCCGCACACTCAAGCTTACCAACCCGACATATGGAGATCTCAACCATTTAGGTGAGCCCGTTTTTCTAGCAAAGTTTTCTTGTACCTACTCTGTTCGTTGTCCTATGCTAAGGTGGTAAACTACCTTTCTAATACTGATTTTTTTTAGTCTCGATGACAATGTCTGGTGTGACGACGTGCCTTCGTTTCCCCGGACAACTGAACGCCGATCTGCGCAAGCTGGCCGTGAACATGGTGCCGTTCCCTCGCCTTCACTTCTTCATGCCTGGATTCGCCCCGCTTTCCGCCAAGGGAACCGCCCAGTACAAGGCGCTGACCGTCGCCGAACTTACCCAGCAGATGTTCGACGCCAAGAACATGATGGCCGCCTGCGACCCACGACACGGACGCTACCTCACCGTTGCGGCCATGTTCCGTGGACGTATGAGCATGCGTGAGGTATGAATTTGAGGAATTTTTGGTTAGGTTGGGCACAGACAAAATAGAATTCGCCTACTAAAAATTTTCCTTTAGGTTGACGACCAGATGATGTCGGTGCAAAACAAGAACTCATCCTACTTCGTCGAATGGATCCCGAACAACGTCAAGACGGCCGTTTGCGACATCCCGCCCCGAGGGCTCAAGATGGCCGCAACCTTCGTCGGAAACTCCACTGCCATCCAGGAGCTTTTCAAGCGCATCTCCGAGCAGTTCACTGGTAAATCATCGTTTTTTGATGATTACGATTTGCTCTTCAGCAATGTTCCGGCGCAAGGCCTTCCTCCATTGGTACACCGGCGAGGGCATGGATGAGATGGAATTCACCGAGGCCGAGTCGAACATGAACGATTTGGTTTCCGAGTATCAGCAATATCAGGTAATTTTATCTATCTGGCTGGTACTAATTTTGGAAGTTAGACTTCCCCAAATTCGCTGTGGCAAGTTTTTATTCCGTTTTTCAGGAGGCGACAGCCGATGATGAGGGTGGAGAGCTGGATATGGATGCCACGAACCAAGAATACGACCACGAATAAACTGCCATTGTGTCTCTATGGGCTTATTGTTAATTTATACGTCGCCATTCCTTTTCATGCGTTTTGCCAATTGGGCTTTTTGAATAAATGCTTTTACGCTGACGTGTCACACATTGCTGGGAAAGTCGCTTTAGGGGATTATCTGCAAACTTTGAGCCGGGCGTGGGTCGCGGAGGCTTCATGGTGGTCAAACCTGCCAGTAGTCGGATGAAATACGGCGCGATGCTGCACAGATTACGCACGGGCGCTACCGGTGATAAGCGCAAGGAGACGTGGACTTCTGAGTGAAGTTTGGAAATTTGGAAGCAGCGTTGAGGCAGATTGTTGGAAAATGGAGGTAGAGCAGCTTTTTGAAGACGGAACTGACCATTTGGAGAGCAAAAATTGAGTAAACACTTCTGTTTGGCCGGGATATCATCAAGAGAAAAATTTCGTAAAATTTCGTGAAAATTTTGGAAATGTCGTCGGTGAGCACAATGTTCAACGTCAGCATTTCAAACGGTTTCAAGCCGTTCATGGGTGCCAAAAACGCATTAAATCATCAGATTTCAAGAAATAATTTATTCCCTCTTTCATTGTTGCCTTCCGGTAGCAGCTACACACTTCTATTTCGGGCCTATAGCGTGTGACTGTCTGTTTGCGTCAGCGATTCCTTATCGGCCTCTACATAAGGCAGCAAGCCTAAGGATGCGACCCTTATCAACCCCGGCATTTCCCGCGGGCCCTCCCTTCGAATTTCCGGACGCGGAGCTCTGAACTTTCATCCCAATTTTATAGCCTTTCGGACGCTTATTTAAAAGCAATAAAATTGACTAGCGATCAATCCTGCTAACCTTATTTCGCCTAGATATTATCAATATAGTAACATGCCAATTTCAGAAAATAAAATGAGGAAAGTCTTCGTCATTGCCCTGATCGGCCTGCTCCTCGTCGCCTCCCTCGACGCGGCCAAGAAGTCCGGCAAGGAAGCCAAGGGGTCAGTTTACACCTGGGCGGGTCTGCCCCGCTTTTTCGAGCATGTCTGCTAGTGTTCCCCCGTGGGTCCCCACGGCTCATTTTCACATTTATGAGGCCGCGGCGGCAACGGGGTCAGGTTGAC